ATATCTTAATTAAATATGTTTCATTTAAAATCTATTTTTTTATTATTTTAAGATTAACTATATTTTTTGGTTTGCAATTTATATGCTAAAAATATGTATAATTAAAATTAGCCACGAGTGATCAATTTCAATTATATGTTGTTAATATATTATAATTTTATTATTAATAATTAAAAGTTATAATTTTATTTTAAAATTATATAGTTGTTTTTAGCATATGAAAAAAATGTATTAGATATTATAATACTTCAAATTTTTTTTTAAAAATACTGTATTCAATTATTATTTTATTATCTTCAGTTGAAACGATAAAAAAATATTATGATGTAAAATAATTATAATTTTCAACAAACCTTAGAGCATTTTCTTTTATTTATTATGAATAAAATTACTGTGTAATAGAAAAAATAATAAAGTAATTTTATAAGAAAACTTTCCGTGTGTTTAAATTTTTAAAAAGTTTTCAAACCATCCAAATAAATAACTTTTTTAATATATTTTTCCTTATTAAAATCATATAAAATTGTTGTGCGACTTGAAATATTTAATGGAAAATATGTTTTTATATGTTAATGCTAATAAATAGTGTTAGATGAATATGGAAAATTTTTTTTTTTAGTTTTCCTATCATTTTGTATATTTTATTTATAAATCAGTATTTATAAGATAATTAAAATCATTCATTTCTAATGTTTTTTTATATTGTCGAATTAGGATAGATATGATAATAGATTTCAACTACAAAATTAAATAATTTTACTCTGTAATTTATTAATTTTTAACTTCTTTTGTGTGTGTTTTTACCAGTCTATACAAGACTTTACCGCACGGATTACATTTTTAAAATAATTACTCAAAGGTGATTTTTCAGAACCAATGTTACCTTCATTAGATCTTCATTTTTAAGTAACTTGAATAATTCTATACAAACAATTTAAATCGAAATTATTTTTATAGTTTAATTGTTTTGTATAGAATTTATGTAACATTATAATAACTGTGAAACCCAACCCAACCGTTAGTAAAACGCAGTATTGTTGGTAGTAGTATTGTAAAGTATTGATTGTTAGTAACAATTTATAATGCTGTTAAGAGTTTTTTAATTATTTGTAAATCATTATATTATTTGTAAATTTAAAATAATTGTAAATAAACATTACTTATTAAAAGAATATAACAGAACTACTGTAAAATCAATATAAATTATAATTAACTATTTCGAATATTTTGTATTCAATTTTTTAGATTGAATACAAAATACAGAAAAATTATATATGTATAGACATGTGATTTTTTTCATGAAAAAGGTACTTTTGATATTAAGTTTCTATTCTAGGTTATAACTTGCTACAAAATCGTTACAACATTTTGTAATTTCATATTCGCAATTATTTTTGTCTAACGTATTTAATAATAAACATAATTGATGTTTCATATTTTCTTTCATTCTATTTGTATATTTAGAGGTACCCTATTCTAAAAATTTTTCATTCCACATTTTTAATTCTTGATCCACTTCAGCATAGAATAATTCAGCTGAAATTCAATTAAAATTTACAATCTCATTTTTTTTAAACATTGTAACGAAAAGATTAAATAAAATAATCAACCTTTTCAGTTAGTGAAATATTTAACAGTTAACAAAATATAAGTAACTAACATAAAAAAAATTATATAGTTGGGTCAACCGAAATTATGTTTAATATAGTCTAACCATTAATAAACTAAATTGAGAGACAATTAAATAAATAATATTTATAAAATATATAAATATAGAGAGAGAGAGTGATCGGTTTTTCATAAACCATTTCATTACTCACAAAATAAATACATTATTAGAAAAAAAATTTTGATTTCATATAGTCACATATATTTCTTGACTTATCAGCTAATAATGACTTTTTAGAATCATCCCTTATAACTTAAAGGGCTATCAACTTTATTAGTTTCGAAGCGAAGATGAGGAGGTATTAATTTTATCATGAGGTATTTTTTTTTTACTTATATGGAAACATACATGTTTAGTTAACTTATAAAATAGATAATTATCTAATTAAGAAAATGACTGATCGATAACAACTTTTGAACTTGTATTTTAGAAGTTATAAATAATTTTAAATAATTACTGGAAGTGAAGAGTGAGTGCTACTATTTTTATTACTAGTCATTTATTCTTCTTATTCTTTGTCCCGTCTAAATATTAAAGTGAGAATAACTTCCGAATTTCTGGTTCAAATGTTTTATCAACCAGTAATTTTTTTAATTAGATTATTTTTACCCTGTGTATTTAGAGTGATCTGTTTATCCTGAACCACTTCCTTAATAGAAAAATAAAATAATATTAAATAATTTTGTTATTGGTTTCTTTAAGATTAATGTTTCTTTAAATTTCATTAAGTTTTTTATGATAATATATATATATATATATATATTACATTTTAGAGCCAAAAAAACAAATTATTGAATAAAAAAATGATAACACTATTTATCTGATGAAATGGAAACTATCAAAAAATTAGTTTTAAGTTTTTTATTATTAAATTCGAGGTATACTTTCAACATTATAAAGTCCATAGCCAAATTCAGCGTTAACCAAGCATTGTTTTATTCTTTCTACTGGATCATCTGGAGTAATATCTAATGACAGAGCCTGAAATAAAAAATTAATTAAAAATATAAAGATATTTCTTTTATTTATATATATTTTTGATTAATTAATGTTGTATTTAAAAATACCGTAAATTAAAGAAACTTTAATATGGTGAGATAATTTTGTAATAGGTTAAAATATTCAACATTAATAAAAAAAGTAGTGGTTTGAGTATTGATCTACTGCCACTTTTACGTTAAAAAAAAATCATTACATTAATAAATTAAATTTAGTATTTAAATCTTTCACGTTTTAGTAGTAGCAATTAAATATTTTGTAATTAGATATTAGCTTTATGGATTAATTATTTTTGTAGTGTCTTCGATGTATTTTATGATGAGAAGCTGTTCTCCTAAAGATAATAGTTCTTAGTAAAGGTATGACATGTATTCTTGTCACTGTTTAGTGCAGTTAGAGGAGAAACAAAGGACTTTCAATGAGGAGTTTAACTTTAATTTATTTTGACACAAAGATAATTCAAAAATTTCTTTTTGAACCAAAAAATATTTTAATGACCGAAGTTGGTAATATTAGAAATGGGTTTGCCCAAACGAGTGAAATTATTTAGTCTTTCATTTAAGAAAATCAATTATATTTTGAATTGTAATAAAATCAGAGCTTACAGTGTTGAGTCATTAAGAGATTTTAGTAAATTAAAGAGGAATTAAAGAGTAGCCAAAAGTTACCCCTAAAATCTATAAAAATAAAATTGAATTTTAATCTATACATTTTTATGAAATAATCATGATTTAATGAAAAAATAAGGGCTAGTATAATTAATAAATCACCCTATATAGTAATAAATTTATACATTAAAATAACTTACAGAATTGAATAAAAAAAAATAAAGATTATTATATCAGTCACTATTATTATGTTCTATGTTTTAGTTTTGTTTTAAGATTGTTTTTTTCGCATATTTTTGGAAAATATGGCAAAAGACTTGTAGGTTCATAGGAAGCTGTATACTATATATTTGATATAACCGAACATTTTTGAGACGCAGAGAGTCACTATATTTGACTAGGGGGTCGGTAATGTTGTAGTAATTTGATTTAAAACTGGTTAGTAGAGCCATCGCTGGCCCTATTAACCAATCTGTACTTGTTGTCTGTACTTAGGTTATTAATTTAATTTTCATAGAAAGAATGCTAAAAAAAAATGTATTATCTCTATTAAAATTTCATTAGTATCAATGTTTTAAAATATTTTAAAAAGTTATGAAAAAAAAAATTTTTTTTTTAAAGTTAATTTTAACGGTAGCGCAATTTTTAGATATAATATTAAATGTCTAAAATTAAGGGATTTTTCAAATTTTCAGCCCTAATAGGTTTAATTAGAATAAAATCAATTATTTTTGACGAATAAACTAACAAAATGCATCATTATTATTTTATGCTTGAAGAGCACAGTCTAAGATAATCCTAAAAAATATTCTATGTGGACCAAAATCCGGGACTTACTTATCATGTTTGTTACGTTAAGCTATGCCGCGTTTGTTACTATATAAGAAATACTCCCCTCGCACACGAAATTACCTGGTATGTTTAGATTTAGTTTGATGGAATATTTATGAATTATGTAAATGCATTGTAGAACGTTGATGCTGTTCTTCAAATAAAATATTGAGGGTGCTAGAGTGCTGTAATTTAATTAATTAATATTGTTTGAAACCAAAATATTAGAAATGACTAGAAAATATATATGCAATATGCAAGCATAGATAGCGTCTTTCGTCAGAAGGGAAACTACTATGAGTCACCTACTTATTAGTTGCGACAATATTTATATTTCTCTAATAACAATTGTCAAATTTTCATTATTCATAAGAGAATATTTTGGAAAATATTTTGTTTNAAGAGAATATTTTGTTTTACATATTGTATCCATAAAATATAAATAATTATGATTATTATTAGTGAGTTGTAAGGTATTTTTGTTACAAGTAGTGCGCTCTTTCCAACTGCTGAACAACTGTATTTTCAAAGTTACACTTAAAATTAAAGTTATCCTATTTTACTACACTATAAAAATGAAATAACTTTTCTCTTTTCCGTTACAATAGAGTCGCTACATTGTTGAATAAAGATATCACAATCATATTTCATTGCATCTCGAAGTTCTTCACAAATTATGTTTTTCATGATATCGCCATAATGGCGTTTAGCATCTTACTAAGTATTTGANTATAATGGCGTTTAGCATCTACTAAGTATTTGAATTCAGTAACAGTATAATCTAGCAATGTGTTTGCGGTATTTTCAAATATAGTTTTAAAATTATTTGCTGTAACNCATAATGGCGTTTAGCATCTTACTAAGTATTTGAATTCAGTAACAGTATAATCTAACAATGTGTTTGCGGTATTTTCAAATATAGTTTTAAAATTATTTGCTGTAACAAAATTATTTTAATTTAATTTTTGACGGAAATATAATTAATATGAAAATTTATTATGGTTTTACATAGGTTATTATTATTTATATTGATTTAATTATTAATTAAATTTCCTGTACAATAAACTATCTACACGCACTAGTAGATTAAAGTGCCATAGGAACTGAAACACCCTCACAAAATCAAACGATTTTGCACTAAATATAATATAGCAATTTGATGTCCTTTTATCAGTATAAAATAATATGATGTTCTCAAAAATTGTTTGTTCTAACCATTGATGAATAGTCACTAGGGCCTTAATGAGGAGATTCTGGAAATCCGAAGAAAGGTATGAGAAATTATTGAAATTAAAATTAATGTCGGAAAATGTGAATTTTATAAGTTGATAAAATTGATTGTTAATAAATATGTTCATATTTGAGCATCTAATTAAAAAAAACCTAGATCCGTCTTTATCCATCTTCTAAAATTATATATATGTTATGGCCAATGTAGAATTACGGGCAGTGTGATACATTGATCGGGTGTTATACAAGGTGATCGAAATCTAGTAAGACACTTATTTTCTCATAAACTATTGAGGATTTAAAATTTTTGTAAAAAGAAAAATTATTAAATTTATAAAACTCTAAAATAATATGAAGTCAAATGAACTTTTTTTTTATCTTTTCAGGGATAAAAATGTTTATTTATAATTTTTTTAAATGGAAACCACTATTTTTGATTTAATAATATGATAGAAAAAAAAATTACAAATAATTTTGTTATCATAATTTTTTTTATCCGAACAACCGTTTACATTTTATAATTGTTTAAAGATTTTGACTTCCAGAAAAAATATTATCATTTATAACGTTTTATAATATCGGTAGCAGTGTAACCGGTATTTTTGTTAGATCCTTTTGTCTTACAAAACCATAGACTTCGCTATTAATAATACACCGAAAAGCCGGTTTGAATCTATTATTGTTATCACTCATTTAGTGCGTAGTACATTTTTAATGCTAATTTACCTGTCATAACTTGATCAATACAATTTAGTTTATGCAACAGCAAATAAAAATAATGACTTCTATATTTAATACAGTAAAATGACAATAGAAATTTGGCCTAAAATCACTTAAGCTATAACGGACGAACGGTTAATCGGATAAAAAAAATTATAAGAACACAACTGTTTGTAATTTTTTTTTCTATCATATTATAAAGTTTAAAATAAGGGTTCCCATTTAAGAAAATTATAAATAAGGGTTTTTATCCTTGAAGGGATGAAAAAAGTAATAGTTTGACTACATATTATTGTAGAGTTTTTTGAACTTGATATTTTTTCTCTATAATAAAATTTAAAATTCTCAATATTTTCTGAGAAAATGAGTGTCTTACCAGATTTCAATCACCCCGTATACTTTGCAGGGTAAATTTAGACAATATAGGAATCATTGATTTCATTATAATAGTAATAGTGACAGATATTGTAAAATGACTTAATAAAAAATACAAAATATTAAATGTATTGGATATGAATTACTGAATTATAAATGATAAAATTTGTAAAATAAAATTTATTTATTTATTAATTTATTTTACAACATTTAATATTGTTTATATTTTTAATTATGTCGTTTTAATTTGAATTATTCATTTTAACTTGAATTATAAAGCCAATTCAACTTTTTTTTAATTAATATTTTGTTTTGTGTGTAGCACTATCAGGGTGTAGGAAACGTACATCGAACGCATAGAATTCATTTAGTTGGGTGGAATCGACCCCTTTGTATTTTGCTGGTATAAACCAACTAACTTGCCATAAATAAGTCTCAGGAATATTCTAGGGCTTGCCAGTCGAACTTAGCTTTTTGCTCTATTTTTGCTAGTGTCAGTGGTTACAATCTTTTCATTGATATCAAGAGTGATTTTATACTTAGTTGACCTTGTTGTCCTTTGTACAACTCGAGAAAAAGAGTTTTAAAATCAATACGTCTTTAGGCTCCGTCATGGAGAGCTATTTTTAGTGTTTTTATAACTATTAAAATTCTGTATACGTGAAGTATATAACAATATCTAACAGCATGATACGATACACATTACGCCGTACAGTACTACATTAACCTGTCCAAGTTGAGTTTTAGTTACATTATCAACCATTTTGTATAAAATAATAATAATACTTACGTTTTAAGCATGTTTTGAACTCGTCTAATAATTCGTGGTATTCACAAATAGTTGTTTATATCTAAAATAAATTTGAATAACTTTTTATGGGTTATTAAAAAAGTTACAAATATATCATTTGTCTTATCGTACGAAGATCAATAGCTGTTATATATAAATGTTAATAATCACATAAAGTTTCATAAGTGCAATACACTTTTCAATAAGTTATAGCATTATAAAGTTAAAAATATAAAAAATAAAATCTAGAATTTTCACATGAAAATAGCATTCGGTACCCATTTTCGCCGTGAGGAAAACTCCAAAGGTCAAATTAAAGTATATTACATTAGCTTTAATTTAAGATATATATAAAAGTGTCAGAATTTTCGGAACATTTTCAAAAGTTAATTTTTTGTAAAAAAGTTGTCATTTTAAATCCCCCCCTGTAGACAGGTTAAGTGTCAGATTTACAAAAAATATACCAAATGATAGGTAATGACATCAAGCATCTACAAAAAAAAAATTATATTGATATGTTCATTTTTGAAAAAGTTACGGCAGTTTTTAGTAAAAAAAATTGAAAAAATTTCGAAAATTAGCGATTTTTAAATTTGTAATTTTTTTGGAGGTTTCCCCCATTTACGGGGAACGAGGGAAATTTTTTCAATTTTGAAGGGTAATGTCTTCGACTTGATACAATTTGTGATCTTTTGATGTATCGTTGAAAGAAATACGTTCGGTGAGAGCTGAGAAAAAGTGGTAACAGACAAAAAAAAAAAAAAAAAACATCATAGTAAAATTAATACCTTCTCAGCTTCGCATCGAAGCTATAACATTCATTGATTTTAATAATGCAGGTTTATATTCAAGGGCGTCATTATGAGGGAGGATTACCTCATAAAATAATAATTACCCTGTGAAAATACAATTTTTTGAGGGAGGAAATAAACAATTTCTTTTGTACATTCCTTCAAGACTAAGTACTTAGTACATCACGACTAATACTGACATGTATTTGAAATGGTATTTTCATTAAATCCATTCTTTTATTTTAGGTTGTATTATTAGTTTTAAGCTTATGCTTTATAATATAAATATTATATATGTATTATTTTTCTAGGGTATACGTTTATTAAAAAAATTGTTAATAAGTATACCGCAAATACCTCCAAAAACACCACTGCGTGTACAATTGTGTAATAATAAAATTAAACTTTGTATGCTAGAAAGATTTTTAATTCATTACTTTAAATCAATAACATAATTCAACACTAGTTTGTTCAATTTTTAAGTTTTTTAGTTATTACCTTACACGTACAGAACAAAATATATTCAAAAAAAGTTTTTGTTTGTTTTATAAAAAAAAACATTTTAACTTAATTTTACTACTAGACCTAAATATATATATAAAATATATATAATATACATTTATTGCCTTTTTATGGCAAATATATATAATATATATATTTGCCATAAAAAGGCAATTTAAGTATTTCCTGGATGATTATAAAACATTAAAACACACATTTATAAACTATAATTTTTTTATGGTAAATGGAGTATTTGTAAACATCGTAAAAAGACTGACGAACATTAACAAATTATATTTCTAGGATATTGAATTTTGTAAAAAAATTAAATTTTATATTTTTATTTTAAAAGAATTTACATGAAACCCAATTAATCAGGAAAATTTTGTAAGACATTTAAAAAACTCAAAAATAATTTTATCAATATCATTTATGAAAGAAAAATTGTTTACTTAAATATTTATATTCAAATTTCTGTTTGTTAATTTGGTTCAAAATGCCAGTCTTTTTTACAATGATCCCTATTCATAGTTATCCCACTGGACCATATAGCTGAATAAAGAATTTCAAGTAGATTTTAAGTTAAAATTTTAAGTTTTTTGAGTTTGACCAAAAATTAGATCTATAAACTGTAGTATAGATCAATATAATAAAAAAAAACCCAGCACAGGGGGGTCGCGGCACAGTGGTGACGTGGCATAGTTGGATCAAGTATAATGATATCTGACAGTGATTAAAATCACTATAAAAAAAAANATCTGACAGTGATTAAAATCACTATCAAAAATGAACGCTTCAATGCAAATCTTTAGATAGTGATTAATTTAAAAAAAATTGGTGTTTTATTCCAAAAGCTACTTGATCTGCTAGTTTCTTATTAATATCCTGATTAAGATAAAGTATGTCGAATGAAAAAGAGTTTATTAAAAAATATTATTTCTCATAAAAAAATTGTGTGGATCCATAAACTTTTCAATAAGTTATAGCATTATAAAGTTAAATATAATATAAATAATAAAATCGAGAATTTTCACACGAAAATAGCATTTGGTAGCCATTTTCGCCGTGAAGAAAAGTCCAGAGGTCAAATTTTTTTTTTTCAAATTAAAGTATATTACATAAGCTTTAATTTAAGATATATATAAAAGTGTCAGACCTTCCGGAACACTTTCAAAAGTTAAGTTGAAAAAGTTCTACTTTATATATGCATTTTTTATATTTTAAGCCCCCCCATATTTAGGGAAATGGTCTGATTTAAATAAAAAGTATACCCAATGAAAGATGTATATAAATACTACTTCTCATGAAAAAATTGTATTGATCCATACATTTTTTAAAAAGTTATAGCACTTTAAAGTAAAAAATGTAANATTAATATCTTTTAAAATATTGGTTCAAATTTTTTGTGAAAAAGTTGTCATTTTAAATCCCCCCCTGTGAGCAGGTAAAAAGTCAGATTTATAAAAAAAATATACCAAACATCATAGTAAAACCAATACCTTCTCAGCTTCGCATCGAAGCTAAAATATGTGTTTAAAAAAAGATTTTAAATTATTTTGTTAAGTATTTTAAGTAATGTAATGGATGAAATAATTAAATAAAATCTCATATAATAATAAATTTAAAAATATATGTGAATTATCTAAAATTTAAAGATTATATTAGTTGGATCAAAACTTCAAAAAGAGAGTACTTGTTTACGATTATCAATACCACCAGAAGAGCGACTTACAGTTACATTGAGGTAAAAAAAAAAAAAGAAAATTGTAATGTAAATTTTATTATAAATTTTCAAATTAATATCTAGTAAATGAGGACCTGTGTTTGGTGTTTGTAAGTGAAAATAGTTTGAATGAACCCTCACGTGCCCGGAAATCGCGGCATTTAATCGCCCCGTGTGAATGATAACATGCGATTTGTATTGTTTAATTTTAGCGATCGGTCGCGTCCGAACGCATGTTTTTACTCATAGTGTGCATGGTTCAATTTAAATGCGAGTGTTTTATATAAAGCGATTAATCGCCGCGTTTTTAAAAAGTCGTACGCGCGCGATTAAACGCCTAGTGTGTAAGCCTCTTAACAGTACAGTTTTCTGATTACACGGCCGGATATAACGTACGCGCGACCATTAGCAAAGCAAAATAGTAAATTTATCTATACCATATGAAATAATACACCCAGAGGAAAACCTCGATCTATATAATAAATTCATTGTTGAATTTGATAAATATATCATTACTATTGAATCAATGATATATTTATCAATATGATATTTTTTTTTCTTGTCTTGAACAATAATTATTTATAAGAATAGTTATTTTGTTCGTATTAATAAAACATTATCATAAACCCTTGATAAAATTTCTCTTTCAATTTTGATTGAGGTTTTTCTTTGGGTGTAATAGATATAAAAATTTACATTTTGTCATGCTACAAAGTGTAATTTCAGATTTGAAAACAGTGCGAAAAGTTGATTTAGAAAAATATATTTTTGTTTCCGAAGAAAATTCCTTGTAGATTAATTTATTTATTCATATGTAAATAAAATATTTTTTATAAAGTATTGTATTATGCCCTCTAATTTTTTCATATATACTTGTCATAGGAGTAACAAAATATGCTACTTTATCATTTTTTATTATTTATTTTATTATAATCACTGTCAGATATCAACTATACTTATCCCAATTATCCTACGTCCATACTGTGTCGCGACCTCACTGTGTTACCTTTTTTTTTTGAACTGGTGAACTGGCATTACTAAAGAAGGGATAAGTTTCCCGTTGCCTTCTGCACTGGGCAGACAGTGCTTTTGCCACCGTAAAACGCACGACCATATGCACGTATGGACACCCATCCGTACATAACGATGGCAGACGTGCCTTAACACTAGTTTTGACGATATCTAATGTGTCCACCGAACCACATGGCGCCCAATATATTATTAATTTATCATAAATTTAACATAAAATAAAGTTATAGTGTAGTATGTACTATTTTATTCTATTTTTTGTAGAAATGTGTTTTAATAGTATTATGCTATATGCGCATAAGTAAAAATATGCTGTCGTTCTCATACTTGACCGATTAATATTAGACGAAATTGACGTTTGGACGTGCATCGCGTTACATTCGACCTGTCAAAAGTAACGGACCCGACGCAATACGAACGACTCGCGGACGCCGAAATGCAAGAGGCTCGCAATATTAGACGTTCGTATGGGGTCAATCATCACGCACGTCCCTACCTCGAATGATAGTATGGGCCGGAAGAACGGAAGAACTTTTATATATACAAGAGTGAACCAGCTAACCTTTTGTACACATATCAATCATGTCAACTCGTACGACAGTTAACGGAGCAGATTATCACGCCACCGTTATATTTCATTATTAACCGAAACACTAAAGTGGTGACGGCGAAAAATGGGAGACAAAGAAACATCAGAAATGAAAAATTAAATCAACTTGGTCGACGTAAAGCTACCGCCATTTTGGAAATGCAATGCAGCTGCGTGGTTTAAAAAACCGAAGCCCAATGTCGGCCGCCCTGGAACTACCGTGAGGTATTGCTTCAGGGCGACCGACGTCCCTATAAAACTCACACCGCCGTGTTGTAACTCAGCCCGAAATTAATCAAAAGCCGAGTCACAACACGATGTGGCCTTCCTCATTAGCCAAATCCCAGAGTGGGATCCGTTGCCTAGTTCACACCACGTGGTAATTTACGTCGCGGCGTACGGTTGCCGAGTCGGTCACACTTGTGTTTTACGCGCTTGGGGTACAAGGTTCCAACCCGCGTGTGGCAATGAATTTTTTGTATTTTTTCTTAATTCTTTTTCAGTTAGAATACATTTTCAACTGCTTTGATTTTTATCTCATTTAGATTCAATAACTTCAATAAAGATCAAGGATCCCATCACTTTAGTCGCCACTCGCGAGAAGAAATTTCTTATTCATATTAAAATTATTTTACTATATTTTATGTTTTAGCTTCGATGTTAAGCTGAGAAGATATTTTTTTGTGACTATCATTTATTTTCTCTGCTCTAATTTGACCTACTTTTTTCAACGATGCGTCAAATGACTACAATTCGTATCTAATTGAAGATATTACCCTCAAAAAATGAAAAAAATTCTAATTTATCAATTAAACAGTTACTTATCCCATGTTCTCCATACAGACAATTAAAATCATTAATTTCTAATGTTTTCAAAGTAATTAAAATTAATTCAGTTCTGGATATTTCATTTGTAGAATCTTTTTAAATACCAAAAGTTACTTAAAAATGATTACTATGATTTCTATTTAAGTGTTCTATTACGATAAAAATGCAAAAATATAATGAGCTTTTCTGATAAATATACTGTAAATAGTAATTATAAAATTTCCTAACCACGTATCAATCTTAAAAATAGCATTGTTTTAATTCTCATAAAATTTTCTATTTAAATATAATTTTAAGCTTGCAATTGAGCTAAAAGTTACGGAAACATATTTAATTTTTTTTTACAATAAACTTTTACAAAAACTTTTCATCAACTTTAAAGGACCAAAAAAATAGGTTAAAAATGAGATTTTGGACTGATTATTTTTAACATATTAAAAATCAAGTCAGTAATAATTTTAAAACAAATTTTTTTTTCTTTTAATTATTATTTTATGTGTAATTAATAATAATATAAAAAATTAGAAGTGATAGAAAAAGTCCAATTGCAGTTTTGAAAATAACACAAAAAATTGATTTAGAAAAGTATATTTTTGCTTCTGATGACAGTTCTTTGTAGTGCTGTGCATTTAATTATAGTAATAAACAGTTTTTATTGAAACATATTGTATCAAGCCCTTTAAATTTTTATACGCGTAAAAGTAAAACAAAATATAACTTCTTTATTATTTTTATAATTTCTTCGTATAAAATCCAATATTAAATTATTGAATATCAATTTCATACTAAATTTAATAACTGTAATTAGTATTTATTTATATATTATATTTTAAACTCAAAGAACTACTAATCAGGATATGATTAAAGAAATAAGGGTTGATGTTGCTTTTGTAATCATCCACCAATTTCTTAGAGTTAAACACTATCTACAGATTTGCATCGAAGCGTTTCTTATGATAGTGATTTTAATCACTGTCAGATATCATCTATACTTGTCCCATCTATGCCTCGTCCACACTGTGCCTCGACCACACTGTACTACCGTTTTTTTAAATTTATTTTATTAATTAAGTATTATTATTATTAAGTAAAGTAAATATTACAATTCGCCCATACATCATGCACGATTTTTTCAAAAATTATAATACTTAAGTAAATTTTTTTTTTAATTATTACTTAAATTAACTTTCTAAAGTATATAGGTTTACATAAGTATATATAAGTATATTAAAGTATATACATTTATCAGGTGAAAAAATAAAACATGGGATTGACTATTGTTGGGGTGGTGAAGAAGAGTATAACCTTTGCTTACTAGCAGACTCTAGGGAGAAAAAAACATAGTCATTTAGACTCGATAATTTAAATGTTAGTGGTTTTAATTTAATAAAACAGGCATATAAAAGGTTGCCTAAAATTTATTTAAAAAAAAATTATTTTTTAAAATAATTATACAAAAATGTTGTACAATATTAACTGTTATATAAATAAAAAGTTGAAATATTATAAGAAAAGATATTTTTGAAATTTATTGAAGGTAATAATTATAATATAGAATTACATTATTTATAGATTTATGATAATTAAATATCTTATTAATAAATAGGAAAGCAGGTAATTATTATTTCGCGTTAAAACCTTTTAATATGTTAAATTTAACTGGTGACATCTCACGCTTTACATTCAAATAGTAGTCCTTCATATCATTAGCGAACCGTTGCAACTGATTTTTAGTTTCTGAGAAATCAAATGGAATTTGTATAACTAAAGAGTCTTTCATTTTAGTATAATCTAAATAAACTGAATTGAATTTGTAACTAAAACAATCGTATATTTTCAACATTCCTTTAGTTGAATTTTCTATATTCTCTATATCAATATAACTGCCATTAGTAGACAACATATCTATAACTTCTTGAAAATTTTTTGTATCATAATTAATAAATTTACGTATTTTTAACAAAATCTCCAATGGAATTTGTAACAATTCCAAAAATTCATTTTTATTACAATGTTTTTTATTATAAACTTGATGATATATCTGTATAATATAAACAAAATGTCGTACAATAGAATAGTACATAACTAGTAACACATTATTTCTTATAGTATTTGTATATGGAATCAAACTATAATAATTGTTTTTCCAATTGCTCATCAAATCATTGAAAGATCTGTCAAGAAAATAACTATCATAATGAGTAATAGGTGGTTTGAATGTATCCTTATTGTGAGAATCTTTCCATATAAAGCTGAAAATTTTTGTTTTTTGTGCAAATTTATAGAAATTGTCAAATGATTCAGGGTAAGCATATTGTGACAACATCAACATATCAGATAATTTATTAACATACTTTACTGTATATCCTTTATTTTCATAATCAAACAAATATAAAGGTTCTTCTAGTAAATGACCAGTTTTGTAACATTTAGAACAATATGTAAATAATTCATTCTTAATTTTATAAAAATCAATTTCATTATATGATATTTTACCAGCATGTAAGGCATCAATAGTTATTGAAGTCATCCAGATACCTCGAAGACTAGGAATTAGTATGTAATAAAATAATGAAAGAATACGATGTAAAATGTCACTGAATATTTCTAGTTGAACGTAATCCAACTGGTGCTCATCGTGTTTGTCTAATTCAACGTGGTATATTAGATAAAGGGCTATCAAAGAGTACGAACATCTCATTTCCCTTAGCTTTTCAGCAACAGCATCTATTGTTGTCAAATTAAAATCATTGTTAGTTTTAATAGAGTTGACTAATTCTTCAACATTTGAAATTATAACTGGTTTAAGTGTTGGTATTTCATTTATCATTTGAATAAATTTTAGTTGTCTTTCTTGTCGCTACAATAAAATGAAAATTTAATCAGGATATCAAGAAAGATAAAAAAATATATATTATTAATATTTTATGACTAATAATGTTATAATTTATTAAATCCATATAGTGTTGGATATTCTGTTCATCATTAATTATAAATATTTAAATTTCGAAATATCGCTGTTGTAATAATAAATAAACATATCCAGAGTATAAATTCTCTCCTAACTGTGTCGGCACCTGTTAGCGAAATCTACAAAATTTCTAATGCTGCCAATACTGAGGCTTATTTAAAATTAAATCAATAAAAATGATTGATTTTCATTTATTTTACTTTGAGTTAATTTTTATGAAAATATTTTGGCAAATTATTATTATTACTATATTTAATTCATTGCAAAACATTGTTTTTATTTCTATTCAACTATTTTTCGTTTGTATTTACAAAATTTTTATCATTTTGGTTGCATTTTTTTGTTTTTAAATCACGCTTAATATTCTCAAACTCCATATACAGTTATATAAATATAATTTTAAAGATAATAAACAAAAGAAAATAATTCAATAAAATGTTCTGAATAATAGAAATCTCCAATTTTTCAGAAATTTCCTTAGTATTAAACTTACACACATTTTACAACACTAATAGTTGGATAAATTACAGTTGGTTTAACTCTAATAATCTTGTTGAATTTACTAATTATCTCGCTATAAATGTTAAATGATTACCTTTGTTGTTAAAATCTGTTGAATCAATTGAATTCCTATTAAAAATAAAATCAAGTTCAAATCGTAATTCATTATTTTGACATAAAAAATACTCTAATTTGCAATAATATTACTTTTAAGAATTCGATTCCAGAAGTAATTTTATAATATATGCTCTAATATAGTTATAAATAGTTAGTTGTTTATCTAATAAAAAATTAATATTTCATGAAAAACAAACATCTTTTTGTATTTTTATAAATGCTTTTGTTACCGCTTAATCTTTAATGTTTATACCATCTGTATACAAAATTCTATCCTAAAAATATCCCAATGTTCCTCTAATTCCAATAGAATATCAAAAAAATGTGTGACCTTATTAAATGCTCATAAATTTAAAAAAAATATGTCGATTTATACACATGCTTCACTAATGCTACTTCATTAGTAATTACTAATTATTAATTATAATTAATAATATATAATTATTTATTGATACTAATTTATTGAAATAATATAATAATATAATATTAATATAACTTGTACTTTCATTGAAAGTCTTTCAATGAATTGAAGCAAAGTAGATTTCTGGTTTTTATTAAAATTACATAAATTATATGCATTACTTAATTTAAAGTTTTCTACAAAATTATTGCTACCATAATCACTGTGCATAATATTTATTATTTCTAATATTCTTTAACAACTTCCTGTAATGGAGAACGTGTACAAGAAATACCTTATATAAATATACAAAGATTATTAATTTTTGTTGTTGTTAAATTGAGTTAAATGTTAAATGGTTTTGTATGTACAGTTTGGTTGGGTATCAATTAATACCCAACCAAACTGTCTTTATTTTATTTTCTTGATAAAGTAAGATTAAGAGCACATGTAGTTAATTTATCAAGACATCTGTGGGATAGTTACTAACAGAGGGTATTGAATATTCGCTCGTTTTTAATTTATCGTCACTATCAAGTACATGGAAATAAAAAACAATAATAATTGTTGATATTATATTGTAAATTACAGGTTTTTAAATTTTCGTTATTATTTATCTTATGATAAAATATTTTAGATGAGAGCGTACAGCGTGCACGCCATGTATTACAATTGTTAAAAATCGATTTGTAGCGAACAATAAATCAACATTGACTATAACTAATATTTCTAGTTTGATATTTGTAAATATCAATGGACTCCTACCTATTTTTTGGAACCCAGAATTCTATGTTAAAAGTTGTTTGTTTAATCAACACAAATCAGCAGATAATACTAAATCAAAAGAGAATAAAAATAAAGATGAAGATATAGATTCGTATAAGAAAAATGTGTGGAACATTCTTTAACATAAATATTATTGTATTATTGTTTGTTTATTATATACATATGTACAAAAGTAGCTTGTTAATAATTTAATAGAATTTGATTAATAAAATGTTAACCATTGTATATATTAATACTTATTGTACTTGGATTTTAAAATTAAAATTTTATCACATAACACGTCTTGAATAGACGTGTTGCTCGTTATATATATATATATTAGGGTGGTACGAAACAATGAAAATGTTGATAATTGAATTCTAATAGAAAAAAGTTGCAGTTTAGTCTCCTGATTATGGGAGATAAAAAAAAATTTTTTTAATATCTTCAGGTGCCGCAAGAGGGTTGAAAATTTGACTGTAAGGATTAATTTTTTCATTTTTGTCATTTATCTTTAAATCTATTCTATTCTCAGGAAAAATTATAGAATTAAACTTGTAGAACTAAATGTTTACCATAAAAAATGTTATTAGCAATAAAGCCAAATATATAATACTTAGTCATTAAAATTAAAAAAACGACATATTTTTATTTTTACCGTGAAAATCGTTTTTATTAGTTTATTTAAATATTGCAGACGAAATATTCAACATACAATAAAAATTGTTTAGAATGTAATTGTTCATAATTTTTGTTTATAAGTATTAATATCTTTTAAAATATTGGTTCAAATTTTTTAATCGCTCGGATATTTTTTTATTTAAATCGCCCTTTATAAAAAAAATAGAAATTTTAGTAATATTAATAGTAGAGTGGAACGAAAACAAATTTTATTTTGCAAATTCTAATATTACTAGAAAGTTGTGGTCCATAATCAAATATGTGTATAAAAAAAACCCAGCATAGGGGGGTCGCGGCACAGTTGTGACGTGGTATAGTTGGATCAAGTATAATGATATCTGACAGTGATTAAAATCACTATCAAAAATAAACGCTTCGATGCAAATCTTTAGATAGTGTTTAATTTTAAAAAAATTGGTGTTTTATTCCAAAAGCTACTTGATCTGCTGGTTCCTTAATATCTCGATTAAGATAGAGTATGTCGAATGAAAAAGAGTTTATTAAAAAATATTATTTCTCATAAAAAAATTGTGTGGATCCATAAACTATTCAATAAGTTATAGCATTATAAAGTTAAATATAATATGAATAATAAAATCGAGAATTTTCACACGAAAATAGCATTCGGTAGCCATTTTCGCCGTGAAGAAAAGTCCAGAGGTCAAATTTTTTTTTTTCAAATTAAAGTATATTACATTAGCTTTAATTTAAGATATATATAAAAGTGTCAGACCTTCCGGAACATTTTCAAAAGTTATGTTGAAAAAGTAAATTTTTTGTGAAAAAGTTGTCATTTTAAATCCCCCCCTGTGGGCAGGTTAAGTGTCAGATTTACAAAAAAAATATACCAAATGATAAGTAAAGACATCAAGCATCTATATAAAAAAAAATTATATTGATATGTTCATTTTTGAAAAAGTTAGAGCATTATTAAGTTAAAAATATAAAAAAAAATTATTTTACAAAAATCGTAATTTTTTATTAACTTTGATGTCAACTTTCACCACGAAGACAAGTCCAGAGGTCAAATTTTTTTTTTTCAAATTAAAGAACTTTACATTAGCTTTAATTTAAGATATATATAAAAGTGTCAGACCTTTCGGAACATTTTCAAGTTAAGTTGAAAAAGTTAATTTTTTGTGAAAAAGTTGTGATTTTAAATCCCCCCCTGTGGGCAGAAAAAAGGTCAAATTTACAAAAAAAATATACTAAATAATAGGTAAAAACATCAAGTATATATAAAAAAAAAATTATATTGATATGTTCATTTTTGAAAAAGTTAGAGCATTATTAAGTTAAAAATATAAAAAAAAATTATTTTAAAAAAATCGTAATTTTTTATTAACTTTGATGTCAACTTTCACCACGAAGACAAGTCCAAAGGTCAAATTTTTTTTTTTCAAATTAAAGGATATTACATTAGCTTTAATTTAAGATATATATAAAAGTGTCAGACTTTCCGAAACATTTTCAAAAGTTAAGTTGAAAATGTTAATTTTTTGTATAAAAGTTGTCATTTTAAATCCCCTCTTGTGGGCAGGTTAAGTGTCAAATTTACAAAAAATATATACTATTTGATAGGAAAAAATATCAAGCATCTAAAAAAAAAAATTATATTGATATGTTCATTTTTGAATAAGTAATGGCAGTTTTTAGTAAAAAAAATTGAAAAAATTAGCGATTTTTAAATTTGTAATTTTTTAGAGGTTTCCCCCATTTACGGGGAACGAGGTAAATTTTTTCAATTTTTGAGGGTAATGTCTTCGACTAGATACGATTTGTGATCTTTTGACGTATCGTTGAAAGAAATCCGTTCGGCGAGAGCTGAGAAAAAGTGGTAACAGACACAAAAAAAAAAATAAAAATAAACACATCATAGTAAAATTAATACCTTCTCAGCTTCGCATCGAAGCTAAAACTTGGTGATCTGATAAGTAAATTACTGTTAAACACCCTTGACCCGTGCAATAATAGTGAGTATATTTGTCATTAACAAAATAATTACATTATCTATTGGATGTTTGTTGTGTCATGTTGAACATGCACAATATTTTTTAAATTTTCTGAGGTTTCTGAGGAGACTTGTTAAAAATACGTCTTAAATTGTTTACTTCCTGATAAGTTGTATAAAATTCATTTACATTATTTTTCAATTTATATTACTTAAATTTTTTTAGAGTTAAACATCTGCCTAAGTATATTTACTATAATTTATAATGTAATATTTGTAGTACAATAAAAAATATATAAATTAATTTTTATCATAAGATCATTTACAAAAGATATTTTCATACGTTTTTCTTATTAACAATGATTACATCAATACATCATAATCGACATTTTTAATAATTAAATATAATTGGAATAACTTTTATAATTTTTACACGAAAAATGTATTATAATAAAATAACTTATATATAAAATCTTAACAATATAAAATAGTTCATTAATAAATTGTTATATCATAAAAGTGTGTGAATAGAAGTTTACAGGAGAATAGAAACTATTCCCTGATGTGTGATGGGTGTGCTCACACAAAACGCTTAGCGTTAAAAGAACCTCATAAATCAAGTTGATGAGTAAAACAAAAAAGACAGTTTCCTAATGTTAATTTTTATTCACCACTCAGTTTGTATTCGCCAATTTTACGGTAAAATTTAATCAATAAAAAAGAAAAAAGCAAATTAAAGATCGAACTGATAATTAAATCAAATGAAAAATGTGAAACAAAAGCCTTACAATAATGTCATACATATTGTAGTATATTGAGTTGTAAGCGAATTCATTACTTATTAAAATGTAATTAGTCACACATTGCTTGCTCTTCAGATTCTTCTTCTTCTATGTATTCTTCATCTACAGATGCTTCCTGCAATTTATAAAACTTATATTTAAAAAAGTAAAATAGTGAATAAATGCACAATTATATTTAATTAAAAACATAATATGTTTATACGAAATTACAATAAAAAAAAAAACAAAAAATGTAGTACAGTATGATTCCTTTTATTCTAAGAATATAAAAACGTTTTTGCACTATTGATTTATGCATATTTTTTATTATTGTAATATCTACAGGAAAGAAAGTAAAAAAAATCAATAAATATTCAACTATAGATAACACAGGACTACAACAAAAGAAAATCTGTAAGGTACAATATTTTGATGATTCTTCAAATGGAATTTCACTTCTGATTCCAATCTGGTTTCTGAGATAATTACTAATTAAGCAATAATTACAAAATTAAAAATTCATAAAAAAATTGTTTTCTAAAAACTCTAAATTTATTTTTATCATACAAGAAAACAGTTATGTGAAATTTGAGACTACTGCTACAAGTTAAACCTGTTTTTTAAGCTTTTTAACTTGAATATAAAACTCATTTACACAAAAATTAAGCTAAACTTTTCACTATAACTTTGGTTTGAATGTCGGTAATGAATTTATAACCATTAAATAGACATTTTTATAATGATTTTAAAAATGTTATTTTTTGACTGAATACAAATTAAAAATCGACAAAATTGTTGTTTATAGAATATCTCGAAATTTCGTAAAAATTTTTAAGTTTTTAATTATTACTTTATTACAAATTAGTAATTATCTCAGAAACCAGATGTGATTAACAAATACAAAACCAGATTGGAATCAGCAGTAAAATTCCATAGAGGAGTTATCCAAATATTTCGAACCAGAGTGATATTTTTTAGTTGGCCTGAATAATTGTCAATGAATTTTCTTGATGTTATACCTGGTATTGTTGGTATTCTGATATTAAATCATTCATATTAGATTCAGCTTCAGTGAATTCCATTTCATCCATTCCTTCTCCAGTATACCAATGCAAGAAAGCTTTTCTTCTAAACATAGCGGAAAATTGTTCTGATATACGCTTAAATAGCTCTTGTATGGCCGTCGTGTTTCCAATAAATGTGGAACTCATTTTAAGTCCACAAGGTGGAATATCACAAACAGCTGTTTTCACGTTGTTTGGGATCCAATCAACAAAATAACTGGAGTTCTTATTCTGTACGTTCAACATTTGTTCGTCTACTTCTTTCATTGACATTCGACCTCTAAATAAAACAAAAAATTTCATCAATATTAATTCTAACCATTTTCATTTTAATTTTTACTATAAGATATACAATATTTGCTTTCTTTCCAGTGCTATGATTGAAATACCCTGGGCAAGTTATAAAAGTTGCGTCAAAACCTATTTAGATAATTACGATCAGTTTTTTAGGGATATATCCCGGTCACATTTGTTCTTTGTCACACAAAAAATTGATTGCATAAAATATTTATATAGAATAAAAAATCCAACACAGGGGGGTCGCGGAATATGGTAGCCATTTTTACCATGAAGACAAAATAAAATAAGAAAATTGTTTTTTCTATAATAATGTACATTACATTAATATTAATTTAAGATAAAAAGTGTTAGTATTTCTAAAACTCTTTTAAAAGTTAAGTTGAAAAATTAATTTTTTGTAAAAAAGTTATCATTTTGAATTCTTCCTGTGTAGAAATGAAGGATCAGATTAAAAAAATATATATATCAAATGATAGGTAAATACCTCATGTATCTATTAAAAAAAAAAATAATATTGATCCATCCATTTTTCAAAAAGTTAAAAATATAAAAAAGAATTTTTTGCAGAAATCGTATTTTTTTCATTAACATTGATGTCTGTTTTCACCATGAAAACAAAATAAGTCCGAAATTTTTTTTTCATATTAAAATATATTACATAAATTTAATTTAAGATATATATAAAAGTGTCAATATTTCTGGAACATTTTCAAAAATTAAGTTGAAAAAATTTTTTTTTCTATATGCATTTTTAATTTTTGACAATTTTCTGTTTAAAGGAAAATGGTTCGATTTAAAAAAAGTAAACAAAACTTAATAAAAAAAAACATATCATAGTATAATTAATACCTTCTAAGCTTCACATCGAAGCTAAAATGTTTAATATTAATAGACTGTTACTATTACATAATATAAATGAATTTGTTCGTGAATTCTTGTAAAAAGAATATAACTAATACCTGAAAATAGCTGCTACGGTAAGATAACGACCATGTCTTGGGTCACAAGCTACCATCATATTTTTAGCATCAAACATTTGTTGTGTGAGTTCGGGTACACTCATTGCTCTGTATGATTGACTACCACGCGCTGTTAGTGGAGCAAATCCGGGCATGAAGAAGTGCAATCTCGGGAACGGGACCATATTCACTGCTAATTTCCGAAGATCAGCATTCAGTTGACCGGGAAACCGAAGGCAAGTAGTCACGCCAGACATGGTAAGTGATACCAAGTGGTTTAAATCGCCATATGTTGGGTTGGTCAGCTTGAGGGTGCGGAAACAAATATCATAAAGGGCTTCATTGTCAATCAAGTAAGATTCATCAGTGTTTTCAACTAACTGGTGAACTGACAAAGTGGCGTTGTAAGGTTCTACGACGGTATCGGATACCTTTGGCGATGGCATAACCGAGTAAGTGTTCATAATTCGATCAGGATATTCCTCGCGAATTTTCGAAATCAATAATGTACCTAAACCGGATCCAGTACCTCCACCCAAAGAATGAGCCAATTGGAATCCCTAAACAAATAAAATTAACGACATCACCAATTTAAATAAGTTGAACTTGTTAAAAAAATGTTTTCCGCGGTTTAATTTTAAAAAACATTAATGAACATGACTTTATTGATGGAAAACTCGAATGATTCATGATATATTATAAATAAAATGAATTGTTACTTAATGTAAAATAACATTATATTTGTAATAATAATTTACTTGTAAGCAGTCGCAGTTTTCACTTTCCTTTCTGACAACGTCCAAAACCGCATCAACAAGTTCAGCGCCTTCAGTGTAATGTCCTTTAGCCCAATTGTTTCCAGCCCCAGACTGACCAAACACGAAGTTGTCTGGTCTAAACAACACACCGTATGGTCCAGACCTGATAGACTCCATGGTACCAGGTTCCAAGTCGAGTAAAACAGCACGAGGAACATATTTGCCACCCTCAGAACGATTGACAGCTAAAAAAAATATGATATTATACTTATAAAATTGTTTACAATTGTTAGTACAATTAATTTTTATATAATATTCTCAGGCAACTGCATCCATAAACACTAGAATCCCACATATTTTTAAATGTTAAAAAAATCATGGTTATATCATTAAATAGTCTAGCCTAGGAAAAATTAAGAAAATTATGAGTAAAAAATGAAAAAGATAAGTGAGTAGTCCTCCTTTTTATTATTTATTTATAATAAAACAGTATCTTATGGTCTATGGCAATACCTTTCCGTTAATAAATATAGATTAAATAAAAAACAAAACACAATAGCTATATTTACACTATACACGATGGTATTAATTTTTTAATGCAGATATAAAGAATGGTAAACTGTTGTTGGCCTAATTAAAATGCAATGTACGCAAAAATAAAACGATATGATATTATAGTTCATACATGTTAAATCTTATTTGATTTATTCAAAATTAAAACTATATTAAGAATATTATTAATATGAAACTAAAAAATATTAAAAATATTTAACTCAAAAGGCCACAATAAAATGACTAAAAAATCGCGGATGCAAATTTCTGGAACAATGTTACCATTATCAACGCTAAACACATACTCGTAATACTTTATTTTAATATAGTCTTAATTTTAAACCACAAGTTATCAATTTTTATTACTCAATTGATCTATTAATAATAGTTTAATAATGTACAAAAAAAAATTATTGTATGTGAACTGATAATTCAATTTAAAATTATCAATTTGATTGCATATTTTCGAAATATCAACATGAATTATTTTTCTAACATAATCAATACTGACAATACGATTATAATATACCTAAGCAAACGTTAAGAAAAAATTCGAATTCATTTTTTAAGTTTTTACTGATTAAGACTAAGTTTTAATGAATCCGATTGACGTCTATTTATAAAGCTTTTGCAATAAAAGACTGAATAATAATTTACAGGATTCAATATAATTTCCGTGTCTGATCAAGTCTGTCGATAGGATTCCAAATTTGACAATGGCTGTAACGAACGCTAGTTAATGAAACTGGCCAACAACACGCAGTTTTATAAAATAAAAGAGAAAAAATTAAAAGATAATGAACTACATAGTACACTTTTATTGAACAACGAGGAAACCCAGTAACGCATTGTTTCGTCTTCAATTGGACATCTATTACGAAACTGTAGTAATAGAAATGACAAAGATATTTAATCAGTTGATGTCAATTATCTCGGTCAAACTCCTAACTGCTTCAAATAAATTATGATTATCATCTTACCGGACCCTTCGTTGTAGTAGACGTTAATACGTTCGAGTTGGAGATCGGACGTGCCTTTGTAAAATCCAGTGTAATCGATGCCATGTTCTTCGGATATCACTTGCCAAAACTGAAAATTAATAAAATCAAATGAATTATTTCTATTATCTGATTATGAATCGAGGTAGGCAGGTCAAATTATAATGATAATTACACCGTGTTATTAAACTATACAACAAAATACATTATCTTCGAATAAATCAACATAGTCTTAAGTAATGCGATGAATTCTCGTGATACACTTCCAACATATTTATTTTTAGACCCAATGAGCTATTAAAGACCGACATTATATAAAATAATTTATTAAGAACTTTACGTACAAGAACTCTTAAATGAGATTCTTATCGTAGATTGAAAATTTAATGATTTGACGCATCAAATATTCAATATGAACATAGAAAACACAACATCTAGTGCTATAACATCCAATCTTGAAATGTCATAACAAAACATATGAAACGTTATATTAAATTTAAATTTCAAATAATTTTGGTTTTTGCTTTTACAGTTTTTCAAAATATGAAAATAATATTACCGTCTTATACTAATGTAGTTATAAATTATTTAATTAACTAATTGAGGAGTATCGACAAAAAATAATTATATGCCTAATATGTTAAACGTGCAATAATTTGAAAAGTTTCTATTATCATCAATGCATTGTCAATCCTTAGAATGTAGATAATAACAATAAGCAATCCTCATGCTATACAATGAGTAATTCATGATTTTAATAATTAATAGGTTTAAAAATTTATGAAGTTATGAAACATATATATTAATAATCGAATCATACATCTGACAGAATTTTAAGTAAAAAGTCTTTAATAAGTGCTCGCTGGTAAAATAATCAATCTGAGAAAATTTTTGTGAAAAAACTGCATTTAAACCATGTGATATAAGTAAATCTTTGTGGCAATATATGTTTTCTTGTTATTCAGATAAAAAATCTAACCTATTGGCCGTATAATTATAAACATAAATTTATCTATCTTGCGAGCGATTTATTTTGTTCAACGTTTTGCTATCAATAATTTAAAATTATTAGTATTAACTCAAAATGTTCAACGAGCTTTAGCAAAATTCGTTTAACGAAGTTACCGGTTTAATAGAAAAAAATTAAACGTAGAAATTTACATTTAAGTAAATTACTGTTTCTGAGTGTACAACACTAAACAGAGTGATTCGTCTAATATTCCGGTAAACCACTCCGTGGTTTGGTCAAGTTTTTCAAAATTCTTAAATTAGTCTAATATATCCCAAGTTTTAAACGATGCACATCGTAAAGGTCACTATCCAGTGGTAATACTCGAAGCATAGTTCGACATACATATCACCTTGCTGATACATTTTAATAAATGTTATTTTGTTCGTTTAATGACCATACCCCAGAAGAATTTTACTGCAAAGCAGGTAGTACAATTATAACCTACACAATTATATTTTTTAATAATATAAGTGCAGTTACATTTACAACGCTAGTACAAATCATTGTTTGTACAAATTGAATTTCAAAGTTTTTAATGACCAATAATAACCATTAATAAGCCATTGATTTTATATTATTTGTTAGGGTCAATTCTATTATGAGTAATAGGAGAGGTATAATACTTTATTACTTCCATCAATGACTTGAAAAAGTTTATAGAATATATTAAAATTTGAATAATCTATATGACTTGCAATTGATACCTAGTTACGGATTACAACATGACTTTCTTAACTAAGTAGAAACTTAGTTCTAACTTCAAAAAATCTGCAAATACATACCAGTTATACGTCAAAGAGCAGAAAAAGAACCCAACACATTGATATTCACTTCATGATTTGACTTGATCACTTAAGTCATCCTTCATATGAGCCAAATGACTAAGTAACTGGTAACTATCATACTATTATTATATCTAGACAATTTCGTTAAATAATTGGTTCAAAGTTTGCCTCGTAGCTGTTCTTCCAGCACTGGATAATTTTTAGGTGTATGATAACCTGCAGGTCTTATGCAAAATCTTATACCCAAAGACTATTTTTAAAAAAGAAGTTTTAGAGAAAAAAAACTAGTTTATTTTATGGTTTTATTTTTAAAAATGACTTATTTTTATTTCATACAGAAACAAATACACAGAGTGGAACTTAATACTTAATGAAGTAATTATGGTCCGTTAACTCATAATACTATTTCTATACATTGATAATTTGAAAAATTCTTTTTCTACATTTAACAGTAAATAAAGCGACGACAAAAATACGTCGGAATTCGTATTACACTCTAAAGTATATCGTGTTTCTTGTTTTTATATTTTTATTGCCAGGAGTGCCTACAAAACACATATAACAACTACACAATGTCATTAGTTCTTTGAAAAAAAAAAATTTCTCGTAACAAACAAACACTATTTTTCTACTGACCACCTTATCAGAGTAATTGTTTTTATTTGTCTTTTAAACATACTTTTCAAGACCTATAGCATAATGTTTTATCGGATATTTATCTAAAAAAGGGGATATGGTGGGTGTGGAGATTGGGCTGTAGAAAGGTTCTGTCGACTATTTCATAGACATGGCGTTGATATTTCCATCTGTATACTTCATTAACATAATAATTAAGAACTGCACGTTTTCATTTTTAATCGTTTTATTTAAATATTTTTAGATTTAAATTAAGTCCTAAATATAATTGTTTTTTAATCATAATTACACAAACTTGGTATATAAAATATAATTATATAACTGACATTATTATTTATAATTTTTCTATAATTATCTAAAATAAATAATTCACGCTCATTAACTAAGTAACAATTTATATCATTCGTAAATTAGATAAATCGTAAGACTTTTAGCTTTTTATGTAAAGAAAAATGTAGAGAATTTCTATCAATGAAACATAACGAAAAATGTAAATATTTTTTTCGTAACTAAACGATATATAAAATTCTTGAAAAATATATTTTAGTCCGTTGTAACGGTGATTTCAAATCTAACGGTAAATATATATTTTTTTCATAAAAATTTGAAAAAAATTATCATTAATACATAGACGGTACTGTTTGTGTTATTATTAGTCACGGAAGACTTTTTTTGATAAAAATAAAACACATAATTACAATACCGTTTATTGATATCTTGTAAAACTGGTTTGAATTGAAATTAGATATGTGAAATTGATGAGGTTATTGTTACATTTTAGATATGAACTCACTTACCATGTTAAACACGAGATAAAACTAAGAGGTGTAAACCGTAACATTGGCCTTATGGGACAACAAATACGACAAGGATGCGATAATCGCGACTATTCGGTGATATAAATAGGGTTGGCGTTACATACACACATACCAACGCAAAGGACCTGGCAAGTACGGTAACATAATAATATTATTAAGATAAATTTGATGTCGTCCGGGGTTCAGTCCATATTTAGTGTAAATTGGCAGCCGTATCCATGTACCGTTAAAGGCCCTTAATAATGTACACGCAGAGTAATAAAACGCATTAAGACTCATGAGCGCTCAGCAGAGGTTTCCAAAAATAAACATTCCAGGGTACTCATCGGTACTGGAACGTAATTATTACCAGGCACAGGACACGCGCTTGTAATGTCGTCGCCCAGCGACAAAAAAAAAACACGACCAAAAGGGGAAAGACAGGAACACTAGTCGGTGCATCTATTTCTGTCCCTTGAGTGACACTACAGAAAACGTCTCTGTAAGCATTCTGACATCGTATACCGAATAAAACCCACCGTCTGCATTCTATCCAAAATAGTTCACCGGAACACGAAAATTGTGCGTCTAAAGCGAAAAGTAACGTTGGTGGCACATTCTCCAGTGAATTGACATTTTCTCCGCAAGTTCACGTTAACGGCAGCGCCGAACCACATTTCAAATATCTGTGCCATTACTTTATTATTGTTATTATTACCTGACCGTATTTATAATTTGTATTGTACGGCAAGCAACCGACAACAAAATGCGGAGCACAATGTTGTCATTATATTTATTTCTTGACGAGTGAGTTTTGAACNGTAACGTTGGTGGCACATTCTCCAGTGAATTGACATTTTCTCCGCAAGTTCACGTTAACGGCAGCGCCGAACCACAATTCAAATATCTGTGCCATTACTTTATCATTGTTATTATGTGACCGTATTTATAATTTGTATTGTACGGCAAGCAACCGACAACAAAATGCGGAGCACAATGTTGTCATTATATTTATTTCTTGACGAGTGAGTTTTGAACGCTTTTGAAAACGGTCGAAACGTTACGGTTGGTTATTTTTATTATTTACGTCCCCAGTGTTCATTACTAAAATCTTACCGGTGGCTCGAGAAAGTCCACGGCACCGCATATTACACTTGCGTCCATAACCCGTACTGTACTTTATGATATCTTGTCCCGGGGCTATGGCCCGAAGGCCATCGGCGTCCTGACCGGACCAGAATCGTGTGTACAAAAAAGAAGCCACGATCTTACACGATAATAGTCAGAGTTGTTATTGTAGATGCGTTTTTTTATGAACGGAGAAAACCCGTAGACGTTATACTGTATAAATAATTACAATTTCATTAATATCTATACGTACACTGCATTTCGTGTCGGATAAAACAATCATCACGTTATACGCGTGCGCCAATTAACCCTCTTGTTCAGATTCGAAGAAGAAGCGCACNATACTGTATAAATAATTACAATTTCATTAATATCTATACGTCCACTGCACTCATTTCGTGTCGGATAAAACAATCATCACGTTATACGCGTGCGCCAATTAACCCTCTTGTTCAGATTCGAAGAAGAAGCGCACTCATCCATTACTATACAAACGTGTGCATGTGTTATAAATTAATTACTATAATGGCCCATTTACCTCGCGTACCATAAGAATCATATTTTAAAATGAAAACAAAAAAATCGTAATTCAGTCGGTAAAGACTAAGTGCACGTTTCCGTTCACTTGTCGGATGATCGTTATCCGCACATGTAATTTAAAAAAAAAAAAAAACTGAATACATTTTCAGGCATTTGATTTCGATCTTCGGCTTCTCCTTAACACAACAGTCTGAAAGTTACAACCGCGATAAATAACAAGCAATTAGTGTTCTTGAACGGTTTAGCTTATCACGCGAAATGCAGTTTGAGGATAATTTATAGGTCATTGGGCAATGAATTTGTCACGTATTTACGACTGTAAAAAATCATCGTACATTAATAAGAAAGAAAGAAAAAAGTTTCCGGTCACTCAGTCATCCCGACCGAAGCAACAACATATCACGTACTCCCTCGTCAACAGCGTTCGAATTCCTCGGCGGTGATTGTTTGTTTGGAAATTAGAAAAAATTGAATCGCTCAGTAAAAATTGCATTGGATACTTTAACGAGTATCGGAGTAAGGACGAATAATAATAATAATAATAGTGATGAAATAACTTGTCTGTGCCCGCACCATTATCATGATTATTTTTACCATTATAATAACGTACGTCGCGTCATTCATACGCAGTGTACAAGTGAAATACGTGCGCAGAACATTGAACTTGCCCGATACCTTCACATTGCCACCGTCCCTATTGTGTGTCAGGTTCGACGTATAGGCGCACGTTATTAATACCAATTTGTTAGGGTCTTCCACAGCAGCTAAAGAATATAATTTACTTCTTCGAGTGGCCAAGGCATGCGAACGCAAAGTGTGAGAACCAGAAAAGATATGACATAAAACAGAGTAGATCTAGAAAAAGGATAATACTTTTGTCGGTCGTGAACCATCTTGTTTTCTTTCTGCGCTTTGTATGTAAAACATACATCTAAATGTAAATACACAATAAAAATTACTAAAAAAAACGTTTATGGCACTTTCAAACCTAAGACAATGAAAAACCGCAATGGCAATAAAGCAACGGGCTGCGGTGGTCGTCGAGGACCGGTTATCCGAAATCCGGCCAAGGGGTTAAAGAAGAATAATAATACACACTTCGACCATTCTGTGAAATTATTGTTGTTATTTTATATTTGTGTGTTTTTTTCAACGACCCATTTGAAATTACATACCAGACAGACTATTAATTTGGCACGACTGATTCAAATATTACACTGTTTGACATTTGGCGCAGGTTTTTAATTTCCTAAAAACATTTCAGCATACAAAATTGAAAACAAATATATAAATTATACAGTATAAATCGGTATAATTAAGGTTATTCGCCTTAAATATAACTTCGACATTCAGACAACTTAATTATCATACATTGGACTAAAAGTATATTAATATATATATATATTCTGAGGAAATAACTCGTTATTAGAAGTGTAACAGGAATGAATTTTCATCTCGTGAGTGTTCAGCAGCTATTTAAAGTTTTTGGATAATTGATATTGTGATAATAACTAGAAAATCATACAGAACCATAAAATTAGACGGTAAATTATTCTCAACCCATTTCCTAAGTATGAGAATAGGTACAATTAACATTTGGAAACTGTGAAACTAATTAAAATATTTACTTTTAAAAATAGACGTGTAATTGAGATAGTAATGCAGATATAAGTACGGTTAATTTGAAATTTTTATTTGGAATTATTAGTGGCTATTAACAATATTATAACCTATGCTATTTGGTGATATTAAAACGAAACTTTAACTCACAACAATAAAAAAATACATTAAACCAACATGAATGGTCAGTTAAATGCCAATATAAAAATAATAAGCGGTAATAAAGGATGGTTAAGTTTTTATCTATATTTAATACGACCTATTACAGTGACTCATATAATTTAAGCTGACTTGTGAATTTTGAGTAATAAACAACTATAATATTATGATATTTGTATGACGTAGACAATAGACAATTAATTTGAACTAAATTATATACTAGACATACATACACAGAAACACGATTCTCATTGCTCAAGTTCTTAAAATACTTGAATTTTTTTAAATAACAACAAGTATAGCATGATGATTGACAAGTTCAATTAACGGTCGCAAAACTGGTATAATTCGATTATTTTTGAATGGATGCAAGAAAAAAGTTGTTTTTTGTAATCGTGGATGCAATTTTTTTATCTTAATTATGTATTCGGATGCCCCGTGGAAGTGATTAATATGCATATGTACCTTTCTTTTTAGGCCAACAGCTCGTGTCCACTGTAATTAATTTTTTGTTCGACTTTTTGTATTTCAAGTCCCCACAAGTCGACTGAACCGTTAATCCTAATGTTAACGACACTTTCAAAGCAATTGAACTAATTTTTCGTTTTCTCGACATTATCTGATAATATATTTATTTATATCAATGAGGCGTGTAATCTTGTGTGTCTATTTATTAACGCGATTGGCTTTATAAAAAATACCTGAGTTAATCCTGTACACTTAGTCCATACTAATGTCTTGGAAATACATAAGTAAAAATAATGTGAGGTGAACACCCTGGGAGATTCGCCTTGTGCATTGAATAATTATACACGGATATTTGAAGATGAGTTACTCGCTGACCGCGTCTCGGCAGTTATTTACAATATTGTTATTAATAATAATCCTAACTCGCATCGAAACCGGTAAGTATCATAAAAAAAAACCGGATACCTTACTACGTGAAAAATGCATCTTTGGTCGATTGATTTAATGAACAGTTATCTTACTTAGATGATCTAAACGCTATCAAACAAACCAAACGCTACACAGTGATACGGATGTTCCCCGTAATCAATGCACAGAACCACACGAAGAACTATAGGCGCTACTTTTCGACAAAATTCCGTGTCTGATCGTAGCCGGTAGCTCTAATTTACAATTAATAGCCACTGGTCATGTATACTTTACAATGTTAAGATTTTCTTCTAACAATAGTGTTGCCGTAATTCATTTACAAACGCTTTCCGAAAGTTCATTTATTATAATTTATGTGCGCGTTAAGGTTAGTATGCAATATGCAAATCGGCATATCCAATAGCCGCAAAGTAGTCATACCGGGACGTCTAACGTTCTATACGATTAGCATACCTAAAAAAACGAAGATTGGATCGCAATGGGCGCTAACTCTATGCAATCGAGTTGGGTTTTTCCACAAATTCATTGCCATTCGAAATTTTAAAAAATCCGATTAAATTTTATGCAATAAAAAATTTACCACCGCGTAAAAATTTTATATTTCATAGAAACCAAATTTTTTGTCGACATGCAATAATGATTATTGCTCTATTCTATCAATCGCTCATTTCAATTCGTAGAAACCTCAAGAAACCACACAGTCGTCACAGTACGGTCCGAATAACCGCTGAACCGAGACGTAGTCTTGCTGCCGTCTAATCCGCCTACGACGCCGGTGCCGAGTAAACATAACGCTGTTGGAAGAAACCATAGATTCAAATTGATCGTGACAATTGACATTTTTGTCGCTGAAATTTCGCACAGTCTATAGGTATACATTTGATTAATTATCTGAAGAAAATTTGTTCGAAGAACGCAATCGCCCACAAATACTCGGCCAGTAAATCGGCGTTAAATATCACGTCGCCGTCGACATTTATTTTATTTTTTCGCTTGATTTAATAATAATTTCAATATTTATTTTTCGTCAAATAACTCGCACAACAATTTAAATATTAACACCGTTTAACAGCCTAAATAAGGACTCACCTTAGCTCCGATTTGGTTGCCGCATTGGCCAGCTTGCAAGTGAACGATTTCCCTCATTTTGTTCGGATTGTGCTTGGTCGAGTAGATGGGAAATGGTCGTGCGGTTTGGCGCCGGTCTTGTTCGGTTATCGGTATGGCTGGGCCCTTGGACTTGCGACGAAACGTGTTGTGGGTACGTTGAAGAATGGGACACGTTTGTGGTGTACACAGTCCGCAGCCCCGTCGCAGCTTAGTCGATTTCCCCTACCACAGTTGCCAACCGTACGCCGTGGTGGAAATAACGAGAGGATCGCCGGTGTCTACAGCGTGTAGTACGGGTGAGCCACTGAACTGTTGTAATAATATGTACACTGGTTTTTTTTCAGAATTACACGCCGTGTATATAATGTACGTGATTTTTGACACAATGAAAAGTGTTCAGAAATTGTTATGCCAATGCTCACCGAAAAACGATCGTTATGGCGCATCCGTGGGATCCGTGTAGTCGCCGCCATACAAACGATTAGGGTTTTTCAAATTGAGGATAAGAAACTCTGCAGGAAGGATGTTGGTCCGGTGGTAATTAGAGCTGATGATCGTGCTGAGACTGCGGAGTAATAGTAATCACACTAATAATAGTATTGTAGAAGAGTGCGCGATGGTCATCTGGCACAAATGCAGTGAAATCGACGGTTTGTGCTTTGGGACTTTTAGACATCATGAAATCGCTGTGTATGGACAAAGGATAGTAGTTAGCATTGTCATTAAATCTGGAAAAATCGCTCTGTCGAAATGGTATTGTTATCTCGTCTTTTTTGTCCTTGGCAGATTAAGAAAAAAAAAATTTTATTCTAATTTAAAGGTGTGGTTTCACTTTGAAAATTCAAGTGAAATATCTAAAAACTGTTCAAACATTGGACTGCAGATAGANTATTGTCATTAAATCTGGAAAAATCGCTCTGTCGAAGTACTATTGTTATCTCGTCTTTTTTGTCCTTGACAGATTAAGAAAAAAAAATTTTGTATTCTAATTTAAAGGTGTGGTTTCACTTTGAAAATTCAAGTGAAATATCTAAAAACTGTTCAAACATTGGACTGCAGATAGATTTTATTCAAGGTTAATATTATATTTTCATTGTTCTATAAATTGAACTCGTGTTAATGTAATATTTGTATTATTCATCATAGTAATTTTAGTTTTTTTAGTCATTCGAAATAACCCTCGAATACAAATAAGAATATATTTTACAAAACTAGAAATCATACTAGTACAAAATTAAGTATTATAAAGTAAATTTTTACACTTTTCAATCGTAGAGTTTTATTTTATTCGTTTTTTTTCATATTTCCAATCAAAGAACACTTATAAAACAAAATTTAAAATAAGCGCTTTAAAAATCGATTTTTTATCATTATAATAAAAACCGCAGTTTTTGAAATGGATATTTTTGTTTGAATTTAATATTCTGTGTTAACTCCCATTACATATTCAAATATAAAATTGATAAAACAGTTAATCATATTTATAAAATGCAAAGCTTTTTTACTATACATCTTCATTAAATTTTAATTTTATTTTTAGGTTATTTTTAATAAGCAGATAAAGAGTATTACAATTACACAGTATGATTTAGAATTGTTCATATTCCTAATATACTTCTCGTTTGAAGTCTACTAGTTTAAAAATATTTTATTATACTTCTATATTTGACGCGCAGTGATTTAGAACATCACTGCGATTGAATGATTAGTGAATACAATTATACATAGTTATATATATAGAAATAGAACAAAAATCGTCATCCAGAAATTAAGAGAGAGAGGAAACATCAAAATCATTCGACCAAATTATATCCTGTTATTTTAGATAGTAAAAATTTTCATATAAATGTCACGTTATGCTGTTGCAATCAGGAGATAGCAGTTCGACTTCTCCATATATAAACAGTATTCTAATAAAAAAATAATTAACACGCGTCTAGTAAAATTAATCTAATAATGAAAAATACTGGACATATATTTAAACCTATTTTTTTTCAAATAGGCGAATGACCATTTACAATGTGAATAATTAATTACAGTTCATTCTACCACCCACTTATTTAGTTGAACCCAACTGAATATAACGCAGAAGCCATTTTACCAAATTAAAAACAAAAATATTTAACCGAGCTATTATTCTTCTAAAGAAAATAATTGTTACCGCTATTATTTACGGTAAAGTACCGACTACTAACATTACATATCTAAGAAAGAATAAATATTTAAAATTTGAGTATCATTTAAATGAGGAAATTAATAATAAGTTATATATTGGGAAACAAAATTTTATTTAAAAATCGGTCCCTATCCGCTACATTTTTTGTTCACGTATAAAAAATACAAATATATACAAATTGAATTAATTTTTGGTGTATCCACAAAGCATTTTAAATAAAACGGCAACTATTATATATTAAATGTAAAGTAAAAAAATGTTTATTAATGTAATAACGCAACAATAGTAGAATAGTAGAACACATATCAGGTGATAATACGTGCATAGTATCCTATAACTTTAATACATACCAAAAAAATGTTTATCTCTTTTATGTTATTTTTTTTCAAATTTAAAACGGTCTGAGCCCCATCAAGCTCTCCTCCTAATTTGCATCTATGAATTTCACAAATGTGATTTTGAAAAACCTTTTAATTAATAAACTAATAATTAGAATTAATTATTTATATTATTTGCACTATGTAAATGAATCGACATCAATTTTTCAATAATTTTTTATTTATGATAGTTTTTGTACCTCAAAAAATCTAGAAATACACACAATCCATAGCAATAATATAATATTTGAACAATTTAATTTCAGTTAGAACATTCTTTTGATGCATGATTCATAAAATAATGTCAAGTATAATGTTTTCGTTATTTTTCCACAAAGAACAATTATTTACTATGTTTAACATGCAATCTTTTTTTTAATCATCAACGTAGAAAACATGGTTGATGGATAAATGAAACCCATTCCCATGGTCGAATTATTTCAATGAAATATTTTAAGACAAGATAACTAGATAACTTCATAAACATTTTCAATGGTAGAATTTTGAATTTTGCTAAATTTACTTAGTAGTATTACTATCAAACGATATCATTACAACTTTATTTTTCAATTATAATTAACAATATAAACCTAGATACCAAATTTAATGAATCAAAAGAATTCAAATACTCTGGGCACAGTGGACTTTTATCATTTTGACATTTTTTACCAATAATTCATCGATAACTCACTTCTTTTATTTTCAATTTTTTACAATACTTTTATAATATCCTTTAAAACTTTTACCCTTGTAATTTACAACAAAAAAATGAGTACAGATTATATAACAAGGCTGTATTTGAGGAGAATATCTAAAGAGCTTAGGTACTGTCCGATATTTTTAAAAAATACATATAAATATATGTATAACCCCAACCAAAACAACGTAATTTTGACCTTTTCCAAAAAAATATTCTGGATACAGCTCTGTATCTGTATATATTGTATAATAGGCTAAAGATAATAGTAAGTTACAATTTACTACTATTATATATAAAAAAGGCAGAGGTTTTTCTCTCATTTAATCATCTTTTACTTCAATATATTTAGTAAAATTGTATTTGCATATCATTAAATGAACTAGTCTAAATTTCTTTCTTGTAAATTAGCGTTAACATTAGTTTAAATCGATTTAAACGAAAATTAATTTTTTACTAATAGTTCAAAAATATGACACTTGAGAAATATGTGAATTTAGCCACTCTCCTAAAAATATTCTACAAATTTTTCTTAAGAAAATGAGTCATGCTTTAAACACTTGCAAACACTTCTTTCAATATTGCACTGAGTTCACTGAGTTTAGATACCAAAAAACAGTACACAATTGCTCTATTGCCGCGGAAATTATACAAGAATGAGAATTGACGTCACATTATCAAACATACTCAATTGCAGGAAGACCTTCCGTGTTTTGTAGAAGTAACCCCACACCGGATGTGGTGACAAAAAAGTAAATACACACATGGCGTGTAATGTGTATTTATTGGGTACATAGGAAGTGTCGATTGCGTACGTCTTCGCCGTTTATTTTATTTTGTAAAAGTGTGTTATTAAAATAAATTTTGACCTGAGGTTATGTGTACCAGGTTGCATACAGATTATAAAGGTGTAGAACTACAAATTAAATGCAGCTCATGTTTCTTTGCATTATCGTCACTCTCCAATCATAATAAATCCTAAGAGCTATGACGTGTTTAAGATAACGTCATTGAGTATAAACAAGGCGCACAATATTGAACAATTTACAGAAACAGAATGAACTGATATTAATAACATCCTTAGAATATACTTGAAGAAAGAATTAAATTATCAAATCTGCACTTGTAGCAATGACGTAGTTAAATTTTTTTTTGGGGAAATGCTAATAATTGTTTTCATTATTTGCAATAAAAATTAATTCTGATTTGGAAAACCTTTTTTATATTAGATGCGCTAATATTTGTTTACGCAATGCTGAAGTTAACCAGCGAGTTAAGGTTTACGCGCTTATTCCTCATTATTTTTATAAATTATATAATTCAATTTTATAAAAACGTGGATATCGATTTACAAGTTTTATGATTTATAAGTGTAATATATGAATAAATATGTATTATAGAAATTAAATGTAGTATGAAATTGATATTTAATCATTTAGTATCGTAATATTTTACAAAAATCATATTAGCTTCGATGCGAAGCTGAGAAGATATTAGTTTTACTATGATGTGTTTTTTTTTGTGTCTGTCACCACTTTTTCTCAGCTCTCACCAAACTGATTTCTTTCAACGATACGCCAAAAGAAAACAAATCGTATCTAGTCGAAGACATTACCCTCAAAAATTGGAAAAATTTCCATCGTTCGTCGTAAATGGGGGAAATTTCCAAAAAAGTTACAAATTTAAAATTCGCTAATATAATTTTTTTTTACATGAAGTATTTACCTATCATTTGATATATTTTTTTTTATAAATTTGACTCTTTACCTGCCCACATGGGGGGATTCAAAATGACAAACCTTTTCACAAAAAATAAATATTGAAAGTGTTCCGGAAATACTGACACTTGTATATATATCTTAAATTAAAGCTAATGCAATATTCTTTATTATGGAAAAAAAATTTTGGACTTTATTTTGTCTTCGCGGTGGAAATGGCTACCGAATGCTTTTTTGGGTGAAAATTCTCGATTTTATATTTTACATATTTAACTTTATATTTAAATAACTTTTTGAAAAATGTATGAACCAGTACAATTTTTTTATAAAAAATAGTATTTATATACATCTTTCATTTGACATATACTTTTTTTTAATAAAACCATTTCCCTTTATATATTTATATATTACACTTATAAAAAATAAAACTTGTAATCATGATATAATTAAAGAAATAGAAGATCATGTAGCTTTTGGAATAATCCACTAATTTTTTTAAATTAAACACTATCTACACATTTGCATCGAAGCATTTTTTATGATGATGATTTTAATCACCGTCAGATATCATTATACTTGACCCAACTATGCAACGTCTCCACTGTTCCGCGACCCCACGTGCTGGGTTTTTATTCTTTAGAGCTTACAGAAAAATTACCTAAGTGAATTAATCTAGTAATCATTGCACCTAAAGACGAAGAAAATTTACTTTTAAAAGGGAAATTAATCAATTGGATTAATATAAATAACCTATTAATTACATTTGATAACTATGTGAGATAAATTTATCAAATACAATTTAAAGAATGTATTTAAGGGTTCGTTTTTCTCAGAATATTTTGTGGCATAATTGAAAAGGAGTTTCATCCCCGACATATTTTATAATTTATGAACCTCTAATTGATTTTTGAACAGAATATTAAGAATAATTTAAAGGTTTTCGCCAACCTGACACAACAGTTTACATTTTTTAAGATCAAAAAAACCTAAGATTGGAATAACTAGGCTCGAAATTATTTTTACATTATAAAGCTTTTCAAAAAATTATATTATACCTTAATAAGGTATAATTAGGTATAAGGATTCTTGATAAGAAAATATGTACAATTTATTATCAATAACTAATTAGCAAAATGGTGAATTTTTTTTTTCTTCTTTTTTTTAAGATTAGAAAGAAACAATTAACTAATAAAAAATCAAATAAAAATGCATTAAAATAATAAATTTAATATAAAAATATAAAACATTAAGTCTTCACATACCAAATACTAACACAAAATATAACTTCGGGAAGTTAACTATAAATTACAATCAAAATGTTGTTTAAATTATTTTATAAGTTATTAAATGTTTTATTTCATTTTAAATTGTATATAATATAAACTAGATGGAACTATTGCTTTCACTTATATAAAGTATCAATAAATACAACATTAATTTTGAATAAACAAATTTCTAGTTATATCCAGAGCATAAGTTTTAATTTTTTTAGGTATAAAAGTATAATAATTCAAAAGTATAACTTATGTAAAAGTAGCGCGCATATATAGTTTTATTATATACACCATTATTTTTAATACAAAAATTAGGTATAAAAACAGTTTAAATAGTTAAAAAATAATGAATAAATAATATAATCAAACATAAATTGATCTTAAAATAACTATTTTGGTATTGAATGGTATAATTTTTTTTTCTTTTGTTAATAAAAATAAAAAGAATAATTTTATAAATTATTCTTTTTAATTATTTAAATAATTTATATTAAATTCTTTTAATTCTTTTAATATTTTAATAACAATTTGTAAGTCAATAATTCAATTCAATAAATTAAGAATATACATATATATATATATATATTTAGTATACTATCAAGAATTAATTAAAACAATTGGAGGCTTACAAAAAAACTTTGGTATAATTTAAAACAAACTATAAATTTGGCACTGAGTTAAGAATAAACTATACTTTAAAATATAATAATTGCTTAAAAAATGAAAACAAAAAATATATATCACATAACATAACCACACAAAATAAATAATTACCAGTCACCAAATAACTAGCGAGGAATGAACCATAATGAGTATTTTAAAATAGTTAAAGTTTAAAAACAAAAAAATTCTATTAAGTTTCCAAGTATTGTAATTTTAACCCAAAAATAATATAAAAAAATTCAAACCATGCAACAATTAGGTAACATATATTTATATAAATTTAATATTTTTGTATAAATATACTATATTGAATTTAATAATTTAAAATTTAAAATACTAGTTAACATACTACTATTTTTTCTTTATTTAATTGCTTTATTATTTCCAGTTCTTTTGCTTCCTTCTTTTGATTTCTTGCTTCAAATTCTAGCCTAATTATTAAAACAGACATATATATTTATGAGTATATTTAAACAAAATTAAATTAAATTATCTCCATCAAATATGTTTTTAGATTATAAATAATGTTAAAACAGAACGTTCAACATATATCTTTTTATTTTTTAATTTATAATTGCAAAATATTAAGACGTATGAATAATAATGTAGCAACTAATATAAAAAATTTTAATGATACATTAGTAATTATTTATAAGGTAATATATACAATACTCTATATTAAATTATTTTATTTGAAAATTATAAAAAAATCAAAATGTACAAAAAAATTGAATTTTGGTACAAAATAATAACAAATTAACTTACAAAATATTAAATACCAAAATTCTCTTACTGTTTTAAAAATTTAATTAACCAAACGGCTCCTAAGAACTATATTTAACAATAACTTAAACATAACATTACTGTTAGGCAAAAATGTTTTTATTTTAATAGGTAAAATATGGGTATTAAAAAATGGAGCTGCCATATTATTTCCTTCTATTGTGTATAAACAATTCACAAATGGCTTATGAAAAAATGGAAAGTAATTGCACTTTGTAATTTGAACTTACTAACATTTGATAGAAAATATATACAAACTAATACCTATTATTTATGATACGCTCAACAATTTTTTCTGTGGTCATGTTGTTTCCTGAGTCCAATGTTACAAATTTATTCATAGATTTAGGAACAGCATATGGATCTTGACCATTAATATCCATTTTCAATGTAGTTTTACCATGACATACAACATCAACACGAAAATGATTCATTAAATCAACTGTTACACTGTATGGTGCTCCAATTACTACTTCAGATACATACTACAATAAGAATAACTCAATATATAAATTAATGGTAAACAAAAAATAATATCGTACATACTTTACAAGCAAGAACGCTTAAAACACGTTCATGTAAATTCATAATAGGGTAATTAAAACCTTTATATTGATTTATCACAGGATCTGTATGAAGGCCTACTATCAAAAAATCTCCTAGTTGACGTGCTTTCTCTAAAAAATCTAGGTGACCAACATGAAATATATCAAAAGCTCCAGCAACATAAACAACTTTATCTGTTGGCTAAAATCATGAATAAAGGTTATTATTTCAAGTTGTTAAAATATGATTAAACTATAATTTAAATACTTTGGGTTCAGTGCCTTCACTAAATTGAATAATTTTTTTAGTAGTTGGTAAAAATTGAGAACATCCAGTCCAAGGACTTCTGGCTAAGCAATCTTGTCCCATTATTGTAGATCGTTCTTTTTCTATTTCATATTCTTTTTCTCCTCTGTAAAAATGTTGCCTAGTCATAAGCAACATACGGCCAACTACATCAGTTGTTGATATTCCTTCAGTGCGTTTTACTTCCCTATTAAATTTTTAATTTCATAAATATATTCATGAATTTTATTACATTTTTGTTATTATTCCAAATTATAAGAATTAATATGCAGATTAAAAAAAATTAATGTTTTGAATGAATTTATGTAATTACATATTATTGATATAACAAATTATTTTAACAACATTGAAAATATGATATTAAATATAACAACAATAAACAGAAATAAAAAATTTAAATTAACTATAGTAGTTATAAATTAAATAATCATAATATTTAACTAGGTGATTAAATTAATTAACAAAAAAATAAAAATGAATTCAAAAGACTATTTATTTAACTTGTAGAGGAGTTTTCTAAAAGGAAAAAGTATTATTTTGTTTCATCAACATTTTCAAAACATAAATTTTTACTATCCATAAATATACACATACTTGTATCTATTAGCTTTTTTCACAAAATGATATGTATCGACTCCATCAGCAGTAACTGTTATATCATCTAAGAAAAACAATTTTTGTAAACACAATATATTTAAAAATATACATTAATCTTACCTCCATGAACACAAAAATCACAATTATACCTATCCAAAGTTTCAAGATTTGTCACATATGGAGCTCCTTCTACTACTTCATCAACCCATTTTATAGCTCTAACCATTTTATACCTAGAATAATTTGATTTTTTGAAAAGATAATAATAATACATAATTAAATATATAAATTTAATCAATTTAGGCAATACATCGATTTTTCAACATAAATATATATTAAAATATTAATATAATATAATAGTATAATCATTTGCAAATCTTATTTAATTAATTAGTCACGTGTGATTAATTCTTATTATATTTTAGTTTAGTTGTTAAATTTTATAAACATAATTTTTTCAATATGATTAATTATACAATTAAAAATACATGATAGTTTTTATATTTGATGCTTAAGGCTAAAAAAGGTAAAACTAAAATTAATTGATGTACTATGATTTGTTGAGATCTTATAAAATGTAGTAATATTGTAATAATTTAAACTATAAGACAATAGTTTATCAAAAATTTTAAACAGAACTTTGAATTAGATATTTGTTAAGAACAAATCAGTCCTATTTGTAATAAAAATGACTATTATTAAATAATACATGCCTTTCTTTTTCAGTAAATACAGGTGGACCTTTGTGTTTAGATATCTCTTCATCTGTATGAATACCGACAACTAAATAATGACCTAAAGCTTTTGCTTGTCGCAGTGAATTCGCATGACCAAAATGAACCATATCAAAACTAACAAAATATATAAATAAGGACAAGTAACTGAAATTTAGTGGCATTTCAAAGTATACAAACCATCCATCACACCAAACTCTTATGGGTTTCGTTCCATTTACATGTTCACTCATTTTTATTTATTATAATAAAAAATATTTCTTCAAATAATAATATTCCTTGTCGCGATTTTAAATTACTGAGAGTTCTGATCGATAAGGTTTTTACAACTAAGTAATACTCACTTACGTAATTTCTGTAGATGTGTAACTTCCCTATTAAAAATGAACTCTAAATATTTAATTTTATCAAATAAAACCAAAGTTCGAAATGATAAGAGTATTATCAAATATCATTAACGTAGATTACGACCACAAACTATTACGATAATTTCATAATTATTTATACTCCGTATTTTGCCATAGTATTTCCCCTATTCGTCATAATTATTTTATTTTTAAAATTATTTTATCACTGTTGTAATAAAATATGAAGTAGGTCATGTATAGTTATTGGTACGTAGTAGTAATGTCACACACGTAATGTTCTATTTATTAATGGTAAATACACTATTGTATAAATACTATTAATTTTACTTATTGGTATAATTTTTTTTTACAATTAAGCTCGCTTATGATAAAGACAAAGTTTTTTTTTTTATAAAATTGTAGTTTTTATTTCATTTTATTATTATATTTTAATTATTTATAAAATTATAATTTTGTCTATTACTAAAATCTATCGAGAAATGCTAAAACAAGATCTCTTTAGAGAGCCTTTACAAGAGTTATATAAGCTCTCTAGATTTCTTGTTCCGAGTGTATTTTGAGCCTAAGACATCTTATCACAGTATCTGTTAGAACCATTTTGGAGGATATAAAAGAGAAATTATGTAGAAAATCATCTTAATTATTTATACAACATTTTTAGTGACTCCGGTTAATTTTGAGATTCCTTTATAAATTATTATATTAATAAAATAACGGAGATAATTCTAATTTTGAAAACAAATGTAATGATTGAAGTTTAAATCTTTAAATGCTCAATTTTGTTTGACTTAGCTGAGTTTCAATAAATAAAAGTTTAAAACTTTAGCTACAGACCAAGGACATATTAGATTGTGATGTTATTTAAAATGTCAATAAAATATTTCTTATTTATCAAATTTTAAATTATGATCAAATGAGCTAAAAATATCTCCAAATTAACCAATATCTATTAATAAATATTTTTAAAAGTTGCAAATTTATGTTAATCTGGATACTTTTTACAGGTCTAATACTTATTATAATACTGCGATATATAGTAGTGACTATCTCAGGATTTTTTCTTAGGGAGCTATGCATAAGACATTTTTTTACTCTCTACTCCAAAATATATCTTTACTATGGTTCTATCATCCATATCTTCCGTTAATAATGCTTATGATATGCTGGCTTTAGATATGATCGACGTATGTGACGACACATTGCGCCCCAGTAAGCAAAATATATTTTCTGTTATAAGATAAAAACGTTTTGTTTTTTCCCTAGTAGCTTTAAAAGAAAACGTTATCTTTTTATGGAGTTCCAATATTATTCTTGTACAGGTCAATCAATGAAAGTTCTACAGCTGGCATTGATTTTGGTTTTATTATAACCGCAATTCCTATCATGTATTATATAGGCAACACAATAAACTACACTGTGATAATATCTTATCAGTATATTTTTTATATGAACATGCCGAAGTATGATATAATGACTACTTAAAAATTTTCGTAGTTCTTTTAAGTGAAAATAACTCAATAAACTTTTATTTCTGTTGTTCATTATATGTCTAACCATGTATCTTAAACTTAGGTCTGTTCTTAATAAGGCTACTTTACTTGTCGATAGTGAACTATTTGGTACGATAAACCGCAATATGAATACTCGTAGAATTGTGTTTGAAGAATTTGGAGATCCTGTTAAAGTCACAAAACTTGTTGATGATAAACTACCTGATTCAATCGCTCAGGAGGAAGTGAGTCCAAAATATTTTGAATGTCCAAGTTAGAATAAAAGACGATAAATTCTTCCATATTATTTTTATATGGACATATTTTAAATAATTTAAAAATAAATAAAAGATTATTGCAAATATTGTATAAATTTGATATTTCTATTGTTCTCATTGTTACAAACAATGAGAATAATAGAAACCTGTTTCCTGACTTACTGAACACCCTGTATATATTTTTCATGTATTCTAAAATAATTATAATTGTTAGGTAATTGTAAAAATGTTATTAGCACCTGTAAATCCTGCTGATATCAATACAATACAAGGTGTATACCCTATAAAACCTAAACTTCCTAGTAGTCCAGGAAATGAAGGAGTTGGAGAAGTAATTTCAGTTGGATCTAATGTTACAAATGTTGTTCCTGGTGATCGAGTTGTACCCTTACAAACAAATGGTACTTGGCAATCGGCTATTATTGTAAACTCTTCTAATCTTATAAAAGTTAGTCAAATATTTTTGTACACTTTTTAAAAATCATATCTTCAATCTTGATAATACATGGGTAACATAATAATAATACATTTTTATTATGTTATATATATATATATATATATAATTATATAAGGTTGCTATCATTTATATATATTTAAAAATACTTTTTTTTTGCAATGATTTAACCATGGAAACCTTTCCATTTATTTTAATTTAATACCTTTTTTTAGGTTGATAAGGATATAGATTTACATACAATTAGTGGTATTAAATCTAATCCATCTACAGCTTATCGCATGCTTAAAGATTTTGTTTCATTAAATGAAGATGATGTTGTAATACAAAATGGAGCAAATAGTGCATGTGGACAAAATGTTATACAATTAGCACATTATTTCAAATATAAAAATGTTAATATTATACGTTCAAGACCTCAACCTGACTTAGAAAATCTAAAAAATCATTTAAAATCATTAGGTGCTACTTATGTTTTTACAGAAGAAGAGTTAAGGTATTATATTTTTTAATGCCTATCTTTGATTAAATATATCTAATCAAAAAGGTATGTTATACAGGGTAACAAATATTTTTAAAGATGGAACCTTACCTAAACCAAGACTAGCACTAAATAGTGTTGGGGGTAAAAGTGCAACTGAGATTTTACGTAGTTTAGATAATGGTGGTATTATGGTTACATATGGAGGAATGTCTCGCGAACCTGTGGCTATACCTACTAGTTTGTTTATATTCAAAGATATTCAGTTAAAAGGTTTTTGGATGACTAGATGGAGTAAACAAAATATAGGTTCTGCGGAACAACAACAAATGTATCATGAGCTCTCCCAATTAATGAAAAATGGTTATTTGGTTGCTCCAACAAACAAGACAGTACCATTAGGATCTTTTAAACAAGTTTTACAAAATTCTGTATCTACCAAAGGTTTTACTGGAGTTAAATACTTTTTGGATTTACAAAAATAAAATATTTCAATTTGTATTAATTATAATGGTGTTATGTAAATATTTATTTTTGTTGTACTTTACAAAGTTTAAATGTTCAAATATTTAATTCATTAATAATAAAATATTATTCATTGAGTAATTTTTATTAGATGTCATTCTTACTATTTTATACTATACAAAATATTAATTTTAAGTAATTTTATTTGTAGATCAAATCTAATGTGTGATATTTATAATTTAAAACATTGAAATCTTAATAGATTCTCTCTTAAATGAAAATTACAATTCTAATATTAAATAGTCATCCTAATATTTTTAACTACTATAAAATTAATCACTGATAATGTGAGCGTAGATAGTAATTAGTGTTTACGCTCAATAAAGTTAATTACTTTCTGGATTGTTGGCATAAGGTGGTTGAAAGAACTTTTAAATAAAATCTTATTAGAAGGAAATGAATGAAGGAATAGTATTGTGGTGTCGATATTTAAAGGTAAAGGAGACATACAAGAGTGTGAAAATATAGAGGCATAAAGCTTATGAGTCATAGTATGAAAATTTGGGAAAAGGTAATAGATAAGAGAATAAAAAATGAGACATCGGTATCTAAAAACCAGTTTGGATTTATGCCTGGTATGTCAACAATGGAGCCAGTATTTTGTGTGAGGCAACTAATAGAAAAGTTTAGGGAAAGGAAGAAAAAGCTGTGTATGGTATTTATAGATTTGGAGAAAGCGTACAATAGAGTACTAGAGAGGTTTTAAAGTGGGAATTAATGAGAAAAGGAGTCCCAAAAAAGTACTTTAATATAATAGAGGATATGTATGATGACATTTGTACTAGAGTAAAAAATGCAGGAGGAGTAACAGAAGGTTTTAAGGTAAGGGTAAGAGTGCACCATGGTTCTGCCTTAAGCCCTTACTTATTCTCTATAGTGATGGATGAAATTACTAGAGAAATATAAAGTGAGGTACCGTGGTGCATGTTGTTGATATAGTGTTAATAGGAGAAAATAGGGAAAAAATTAATCAAAGGCAAGAGATGTGGAGATCAGCTCTTGAAAAAAAGGGTTTAAGAATAAGTAGGAGTAAAACAGAATATATAGAAATGGAGAGAAGCGTCTGGCGTCTTGTGCAATAAAAGAATTCCAATGAGGCTGAAAGGTAAATTCTACAAGACTGTAATGAGACCAGCTATGATGTATGGTTCAGAGTATTGGGCGGTTAATAAGAAAGTAGAGCAGAGAATGAGTGTAGCAGAGATGAGAATGCTTAGATGGATGAGTGGAGTGACTAGAGAAGATAAGATAAGAAATGAACATATTAGAGGGAGTATAGGTGTAGCTTCAATCGTGGATAAGATGAGAGAAAATAGACTTAGATGGTTTGATCATGTTATAAGAAGAGAAGAATCGAAAGCCGTCAGAACAGTTTTAGAAATGAATGTTGAAGGAGGAAAAGGTAGAGGAAGACCAAAAAAGAGATGGAGAGATTTTATTAAATGTGATATGAGGACATCTGATGTGAGCGTAGAGGATGTGGGAAATCGTGTCAAGTGGAAGTTTAGGATGAGGTTGGCTGACCCCAAGTAGTTGGGATTAAGGCGAGGAAGAAGAAGACTTTCTAGATTGTATCAAAAATAGTATTTTTGTTTATAAAAACTAATAAATTTTTAATTCCAGAACTCGTGTCATTACTATCTAATAATTTTCTATAAGTTGTGAAGAACCGTAAATTACTATAATGCTACATTGTGTAAAAATATTAGGTTTTAAATTACACTAGTCCACGTTATTTATTACATATCATGGAACATCTAAACACATATGATCACGTGATTGATAATAGCCTGGTTCAAAAAGTTAGGTTATGATTTTATAAGTTAGTACTTTCTTAAATATTTAGTTTTGATCGTGTAGCATTGTATTACCCTTTTTTTTTGACATTTAAAAAAATATTTAATTAATACTAATTGAAAATTTTAAGTTTTATTATTAATAATTGTATGTCTTTATAAGTATAAAGTAATTCCCATAAAATTTAATTTTGTTGTTTTTATCTTGTATCAATTAACTCAAAGTAATTTTTTAAGTTTTATTAGAGAAGAATTTTCTTGAAACTATTTACCTTAATACTTTTTAATAATTTTGAATTTAGGTCAATATGCCTCTGTCGTGTCGCTTTTACGCAGAGCGTTATCCTGAAATTGATGATGTAGTCATGGTCAATGTACGCAGTATTGAAGAAATGGGGGCATATGTGCACCTTTTAGAATATAACAATATTGAAGGTATGATATTGTTATCGGAATTGTCTAGGCGACGTATAAGATCTATTAACAAACTCATTCGTATCGGCAAGACTGAGCCTGTTGTTGTCATTCGTGTAGATAAAGAAAAAGGTAGAAGACATTTTTTATATTTTATATTTAGTTTTAATTTTAAGATTTTGCAAATTAGGTTATATTGATTTAAGTAAGAGAAGAGTATCACCCGAAGACATAGAAAAATGTACAGAAAGATTTGCCAAAGCTAAAGCTGTTAATTCTATTTTAAGACATGTTGCTGAACTTTTAAATTTTGAATCAGATACTCAATTTGAAGAACTTTATCACAAAACTGCTTGGTTTTATGAGGAAAGAACTAAAAAGAAGTCTTCTGCTTATGATTTTTTTAAGCAAGCTGTACAGTAAGTTATTTATATGGTTTAAATGGTAACTAATATATTAAGGTTTAATATTTTTAGAGATCCCTCAATTTTGGCAGAATGTGGTCTAGATGAAAATACTCAAAATGTTTTATTGAACAACATAAAACGTAAATTAACTTCTCAAGCTGTTAAAATTAGAGCCGATATTGAAGTAGCATGTTATGGATATGAAGGAATTGATGCAGTAAAAACTGCTTTAAAAGCAGGTTTAGCATGCTCGACTGAAGACCTTCCTATTAAAATTAATCTTATTGCTCCTCCATTGTATGGTAAATAATTTTCTTCAGTTATTTTATATTTTGTTAATGTGTATTTATATAGGGCTAATATATATTATTAAGGGTCAAACTTTAATTCTAATTTGTTCCTCAACATTTTAAAAAAATTTTTATAAAATAATATTTACATTGTGTGTGTTACATATAGTTGTCGAGTAAGTAAGGAAAATGATTTCTATTGTTTTCATTGTGACCTGCTTCCTTACTTTTTAAACACTCTATAATTAACTTTTCAGTATATAATTATTGTCTTATAACTATTTTAGTCATGACAACTGCCACACCTGAGAAAACTGATGGTTTAAAAGCCTTACAAACAGCAATTGAAGCTATTGATAAGACAATACAAGAACTTGGAGGTGTTTTCAAAATACAAATGCCGGTTAGTTATGTTATGTAAATATTTACTATTCTTATTAGTTAAATATTGACATTAAACTTAGAGATTCTTTATTTACTATATAAATATGTTTTTAAGATATATTATTATATGATTGGTTTTTAAAAATAGTGTATTTAATCTCTCTGTGTATGTATTTCAGATATAATAAATTTTTAGGGTGGATGCTGGTAATATTTAGCAGCAATATAATTTAAATTGTTATTTAATTTTCCTATAGAACAAGAATAAATATAAATGTGTATCAAACTAATTTAGATCCTAAAATTTTAATTTTATGCAATATATTTTATAATTGAAAAGATTTGTTTAGAATGGTATATTTTATAAAAGTCCGAGCTTTGAACCCAAATTTTTATCTTGGTAAAGAAATATATATATAAATATTTTACTTTGTGTTTATGCAATATCAGATTTGGAATTTTTTTCATATAAGGTAGTTTATAATGCTATGTTTTGGAATTCATTTGGATATTACTTTGATGTTTAGTATTTTGGATAATTTGGGTCCAAGGCCCTGATAAAAATTGGTCATGGTGGATAATTTTTTTATTAATAAATAATAACTTATTAAAATTGTTTATTAAGAAAGGATAATTAGCTATTGATAAGTTTTTTTGTGTTAATTACTAGTTTTATTAAGTACAAAAACTATTATAAGCTTTTAATATTTTTAGTTGGAGAACTAAATAAAACTTTATTATAGAATAATCAAACCTTATTTCTATAAGTTAAACATCAATCACATCTAAATATAGCTTTTGTTTAATTTATCCTGTTACATATCAAAATACTTTTTGTTTCAGCCCAAAGTTGTTACAGCCAGCGATGAAGCAGATTTGGTTAGACAAATGGAAAAAGCTGAATTGGAAAATGCTGAGGTTGCTGGTGATGATGATGAAGAAGATGAAGAAGGAATGCAAAATGGAAATGTAGATGGTGAAAATGATGATGAAGTGGATGATGAAGAAGAATAAATTAATCATAAAAATTAATATTGATTTCACAATACTTGGTTATATATACTTTTAATATATTTCCTTTAGGATTTCTTAATATTTATTTTTATTTCAATTTTTGCCTAAATAGATCTTAAATTGATGAAATTATGATATAATTTGTGTCTACTCAAATTTAAAACTTTATTAAATAAACTATCTATCATTAAACACAAAATATAAAGTAATGGTACATACTTTAATTCTAATTGATGGACATATCTTTTATTAGTTAAATGTAATGATACCAATGATTTTACCTAACAAAAATACGTGATATTTCTTAATCTAGTTAAATCCCTAAAATTTGTAATTTTGGTTTAAAAAGAAAAATGTACTTTTAAGCTACTAAAACACAGATGTGTTTTTAATTTATATAAAATGTAACCTTGACCATTTTGTCCTATAAAAATGCTGCAAGATCCAAATCAAAAAAAATGTTTTGTCCAGAATTTGAAATACATATTTTTAGCTTTACACAGCAGCATTGAACACTATTTTTCATACAATTTGAGATTGACTGAACATCAGTGATCTTAGGTTTTATAGATCATTTAAGTTATTGTATAAATATCTGTTCCCTTAGGGATTACTGTTTACGTTAGTATAAAAATTTACATTTTAAATTCATTATTTACTCTTCCCTACATGTTTTTACAAATTTTATTAGAGGAATGGATAAAAAACGTTTCAAATATAACCATACAAATTTTGGATTATAATATTTTATTAGAAATTAAATAATACACATGCTTAAACACTAAGTACTTCTATATCTATATCTTAAATGTCACAGTCATTATATTTTCTTAAAAAATAAGATAACTAAAATCTTATTACTTTAGGTTTTAATAAAAATCTTAATAGGATTACATGTATCAAAAATCTTAGGAATTATTGAATTTAAACAGAATAAAAATTTAAGATTCCATTTTTTCAGAACTATCTTTCTCTTTTTTGTCAGACACCTTGATGCTTGGTTGATTAGTATGAACTATTGGAACTGATCTTGCCTCCTTGTTNAAAGAGTTAATTTTTTGTTAAAAAGTTGTCATTTTGAACCTCCCCTGTGGGCTGGTAAAAGGTCAAATTTATAAAAAAATATATACCAAATAATAGGTAACGACATTAAGCATCTACAAAAAAAAATTTACTGATCCATACATTTTCCAAAAAGTTATAGCATTACTAAGTTAAAAATATAAAAAAGAATTATTATAAAAAATTTTTTATTAACTTTAATGTCTATTTTCACCACGAAGACAAGTTCAGAGGTCAAAGTTTTTTATGTTGAAATAACCGTAATATAACTATATCTATATTTTAAACGTCTATAAATAACGACCGGATTAACATGGCAACTTGAAATTTTATATTTTATCTAAGCAATTTACTAGAATTGAGTTTTCATAATTATTTTAACATTGTGAGTACATTTTAAAATGGGACTTTTGAGCGCCTAAAATTCGATTACAGACCACTGTGTAGCGGTTTTATCGAAACAGTTAAACAGTTGAGTGAGTTCGCGGCGTTGTGCTACTCAAGGTCGTCAATGCGCGTGTATCGATAAAAACGTAATCGCCAGAAATCCACTTTTACCGTGTTTAAAAATACACCGAAGGTAAAAATATACTAGTCGCGAAGTGGATAGTATCTATATGACGGGTGGGAATTTCACTGCTGTCACCAGTGAACTAAAAGTTAAAAATATCATTAGTACGGGAAAGGTGAAGAAAATTTTACTGTCTCTTTTTAAAAAAAAAAATTCAAAATTTATGTAATTAATATAAAATGTCGGCAGTATTAATTAAATAAATCAGTTTAAGAGAATAAGAGGTGACAATGTATCAAGTGTTAGTCACTTTCCGTAAAACAGGTCGGTGTTCAGGAAGAATAAATATAGTGTAAAAAAACTAAAAAATGCGCTTTAAAAGCACATCGAACTAAAAAGTTAAAAATTATTTTAAACTTTTTAGTTCGATGTGCTTTAAAAACGTGTTTTTTTTTAGTTTTTTTAAACTATATTTATTTTTACTTTTTAGTTACATGTTATGATAATAGTTACTATCAATATCATGGTTGTAACGGGTAAAGGGGAATCAGGGTTCGATTTTGGAGTGGGAGTCTGAGAAACGGCTACCACATCCAAGGAAAGCAGCAGGCGCGTAAAGTGGTGGTAGTGACGAAAAATGACAATACGAGAATCATTTTCCGTAATCGGAATGAATACACTACATATCTATTAATGAAAATAAAGCGTATTAANAAGTTTTACAATTAATAATTGACAAATACTTATTATTAAAATTATAATAATAATATTATTTAAATTTTATGTATAAATTTTATAGTAATGTAAATTTTAAATTGCAGTAAATATATTAAGAGATGAATAGAATTTAAAGAGTTGTGCATTTATTTTTAGCGCCATTATAATGTAAAATTAATTTTTCAAGTATAAATTTTTGTCATTTATAACATTTAAGAATACTTTGCAAAAAAAAAAAAATACAATACAAAATATGAGTAATTAAAATGTTTAGGCATCAATTTTATCGTTTATGTATTTTATTTCATACAAAAAATTAAATAATTGTTAAATTTGATATGATTCAAAAGTTTTCCATCAAAATTTGTTTTTATCAATATTTAAAAAAATATAATTTTTTCCCTTACTGAATAAAATTCCTTACATTTATATTGAATCTAAATTTAATCCTTTGAAAATATAAGTGATTTAATATTTATATAAAAAAAACCCAACCCAGCACAAGGGGGTCGCGGTACAGTGGTGAAGTGGCATAGTTGGATCAAGTATAATAATATCTGACAATGATTAAAATCACTATCAAAATAAAACGCTTCGATGCAAATCTTTAGATAGTGTTTAATTTTAAAAAATTGGTGTATTATTCCAAAAGCTACATGATCTGCTAGTTCCTTATTAATATTCTGATTAAGATAAAGTATGTCGAATGAAAAAGGGATTATTAAAAAATATTATTTCTCATAAAAAAATTATGTTAATCCATACACTTTTCAATAAGTTATAGCATTATAAAGTTAAAAATGTAAAAAATAAAATCGAGAATTTTCACACAAAAATAGCATTCAGTAGCCATTTTCACCATGAAGACAAGTCCAGAGGTCAATTTTTTTTTTTTTAAATAAAAGTATATTACATTAGCTTTAATTTAAGATATATATAAAAGTGTCAAAATTTTCAAAAGTTAAGTTGAAAAAGTTAATTTTTTGTAAAAAAGTTGTCATTTTAAATCCTCCCCTGGGGACAGCTTAAGTGTCAGATTTACAAAAAATATATACCAAATGATAAGTAAAGACATCAAGCATCTATATAAAAAAAAATTATATTGATATGTTCATTTTTGAAAAAGTTACGGCAGTTTTTAGTAAAGAAAATTTCGAAAATTAGCGATTTTTAAATTTGTAATTTTTTTGGAGGTTTCCCCCATTTACGGGGAACGAGGGAAATTTTTTCAATTTTTAAGGGTAATGTCTTCGACTAGATACGATTTGTGATCTTTTGATGTATCGTTGAAAGAAATCCGTTTGGTGAGAGCTGAGAAAAAGTGGTAACAGACACAAAAAAAAAAAAACACATCATAGTAAAACCAATACCTTCTCAGCTTCGCATCGAAGCTAAAAGAAATTTTGTAAGACCACTCAAAAAAAAAAGTAAGTAATTATGAATAGGGTTGTATTTTTTTAAACTCCAGAATGGGTTTTATTTTTTCAAAAAAATTTTCCAAACAGGGAGTAAATATTCATTTAAATAATCATTGTATTCACTGATATTAAAAATATTAACAATGAACGGGAAACCTTTATACAAATAATTTCTTTACTATATCAATATATTATCCATTTATAAATTTTCCATTCTTTTATAAATTATAAATTTATTATATTTAAAAAACCTAAAATGGAAATCGCTTGATTTATTATTAATTATCTTATAAATCATAAGACAATTTATAACAATTGTAATTTTAATTTATCAAATTCATTAATATTTATTTAATTTATAGTAATACTTTTAAAATTGTATTAAGAATTATTTTAATAATTATAAATCAATCTATTATTATTATACATTTTTTGAACTTAATTAATTTAGATACTAATGAGCTATTATAAAATAAAACAAGTCTACAAGTTGTTTGTATTTATCGATAGCAATTTTTAATTGTTTATAATTTTTTAAAAATAAATATTTAATTGTAATAATATTGATTTTTTTAAAGTTAATGTTTCTGATATTACGTATAAGTTTTATGAAAAAAAGCAGTAATGAATATTAAGGGATAAATATTATTAATGAAATATGTTAATTTAACCACTAGTTGTGATTTTATGAGAATTAAAAATATGTATTAGTATGTAAAATGTATAATTTTTAAATATTTCTCATAGAGAACAAATCTAGACCACTTAAATTAAACTTTTAAAAAACAACTTTTAAACAAAACAATTTTTATTTAATCTAGTTTTAAGGATCATAAGATTTCTAATGTAATTTTAATGAACAAGCTAATATCGTATGCACAGAAGTATAAATACTTATAAAAATAAAGTTTTAAGATCATACCCAAATGTTTTTAGTTAATATCCTCGTCAAATTAGTTATCAAGTTATGTCTATGTTTTATTTTTTCCCCTTTTTTAGTAGATTTTCGTATACTAAATTATAATATTATGGGGTATATAGTACCTTGGATTTAGTTTCACTTTGGTTTTATATAAATAACTCTAAAATATAAAATTTTAATCAAGATTACATATATATGAATATGCGCAGCAAATAAAGGCAGTAATTCACTTTTCAGGATAAGGAAGATAAAAATTACTGTCTGATTACACGCTATATATTTCTCAATTTTCTAGGTATTTTCATAACGATTCAATTCAAATTACCAATATTTTGATAAAAGTTATTATAAAATAAGTAAAACCTAAATTCAAAAACCTTATAATCTCAAAATGTTTTTTTTTAATTACTGCTTTATTTAGTGTGCATAGCGATATGATCAATTTCGATGTTGAATTAATCAAAATCAACATTTTAAACAATTTTCATAATTTTAGCAGTTATTTAAGTAAGACCAAGGTACAACAAATTCTAGGGTACAACACTTATTATAAAGAAGGACGTTTATTTCTTAATCAGTGGTTAATCTAAGGTAACGACGCCGAGGACTAGCGCACACCTAGAACTATTAACATCTACTTAAAAAAAGTATTTTAAACAATAAAATAAAAATTGATTTTGACACTAGTAAACATTTTGCACCCTCCTTTTAAAAAATTGTGTATACGCTTTTGCAATAAAAATTCTCTAATTTTTCTTTTTGTATAACCAGTTTATTTTATTTTCAATTATTATTAAGAATAATTATTTTTTAGTAATGTAATAGAATTTATATCTCATTAAAAAAACTAGATTAATTGTAATTAATCTAGTTTTTTGTATTATTTTATAATACTTTCATTAATACATTGATATAAATATTTATGAAGTATAGTAAATTAAACAAATTATTTTATTGAGATGTATTTATTTGATATAATTAAAAATTAAATTTTGCTTATTCAAAAATAACTTAAATTTTTTNTAAACACTGATTCTAAATCTGGCTTTAGATTTTTTCAATTATATAAAGTTTTTGAGATATCCGTCAGGTTAAATCGTTTTTACAGATCAATAAATTTGAGTTTGCTGTGCTTTTTACAAAAAAAAAATCTGAGCTATCCACTGTCGTTCGTCGGTAAGCCCCCGCGACGTAGACACAAAAGTTTTAGACAAATTAATTAATGTTTTTTTTTTATAATTCGACGACGANAGTATAGTAAATTAAACAAATTATTTTATTGAGATGTATTTATTTGATATAATTAAAAATTAAATTTTGCTTATTCAAAAATAACTTAAATTTTTTTATACATTTTCAAATTAACCAACATTCAAAAATAAATATAGTCTGCATGTGCTCAAAAAAAAGTTGATTAACCTAAAATGATAAAGATTTTTAGGAACAAAAACTTCTAATATGCAATTAAATGTTTATTCTTTAGGTTCACCATTCTAAATATAAAATTTTGATTTAATATTATAGTCAACGACTCTTTTGTAATACTAACAATATGATAATATCTTCAAAATATATAATTTTTTAATAATTTTTACTTTGTTTTAAAAAAATCTAAGAGTTCTAATATTTAAATATAAATTATTGTAATTTAATCTAATATTTGAAATAATTACAATTCAAATAATCTTAAGAGTGTACGTTATTATAATACAAAATAAAAATTGTAATATAAAATAATTTTCGAGAAATTTCTAGATTTCTACTAGTTTGGGAACCCTAGTTTCTCGAATATTCGATGGCAAATATAAGAGCCGCGTTTTTTATTAATTGATATCAGTTTAACTGTTGTCGTGTTAACAGTAGTATACCTTTGTCGGTTACTTTCAATTTTTCAGCGGTTCTTAAGTGAAATTAAACTTTTTAATTATTGTTAAATATTTACTACTCTATCCTTTAATCTTAATTGTGACGTTTATCTTGTATTTTACAGTAAATCTTAAAATTTTAAAGGTAAGTATTTTGTTTAGACAATCTAAGGATGTTCATATACGTATACCATAAATGACTAATTTTAGCGATCTTAAACAATTCAGCAAAATTTTACTTAATGACTTTTAAATTACTAAACTTAATAAATTCTAAATTAAATAAAAATAGTAACTTCATGTACACTTAAATAGTTTAAATTATATTGACAAATAATATTTTCAGATGTCACTATTACCATATTTGTTGGAAGAATTTTCTCGTCCTACTGTTTATGATCAACATTTTGGTCTTGGACTTTTTGATGATGATATTATAGTGCCACGCCATGCTCTATATCGAGTTGTGCCATCAATGACCAGTAGGTACCAAAACCCATGGCGTCTAGTGGCTGCACCCGACAGTGGTCTGTCACGTATTCAAAATGACAAAAATGGGTTCAAGGTGAATTTGGATGTTCAACAGTTCAAACCAGATGAAGTGAATGTCAAAGTGGTTGATGATTATGTGGTCATCGATGGCAAACACGAGGAACGAAGTGACGAACATGGTTTCATATCTCGTCAATTTACAAGGCGTTACAAAATTCCAGAAAATGTTGACCCTAATGCTATAACTTCCACATTGTCTTCTGATGGTGTTCTCAGCATTGGTGCACCAAAAAAGGTAATATACATATTGATATATATTTAATGGATGTAATCTATTTCTTATTATATAAAATGATAGTAGTGAAAGAAGCTATAACACTTAAATATATATTATATATGATAGTACATAATGTCCTATTATATAGAAAATCAATTTAATAAATTATTTATTTTATGAATAGATTCAGTTTAAAATAATAATCATAATCTACTTATAATTTTTTGTTATTAATCAATTGCATAAATTATACAATATTTTTTGAATATTCCTACTTTCTTATAATGTTAGGTGTAATTTCATCAAATGTATGTCTTATCTCATTTATATCTAACATATACAAACCTCTATTTTCCTAGATTTAAAGTTCATATATTAATTTATTGTTATTTTTGTAGACTGTTCAAAATAACAAGGAGGAAAGATCAATTCCAATAGTTAATACTAATCAACCCAGTATCAAAGTATCAGATAAAAAAGAGAAAGAAGGTACTGAAAAAATGGAATCATAAAAAATGAATCTTTAGTTTGTATATAAGATAAAAATTTGTGTATTACTCCTTTTTTTTTTACTACAATTAATTTGTTGTATAATAGTACAATGTTCTATGTGTAATATAATTATTTATATTTAGAAATTTTTTCCTATTAATTAAATTCTATGGTGTTATCTTGTAATGTATGTTAAATTTAATAATGAAAATTTAATAAAAGACTGTTTTACACTAAATATGTTTATATTTTATATTTTGTCAACATTTTAAAATTGTATTAGTTTTTTAGTTAACACTAAGTTACAAATTAAAGTTGAATAATTCACATGGTTGTATTATTGTATAGAACATNTAAAAATTGTATTAGTTTTTTAGTTAACACTAAGTTACAAATTAAAGTTGAATAATTCACATGGTTGTATTATTGTATAGAACATGTAGTTATCTAACTGACACAGCATTAGGGTTATTAGTTTATTGAATATTTAAATTGTGATGATATTAAAACAGTAATCATAAAGTGAAATATTAATTTAAAATAAACTAAATTTGCTTATATCTGTGTCTAGGACATTTCGCCATCTGAATCTTGATATATAAACTTATTATTAACCCTTTTTTAAGAAATATTTATTTTAATGTAATTAACAAAAATCCCTTAAATTCAATATAATTTAAAAAATTATAAATAAATATATCAAGCATATTTGGAAACCACCAGTGTGTGCAGTCATTATTTCAAATTACTAATGTTTGATTTTTGAAAAATTTTTATTATTATATTCAATAAGTAACATAAATTTTTAAATATTTAATTAAGATTTTATTTGCCTATAGAGACCAAGCCATGTAAAAGTTTTTTCTTATCAAAGAGAACATTAAATAAGGTTTAATTTGGAAGAATTAACGTTTTCTCAGCTATACATCAGAGTTTACACATACCTACTACAACCCCTAATGTAACATATAGAGTGATTCATTATATAGGTCTAACAAATTATCTTCATTAACATTAGAGCTAAATATTAGTTCATTTGTTTAACATTATTTATTTTTTGTTAATCTACTTTATTTTACATAATTAGTTTTCTGTTTCTATTCTTATACCCTTTAGACGTAATGACATTCGACTTTCAAATTAAATTAAATTAAAAAAAACATCCAATGATCAAACCAATACTCAAATTATATTAACTAAAAAAATATTTTACACAAGTAATATTTAAATATTGCCATTAAAAAATGGAGCAATAGAATAATATAATATAATCACAATAAAAATTGTCTAGTCAATAAAAAGTAAAAAGTAAAAAAAAAAACAAAAATATATTGTTACTATTTATATATTTATTCTACTAAAATTAATCTTAAAAGTTACAGTCGTTATATTTTCTTAAAAAATAAGATAATAACTAAACTCTTATTACTTTAGGTTTTAATAAAAATCTTAATAGGATTACATGTATCAAAAATCTTAGGAATTATTGAATTTAAACAGAATAAAAATTTAAGATTCCATTTTTTCAGAACTATCTTTCTCTTTTTTGTCAGACACCTTGATGCTTGGTTGATTAGTATGAACTATTGGAACTGATCTTGCCTCCTTGTTATTTTCAATTGTCTATAAAATACACAATTAATTAGTAACAAATTTAATTTAATTTAAGTAAATCATTTCATCTTACCTTTTTTGGTGCACCAATGCTGAGAACACCATCAGAAGACAATGTGGAAGTTATAGCATTAGGGTCAACATTTTCTGGAATTTTGTAACGCCTTGTAAATTGACGAGATATGAAACCATGTTCGTCACTTCGTTCCTCGTGTTTGCCATCGATGACCACATAATCATCAACCACTTTGACATTCACTTCATCTGGTTTGAACTGTTGAACATCCAAATTCACCTTGAACCCATTTTTGTCATTTTGAATACGTGACAGACCACTGTCGGGTGCAGCCACTAGACGCCATGGGGAATGATATCTTCTGGTCATGGAAGGGACTGCATGTTGAAGAGAATGCCGTGGAACAACAATATCATCGTCCAAAAGTCCTAAGCCAAAGTACTGGTCGTGTAAAATGGGACGAGAAAATTCTTCCAATAAATATGGCAATAAAGACATCTAAACAAAACAACAAATTAATTTTTAAACAGAATTGCCATATTAATAAATTAAAAATTCTTTGTTAGAATAAAATTTTAACATGATTAAAATTTATTATAATTATTTATGTCGTTTTGAAATAACTTTGAAATTATTTTAAAACTAATATTACATTTTAACGTAAATATTTTAAAAAAGCTAATAAAAAAAAAAAAAGCATAATTATCCTTGAATGAAATAATGTGAATTAAAATTTAGAAGCCAAGAACATACCTTATCTTCTTTCAGTATAATTGACTACAACCAAATTATGCTTCTTGATTTAAAATTAAATCCAATACAATAAAAATATTTGATACACCAGTGAAGACAAAAATTTTTCGTTGTAAAAATTAATGAAAATCGAAGACACAATTATCTTAGATACTCCGTAGCGGCTTGACAAGAAATTAAACTGCGGTCGATTTGAATCCTTGCGCTTTTATTTATCAACGAATATTCGAGAATGCAGTGATTCTCAAAATGTGAATAACTAGAACCTTCTAGAATTTTCCAATATAAATGTTTTGTATAAGTTTTATAATAGTGCAAATTTTCAATTACAGTAACTATAATATAAATATATATATAAATACAAATTTGTGTACAAAAATATAATGAAATGAAATATTAGTTATGTAAAATATTAATGGATTATTTCATAGTTTGCTTAAATTTTGTTAAAAATAATGAAGTTCTGGTGGTTTTATCTGACGTACAACGTAGTGGAATTAAATATTATTCTAAATAATCATAACCAGAATCATATATTCAAATTTGATCTGAGATTAAAGGGAGGTGTAAAAATAATTATATCCAAAAAATAATTTTATATGTTTATTATTAAACATGAAAATTTAATTACTATTTGTATTCGTGGTTTATAACTAAATGTATATAGTAATGACTACTATAACAAATAACATTTTGAAACGACTTAATGATTGACAGATGCTAGTAATAAATATGAAATTAATGTAATAATTAATACAAAAAGTTCTCACAATAAATGACGTAAAATTACTTCGGAAAGAAGTTCACAAAGAAATATTAAGAAGCCATAGAAATATAAAAATAAAAAACCATAGAAATTCAAAAATCGAGAAACCATAGAAATTGAGAAGCCGCAGAAATGCAAAATTCGAGAAACCATAGAAATGTAAAAACTTTTTAGAAGACCTAGAAATATAAAATATAAGAAGCCATATAAATGCAAAATTTGAGAAACCATAGAAATGTAAAAACTTTTTAGAAGCCATAGAAATACAAAATATAAAGAAGCCATATAAATGCAAAAAATCAAGAAACTATAGAAATGTAAAAACTTTTTAGAAGCCATAGAAATATAAAATATAAGAAGCCATATAAATACAAAATTCGAGAAACCATAGAAATGTAAAAACTTTAAGAAACCATAACAAACATTTTTTTAATCGATTGTTTATTAGAAAATTTTTGTTATAATCCGATCATCAACCAAGTTTTAAATGATTATTTTTCAAGCATAAATTATCTACAGAGTTGCATTAAAGTGTATTATGATAGTGATGTAAATCACTATGAGATATTTATCTATACTGGAATCTATGATGCCGGATCTTTACTATACTGAATCCAGGCTGTAATGATTTATTTTTTATAACAAAATATATAATTTACTACACTTTGTGGGGAAGACTAGTTTTTGGTTTGAGGTGTGAATCTCTTCTTATCTCCTCTGATAACAATATTTATACATTATTTAATATATATAGTTAGACTCTTATACATATTATTTTTTAAGATTAGCTCAGAAAATGTTAAAAATATACCAGTGGAGCTTTTTTTATTTATCCTATCTGTAAGTATTTGTTTATAAATGTCTTTTCGAGCAAATGCTTGTGCGTTTGTATTTATTTATTTTTTTATTGACTCTAAACGTTGACATTCAATACACACAATAAGACCTATACAATGTCGGTAGGAACTACATGGGCAAGTACGTTATTGAAAATCTATAACTTTTAAGTTAAATAGATTTTGAAACCGTTAATGTCATATAGTAGGCGTCAATAAGTAACTCACTTATAGCAGAGATAGAAATTATAATTAACAATTAAATACGCTACAATAGGCATAGGAAATTCAATTCCGATTTCATTAAATAACTGGAGACACTTACTTTGTATTAGTTAAAAAGTAATTGTACGTATATTGACTTACCTTTCGGGTAAGTTTGGCTAGGACCTATTTTATTTTTGTACAATGAATACATTCACAAATCACGTTTCACAGCTATCAGATCGAACTATTATCCTGCGTACAAACGTTTGCAGTGACAATATAAACTTACGTGTTCCATTCATTAAATTGTTTATTATGTGTCACATGCTTATTGTTGGCGACTGGCATAGACTTGCCTTCAGACGCATTTATTTACCATTCAAAAAAGGAGGTTATTTTGGCAAAACTATGCTCTTTCATGGAACAATTTAACTTCTCATAAAAAATAGAGTGTTAATATTTAACTTTTAAAGCACCTATTTAGTAAAATCAAGACCATCCTTAAAGGAGATATAAGCCTTGGGCCTTACACTTTTTTATTAGATTAGGGCGTAATGCTTGACGTAAGTTTTTTCACTATAAACACAACCCTTGGCTTCAAAAATATTAAGGATGATTTTGAATAAAATTAATAAGATACACGTAGGTTATTTTGGTAATAATATGTGTAATAGCTGAAATAAGTTTGAATTATTTAATGGGACAATTGTATTGACAAAGTTTCCTAACGCCAAAATTGTTTTAAATGAAATTACAATTTCCTTTTGGTTTAGTATGTAAAAACAAACATTGCTTAAGTTTTCTATTTAATTTGCACTGATTTAATATTATGATTAATTGGCATATTTATGAATTTGCAATAGTAAGTACATTTTACTAATACTTTATATCGTCGCTTGAAATGAAAAACCTCCTACGTGCAAACAAAGACAATTTAAGATGCTGATATCCAAGTTTCAGAAAAAAATACTCTGTCTAGTAATAGGTATTTTATTTTTCTCATCAAGCGACGATATTAAATATATTTATCCACAAACAAATCGTGTAATTCACGGCAGTTATACAAATGTTACAAATAAATATAAAATTTGAGTAGATTCGCTTTTAATGTAAATTTGGCCTAATTTTAATTTTCTTATATATGTAAAAGTCGTGACACTACGAAATATACTTGAATTTTTTTAATATATGGTTCTGGTATGTTATTCTTTATGTAACCATATTCCTAATGAAACATTAATTATTTAGGTCATAGAAAGATGTTATCGATGAATATAATTATACTCCAATTTATAAGATTAATTAAAGAATTTTTGTACAAAGATTTAATATTATTATTTTTGTGTAAAAGTTCAACTGAAATTTGGTATGACAATGTTTGTCAATTATATTTTGAAATTAAAATAACTTATAAAGTTATGTTTATATGTTAGTTATATTTTAAAATATATTTGTTCAATTTTTAACATATCCATTTTGTTTAATGTCATTTCAATCAAAATAATATTATTAAAATACATAAACAATAGGTGTCATAATTAAAAATATATATCGTGCGAATAAAATTAGAGTTGTTTCATTGTGTTTTGATGGCGTCGCTGTATTTCATTATCAACGGTCAGTTTTTCTATGACTACGGTGCCATTGTCAGTTATTAGGATAATACTCAGTACTTTGAAAAAGTTCCGTTACGATCAGCATTCAGAAGAATAAAGAAAATATGACTGGTAAAAAAAAAATGTTTAAATTTAAAATAAAAAAATTGAAATGATTACAAATCTGTTATTTCTGATTTACTTACACTTTGCTTAAAAGTACTTAATTTACATTAAATATCATAACCATATATAAGGGATGGCTCGTTGAGATAATAGCCCCTTAAAAATTCTTAGGGGCTAATCTTAATATTTAAGTGCAAAATTTACAAATATTGTTTGCATAATATAAAAAAAAAAAAATCACATTAATATTGGTAGTTTGTTACTAATTAATGTTATCAACAACAATAATGAGCCAGACCAAAACTTTAGTGGTTTGTATTTTATCTTCGATTGGAATGGACAAACCCATTTTGAAAATTCAAAGTTCCTACAGAATGTATGTATGGTGTGTAATGATATCGTCAATACATGAGGTTGACTCGGTGCACTGAGTTCAACTGTACACTTGGGGATTTTTTTTTATTAATGTATGCGTGCGTAATAGTTTAATAACAAATAATAACGGTCATAAGCTTAGGTTACGCGTCAATGACCTGGACTGCGATTTTCGTGTCCATCGGACCGGTTTAAGGCAAAGTAGGAGTCTGGAGAACCGATCTTGCTGCCGCCGTACCGCTAGTCCGAACGGCCAGATATCATTTCGTCCTCGCGCATTCACATCTTGCAACAACTGACCGCGATCCAACAACCTTCTCACACGGCCGCTACCACCCGGCGCTCGAGACTTTGCTCATAATTTGTCAACGCACTACAATCATGTTGTCCATTTCGTGTATTTTGCCATTTTCGATTCTGCTGGCTCTTGTCGCCGTCTACGCAGCTCCACCGCAAAAGTCCACAGGAGAGTCCACGGCCGCAGCAGCGTCCGCGTCTTCCACGTCGTCAATCGCGTCCACCAACGGCGCCGACGAAATAGTCTACGATCAGAGACAGAATGGCACAGAAAACGTGCGAATAAGTCTCAGCGACCTGAAAGTCGTGGTTGCCCCAGCCGACGGCCTGTTCCAAATTATGTCCCTGGCTGGAGCTCAATTGCTCGCATCCGATCTTTCGGGAGCGGCTTCTGAACAAGGGCACACCTCGATCGATTGTAATGGTTACAAGTGCAATAACAGAAATCGGCAAGCCGCCAAAAAGTTAGTATAAACTATCAAACGAACTTCCTAATACAATCTATAATTATATTTCCATACTGGCTCAATGAATATTTCAGAATTTTTTTATTCAATTTTTAGTTTTTAATTGAAATTTATTTATTTATAATTATGCTCTACAATAATCAAAGAGAATTAATTTGTTTCCTATACTACAACTAAAAATGATTAATAAAATTAGTTGAAAAAAATAAGCAATGCTTTTTTATTACCTATAAATTTCTTTTCCAAACTAAATTGATAAAACACTTAAAGTTAATTCATTCAAATTTTCTTATAATATTCATTGTAGGAAAATCTAATATATTTTCAGACTCGATAAAATAATACGATTAAGTAATTTTTTTAAATAGATTATAAATAATTAATCTCTAGGCCAATTATTAGTCTAGAGGTTAATAAACAACAAAGCCATAGAGTGAAAAAATGTATTTAATTAATGCCGATTTGGTAGTATCAATGGGTGTTTTTTACAGACATGTATTAAAACATATTTATATATATATATATGTAATATATTTCATCAAAAACCTATGGTGTCATTGTACATAGAGTATAAATTATAAATATAAATTTTTGTTAGTAAAAATAAAAAATTAAAAGTAGGTAGATTATATTATTTCTATTGGGTCAAAATATTTAAGTTGTTATAATAATGATTGTAAAAACAATGTTTTTGTTATGAGAATTAATATTTGATAGAGACCTAGTTAGGACATTTTTTCGCGGAAAAAACAAAATAAATCAATTTTTTTTAATTAAGATTTTAATGATAAAATATTGAAATAACGAATCTTTTAAGCCATCAAACTAATAGAAAAAGTAGGTTATTCGAAAGCAATAGTCCTCGACAGATATGGTATGTTTAAAGATAACATGGCATTTTGAAATTTAAAATCCGATTTCCTTAATTTACAAAAAATAAACTTACCTTGTTTTTCTATGTAAGATATTTGTACATAGTTATGAATGCAATATAGATCAAAGAATTAAAACCGAATAGAAAAAGCCCTTCGATTAAAAAATTAAAAAAAAAAAATTAATAAAATGTACAGCTTTAATGATACTTTTGATTAATTATGATTTATAAGACAAAATAAAATAAATCCTTATTTATTCTCACTCTGTTTTTGGTTCCGAAAAATACAATATTGTATAAAAGTAAGACGAACCAATAATTATATAATTTATTTAAAAATATAATATTACGAATGCAACAAACAATATTTATTAATTCTTGATGTACTTTATGAAAAATCTAGAATGATAATTGTCTACAAATAATATATGGAAATAATTATAAAGAACTATGTCCCAGGGATTAAAACATTTGTGCTCATTAACTTGAACACAGTGTTGCTTGAAACTGAAACTTGAGACAAAATTGCCTCAATGCAATTTAACCTTTTGTAAATTTTCAAGTAATATTAAAAATATTGAATTTAGTTTTAACAAAGTAGCAATAATTTTGAAATAGACTATTTCAAACAAAATAAAGTATTTATTACTAAAACTTGGTAACATAATAATGAAAAAAAAAATTTTTATAATGATTAATGATATTTCTTAAGTATTTAAATCACATAACATTATTTATCGTGTCTCTTATCTCCGGTTTAACTTCATCCTAAATAATTTTATACCATAGATTTTTTTGTAAAAATTGATTATCAAGCTGTATAACTAATTGGGACTAAATTGAAAATGTGTTTCAGGAATCGTTTCAAATTATCTAGTCTTTTAGAACCAATACTGAACAATCGAGCACTGCAGAAAAGCGCAAAATCTGATAACAATAACGTTAATTGAAAAAACTTTATAGTTTAAAAATCCCTTTATTTTGTAGTTATGAAGGTATAAAGAAGGACCTAAAAATAAAAATAATGCTCAAGAAAAAGTTATTAATAATTAGTTTAAGTATGTACTAGGTATTTAAAGAAGATAAGTTATACACTTAGTTATTTTCAATTTAGTTATAAGTAGAATGTTACAATATCTTGTAATTTAATAAGTTTATTAAATTAAATTTTGTTAACCAAAAAAAGCTGAACTGTTATGAAGTATAAATGTTAATTTTAATTGCTTCCATTATTTTAAAGACTGCTGTAGTGTTTTAATACTTTAATTAAATATATCCTTTCTTGCAAATGTTTTAAAAAATACAACAAATTTACAATTTTAATGTATAAGACAATTTATTATTTATAATAAATATCTAATAGTAACTTAAAAGTGTAGAAATTATAAATGTATGAATTTTACAGCGATATTTTAAAAAAAGTACAAAGTTTTAACTAATTAATAATTACAAATATTCATTTTAATATTATTCAATATCACAAATTATTATGTATAGTTTAGGCATTGAAAATACATATAATTTTTTTAAAAAATATTTTACATAAATTACTATGTTTATTTGCCGTTATAAATAATTGGTTTAAAGCGATTCGAAGGGGTCATTGATTTTACGTAGATGTACTTAACGTATAACGGAAAACCCATCTGATGACGCAAAAACAAAAAATACACCATCATTGTGAAAACTGCTGGCGAGAAAAGCTCATATCATTGTGAACCTGTAAAAAAGTATTAGTGTTAGTATGACTCTATTTATTTTTCTTATACAATTCGTTCTGACAGAACTACAAAATACGTTATTTGTACAGCATATTTGATTTAATTGAATGGCGAACCAGAAATAAACGTTTTATTATCATCATATGTAAAAATGCACTTGTAAAAAAACAATTAAACAGAAAATACAACTTTTATGAGGACAGTGAGACCACACAAAATAATCTGTGATAGAAGTAAAAGACTGTAAAGCGTGCCACCAAAGTGATCGCACGAAAAATAAAAGTGAGGATGAATATTTAGATCTTAATACTGCCCTTTTATAATACCTAGGAAATTTGATGCAAGGATAATGAATTTAATATTATAAAAGATGTGTCAATCTTGTGGGGCATTTGGTCACCAAGTTTGAATTGTCTTTTATTAGTGACTTAGTCATCTAAATTGTCACTGATCTTAATTAAGATTAAGCAATTTAAATAAGAATTAACTATGCTTCTGAATCGGTGTATTTTGCATGGTCTGATTTTTTTATAAATTTTCTAAAGAAAAATATTACATTCATGTGAGCAAAATAACTCGTTTAGGACATGAAAAAAATTAGAATAGCTTTAAACTTTTTTTGTCTCAATCGGATACCTCCGATTGCTTCGATAAAAGTATTGAGGATTTTATAAATTAATTATCTATTGATAATACGCTTGTTTGTGATTTACCAATAAATTCTAGTGTTGAACCAATTAATTGATATAACGGNTTCTAAAGAAAAATATTACATTCATGTGAGCAAAACAACTCGTTTAGGACATCAAAAAATTAGAATAGCTTTAAACTTTTTTTGTCTCAATCGGATACCTCCGATTGCTTCGATAAAAGTATTGAGGATTTCATAAATTAATTATCTATTGATAATACGCTTGTTTGTGATTTACCAATAAATTCTAGTGTTGAACCAATTAATTGATATAACGGAAGCTCTGGCAACTGAACTATCAATAAAGCTACGATTCCATTTGATGCNGGAAGCTCTGGCAACTTAACTATCAATAAAGCTACGATTCCATTTGATGCGACACCAAATAATTACTAAAAATATTATAATTATGTAATCAACTAACTCAACTTTTGTTTGCCAAAATACCCCAGTGTATTTGATATGCTGGAGAAGTATAAAATGTAACATTAATACTTAATTTTCTTTCTAACAGCGACACTTTTCAGAACAATCGAGCAAGCTAGAATAAAACTGAATATTTATATAACGTTTTACAACATAAGAAAATTGGACACAAATCGTCACTGACTTGACGATAACTCATATTTGATATTTTATACATACTATAGGAACAATTAAAAACTGATTTACATGTTTTTAAACAATTATTAGTACATTTATTTATTTACACAATTTTATTATAAGATATAATGTAAGATACTAAAAGCAACATCAACTCCTATTTCTTTAATTATATCCTGATTACAAGTGTTGTGATTTACTATTTACAAATTAATAATTTAGTATTATAATTTTTACGGAGATATTATAAAAATTTATAATGTGGTTTCATGTTTTTCTAACTCTAAAACAAACGTATATTAAAATTGCAAGTTTATCAAAATAAAAAAAATAAATTAACTTTCTTAATTCGATTATTCTGACCATGCGAGTTCATTATTATTTATTTCAGTCACGAAATTGAAATTTTAGTTTGTCATAAGCCATTGGTAGCTAGAAAATTTTTCTAGGGAAGGGAAAGTCCCTTCCTTTTAAATAAAATTAATGGATTGACATTAAAATCTGCAAAACTTCTTCCTAAAAATATTTATAACTAATTTTCAACACTTATTAAAATAGCACTGGCCGAATAAAACTGTATTTAAAAAAAAAAATCCAGCACAGGGGGATCGTGGCACAGTGGTGACGTGACATAGTTGGGTCAAGTATAATGATATCTGACAGTGATTAAAATCACAATAAAAAAAAACACTTCAATGCAAATCTTTAGATAGTGTTTAATTTTAAAAAATTGGTGGATAATTCCAAAAGCTATATGATCTGCTAGTTCCTTATTAATATCATGATTAAGATAAAGTATGTCGAATAAAAAAGGGATTATTAAAAAATATTATTTCTCATAAAAAAATTATGTTGATCTATACACTTTTCAATAAGTTATAGCATTATAAAGTTAAAAATGTAAAAAATAAAATCGAGAATTTTCACACAAAAATAGCATTTGGTAGCCATTTTCACCGTGAAGACTTTTATTTAGTCTTTAATATACGTTTACCATAAAGTAATAACTACTTATTATTACTTATATTATATTATTATATACTTATTATTTCTACGTAAAAATTACAATAGTAAATTTTTAAATTCAATTTCATACTATATTTAATTGATATAATAAATATTTATACATATATTACACTTATAAATCATATAACTTGTAATCAGGATATAAATAATGAAATAGGAGATCATGTTGCTTTATGGAATAAGCCACAAATTTTTTAAAATTAAACATTATCTACAGATTTACATCAAAAAGTTTTTTATTATATTGATTTTAGTTACTGTCAGATTAAATTTATACTGGACCCAAATATGCTATGTCCCCACTTTGCCACGACCCCATTGTGCTGATATTTTTTGTTTATTAACTTTGAGGTCCGTTTTCTCCATGAAAACAAAATAAAGTCCGATATTTTTTTTTTTGCATAATAAAGTACATTACATTAGCTTTAATTTAAGATATATATAAAAGTGTCAGTATTTCTGGAACACTATCAAAAGTTAAGTTGAAAAAGTTAATTTTTTGTAAAAAAGTTGTCATTTTAAATCCCCTCCTGTGGACAGTTAAAGGATCAGATATAACAAAAATATACCAAATGAAAGGTAATGATATCATGCATCTATATAAAAAAAATTAAATGATTCGGTCATTTTTAAAACAATTATGGCAATTTTAAGTAAAAAAAATCNAATGATTCGGTCATTTTTAAAACAATTATGGCAATTTTAAGTAAAAAAAATCGAAAAAATCTCGAAAATTAGCAATTTTTAAATTTGTAATTTTTTGGGGGATTTCCCCCGTTTACGGGGAACTATAGAATTTTTTCAATTTTTGAGGGTAATGTCTTCGACTAGATACAATTTGTGATCTTTTGACATATCATTGAAAGAAATCGGTTCGGTGAGAGCTGAGAAAACGTGGTAATAGACACAAAAAAAAAAATCTCATCATAATAAAATTAATACCTTCTCAGCTTCGCATCGAAGCAAATAAATATAATTTTATATTATTTGAATAATATATGTAAATACCTTTCGATATAAGAAAACATAAGACGGTGAATAGTGTAGGTACACGTAGGACACCAAAAACAAGAGAGAGAGGAGCGTTCACCACCGGCACTTGGTGGTCGACAGCGCTTTAGTAGATAGGCTTTGCACGCTAACCAGAAACGGGAGTACTCTTATCAGACTGGGCTCGCGATGTAATAAGGCGGCTGATGAGAGAGACGAGGTGACCGTGTATTAAACGTATCGCAAAATATATGGGAACGTGTCAAGACAAGTTGCTATTTTGAATAAATTTAAAAAAAAAGGGTTTTTAGTTTCACCTGAATTTAACGATGGATTTTTACAATTATAATCAAATTTTATAATACGCTCAATTGAATAAATCTTTTTAACAACTTTTTTTTTATTGGTTCTTTTAGCTAAAGTAAATAGTTAAAATTAATTAAGTTCTGTATATTTCCATTGTAGAATCTATTTAAACACCAAAATTTAATTAGAAATGATTACTATGATTTTTATTTAAGTAATCTATTACTATAAAAATGCAAAAAAATAATCGAACTTTTCTGATAAATTTTCTGTAAATAGTAACTATAAAATTTCTTGACTACATATTAATCTTAACAATTTCATTTTTTTCTATTTAATAATGTCAATTTCAAACTTGCAAGTTGAGCTAAAAGTCATGGTAATAAATTCATTTTTTTTTTTTTATTATAAACTTTCACTTTAAAGGACAAAATAAAGAAGGTTAAAAATTATTATTTTTAACATATTAAAAATCAATATCAATAATAATTTGAAAACAATTCAATATAACAATTATATAATATATAATTTAATATTATATTTTTGAATTTAAGAATCTGGATATAAGTAAGGAAATAGTTGTTGTTGTATTTATAATTATCCACCAATTTCTTAGAATTAAACATTATCTACAGATTTGCATTGAAGCGTTTCTTATGACAGTGANTATAATTATCCACCAATTTCTTAGAATTAAACATTATCTACAGATTTGCATTGAAGCGTTTCTTATGACAGTGATTTTAATCACTGTCAGATTAAATCTATACTGGATCCAATTGTGCCGCGATCCCACTGTGCTAGGTTTTTTATATTTTATTATTTGATTGAATCGAAATAAGATGTATTTTTTTTCTTACTGTACAAATATAGTAGTTACTTTTTATATAAAGTAGTTATACAAATATATTTATAATGAATCCATAGACGGATATTATAGACATTATAAAATACGATCATTTAAATATTCCATTTCCGCAGTTACAATAGCATTGGGGTGTTACTGTCAATTTTAGACTTAAAAGGATTAGAGAGGCTAAAGAACCAAACGAAATAATAAATGAATTGGCTAGTTATAGATTGCCCCTTGGATATAAACTCGTATGTGGAATGTATTGCTTATACATAAAATAATTAAATTTAAGAGTTACATTTTTGTAGGTGGATATTGACTTTAAACGACTTAATCAAATATAATAGTACGATGGTCGATTCATTTGATGATTCTTACCAAGATATTATGAATATTATAGAAAAACACAATAAAAACCGAGTTAGCAAAATACTTGTAGAACAGCTTTCTCAGAAATCAGACATTTGTCAAAGTAATAATACTTTATTAGAATTATAAATCGAAATGTTTTAGCAGTTTAATTAAAGGATATTTTAGCATTAAATTAATTATTTTCTTGGTCAGGTGGAAAAAATTCAGCATTCTTCTATCTATTAAGCTCGTTTTTCGTGCCAATGTCGCAAAAAGTGACGAGAGATGAAAATGGAAAAAAAATATATCATTAAATATTCTATAAAGGACTCTCAAAATTCATTCATTAGTTTCCCACGAGATAGTTGGCCAAGCTGAAGCTTACATCTCATTATTACAAAGTAAAAATCAGCCAATACAACCATTCATTTTAATTATTGGCACGATTTTAAAACCACGTGATATATTATTATATTTTTATGCCATCAAGTATAATTTTTTTTCAATAATAAGAGCATTGGATGTCTGCTTTAAGATATTCCACGTTTTTAATTTAGAATACCCAACTTCCGTCATGTGCTGTCTGGACATTTATTCAACAATATTTTTACAAATTATTTTTAAAGAACGACTACTCCTATCAAACATTAAAACAAGTGCTACATGATCTCAACAAAATAGTAAAATAATATTATTATATTAATATTATATTGAAAAATCTTTTAATTTTTCACTTTATATTTTTCTTCTTTTCATTCTTATTAATTATTTGTAAATTATTAATTTTTATTTGATTATATAAAATTAATTTTACATCCAATGTATAAACAGATTGTAAGCTTTCTTAAAATTCATTAAAAATAAAAAAGGTTATAAATACGCCGTTTTAGTTTATATTCCATATGTCTATTTAAATACACATGTGTACAGGTTTTATTTATAATTTAATATGGGATTTTATTTGTACACTAGTATGTTAATTTAATAAAAATTCATTATCATATTAAAAAAAATTGAATTAATACTTTAAAAATTATTTCATCACCATGAAAAAATATTTATCAAAGTGATTTAGGTATAGAATAATAATTCGTCATAAGTACGATGAATTTATCAATATGACAAAGTTATAATTATTGTATTGATAGAGTATTTTATTATTTTAATAATATCATCGTTGTTATAATGACAAATAAACCACTACAATTATTCTCTATCGTATTGATAAATATATCATAGGTTCAACATTAATGATATATTTATCAAATTGAACGATGAATTTATTAAACATATTATAAAGAATTTTAACGTCTAAATATTAAAAAAAATTTGTTTAGAAAAAAAAAACGAAAAAAACCTGAATATCTCTAATTAAAATATCTTTTGTTAATATGTCTAATTAATTATAATCATAATATTTGTTTCGGACTCGATGTGGACTGTATGCATAACTTAAATATATGTATAAATAACTACAAAAACCATTATCATAAATGAACTTCGAAACTTTATTTTTGGTCGCTTACATAGTTCGCGTTTTTCTACTAAGTTAACGATTTCAAACACTAATACTACATAACGATAAAAAAAACCAGCGCGGCACTGTATTAACACACTCATCATGTATACAAAAAAAGACTAAGTAGATGGAATTAAATGGAATCGATTGAATTAAAACGACAAACAGAAAACACTCATTAATGACCTTTTTAGCTTCGATGCGAAGCTGAGAAGGTATTGGTTTTACTAAGATTTTTTTTTTTTGTGTCTGTTACCACTTTTTCTCAGCTTTCACCTAACCGATTTCTTTCAATGATACGTCAAAAGATCGCAAATCGTATCTAGTCGAAGACATTACCCTCAAAAATTGAAAAAAATCCCTCGTTCCCCGTAAATGGGGGAAACCTCCAAAAAAATTACAAATTTAAAAATCGCTGATATTCGAAATTTTTTCAATTTTTTTTACTTAAAATTGCCATAATTGTTTTAAAAATGACCGAATCATTTAATTTTTTTTATATAAATACATGATATCATTTCCTTTTATTTGGTATATTTTTTTGTTATATCTGATCCTTTAACTGTCCACAGGGGGGGATTTAAAATGACAACTTCATTATGCTATAACTATTTGAAAAATGTATGGATCAATACAATTTTTTCATGAGAAGTAGTATTTATATACATCTTTCATTCGACATACTGTTTTTTTAAATCGGACCATTTCCCTATATTTGAGGGGGGTTCAAATCTTAAAAATGCATTTAGAAAGTAGAACTTTTTCAACTTAACTTTTGAAAGTGTTCCGGAAAGTCTGACGCTTATATATATATTAAATTAAAGCTAATGTAATATACTTTATTATGGTAAAAAAAAATTTCGGACTTAATTTTATCTTCATGGTAAAAACAAACATCAAAGTGGATAAAAAAAATATGATTTTTGTAAAAAAATTCTTTTTTATATTTTTAACTTTATAATGCTATAACTTTTCGAAAGATGTATGGATCAATAGAATTCTTTTTTTTATGGATGCATGATGTCTTTAACTATCATTTGGTATAATTTTTGTATAAATCTGACTTTTTACCTGCCCAAATGGGGAGGATTCAAAATGACTTTTTCACAAAAAATTAATTTTTTCAACTTAAATTTTGAAAATGTGTCGGAAAGTCTGACACTTTTATATATATCATAAATTAAAGCTAATGTAATGAGCTTTATTATGGAAAAAAAATTTCGTACTTTATTTTGTCTTCAGGGTGAAATTGGCTACCGAATGCTATTTTTGTGTGAAAATTCTCGATTTTATTTTTTTATTTTTAACTTTATAATGCTATAACTTATTGAAAAGTGTATGATCAACATAATTTTTTTATGAGAAATAATAATTTTTAATAATCTCTTTTTCATTCGATATACTTTATCTTAATCATGATATTAATAAGGAACTAGCAGATCATGTTGCTTTTGGAATAATCCACCTATTTTTTAAAATGAAACACTATCTAAAGATTTGCATCGAAGTGTTTTTTATGATAGTGATTTTAATCACTGTCAGATATCATTATACTTGATCCAAATATGTCACGTCACCACTGTGCTGCGACCCCCCTGTGCTGGGTTTTTTTTTCCTTTCTCAATTACACTAAACATATTTTTGAATTGTTTTGAAGTTATTAATAACTGCCAACAAACAACATTTGTACTTAATAGTATTATTATAGTGATTTTAATTACTATCATATGGATATTTTCCTGTTTATTTTCAGGAAAAATACTATTATTCGTATTTTTACGTATGCTGTTTTAATAACAGTATGAAAGATTGCAATCTAAGAAAAAACAATGGCTAGTTTTTAATTTGGTGTATGAGGCTTTTTTTAAATTAAAAATTAGAAAAAAGACATTACTGTGTAAACATATAGAAATATTTATAATTATTTTAAGCTACGTCATAATAGTAATTATAACACTTTGAAACTATTAAACTGTCATATGAAAAATACTTTAAAAATAATTTATTTAAATATAAAATTTGTAATTAAATTCATATGAAAAGTATTTGCATTTAATACAGATGCGAAAAAATACGGTACTATTATTATACTATATTGTTATACTTATAACAATAGTATTACCATGAATATTAGTCATCTCTTATGATTTATCTGTAACTTAAAAAATATTAATGTGTTTTCTTGTTTCTATTAATAATAAAACAAATATTAACTTTATTTGCCATAATGAATAACTGGCGTAAAAAACTTTACACTTGCATCGTTGAAATATATCTATCATGTGAGTAACTTAATTTGTATAAAATAATTTTTGTTTGATTAATAAATATAATTCAAATATATTAAGTAAAATATATATTATTTAAACCCCGTCGATAAACACTTCGGTAATAGCTCGTTAATCGTATGAAGTTACTTTTGATATAATGGTACGTAAAATAATATTCCAAGTCGTTTATTTCTTTGTTTTCTTTTATCAGCTAAAATGTGAATTGACATTACACACGGTAAGCAGATTTAATTAATTTAAATATTTTATGTAATATGTAATATAATGTACGTATGGCCTGGCTATGTTATTTCGATAAATTTAACCTGAAAATTTTATAATACATTTTACAGTACATTTTTTTTGAACAAATGCAGTTTAGCTCTAGATATAATCAATTTTTTTTTAAATCGATATGTTCTTTCTACTCTGATTACGAATATGCAAAAATAAAATTTCGGTTAAATAGTTAAACAATTATTGTATTTTAAAGTTTGCATATAACGTTTAAAAAAACTATTGATTTTTAATTTTAAAATATTCAATACTATGGAGTAAACTAAAAAAGTCTATACTAGTTTTTGAACATTTATGTAGTATTTATGAATTTATTTTTTATCGCTAAAATCAAACCAGATAGTATTGTATGTAATGACGTGTTTTCTTCAAATCAAAACACTTATAGTGTATCGATGGTATTGACAAAATGAAAATAGTTTTTGACTTTTGTGAAATATCACGATTCACTTCTCAGAAAATAACTTTTCTTTGAGAATATTGTGACATATTAGAACCTTTAGTAGATACTTAAGAATTTGCAAAGTGGGGAAAAAATGTATATGGGCTATTTTTTTCTAACATTTTACTAATTGCAGATTAAATTGACTGAATTATAGAAAAAACTATTAATTTATTATAATAAGCTATTAAACCCATAAAAGAATTAGTGAAAAAGAGATTTGAGGATGTGTAAAAAATAGAGAGTTTATTTTGACAGTTTGCTTGTTGCCTAGATTTAAGTTGAATAGGTTACAAGGTTCTGACAAAACTGTAGCAGAAATGATTAAAAGCAGTCTTTGAGAAATCAGTGCAACAATTAAGTTCTGAAACAGAATGTACTACCTTTTCTTAGCAATGAATGTGAGTTAAATACTGCAGATAAGATATATTTTTTTTGTCTTCCAGTAAAAAAAAAAAAAAAAATTATAATGAATATGAATTGGAAAAATATTTAAATTATGATAATCAAGAATCATTACATAATTTTCCTACTATTCCCGTACTACCATCGATAGACTTATTTGACTTATAATACCTCAATTGGTCCTATTGTAATGATTCAAATTAAGTGATGATGATTAACTTTTTTAACAACTAGTTGTCTTAAAACTAAATAAAGTTTATTTTTAAAGTTATTTTCCCAAGTGCTAAATTTCTCGACATTTTATCACACTAATAATATAATAAATAGATAAAAGCTCAATGATTATAAAATGCAATTCTAGGTCACTGTGTGTATAATACTGAAGACAGTCATGACAGTAAAATGTTACCGTCTTTATAAAACAATGCATCGTAAAGATGTGTAGTCTAGAAGAAAGGAAAACACATATTTTTTTATTCTTACATTTCAATTATTTAAAATAAAATATCTTAAGCCATTCTTTTAATTTATCAAATGTTTTAATTAAAATCAAATGTTTGATTAAAAAAACAAATCCTATATTTGTAGAGAATTTTAGTCGACACATGAATTTTGAGCAAAGTCTGCAGTCCCTCCTCGAAACTCATCAGTGGCGTAGCTAGAGGGGCCCCAATGGTTACGCCGTTGATGTTTGTATTATGGCATATTAAAATTGAGGCACTAATATAAAAACAAGGGCTCTAATCAAATTTTCAAATTTTTTTCAGAAGTCAAAAAAATGTATTTATTGGAAAAATACTATTTTCATTAATTTAGATTCGACGTTTTAATAAATACTGTCAAATTTATTCATTTTTAGTTAAAATGGGTCCTTATTCTTCTGAGTGTCTCCTCCATTTCATTGAAATTCTATTCGTTTTCATTAATATTAAGTGGCCTATAAATGTGTAAATGAATTTTGTTTTAAAAAATTTTCAAAAGAATATCTTTGATTGTCTTAATGACTCGAAGGCGATTATTATTAAATTCTCTCTCACAAAATGTTGAATATGTAGGAATATGTATTATAAATAATAATATAATATAGTTTAAATTTATAAATTACGAATAAATATATACATGTATTATTATTTTTTGAATATAGCAACAAAAACGCAATGCCCATTTCATAAAATTGTTAAATGATATACCTGGACCAGAATATTTATTACTTGAGAATACAGAGCTACAAAATTTTCTTGTAAGTAATAAAAATAATGAAACATTTTTGATTTGGGATGAACTAAAAATTAAACAGAAAATGTGGAAATTAGGATGTATGTACACAGAACTTTCACTTTATATAATGTACCACCTAAATTTTGTGAATGAAAATAGAAACCCTATTGAAAGTGAACACCTAGATCTATTTCAGAATATTTTGCATCGAATGATATCGATATACTATTATACATTAGGCAATGCTACAAAAAGCATTTGGTTAACATCAATTACAATAGATGCATTAATTTACAGAAAAATGTCACTCCAAGAAATCAAATTCGATTATTTCATAAATATAATTTATCAAAGTTGTATAGATTGCGTTCAAAATCATCATTTACGAGAAATGCCTATGCAATATAGGAGTTGTTCACTTCTTAATATGATACGCGAAATATCAATACATTTAAAATTGTGCTCCGGTTATCATCCTGATACGTTTAACGAAATTTATCAGTATGTAGATGTATCAAACGTTTATAGTTTTTTTTGGAATAACCGTGATGGTTTTCAGCATTTCATTCCAACAATATTTGAACATTACAATAAAACTCATATAGAAAAAATATATAGGAAAGTGTGTAATTTATGGAAACATGATTATTTTATATTGTTGTCATATACTGAGGCTATAAAAAAAAATTTGTTATTGGGGACTTATTATATTTTGGCTCGGCACTGTCTTTATCTTACTGATTACCTTACAAAAGATATTACCAGTGTAATTTCTAATAGAGAACAATTTTTGTACTTGTTTAAAATTCCATTAAACATATTAAATGAAATAGGTGTCTTTTTAAGTGAAACGTTTCGTGCACCATTCAAAAGCATTTTAAATAATATGAAAGAAGATAGAATATCCACCATGGAATCATTAATGATATATACCGATAATGTCATAGACAATTTTAATAAACTATCAGTGAGTATTATGGTTGCACAACTTAAGTTCACTGACTATAATTATTACGAATCAACAAATTACCCATATAATTATACGATTGCAAAAAATCAATTATTGTCATTTGCGGATAATCTGCAAAATTATTTTAATGCTGTAAAACGTGGTATGGCACCTGTTGATTTTACTATTTTAAGAGTATTCGCGTTAAATGTTAAATATAGTTAATGAACTAAATTTATTTATTACTTAAAATATAAGAAGTTGTGAATTTAATTTATATTTTCTTGTAATTCTTCTATTTGTTTAATAAAATTACGTTGAAACCAAAAATATAATATAAAATTCGTAATGATGGAGTTTAAAAAAAAAAACATATTCAGAGTGATCCATTGTGTTTGGACAAATTTTATAACTTTTGATCCAGCTAATATTTTTCGTTACTTTTTTTTTAAACAATTATTGTACATTGGAGCTATAGTATTTTTTTATTTATTAAAAATAGTAATTTACGGAAAATAGTTATGTTAAATAAAAAGTTTTTATAAATTTTTATGTGTTTTTTACGATATCAAACATTGAAATATGTACTGAGATAGGACAGATTAAACGAAATTATTTCACTCTAAATATTAGTTACAAATGTGTAACGTTTTTCATGAAAATTATGTTCACTTGAATGAAATTGAAATTAAAAATTCGATAGGTAGCAGATAGCCGATCTTTTCAATATTTTAGCTTCGATGCGAAGCTGAGAAGGTATTGGTTTTACTATGATGTGTTTTTTTTTTTTTGTGTCTGTTACCACTTTTTCTCAGCTCTCACTGAACGGATTTCTTTCAACGATACGTCAAAAGATCACAAATTGTATCTTGTCGAAGACATTACCCTTCAAAATTGAAAAAATTTCCCTCGTTCCCCGTAAATGGGGGAAACCTCCAAAAAAATTACAAATTTAAAAATCGCTAATTTTCGAAATTTTTTCAATTTTTTTTACTAAAAACTGCCGTAACTTTTTCAAAAATGAACATATCAATATAATTTTTTTTTATATAGATGCTTGATGTCTTTACCTATCATTTGGTATATTTTTTTTGTAAATCTGACACTTTATCTGCCCACAGGGGGGGATTTAAAATGACAACTTTTTCACAAAAAATTAACTTTTTCAACTTAACTTTTGAAAATGTTCCGGAAGGTCTGACACTTTTATATATATCTTAAATTAAAGCTAATGTAATATACTTTAATTTGAAAAAAAAAAATTTGACCTCTGGACTTGTCTTCATGGTTAAAACGGCTACCAAATGCTATTTTTGTGTGAAAATTTTCGATTTTATAATTGACATTTTTTACTTTAAAGTGCTATAACTTTTTAAAAAATGTATGGATCAATACAATTTTTTCATGAGAAGTAGTATTTATATACNCGATCATTACAATTTTTTCATGAGAAGTAGTATTTATATACATCTTTCATTGGATATACTTTTTTTTTAAATCAGACCATTTCCCTATATATGGGGGGGCTTCAAATATAAAAAATGCATATAGAAAGTAGAACTTTTTCAACTTAACTTTTCAAAATGTTCCGGAAGGTCTGACACTTTTATATATATCTTAAATTAAAGCTTATGTAATATACTTTAATTTGAAAAAAAAAAATTTGACCTCTGGACTTGTCTTCGTGGTGAAAGTTGACATCAAAGTTAATAAAAAATTACGATTTTTGTAAAATAATTTTTTTTTATATTTTTAACTTAATAATGCTCTAACTTTTTCAAAAATGAACATATCAATATAATTTTTTTTTATATAGATGCTTGATGTCTTTACTTATCATTTGGTATATTTTTTTTGTAAATCTGACACTTAACCTGCCCACAGGGGGGGATTTAAAATGACAACTTTTTCACAAAAAATTAACTTTTTCAACTTAACTTTTGAAAATGTTCCGGAAGGTCTGACACTTTTATATATATCTTAAATTAAAGCTAATGTAATATACTTTAATTTGAAAAAAAAAAATTTGACCTCTGGACTTGTCTTCACGGCGAAAATGGCTACCGAATGCTATTTTCGTGTGAAAATTCTCGATTTTATTATTTATATTATATTTAACTTTATAATGCTATAACTTATTGAAAAGTTTATGGATCCACACAATTTTTTTATGAGAAATAATATTTTTTAATAAACCCTTTTTCATTCGACATACTTTATCTTAATCGAGATATTAAGGAACCAGCAGATCAAGTAGCTTTTGGAATAAAACACCAATTTTTTTAAAATGAAACACTATCTAAAGATTTGCATCGAAGCGTTTATTTTTGATAGTGATTTTAATCACTGTCAGATATTATTATACTTGATCAACTATGCCACGTCACCACTGTGCCGCGACCCCCCTGTGCTGNTACGTCACAACTGTGCCGCGACCCCCCTGTGCTGGGTTTTTTATACTTAATATTGTAATGTATTATAATAAAATATATTTTATAAATTTTCTGATTTCCCGTGACGAAAATGTTACGTTGTTTTTAGTTAAATCAGATATATTATTGTTTCAAAAGTGGACTGTTTTCTTATAGCGAGAAGAAGGATATTTAGGTCGATTAACTATAAATTATTAAAACGAATTTTTACTATATATGTATAAAGAGTTTCTATACAGACTGGCCCAGCACTCACTGACAACTTAAATAACTTTTGATTCAGTTAATATTTTTAGCTGATTTTTTTTTTTAATAATAGTTATACGTTAGGTCTGTAGCTATATCTCAATAATTAATTTTTTTACATTTTATTAAAAATATTAATTATTTTTAAATTTTAAATAAAATGTAAAAAAAAAATCTAAGATAGCTATTTTGTAGAGTAGAATTTAAGAAAAATTTTAGTAAAAAAATATCTTATTAATATTCAGTAGTAAATATTCTGTAGCGTTTTGAAGTTTGTNGTAAAAAAATATCTTATTAATATTCAGTAGTAAATATTCTATAGCATTTTAAAGTTTGTGAAAATTTGAATTTTCATGTATTATTTTACGGTATTAAACATTGAAATAACAGCTAATAACCTTAGAAGTTGAAGCTTAAAAAATAAAAAAATAATAAAAAAAAAAAAACATTGAAATACGTATTGAGAAAAAGACAGAAGAAAACACTATCTTTCCATGATTACTATAATTTGGAGGTGTGTAATTTTTTTCATGAAAATGACTTATACTTTTGAATGAGAGTGTGGCGACCCCCCCCCCACTACCAGCAGCTAGACATCTTCAGTGTTACCGTTTTTATGTCGCGTGATTATTTTATTGTATTTTGTAATTTGTTAAATATTGTTGGTATTCGTCGTGAGTTTTTATTATGTAATCGTCCCTACCTGTGTACCTTATTAAATGTAATTTTTAAAATTAACTACTACTAATACTACTGAATATTAATAAGATATTTTTTTACTAAAATTTTTCTTAAATTCTATTATACAAAATAGCTATCTTAGATTTTTTTTTTAGATTTTATTAAAATAATTAATTATTGAGATATAGCTACAGACCTAACGTATAACTATTATTTAAAAAAAAAATCAGCTAAAAATATTAACTGGATCAAAAGTTATTTAAGTTGTCAGTGAGTGGTGGGCCANACTGGATCAAAAGTTATTTAAGTTGTCAGTGAGTGCTGGGCCCTCTGTATAATTAGACTGGTTTTTTCTTTGATGAGTAAAAACCGATCGTCTGCTTATCAAACAATTATAATAGAAATAAAAAACTATACGATAACGTACAGTAAGCCGCAACATACTGCCGGCCTAGAAGAGTTGTCTTCAAAACTATGTACAAGTATAAAAATCAAAATACATAATTAGTAGTTAACAGTATTATACAAAAAAAACCACAGGGGGGTCGCGGCACAGTGGTGACGTGCCATAGTTAGATAAACTATAATGATATCTGACAGTGATTAAAATCACTATAAAAAAAAAAAACGCTACGATGCAAATCTTTAGATAGTGTTTAATTTTAAAAAATTGGTGGATTATTCCAAAAATTACATGATCTGCTAGTTCGTTTTTAATATCCTGATTCAGATAAAGTATGTCAAATGAAAAAGGGATAATTAAAAAGTATTATTTCTCATGAAAAAATTGTATTGATCCATACACTTATCAATAAGTTATAGCATTATAAAGTTAAAAATGTAAAAAATAAAATCGAGAATTTTCACACAAAAATAGCATTCGGTAGCCATTTTCACCGTGAAGACTAAATAAAGTCTGAAATTTTTTTTTTATAATAAAGAATAATTCATTAGCTTTAATTTATGATATAAATACAAATGTCAGTATTTCCGGAACACTTTCAAATGTTAAGTTGAAAAATTAATTTTTTGTGAAAAAGTTGTCATTTTAAATCCCCCCCTGTTAGCAGGTAAAGTGTCAAATTTATAAAAACAATATACCAAATGATAGGTAAAGACATCAAGCATCTATAAAAAAAAAATTATATTGATTTGGTAATTTTTGAAAAAGTTATGAAAATTAGGGATTTTTAAATTTGTAATTTTTTGGAGGTTTCCCTTACGTACGGGGAACGAGGGAAATTTTTTCAATTTTTGAGGGTAATATCTTCGACTAGATACGATTTGTGATCTTTTGACGTATCGCTGAAAGAAATCGGTTTGGTAAGAGCTGAGAAAAAGTGGACACAAAAAAAAAATAAATAAATAAAAAAAAAACACATCATAGTAAAACCAATACCTTTTCAGCTTCGCATCGAATCTAAAATACAAAACCAAGAATTTTAACACAAAAATAGCATATTTTTGAATACGGTAGCTATTTTCACCATGAAGACAAAATATAGTCCGAAATTTTTATATTTAATATAAAAGTATATTACATAAACTTTAATTTAAGACATATATAAAAGTGTCAGTATTTCCGGAACACTTACAAAAGTTCAGTTGAAAAAGTTCTGCTTTCTATATGCATTTTTAAGATTTGAACCATCCCTGTATAGAGGGAAATGGTCTAATTAAAAAAAAAAAGTTTGGGAATGAAATACGTATATTTATTATTTATAATAAATATCTAATAGTAACTTAAAAGTGTAGGAATTATAAATGTATGAATTTTACAGAAACATTTTTAAAAAAATACAACATTTTCAACTAATTAATAATTACAAATATTCATTTTAATATTAATCAATATTAAAAATTATTATGTAAAGTTTAGGCATTGAAAATACATGTAATTTTTTTAAAAAATATTTTACATAAATTACCATATTTATTTGCTGTTATAAACAATTTGTTTAATGCGGTTCGAATAGGTCATTGATTTTACGTAGATTGTAACTTTAACATGTAACGGAAAACCAATTTGATAACGCAAAAACAAAAAATACACCATCATTGGGAAAACTGCTGGTGAGAAAAGCTCATATCGTTGTGAACCTGTAAAAAAATATTAGTGTTAGTATGACTCTATATATTTTTCTTAAACAATTCTTTGATAATCATTAAATATATGTAATTTTTGATCATGCTTACGAATATGATTGAGATATTTATTTAAATATTTAAGTAATTAAAATAATTGTAATTATGAAAGCCTCGAAGAGGCTACAATAAAATCTATTAGGATCTACGTGATCGTAATATAATTACAATAACATTGTCTATGTTTACTTATTTTTCATTGAAACGATTAAATTTGATTAAAATTTGTTGTCTAAAAAATTTGAAAAAGAAATTGTTTGTGGGTAATTATTAAACTTGTATTTACAATTAAAAGATATTTAAAATATTTTTTAAATGAATAGCCATGATCTCGATTTAATGTTTTTCATTGTAAGTATTTGTCTGGAGGACATCACGTTCCAAGTTTTTCTTGATCTATGGCCAAATTGATAGCAAACGGTGCTCAGTATACTACAATCAATATTTTGGCTTCGTTCTGACAGAACTACTAAGTACGTTATATGTACAGCATATTTGATTTACTTGAATGGTGATCCAGAAATAAACGTTTTATTATCATCATAGGTAAAAATGCACTTGTAAAAAAATGATATCTCGTATATACTTGATGATACATTCATAGAAATGACATTTGGATGCACAATATATACATACAATCGTTCAATTTTCATTCCTCTTCTTTAGAATCTTTATTTCCATTATCATAATCTACTTTATCGTTTAGATTTTAATTGTTTAAATATTTCACAACTATCAAATATCAGTCTTAATTTTTTTTCAAAATGTTTGTATACGATTTATTCTATATTATATACTACGTACACTGAAAAAAATCCTCCGGTAAAATCTTCGAATGCATTATCAAAACACTTCCAATAAATTTTATTATTAGATGAATTTAAGTTTTTTTGTTCAGTTAAACATTATTTTTGTTCAATGAATAAAAAAATTATCAAATTAATATATAATTAATATTAATAAATTAAATTTGTTAAATGATCAAAAAAAAAAAAAAAAATGGCTTAACTAATAAAAAAAAAACTATTGAACAAAACAATTATTGAATGTGTATTGATAATATGTTAATTTTACCAACATGTTATTTCAGTAAGTGCAATTTTAATTTTTTTTATTTTACAAAATAATTTCAAAAGAATATTTTTTTTTTGCAGAAAAATTATGTATTAACTAACTTGAAACAAATTTTCTAGCTTAAATCTTTAAATAATATATATTTATTTATAATTGTTGCTTTAAAATTAAGAATTAATATAAGAACAACGAATACGTTTTAAACCTATAAACTGTGTGTGTTTAGTTAATGTTTAAATTTGTATTTCTTACCAAAAAGTACACAAATAAGTTTGAATAGTTTTGCTTTAAATCAAATTATTATTTATTTTCAAAACAATTAGGATTATATCTTATTTTATCTGGGCTTTATTTATATATTATTAATATGTTAGTATATTAGAAGATTTCAGTGAAGACTGAAATTCGTAACCGTAGTTAATAACCGCTATTACTAAAGTGTGATTAAGTTAATAATTAACTTAATCACACGGTAATTATTACCGTGTGGTCGTGACTAGATGACAATTTTGGAACCAGGTAAAACAAAAGCATCGTAGATATACTGGAACAACAAGCTGGTAGCGTTATCGAACCTGAACTCATGTAGTTCGTTAGATAAGACTGATATACAGAGACAGTACTTAATGTAAACAAATATTGATAACGAAAAGAGCAAAACGGTAAATAGCGAATGATTGGACATGACGACGTCCAGGTCATATAACTTGTGTATACGCGAATAAACAATGCTGGTTACTAACGGTAGTAGATACTTCTTAGGAGTAATGAAGTATTGTTTGGTATTAATGCTGGTTCGGTAAAAACTCGTCTTTTCCCGTTTGTGTGAGTAACCAGACCCACTACATACAATAGATATATCTACATTTTTCAATGTCATCTTTCAACATAACTAATAACAATATTTTGTGGCAATTAAACTTTAATGAGACAACGAAATTCTACTGTGATCGCAATGTCATTACACATTATTTTCGTAGCTGTTTTAATTTTGTTTTAAAAGTAGTAAATAATAAAAATGAAATATGATCGATGAAAAGCTTTTCTTTTTTTAAGATTTTGTTTTTTATCGTGGTACCTTCTTAGTTGATATTTTTGCGAGTTACATAAGATAAATATAAAAATGTTTATTGTTAGATGTTTGAATTTAATTGGCAACTTATTTTAACTCTCAATGAGTAAAAAATAATAATTATAATGAATACATTATAATAATATTTATATATTATTATTATATAATATAATTTATATAATATATATATTATTATTATTATAATAAATAATTGTAGAAATACCTAAAAAGAATTATATTTTTCAAAAATGATAAAATTGTTAATATTATATGTTTTTTTATTAAACATTAGAAATTATAGATGTATTTAATACAGTTAATATTTATAATTCATTAAAATTAATTTTAGTTTTGTGCAAAGAATATAAAATGTGTATTATAACAATTTCTTTTATGAAGGGTTAGTGATTAGGGTTCGTAGGAAATTTCACGTAAAATTTAAGGGAAGTTAAAAATGAAATTCTATTTCTTGGATAGTTTGGATCGCGTTGTTTGGAATATACATGGACTATTAATAAGCTAAACAAAAAAAGTAATCGATTATTAAAAAAACTGACGTTGGTAAGAAATGTTAGGGGCGCCTTCAATACTTTGGGTCGAAACCAAGAATCGGAAGTTACCCGACGTTTTAATTACCTTAAGGAGACACAGACAATCGTGTACCTTAGTTACTAGTGAGGATTATATTATACGTCTAACCTGAATCCTAGTACAGTTGGTTAGTAGGTATAACCAAGTGAGACGGAGTTGGTTGGATATGATGACAATTGGCTATAGACGAGTTCTTGAATAAAATAAGTAAAATTAACAAAATAAATAAGACAAAAATGATAGTATCGAAAACTATGTCTACCATTCAAATACAATTATCCCTTTTTAGTTCGACGTCAGTAGCTCCGGACTACAAACGAGGAAAATTGTCACATCAGTATTTCTTTTTATGCTAATTAATATGTATTATGAACTAAGTAAATGAAAATACAACGTGTATAACGTAATATAAGTGGTAAATATATTGTAATAAATGCTTTTACATTAGCTATGTCCATTATTTTTCATTTTATGGGTTTAGTCACTCTATAAACTAAAAAATTTAGTCTTATGTAAGAAAATTTTCACATAACAATTAATTTAAAATTTTTATTCAGTGACGTAGCCAGGATTTTTAACGGTGTAGTATAGTAAAAAGTATCTTATATTTAAATTTATTTTTTGTCGAAGGAAATAATCATTAAAATTATGGTGAACTATATAGTTATTTTATATAAATATATATTCATTTATGTACATAAGTTTCACTGAGGTGTTTCATTATTTAACATAATAAGACCCAAGGAAAGGAAATGTACAGTTTTATTTATTATTACTTGGAACAATTACTATTACTTATGAATAGTTTGTTACGTGGTAGATTGCAAAAATTTCAGAAATATTTTTCAACAAAAATTAGTCATTTTTATTTATAGTAATAGTAATAGTAATAAATAAATGTTTTATTCAATTAATTACAACAAGCGATGCGTATCTGATTTTGTGCAGTCAGTAGCTCAACTAATCCATTGTCCACATTCTGTATAATTAGTAAAACAAAACAAAATGTATTCCTTATGTTTATTTTCAAAAATAATTGTTGTGTTAAATTGTCTATAATGCTGTTTAATTTATACAAAAAAAGTGTGAAGGTTTATACAGTATAAATAACATGTTTTCAACGGTATGACAGACAAATCCATTTCTGGAATGACTCCGGGCGGTTTGTGGTTTATTTATTCTCCAGTCATCATTTCCATAAATTCTAAAGAAAAAAAAATTAATATAATTATAATATTTTAGTTTTATTAATTGTTGAGCTAATATATTAATTATAAAACATTATGTATATATATATATCTTACATTATATACAATACATATTTAAAGTAGTAATTTTTCTTAAAGCAGGTCAGATAAAGAGGGAGGGTCATAAAAGCATTAGTTCCACAAAATTAACATTATTTATTAAAAAGGGTTTTTTTTTCAAAATAGTGAAATGGCCTCTCTCCTCTCCAAACATTTCTTCTTTATCTATGTTTCAAGGTGATATTATGATGTAACTCTCCGGCTTCAGTTTTGAACTATAGTAACTAACTATATGCACCACACCAGACAATTTTAATGATTGCCTAAAACAAAGTCTATTAATGATCAAAATATTTCACGATGTTTAATGTCCGTAGTTCACCCTTGTATAAGAGTTTTTATGTGATAACAATTTCACTAATTTTGTCAAATAAATAGTTATTAAGTATTATATTATTAAATAAAATAAAAATTACATTAAAGTTTTATTATCTTTATATTTGACATTTATATTTAGTTATGAATACTAATTGGAGTTTATATTTCAATTATTCATAGAGTTTACTAAAAGTTTTTTAGATCCTCTCTTATTAACTATACTAAACAGTCTCGTAATTAGAGCTTTGTTCTGAGTCTTCACCATGTAAATAATTTTGTTTTGGGGGTCTATACCCGTGCCCCTGCCTCTCTTAATTATGCTTCTGATTTTATAAGCAGAATTTTCAATTAAATTGTTTAACGAAAACTAAATTTTAAATTTAATGGTTTATCATTAAAAAGAATCTCAAGGTTCATTTAAAATTAATTAGTACCTGAGTTTGTGTTTTGTAAAATGTTTTGTTGTACGGTCAATATTTTTAATTACTAGGACTTAATGATCGACCTTTGATACAATAAAAATTGATCACTTGTGGCTAATGTTATTTAAAATTAAAATTATATTAAAAATATTTATTTAACTTAAAAAGCAACAAAATATTATTAGAAAATTGCGGATATGTATTTCGGGAATAATGTTACCATTATCAATTCTAAACTCATAATATTTTGTACACTCCACAGATTTCATAATAGGTTGTGACTGGAGTTATTACTATAAATCTCACGTTGGAAAACAGTATGAATCATACTAACCATCAAAATCTACAGTTCCTGAACCGTCAGAATCGATTTCGTCAATCATCATGTCCAATTCTTCATTGGTTAGTTGATCGTCAAGTTCTCTAAGAATTTCTTTCAGACAAGATGTAGGGATATAACCATTACCTTCTTTATCGTACAGCCTGAATGCTTCTCGAAGTTCTTTTTGCATGGCTTCGTCGTCTTCTTCAACAATGAATTTGGCGGCTAATGTAATGAATTCTTCAAATTCCAAACGTCCAGATTCTAAAAATAATTAATATTAATTATCACTTAATTAATGGTCGAGTTATTCCAAATAATAATATATACGTACTGTCTGCGTCAACTTCCTCAATAAGTTCATCGAGGATTTTCTTGTTGAATGGCTGACCCATAAGTCTCAGGATATCGGCAACCATATCTGTTGGTATACTACCGGATCTTTCACGGTCGAACGCATCAAATGCTTTTTTAAGAACTATGTATAACCAATAAAAGTGAAAATTAGTTTTAAAATAGATCGATATAAAAATAATATCTTTGAATTCTAAAAATAGTTTGATATACATTAGCTCTAACCAGTGTTAAACCTAGGCATACTCCAGGGGGGCTGGAGCCCCTGGCAATTTGATAACTCCCCTAGTGATTTCAAGAGAAAAATGATAATATATTTATTTTTTAAATTTGTTGCGATGTTTTAATTAATATTTAGTTGAAAACTATTTTTTGTTTTATTCAGTAACTTTTTTTTGTAGTAATTTTTTGAAAATATGGCAAAAAAAATTTATTCTGGTTAAACTAATGTTTAAACTCCCACGTTGCCGTAATTATAGTTTCGTCTTGGAAGGATATACATAAGAAAAATGTTCACTTCCCTCTCTAGACAAAAAAATATTGTATTGTCGCCGTATAATATTTTTGAGGGGGAATGGACTACCATATTCCATTAATAATTACGCCAACGGAGTTTTCCTAGAAAAAATGTTTGAATTCAACACTGTCCTTAACTTTTATATGATTTGAATTTTTTTTTAAACAATAAAGTATAAGTATACAATAAAAGTATCAACAACTTATAACTTTATAAAGTATAAATAATATATGTTGTTGTATAGTATGCATAGTTTTCCTGGAATTACATTTTACGTGCCAACAAATCGAAATTATCGATTAAAATCTACTATAAAACTGTAAAAATGCATTTGTCAGATTTACTGTCGATAATTAATTTAACACTACAATGTCATCAATACAATTTTGAAGTTATGCCAACCTCCATATTTAAACGGTTTAACTATCTTTCTTCGTCAAACAATAGACACTCGGGTATTCTAAATCTATTACAAATTCATAACATTTATATTTCTAACTCTAAATCAGAGGTTCATAGACATAAAATTATGAAACAAATGAAGTGGCTAAATTGATTTTTCCCCACCATAAAATTTTTTTATATAAAAATATATAAAATTTTCTAAAAAAAAAAAAAATTGGTAGACTATAATAAGTTTTAGTGGGCTTTAGAAACTCCTTTCTAAAGTTTCTTTTTTATGCTCAGGTTTGTAATTAAATTAATTTCGAAAAGTTCACTTAGGCTATTCTAAGTAAGCTAAATAAAGAAACCTAAAATAACACTATCAAATGATAGTAATTTTATTCTTTAAAACATTATCTATTTTTATAAAGGTTTATTTAATTTTTAATAATTATTATAGCGAAAACATTGATTCGTCATCACACTGAATGAACCTGCAAAATTTTTGTTATATAGAGCCAAGATTGGTTTATTTTTAATAATTCAATTTTTAATCATAAACTTAAAGAGTTTAGAAAATATGAGATGCATTGAAAACTGTACTCGTAATTTTTTAAAAATCGCAATATTGTTAATAAATGAAATTAAAAATAGTTAATTTGAAAACTTTCTCTATTACCTTAATTGTATCCACATAAAAAATCCGAAAAAAAAATTATTAAATAGAAATTTAATAACTATTTAAAAATTAATAACTATTTCATACAATTGCTGAATAAACAGTTACAATAGACTCATAATTTCCTAATATTAAAGTTTGTATCAGGGATGATATTAGTAAAACTCATAAACGTATTATTTTTTAGCTTATGTAACTTATATTTTCAAAAAATTCTAAGTCATATAGTACAATATTATAATTGTTAAAAAATCTACATAAACCATAAATTATAATTACATATATTAACCACTATACATAAAAAGTTATTTTTACACTAATTGTAATGATAGGCCACAGCAGGGATGTCCAGAGATATACAGATTGACTAAAACTTATAAAAAAAGAAGCTCATACAAATATCAAGGATTTTTTTTAATAATTAACTATCATTTTTAATATTTATTGAAAAGTACAGCATTTTTGGCCAAAAGAAATCTAGGCCTCAAATTTAAGTGTTTATAATCAATTATTTTAATGAGGGTCTATCTATAGATACAAAAATTATTTTTATAGGAATAATCCATGTATTTCAATTAACACTACCACTTTCCTTTTATATTTCAGGAAAGTAATATTTTAGTTCAATATTCAATTAATATTGTTGAAAGTAATTTATATAGAGACATTTGGAATATTGACTAAAAATAAGTTATACGCCAAAATTTATTATTTTGAACTTCGAGAAATTTTATAAATTGCAATCGTGATCTCGAGTACCTTCTTCCGGAAGTCCCTGAGCCTTAGTAACAAGTATAGTAGTAATATTTACGAGTTTTCGATCAATAGTAAGTTAATTTAACATTAATATTTCTAAAATATCTACTTTATCAGTAAATTTATACAGTAAAAGTTAGCTAAAAAATTCTATATCTACTCAATTATTCATAAAAGCTAATGGAAATGTTATTCAATACTATATTATAAACATATCACTACATTGATCGCTAAAAAAAAAACACAATTATTTATCTACTTAGTTTGACATAAATAGTTACAATTGGCAGTTAAAATTATATTTACATACAAATAATTTATTTATAATTTTATAATATATTTGTAAGAATTCTCGAATTCGTGATGAAATTTCGAGTTAAAATAAAATAGAAAAATGTTTTTCTAATTTATTAGGTAATTATTATTTTTGAGAATATAAGAATGTATTGATAATGAATATTGATAGGGAATAAAATGTGGTAAAAGTTGATTTATTTGTCTTTAATTAAAGGAACGATTTTTTTATTATCTAAGCGAATGTTAAAACTTTTATGAGAAGTTAATAGGAATTAAGATATTTATTATATTATATATTATTATAGTCTTACAAAATAAATGATAAAAATATAATATGGTTTAATTGTATAGTGAAAAAAGTTATCTAACTTTTAAATTTACTTGATTTAATAATGTATTTAGCGTTTTATTAAAATAATAATTATAATAATTATAAAAATTACAAAATTATTATGAAAAACTACAGTTATAAAAAGCATAATTACAAACACATTTTTGTAAACATTATAATATTGACTCAACGAGGAACTTAAATCATAAAGGATAACTCCAGAATATATGCATTATTATTACTTTACATGGTATTAATTTAATGAAAAAACACAAACACAAATATTATTAAGCAAATTAATAATACGGTAAAAAAACAAGATGTTTTTTGTAAGCTGTTAAACCATAGTCGTAAATTGGTTATGCGGTAACTGGCATCCCAATCTGGTGATAATATAAATGTTAATATTGTAAAATACAAATTAAATATTATTATACTACTCTTCAATAATTTTTTTTATAAATTTAATAGTAAAAATGTTGAAAAATTTTTTTATTTTACACAATAATTGTGTTATTCTATTTAAAATAATTATTATTTTAATGCCAATTATAATAATCAAGTGTATTTCTAATGGATGATGTGGCTTAGAACTTCGTGCTAGTTTCTTAGTAATGCGTGAGAAATAATTATAAATGAGATGGTTCATAATGAGGGTGGAGCTAAAATTAGATTGTGTCCATAACATATATCCAGAATGCTACTATATGGGTATGCCAATGACTGAGTATGGTTTGTGCCAAGATGTTTATTATTATTATAATAAGTTAAATGTATACACGAGATTTAAAGTTTATGATGTACATAAGAGAGATGGCAAGTGGTTTTTGCATATGTTTATAAGCGGAAAATAGTTAAAAATAGACCAACTAATTTTTTTAACCCGACGATATTTGATCTAAGAGATAGAGTTTTCCTGTTAAATATATTTAGAATTTTTAAGCTTTGGAAATTAATTTAACTTTAAAAGTATACTTTTCACTATAAAATTATAAATAATTATTATTTGAAATTAGATTTAAAAAATTATTATTGAAAGATTTTGACAAAATATTAAATTCTTATATTGAAAATGTAATTAAATAAGACTAAAATTTCTATAAAAAAGTTGCTGGTCTAAATCATACATTAAGTCATTGGTTATAATAATTGGTATTATGTATATTGTTCGTATAATATTTTTATTAATTTAATATAAAAAAAACTGTATTTTCAAAAAATTACAAAGTAACTTAGAAATAAAAAAAATTAAGAAATATCTATTTCTTAGTTTACTTTGACTATGGCAAATAAAGCATCAAACGTATTGAAAATGATTTTCGTAGCTATATTATTCAATTGTAATGTATTAAAACAAGATTGATATCTTGTGTAGATAATATTGTAACACATGTATATAATATTAAAATAATTTCGAAAAATGTTTAATGTTATTTTAGTTAAATCAAAAATAAAAAGTAGCCATCAATGTCACTAAACATTTACCTGCAATTTGTTCTGGTGGTAAATCATCCTGAAAAATGTTAATTAAATTTCATTAATTCAATGTTATGCGAAGCGAATAATTAGTAATTTATTTGGCAGCTAAATTGATGACATGTAAAAACAAAAGTGATAATTTTAATATTGAGTCGAATTTCACATGGATGACAAAAAGAAAATTATCAAACGTGCCAATTTGTGTTTGACTGTTAAATTTATATAATTGTTGACAAGTGACACTAGATACATGTTTGTTAAACAATTTTTATTATTTGGCGATCATTTGAAGTTATCTAATGAATATTTATTGTCAGTAAAAATGTAAAAGTATTTTTTCTCCGTGTAATTTAAATATTTCAGTATATAGTTCATATGAAACAGAAATTTAAAACAAGATTGCTCAGATAACATTATATTTTACTTACCATTTTGTGTGATTTTTTAGTTAAATAATATAAAGATAAAAAGAAAATGCGCTGTGTGTTCGCCGGTAGTGAACTGGAGAAGTATGACTTCTAGACTGAAACCGAGACTTTTTCCCCCACTGTTTTTCAATTTTCTATGCTTTAGGTTCGGCACTCAGCTCTAGTTGAAGAAAGGGACGATGTGAAAATAAAACCGATAAATTTAGAACTTTTGGATACGAGCATCAACTCACAAACACACACTTTTACATTTAATGTATGAAATATTTTATCACGAATATAAGAGGACGTTGAAATGGTTAACGTGTGTTTGGTATCCAATGACAAAGCTAATTTGATACTTTTCAAGATTTAATAGACATAATTATTTACCAATAAACGAAAGGCGAAACAGTTACTTTCAACATTTAGAATTTAACACCTTGATAAAATTATTATTTATGAAATTTAATATACTGAATATTTAAAATAATCACTTATATCCTGTTTTGGTATAGTAGTAATAATTCGGACTAAAAAAATTCTGCAAATATTGAATAGTAAAAATTATCTGTTGTTGAAAATGAATTTAACAAGGAAAGCATAAGTATTTGTGGAATAATGTTTCAAGGTTAAGCTAGTTAGTGACTTTATTATAATCAAAATTAGTTTTCAATAATTAATTTTAACTTAAATAAATAATAAATTCACGATATTAATTTTCATCAAAATTATAAGTTTTTATTGTTCAAATAACTTTATGCGTACACTACATATTTTTTAATATTAAAGTTTACGTGGGCAATAACTGGTTTAATTTTTAGTATTTTCTTTGTAAAATTTATGTTATTATTATCTTAGGGCAATTTTATATAAAATAACATGTGAAAATATTAAAAAACTATATTTAAAAGAAAAAAAAAATTTTATGATACAATTTCAATACTTTATTAAAAATTTATGATTTGTCTACTATTTTAGTTAGAATTTTATTCATCACTAGGCTCCCCTAGCCACCGGCGCATAAGCCTCTTCATAACAAGGTCACTGATTACGGTAGGAGTACCCGGCTACGCCAGGCACAATAAGTGTTTTGCAGAAAAAAGATTACATCAGAATCAGTGTAACAAAAATATATTAAAAATGTTATTATTAAAATCAGGCAAATTCAAAAAGAGAATATAGTAAAATGTATTGGGTATGAGGTTGACGTTTGTTAATGAGGTATTCCCTTTAGGCGCATTCAACAATTATTTTAGTAGGGTTTTAATATCTTTTTACTTTGTTAAACAAGCTATAGAATTTTTTTTGCTAAAAAACAAAGTGATTATCAAATAAAAAGAACATTAGGTCCTTATTTTATAGAAGTTGCCAAAAAAAATGTTGATAGCGCTGGTTCAAGGGAGACCCATATCTCCCTTAAATACACAAAAATGATTAATATTCTAATTGTAATAATACACTATGTAAAAAATTTAATTTTGATAAAAATATTGGTAACTGTGATTTAACGTTGGACAGCATAGTTGTCATAGATGAATCCCAATTTAAACGATTAACTTATAGACTCATACACCATATATGATAAAAAAAATTTATGATAATGTACTGTTCTGATAATGAAAGTACAAACTTATATAATTATAATTGTTTTGAAATTTATATATAACATATAATATTCTTCGATAAAATACAGTGCTATGTGCAAATGCAAAATAGTGTCCTAATAAAAATACATATTACACCATATAATTAAGGGTCAGGATAAACGTATGAGCAGAAATGAGTCAATGCGCATGTTAAAACCAATAATTTTCCCGGAATCTGGTGACCGAGTACTTTCGTTAAAAAAAAAATTTTGAAAATCCGAGCACGCTAAGTAATTTTCTCAGTAAAGCGTTTTTTTCCTTGCTCTATTATATTATAAGATAAGATATCATAGGGCGTGAACATGTATTATTGACATACAGAATAATCGTTATTTTTCGTTAAAATTTGATAAATTTCAAACGTTCGTAGCGGCTTGAGTTTTGGTCGGATCTCGGATTTTTAGCGTTTCCTCGGCACGTGCAGAACGCCGTGTTTTGATCGCGAATCATAAAAAAAATCGTTTTCATGTCGTAAAGTGTCGCAAGAACTTCGGGTGGCGCGCCCTGTCGTCTCGAGACGAGTGAAAAAAAAGCTCGTAAAACGGTGAAAAATGAACAGATTTAGTTGTTAGAGTTGGGCCAGAACTGACCATGCACACAGTCCTGTAGATCCATTATGTGAACAAAATCATCACTTAACATTTGTTCAATCATACAGTTATCAATGATTACTGAGTTGTGCCAAAAAAATTGCTATTATAATACAACGATTTTGTATACAAAAATAAAGTAATTTTAATTGAATTTTGAAATGGATGAATGAAAATTAAAATAGTATTTTAAAGCTATTTAATAAATTGGAATATTTAGACAATAATTTAATATATTAGACAAGAAAAACAGAGTAAAAAAGTATCAACACAATAAAAAATTCATAATTTAAATAACATTAAAACAATTTAATAAAAAAACAAATCTTTCAATGGTCGTTAAGTAACATGTAAAAAGAATTTGTTTTTAACATAATTAATACTCTAAAAAATAATTTCATATTTTATTAGAACAGATTATTAGTTATATTTGGCACAACAATGCATAAATTGATTATCATAAAAGATAATAGGAAAGTATATAGATTATAGATTAATTTTTTAATTATTAAAATAAATGTTGTTTATTCAATGAAATGATTCTGGGTACTTAGAATAAATTTGATTAATAATAAATGCATCTTGTTCTTTGGTACATGAACTTTCATCACTTAAAAGTTCTCTCAGACAGTCATTGAGATCTAGTAATTTATGCCCTCTTTCCAAATAATTAGTATTAAAAATCACATTTTTACAAAGTTCTAAATAAGTTGACCGCATCTAAAAAATGAGAAAAAATACAATTTTTTTAATAAACATATAACAATACAGAAGTATAAGTGTAAGTGTATAAAATCTTAATTTAGTTTAATCTATGTAATTAATTTAACAAGTTTAGACTCTCTCTATCTCTTTTGTATTCAATTCTGAGATAGGTTTGTAGCGATTATCTTCTCTTTCCTATTACTTGCTTTCTTTTTTGAATCTTTGTAGAAATTACACCCTTGGTCCTTAATTATTTGTTGATTTACTTAATTTGGAGTCTTCCCCTAGCATTTTTACCTTCTTTTTTTTAAGTGTAAATATTGATGAATTTATAGCAAATACTCAACAAAAAATATTTAAATTACCCTTTCTTCTGATGGAAGATTTAGCAAACGGCGTAAAAGAATATCAACAAGTACTTCTATATCATTCATATAAAAAAGTTTTGCAGTTTTTGAATCAGCTAACATATCATTTAACATTTTTTCCACAGCTTTTTTAGGTTTTTTTTTTAACTCCAAAACTTGAATAGGATCTTCTATAAATATAAATAATAATTATTTTTAATCATAAAATTATAATTGAACATTTAAATACTTTCAGTGTTCAATAATATCAACAAATTCTCAGTAAAAACTTTAGCATTATCTCTATTAGATAGACTTTTCAATATTATATTTGTTTCAATATTTGAAAATTGAAGATTAAATGCTAAGAGCAAATTAATCATACATTCTGTATTTTTTTCATCACATTTTTCTTCTAAATTACAATTTTCAATATCACCAAGAATTTTTGTCACAAAATCAAAATTCATGTAGTCTAGAATATAAAAATATACTTAATTAATATTTTATAAATAATAATTGTTACTCTTACCAAAACAAGAAATAGATAATGTTTCACCCGTTGATAAAATTAACGTAAGAAATTCAGCAAGCAAAATTTTTTTACACTTATTATCTTGATTAGTTTGTAATTCTCTGAAAAATACAATAAACTAATAATGATAGTATAATTTAAGTAAAAAATTGGTAACAATATCATGAACATGTCAAGATATATTGATTATTAACTAATTACCAAACAAAAATAGATATAAAGAGTACAATATTAAGTATGATAAATATTATAAATAAAAAAATACAATTTTTTTTAGACCACCTTAATAAGTTACCAACAAAATTTTTGTTCATGATCATTTTACTCAAGTTATTAAGTTAAACCAATGATTAATAAGTTATTTCAACGCAAAAATAATTTTTTATGTAATTATTAAAAATATTTGTCATACAAATACAATTATTTAAAGATTATAATCATACATCTATTAATGAAATGGATAGTAAACATATTATAATAAATTGTATTTTATTTTAAAAATGTGATAAAGATTTCAAATTTCATATATAAAATGTAATTAATCATAACAATAATAAAAGTTTAAGATAAAAATGACTTTTATCAAAAAATTATAATGTCTGAATTAGTGTCCATTCTTTTAGAAAATATAACACAAGATTTAAATACTCAATAAAATTTAAAATATAAGGGAAAAACTTTTTAAAATTAAAATAATTATTCAGTTGAATGTTCAAATATTTTTTTTGTTATAATTTATATTATAATGTATTATCCTAAATATTGTTATTACTTAGTTTTTAGTTAAATGATTATACATAATTATCCATAATTATTCTATGTTTTAGAATTAATAAAAAAAATTATAACAATTTTAAACTTTTAAAAATGATACATATGAAATTTAACTTACCTAGCTAATTCCATGGGTAAAACTGAATTTAATATAATATCGATGGTAACAAAGTTTAATTTACACAATTCAGTAAATACTTCCAATAAATGTTTTTGTATTACCCAACGTAGTTCCATTTGATAATAATCCAGTAAATCATTAACTGATCTGAATTGATCAACTTTTAATAAATGATTAGTAATCATAGGATCAGCATTTTTCTAAATAACAATTATTTAAGATATTTACAAAACATTAAAAATCAAATATTGAATGTACTCTAGTAATTGAAGATTAATAATTTAGCGTAATTAAATTATATTACATAAATTATGTGCTACAGTTAATAAAATTACAGTGTATTATACCATATATTTGTCTAATTTAAACTACAATAATTTAATAAATAAATTACCAAAATATTGGTCAATTCTATTAAATAATTTTCAATTTGAATATGATCATCATAAACTTGCCAAGACCGTTGTTGTGAATCTTCTTTTGTTTCTGATAAATATTTGAAAATTTGTTGCATATTTTGAGCATCTTTTGTATTTTCCAAAGTCTTTTCAGGCAACACTGAGCTAGTAGGAGGAAATGTATCAATGATATCCCGTATTGAATCCAAGCTAGATTTTACATTTTTATTAACAAGTTCAGATAAATACTGAACAACAACTGACACAGCAACTTGAGAATAATTATATGATAATCCAGTGTGATTTCTTACCTGAAAATTAATTTATAGATATAGAGTTAAATTTTCTTTTAAATTGATTCTATTTAAGTTATAAATATTCAGTTCAGAGTTTCTATTTTACACATTCTAAATTTATTTAAGGAAAAATTTGCTAATATACTTGTTGAACAATTTCATAGACTTCTGGGACTGTAATTTGTTTAATTTTAATATGTGGTTCTTCAAGTTTTTCAGTTTGATTGCACTATATGAAAAATTTGTTAGAAATGAAATGAAAATAAAAAATTGAAAATAAACAAACAACCTTGTCATCAGATTTGAATGCTATAGGAGTATTTAAAGTGTCGTATAAAGTTTTTTGTTTAAATTTCTTTTGTCTTCTCAATAAAGATTCATAAAACTTGAAACGTTCAGATGAGTTATCATCATTATCAATTTGTTTTTGGACCAAAGCTATACAGTTTTCTAAAAATTGTAACACATGTGAATCTTTTACCTACAAAAATAAAATGTTTTAATCATTAACATCAGAATAAAATTTATTTTAATAACAAATTTATACCAACATAAATAGTTTTTACATAATTATATGGCACATAACCAAGATCACCATTACTATTAATAACTAGACACCAACTTTTTTTATCTGCTATATCCCGATAAATGAAAAATTCATCATGGGTTTTAAAATTTAAGGTTCTTTCAGATGATGTATCTTCAAAATCATATAATGCCTTTAGCATTTCATAATCTATAATAATTAAATCAATTATTTTTTTTGAAATTTTAATAAAATAAAATAATTTTAAACCTACACTATATTGATTACAAAACAACATTAAATATTATTTAGCTATAATGGATATAAATGTATGATAATAATAAGCTTGAAACTAGTTTAAGATAACAGAGGAACAGTAAAATCTTTTCAATTATACTTCAATAATTTAAGAAAAATTTTATTTTAATGATATATTAGGTTATAGCTCCTATTTAATTCATAATAGAAAATTAAATGAATATTATTCAGCGATATATTTTAGAGTTAAGTAAAAAATATTATTACATTATTAAATTTTAATAATAATCAACTAAAGCCACAATTTACTACTTACTAGAGGATGAAGTATCATTCATTGTACTCTGCTCTAATTTTTAAGAGAATGGGAAAGATTTATTTAACTCATAAAAACACATTAATAAATTGATAACTAAAGAATTAATTAGTTAATTCAATCAACTTGATTGATGTAGCATAAATGAACAATCAATAAAATAATTATTTAAATTTGGAAGAGTAGGTGTAGATTTTATCGTTTGCTGCAGTAGATAATAACACAGCTGATGATCAAAGATAAGAAACAGCTGATATCTGATCAATTGTTAAAACAAAACATAAATTTTTTAAACTAAATTAGAACATTTCTTTCAATTATTTATAATTATAATTTACGTCCATTAAAAAAAAAAAAAATTCTCATCAATTTTTTATTTAAATCAATCAAATATATTAACCATTCATGGCTTTACTGAAGAGTTTGATAGATTTTACTATTTTATTGTCTGGTAAGGTCTAAAAAATCCGTAGGTTGGAATTCTGCAATCTGGTTCTGGACTCGATTGAATGGATATTGAGTAATAAAACATTAATTTTATTTTGACTCGCCCTCAAAAGATTATTTGAAGGGCAATATTAGGATAATTTAGTATTTTAATTTTGATACTCAATGACAAAATAAATTTTACTATTTAAACTGAATCAATTTAATACCTAAGTTAACAGGATAAAAAGTATGGAATTACTTATTAAAATTTATATATTCTAGTTATTCGTATCAAATAAACTTGCATTTTTTTTTTTTTTTTTCATAATTATATGAATAATTTTTATATTTTTGAGATATTTGTAGATATACTTTAAGGGAATCTTTGGTGTTTAGAGAAGATTTAGCCTCTTAATTTAATTTCCCAAAAGTTATCAAAATTATAAGTAAATTTATACAGGAATATTTTTATGAAAGGCAGAAGTTATGTCTAATCTAATTTTTTTTAAATTGTGTCTATAAATTGTCAGGTTTATTTTAATAAGTTAGTATAACGTAAAACTCTTATATGACACATACATTTTAATATAATAACCATTAATAGAAAAAAATAAAGAAAAAAAAACTTATAATAATAACAAAATATTAGCTTATTAATTAATCTTCGTTGTTATTTTTTTTTATTCCAAGATAATACCCTGCAAACAAATAATACATTTCATTAATTTTAACGAGTGTAGTAAAAGAAAGAAATATTTGCAAGATTATAAAAATATTTTTTGCTATGCTGCTAATGAATAAATAATTATTTATTCATATAAATTATAATTTATAAATAATCATTTTGAAGAAGGTAATTGTACTAGCCATACTTATCAATCATGTTAGATACATCATCAATAATATGTATAAATTTTGTATTTTGAATTATCTCTAGGACTAATAAAGGAGACTTAAGTCTTCTTTTTAAACCTTATAAATGACTATGATCCATTAAACTCAATAATTATTAAAGATTGGGGAACTATCAATGAGAAATGATTTTAATCTAGCAAATATTCTGTACATCATATCAGTAAAAATAATTATATTAAAACTGATACTACCGAGATCATTGTAGAAAATTATAACTCTTTCTTTTATATTACCCCTCTCTGTGATAAAATTTTAAACATTATTGATATTCACTGATTTTAGTTTGATTAGTACAATTATAATTAAATTACCAGTGTGAAATCCACTCATGTAGTATGACATTAACATTGATGTTAATGCTTCTCTTTCAGTAGTTGGTAAATTCTTGAAAAACCCAGGAGGAGGTGGTGGTGGTGGAAGTGTAGTATCATTTTCCTATAAAAAATATTTATTTATTTAATGTTAACGCCCGATTTGAGCTCAAATACAGTATATAATATAATATAATAATTAGATAATGATATTAACACTAGATATGTAACATTACTCAAAATTACTAATTAAATATAAAATAACACAAAATTATAACAACAGTTTATAAAACAACAATAGTAAGTCTTAATATTTTGCTTAAGAGAAAACAGATAAAGTAGAAAAAGTAATTACATTAAGCATGACAGACTTTTAAAATCAAATAGATCAATATTATTTAATATATTGCATTCTCTAGCAATGCGATCTAAGGGGTTATTAATCTAAGGGGTAGTGTCATCTTCCTATAAAAAATATCAATGGTTGTTGGTAATAATATTTAATACTGATACAAAATGTTGTATTTTTAAATGAAATGAAATATGACTTAGATCACAATATAACAATATTTATAATCACAGCTGGACTTTCTAGTAAGCTAGTCAGTGGTGTACACAAATTAAATTTGGGGTGGTTTTTGAAATTTAAAGAAAATTAGATTTGGCACTGCCCATATTATTTGCTCACAAAAATTCCTGTTTTCGATTATTTTATTGTGGAAATATTTATAGTATGATATGATCTTTTTTATTGTTATTACTTATTGTTTATCGTCCAAAATTATCGCTTAGCTTATAAATTTTGGGGTGTTAGGGGCTTGTTTAATAGTTGAGGATCTTGGTCAAAACCAAGAATCGGAAGCTACCCGACGTCTGCTCAAATATCGTCCCTATCTCCTTAAATGAGTTTTAATTGCCTGAAGGAGACACAGGCAATCGTGTACCTTAGTTACAGGGGATAGATTATTAAATAAAATTAGACTATTGTTTTATGTCAACGACAAAGTAAGGTTATATTTAGATGTTCAGTAAATATAAGTTATATGTAATGTACAATACGTCTGACCTGAATCCTAGTACAGTTGGTTAGTAGGTATATCCAAGTGAGACGGAGTTGGTTGGCTATGATGACAATTGGCGATAGACGGGTCGTTGAATAAAACAAGTAAAGTTATAAATAATATAAATAAGACGAAAGTAATAATATTGAAAATTATGTCTATAACGGCCACTCAAACACAACTGCCCTTTGTTAGTTCGACGTCAGTAGCTCCGGACTACAGACGAGTAGAATTGTCACATCAGCATCTCCCTCTATGCTAATTAATATGTATTACGAATTAAATAAATATAATTAAAACGTGTGTAATATAAGTGGTAAGAACATAGTAATAAATGTTCTTACAGGGGGGAGGGTTTTAAACCCCAAACCCTCCTCCCTTGTGTACGCCAGTGAAGCTAGTGCTCAAGGCAGCAATTGTTTAGGAATGGCAAATTATCAGTGATGAAAACATAATCGCATTATTATTTATAGTAATAATATGAAATATTATTAAATTGTATAAATAATTACATTGTTACTTTCCAATTAATAGTTTAAAGTAATAAAAAATAAAAATGTAATTTATTTGAAAATTTAGATATACTATTTAACTATAAATAATAAAAACCATATTTAGAATAAATTATGTTAAGGTATGAAATAAATAATTTTATTAAAAAAGTAGTAATATCCAATCATCTGAAATCAAACCTGACATCTGATATACTACCAAATATAGTTTGACAGGCATAGTTATGATAAAATTTTATATATGTACCTCAAAATGCCTGTTGAAATTATTGTATTGTTTTTTGGAATCATGCTAAAAAAGAAAAGGTTTAATAATTATTCTTAATTCATTGAAGTAAATCTAGTTTTAATTAATACAAAATATTCTTTGAAGTTTAAATTCAATTAATAATTAAAATTAATCATGTCTGAATAAAAAAATTTAAATAAAGAACAGTTCTATAAGGGTTTGTTGAAATGTCGAAGTAAAATTTACTGTATTAAACAAATACTTACTTTCTTTTTGGATTTGTTTTTTTTGGGTTTTTCTATACATTCCTAAATTATAAATATGATTTAGTAAATTATTTAAAAGTATCTTATTATGAATTCTAATAAATTATTCTGTGGTTGGAGAATTGTACATGAATATTAATTTATATTCCTCTCCAAAAGTTATATGATTTCTCTTATCTTAGAAAAAAATTGCTAAAAATATATTATTCAAAAAAATTTAAATTAAGCATCAACCAATTTAGTTCAACAAAAAATTGTATTAATCATCCTGGCAAAATATGAATAACACTAGACTGTTAAGGATATTAATACCATTTTCTATTAATAAAATTATTATGATTTAATACTAATAGACTTAAATAAATTGTTCAAAAAATAAAAACATGCTTAATATTTAAATTTTATACTGATGGATATCTATTAAATAAACATTTGTTTTTCTTTAACCTTTTCATTTAAACTTAAATCAGATAATTCTGAATCTATAGGTGGAAGCTTAGCTTTTGCTTTTTTTTTCACTTTTTCATATTGTCTATCATAATTATCAACGAGTTCTGAATCATCAATTTCTCCAGCCTAAAATTAAATAAAAAAAAAAGAAAATTATAATGTTTATCAATAAATGTAAAATTATCCTTTACAGAATTTCTGCTAAACAACAAAACAGATTGTTTCTCAGCCATAGTCGCTATAATAAAAAAAAAAAATTGTTCTATTTTTTACTTAAATATTAACTATTAGGTAAACAATAATATAAAATTTGCCACTTTAAATTAAAATTGATTTGAGTCACATTGGTATAATATTTATTCTTACCAAAATAACAACGAATTTTTTAGATGATAACTTATCGTTCCGGCAGTCGATCTTAAACGGTACATTTAATATTTTTTTATGGGTTTCTAAAATTGATTTATGTTTCCCTAATTATCACAAAATATACCATTTTGAGAACACATTTCATTGGATGACGTCAAAGGATCAGCTCAGCAGCAACTAGCGTTATCTTTTGATGTCCAATCAAACGTGGATATCACACCTCATACAAACTAGTCACTTAGTAGGCACCCGTGCTAGTCGAGTTAAGAAGAGTTTTGTGTTGTCAAATTTACGAAAGCTTTCTTCGTTTGTATGTATTTAATATGCATTTCATACTAGTTAATATAATTTTTTTATATTAAAATTGTATTGTCGTACTAGTATTTGTTGACGTACGTGGGTTGCTGCTGATACCATGTCGTCCGACAGTGCTGTCGGCAGTAGCCACTCGAATGTTGAGATGGTTCGAGGGCAGATATTCGATGTTGGCCCTAGGTACACAAATTTATCTTATATTGGAGAGGGTGCTTATGGAATGGTTGTGTAAGTATTTTATTAATAGTTGAAATGGTATCCATTAAGATGCCCCTTTTTTAGGTAGACACTGAGCAGTTAATGACAGTAGATAATTTCAATATTAAATTCGAGTAAAATAAAATAAATCAACCTTATATAAATTAAAAAAAATGCTTCATAATTTACTGAAGTAGTAGTAAATATTTTAATTATGCAGTGATATGAATTTTGAAAACATAAATTTTATGCAAATGTTCATGTTCTTAATGTAATTTATATATTTATATATGTATTTAAAAGTTAGACAATCAAAAAAAATATTATAAATCTTTTAAACAATCATGAAAATTTAAATAGTCAAATAGGTAATTTTTAAAAAATTTAACCCACTATTGAGTGGCTTTACCTACTAAAAATTTTTTTTTTGTAGCGGAAGGCTGAAATAAAGATTTTTTGTACAAAATCATTCTAAAAGTAATTGTTTTTGGTTACAAGAATTTTAGGGGAACTACTAACTGAAGCAGTTAAATAAATATTTAAAATATTGCAAATAAACTTATTTTATAATTTTAGCCTATTTTTTATTGAAGTATCAATCTAATGTTTCAGTTGTTATTATTTAAAATATTACTCAAGAATAAAATTAATAAAAATTGTAGAAATATTTAAAACTATTTTTTTCTAGGTCTGCCTATGATAATGAAACAAACTGTAAAGTAGCCATTAAAAAAATTTCACCATTTGAACATCAAACCTATTGCCAACGGACATTACGAGAAATTAAAATATTAACCAGATTCAAACATGAAAATGTTAGTACAATAAATATTTTTTATATTAATTTATTTTATATACCATTTTTTATGTTTTTTTGTATACTAGATAATTGACATAAGAAACATATTGCGAGCTGATACAATTGAACAAATGAAAGATGTGTATATTGTTCAATGTTTGATGGAGACTGACCTGTATAAGTTATTAAAAACTCAGGTTTGAATTAAAAATTAATCCTTTAAAAATATGTTTTTAAGGTGTCTATATGACTAAACTTCATAATTGTGTTGAAAAAATTGATAGTATTAATTTTTATATTGAACTTTATATATTTAATGAAAAGTTTTTTTTATATATCAGTATTATTTTAATTATTTACTAATATTTGTTATTAAAATTTTAGAGACTGAGCAATGATCATATTTGTTATTTTCTTTACCAAATATTACGGGGGTTGAAGTATATACATTCAGCAAATGTTTTGCATCGTGATCTCAAACCAAGTAATTTGCTTCTCAACACAACATGTGATCTCAAAGTAAGAAAAATGTATAAATATGTATATGTTAATATTTGTATTATTAATACTTTATTTCTAGTATGTTATTTTTAAAGCATTTTTCTAAAATAACAATGTACAATAATTCAATTTATGTTTTTTTAATGTTGAATATGATATAATTACAATCAAATTAAAAATTTATGTTTAATTAGTTTTATAATTTATTTTTAGATTTGTGATTTTGGTCTTGCTAGAGTTGCTGATCCTGATCATGATCACACTGGATTCCTTACTGAATATGTTGCTACAAGATGGTATCGTGCTCCTGAAATAATGTTGAATTCCAAAGTATATTGTTATATTCTAAAATTGTCTTAAAAATTCTCTTGTATAAAACTATTATTTTTTTAGGGATATACAAAATCAATTGACATGTGGTCTGTTGGTTGTATATTGGCTGAAATGTTATCAAATAGACCAATCTTTCCTGGTAAACATTATTTGGATCAGTTAAACCATATACTAGGAATATTGGGATCCCCCACAGCAGTAGATTTATTGTGTATTATCAATGATAAAGTATGTTATTTTAATTATACATAGAAAATAAATTAGTTATTTTTAAGCATAACTTACATTTATAGGCTCGAAGTTACCTTCAGTCATTGCCATTCAAACCCAAAATAGCATTTTCAAAACTTTATCCTACAGCAGATCCAAAAGCATTAGATCTATTGGATAAGATGTTAACATTTAATCCTCACAATAGAATCACAGTTGAAGAAGCATTGGCACATCCATATCTTGAACAGTATTATGATCCTGCTGATGAGGTATTTATTGCATAAAAAATGTTATAATAGTTGAAAATATCAATTAATTAACAGTTATTTTGTTTATTGATCTATGATATAATAGTTAATAAAATAAAAACTTCTTTTAATAGCCTGTTGCAGAGGAGCCATTTAGATTTGTTACTGAACTTGATGACTTACCCAGAGAAACATTAAAACAAATGATTTTTGCTGAAACTGTTAATTTTAGCCAAAACGTTTAAGATAAGTTGGGTATTATGCGTTTATGATTCCTTACACTATACTTGAAACACACTATTCTAATTTCTAACTTTATATTATATTTTATAATAATTTTTATAATTATATTTCTTGCTTATCTCTAGTTCTTTATAATTAAAAAAATCTATATTTAATAATTAAAATTAATTAAATATCTTAGAATAAAGTATGACTAATAGTTAAATTTATTGTATTATTATCTTAAATTGAGTTTCCAGTTTTAAAAATTAAATTTCCTAACAAAAATATATTTATTTTGTTACATGATGAAACATTCAATATTTAATTTATTAGATTAAAACATATTTAACTTTATCAATGTAATCGTGTAAAGGCAATCAATGCTTGTTGATAAATTTGATTATTTAGTATAATTTTTCCATGTCCGGCCATTCTGTGTCTGTCATCTGTGATAATACTCATGGTACTTATTTGGTTTTTAATTAATAGTTTATTATTAGATAATTTATTTAGAGTGTAATAAATTCAAACATCACAGGATGAGTTAATTTTTTGAATGTGAAACATTTTTTTTTGAATTTAAGTTGCCAAATAAGTATAATTATTATATTTATAAATCTATATACCATTTGTATATTCTATTAATAAGATGTGTGAAATTTGAAAAAAAAAAAATGACCAGTCTTTGTCTTTGTGCTTTACCTAATAAATATACACTAATATTTATTAAATGATAATTTAATTATAGCTATGGTCTCAAAATGTATATTACTTAAAATTCATTATATGCTTTAATATTCATTTTTCTAATTTTGAATTTTAAATTGCTGATACTATAATTTTTAAAGCATTAATTTTAACATAGTAAAAATTATATTTTTAAAATATTTTTTGTAATTCATTAAATTTATTTTTAATTATGAATAATAATAGAACATCTAATATTACAAACAAAATTGTACATTTATTACTTTAAAGATTTGTAGTCTAAAATGAAAAAAATTATTCAATTCAAAAACAAGAGTTTGTAACTTTTGTTTTGAATATACTAGACAACTAAAATTATTATTTTTGAGATTAGATGTTTTTACTTTCTTCAATATAATATTAAAATTTAATTATTATGAGTGATGTCAAATTTTGTAAAAGTATTTAAAATAACTAATTTTTTTAATAAAACTTGAGATTTTTCATGTTTTGTGTTAATGGCATACTAGTTATAGAATATAGTTGTTTAAAATTGAACAAAAATATAAAATTATATTACTCAACTATTAAATTTTGCATATTTTTCTCAATTTTGGTGTGCATTTAGAAAAAAAATGTTACACATGTTTGTTAAAAAATGATATCGTATATAGTATAAAAAATCAGAAAGAATTATAAAAAACAATTTCTAAACCTTTATCTCCTGTTTGTATTTTTAAATTAAATTATGAAGCTAAGGTTCTAATAGTTTGTTGAATTTTTACTATATAATCTTATATTTGTACTGATAATAACAATTATGATAGGGTACAAAAATAAAAATATAAGAATAATTAAATTTATATATTTTAGTTCATGATGACTAAATTAATATTAACTAATACTTAATTTTATTAAATTTTTGTTAAAATTTCAAATTTAATTTTGTATATTATATCCATAAGTTTTTTAATATTATAAAAAAAGAAAGCTAATGGTTTTTCTCTTTAAAGTTACTTGGATGTAATTTACTTGACTGACTGTGTTGAAAAAGTAAAATATGTTAAACTTTATTTTTTTAATAATACATTTTTTTTTAATCATTTAAATTCATACCAATTATATCATGTTATAAAATATGTAGTATAGTTTTCCATATGATAATTTCTTCATTTTTTCTACATTTTTTATTAAAAGATATTTTAATTATTTACTTTATAGCAATAAAGGTATATTAAGAGAGTAACTGTCAATATTACTTATTATTTAATACTTTCTAAATATGTTCATTGAGGTTTGGTAGTATTAACATTTTTGTACACATAAGTTGTTCTACTTTTAACTTTTATGTAGTTTCAAAACTTATAGGGTTGTTATAGGAAAAATTTTCATCTATATTTTTTTTTTAAGTATAACTTTTTCTTACTATTTAGTAACTATAATCTAATGTGTGCCTAAATAATTTGATAGTATTTTTATGCAGTTCTCAATAATCATTTTTAAATCATTACTATTCATTAATTATGTAAGTTATTTAATTAATATACAAAATATTATGTTTGAAATACAATTAATATTCCATTAATATTACATATTGTTCGCTTTTTCAAACTTTGTTGATGTTGTGTAAAACCAAAATTGTTGAGTAAAAATATAATTAAAAAAAAAACTAATATTTTTATTTTTGTTTCTTACATGTGTATATATTTTTTAATTTTGAGGCTTCATACTTATGTTAATAATGAATAAGTGCATCTTCTGAATGAATTAATTAATATACAATATTAATTAACTATAATACTGTAATGATAATACATTATTAATTAAAACAAAAAAGTTTTAATTTTTTTGTATTAAAAAATGCCTAGTAGATTTGGAAAGACTAGAGAATATTTTTTCTTCTTAAGTTATGCTGCAGTGGAGAATGCACCAATAGCTTAGACATATAATTAAAAAATTCCTTTATTAAAAAAATATGTTATTAAGTATAGTTATAAACAAAAATAATACAAAATCATCTTTTTCAAAAACACATATATAACAAATAAATACAATTTTTATTTTTAGAACAAATTAATTGTATTGAGAAATATTTTAACAATCAAGTTTAAATTTTAAATGAGTCATAAACTTTATTGACTAACTCAAATTTATTTCCAGTATTTTGTATTCCATTATCTTTCAAAAATTGTCTCAATTCATTAACTGTTAACTTATCTACTAATTTTTTTGATACAAGGTCTTTCATTCTATAGTAATCAGGAATTTTTCGAAACTTTTTAACCATTTCAATGTGATTTGAATTTGAAGCTTGGCGTTTTGAAGTTACTATTGATGATGGATGGTAATCTAAAGGAATTAATTTCCCAAAAATATCATTTTTTAAATTACTTAAATTCTTATCAATAAAATTAAAATCAGGTACTGTTCCATCTATAACTTCAGGTTTTTCTATGTTAAATGCTATTGCTTCCAACATTGCCCAATGAAAATCTATTTTTGGATTGGATATCATAGTTGGATTATCTTTTATTGGCATATTATCTATTATCTGAGATGCTATTTGAATATGATAATCATTTAATTGACAATTAGATACTTTTGAATCTGCAGGAACATCTCTAAGACATTCAGCATATGGCAAATACATAATATGAAATCCAGGTGGTTCAATTTGGTTACCCTGGTCATCTTGAATATGAGGTTGAGGAACAAGTGCTGCTAAATTGATTAGACCACCATTTCTAACTTTGATGAAACATATAGCAATTTTATTCATTTTTAAACAGCATTCGAGTAAACAGTTGAATATAGTATAACTTCCTTCTACTTTTTCATTTGGTTGAATGAAAGAACCACTTTTATAGTGGTAATATACATGAAAATTTTCAGTACTTTTAAATCCTAATAACCTAATACTAGGTTCCATCATATCATTTATTATTAAGAATTCTTCATTTTGAAAAAATATGTTTTTATTTGATATATTACATACTTTTGCTAAATTAGACTTAGGAATGACTTCATCAGTTTCAGCATGGAATGCTTGTCTTAAAGACTCAACTATTTCATTTGTACATTTATCCAATTTAACTATAGGCTGAATTTTTTGCTCTGAATAAAAATTATATAATGATACCGTAAAAAAAGTAGAATTATCAATATTAAATTTTAATGTATTAACACTTCTTTGTTTTCTATTTAAATTATTAACTGTAGACACTATATCATTAGTATTTATAAACCCATTAGATGGTTTACTAATAACATTAAAATCATAGAATAGATCTTTATAAAAATTAGTGATACTAAACTTTGCTCCAAGTGGTATGAATTTAAATTCAATTTTATTTTTTATAATATCATTAAGGCGTTTATATAATGTTTTCTTATTATTAATTTGTGGTTTGTCACAGCATGTCATAAATATTATACTTGAATGACATTGTTTTTCTTTAAATTTTGTAATTAAAAAACTACCATACCAAATGGCATCAGCAATAGGACAAATTGATGACTGTCCAAATTTTGTTTCATCAACTGTTAAAAGTTCATCAAGCATTTTTATAAACTCAACATTTGGTTTTTTAATTTCAAACAAAACATTTAAGAATTTTGGATATGTTTTATTAATATTACTTGTCCCAAATAATATCAAACCAATTTTATCATTTTTACACTTCTTTATGGTGTCTAATACAGTAGCCTTGCAACTTTCAATACATAAAGTAAAGAAGTTTTTTTTGTCACAATATTTTTGAAACATAGGTTTTGAAGCATCAATCAAAAAGAGAATATGATCCTTAGAATTCCAATTCTGTTTGTGAATTATAGTGTCCTCAAATGTATCATTTTCCCATTCGACAGGAGAGTCTGACAAATGATCCATCATTTGAGATATCTGTCAACATAAAATTAATAATAGTATAACTCAAGAAATAGCTGAATAAAATATATAATACCAACTATAAAATTTATTTTTTATACTTTATTGAGTAATTAAGTAGAATAATTTTAGTTTTTCATAGTAAATAATTGCTTGTAAAGATATTTTGACTACTACAATTAAAGTTCATTAATAACTATTTCATAATACTATGAAAAACACATAAAATATTGTGAACAACATTTTAAATATTTTTATTAGTTAAAAGATTTAATTAAAAAATTCCATCATTTTAGAGAATTCAGGGATGTAATGTTCACTTTAGGCAAATAATTCTCAGTTTTAAATTTAAATAATGAAATTTACTGAAGGTATCGGAAAATTAGAATTAAAATTAAAGGTATAGTAAAATACCATGCTTGAGTTTATCAAAATTGTCATGAAATCGAAAAAAATACAAAATAGTAAATGTTATTAAGATTATTTATATAAAAGAAAAAATGACGTGTTTTATATCAAATTAAGTGTGTCCAAGTGTTTGATATAGTAAGTTGCCAGTTTCATTGAAACAAAGATTGTTTAAGATAATTTGTAGTATTTGGTAAATTAACTATAATAAAGATAATGCACCTTATATAAATTTTTTATTAGAAGTGTCAATAAATAAATTTTGTTCACAATTAAGAATGGTTAAATTTGATTCAAAATTATTTAAAAACTTATAACATAATTATATATTAAAGATAACGGACGTAAAGATTTAGTATTGTACAATTTTTTATTTTAAATTAACTCATAATCAATAGTGTATAAATATGCTATCAATTATCAATAAAATATAGCAAGATTTCCCGAATTCAAACGTGTCATTTCTCGACTACAAAACGTATTGAAATTGAGCTCAATATTCATACTGTTTATTGAACCCTGATTATTCATTTTATTTACTAAGAATTAATATATCATATTCAAATCGATAAATTGTAACTTTCAAATTTGCACGAAAAACAATTAATACTTTTATTGATAACACACCTTTTAGATAAGTATTGTAATTTATTATAGTTCGTTAGATTGTTAATAAATCAAGTATATCGTCGTAATTTTTTTTTGTTTTTGGTGTTGCCAATAACAATTACAATTCAATCTAGTGGTAAGTATACCGAGTGATTTACTTAACCACTTAATTAACCAAACACTTAAAAATAATTTTTTTGATTAGTTTCTTTTAGTTCAATGTTTTTCTGATTTAATCAACTATAAAGTATATTTCATGTTAACTCCTTATACCTTTTAATAGTGTCAGCTTTAATTTTTCAAGTTGCAACTTATACAGGGTGTTCAGTAAGTCAGGAAACGGGTATTTATTGTTCTCATTGTGACAAACAATGAGAACAATAGAAACCTGTTTCCTGACTTACTGAACACCCTGTATAATTAACTATTTTATTTATTAGATGATCTAATTAGTAAAATTACTGTTTTAAAATAATTTTTAGACCAGTATTTTAGATGTTGTTTACATGTTTATACCTAGGCAGAAGGAAAATTAAGAACTGTCAAGTGATACAAATAGTAACACCTGCGTCTCACCTTCAGTTATTACTTTAAATTGTTATTAACTTCTAAAATAGTGGTCTAAAAGTTATTATAAACCAGTAATTTTTTTAATTAGATTTTTATTTAATAAATAAATTAGTTAATTATGTGTGTTGCGACTTGATAAATTAAAGTTGACACTCTTATAAGGTATAAGAGATGAACATGAAAAATGCTTAATTGTAGTAATAAATTAAGAAAAAAATTGAACTAAGAGAAACCAATAAAAAAATTATGATTATATTAAATTTTTGATTAATTAAGTGAAATACTCTGTATTTTTTATTTTTTAAATAGTTATTAGTTTAGTTTTTTTGTTAAATATTATTATTATTTATTGATTCTAGGTTATGCAGAATGAAAATTCTTCTTCTGGTTTACCAGTAGAACCATCTTTATCTAGTATCCAAAATTTTCCAGAGTTGAAAAGCTACACGCCAAAAACTGGAATACTTCATCACAAAGAATCTTCTAAATTATTACTTTGTAAACCTAAATTGATGGCACTTAAATCTATAACTCTTGAAAAGATTCAAAAAATGCAAATGGATGCTGAAAAGAAACTTTCTAATAGATGAATACTTTATTTAGTAAAATGACTGTTGGAATATTTACCACAGAAGTTGTATTTGCTTTTATTTTAACTATAGTATTACTTAACCGGTATGGAAATTGGAAAACTCAAAATGTTGTTGTTACGATTGCTGTGTTAATTTCTTGGTATTTTTCACTTTTGATTATTTTTGTTCTTCCTATTGATATATCTTTAGTAAGTAAAGCTACTATTTCAAGTAAAGTTTTAATCTAAATAAATTTCTTTTAGTCAAGATTATTTACTTTATGTATTCATAAATAGTTTTCCAACGCTCAATAAAATAAAGAGATATAAATATTGTTTTTAGGCTACTTACCGTAAATGTATCAAGGATTATGCTTCCCAAAATAGTACCAATTCTAGTCAAAATGAATATTGCAAAAATCCGTGGAGCTATGTTCCATCATCTACATTACCAAATTTGTGGAGAGTTGTGTACTGGACTTCACAATTACTCACATGGTATCTTTTCTAATTAAAATATGCATATATAATAAGAACAATAAAATATTGCTTTAAAACTAAATAAATAAATTAATTTCTTTAAACTGTATTTATTGCCATTTTATTTAGAGTTGTGCTAGTACTAGATATTACAAGGTCTAATGCAAAAAGTTTTTGCGGTGACTTTTTTTATACTTTAATAGTGAAAGAAACCTTTTTAGTAGTTTTAAATCTGATATTTTAAATCTTTATTTATCAAAAACTGTCTTTAATTATTTTAATATATATTTTTTAAGTTAAAGTAATTAATAATTAAATTGACAAAATATTTAAGTTTTATGATTTTTTTAGGTTTATCATGCCAGTCATGCAATATTATGTAAAATCAGGCGAGTTTACATTAAAAGAAAAATTAAAAAATGCTATAAAAAGTAATACTGTATATTATAGTACATTATTGACAATAGTAACAGTCCTACTAATTTATATTGCTTTAAAACCAGGTGTTCATCTTGATTGGTAAGAGAATAATGAACATTTTAAATAAAATTTTCAATTAACAGTTTTTATAATATGAAATTGTATTAGACAATTATAATTGAAGTATTTTAAAGAATTTTATTTGTAATAACTAATGTATCCAAATTATGTAATGAGTGGTATGTAGGAATAGTGTATTTACCTTCGATGCGAAGCTCAGAAGATATTAATTTTCCTATGATGTATTTTTTTTATGTCTGTCGTCACTTTGTCTCAACTCTCATTGAACTGTTTTCTTTTAACCATATGTCAAAATATCACAAATCATATCTAATTGAAGACATTACCCTTAAAAATTGAAAAAATTTCCCTCGTTCCTTGTATATGGAGAAAATCCCTAAAAAATGACAATTTTTTAAATTGGTAAATTTTGACATATTTTTTATTTATTTCTCTTAAAACTGCCATAAATTTTTGAAAAATGAATGTACCAAAATATATATATTTTTAAATAGAAACCTTAGGTATTTTTCTTTCATTTGATATCATTTTTCAAAATTCTGACCTGTTACTAACCACAGGGAGAGATTCAAAATAGCAACTATTTTACAAAAGTTGACTTTTTCAACTTTTGAAAATGTTCCGGTAATACTATGTCTTTTAAATATATGTTAAATTAAAGCTTATCTTACATACTATAAGTTAAAAAAAAAATTTTGTCCTGACGACCTATCTTCTATGTGCAAATGGCAGTCGAAGTTTAACAAAAATTAGAACGTAATTTTGCTTTTGGAATAATCCACCCATTTCTTAAAATTAAACACTATCTACAGATTTGCATCGAAGCGTTTTTTGTGATAGTGTTTTAACCGCTGTCAGATATCATCTATACTTGTCCCAATTATGCCACATCCATACTGTTCTGCGACCCCACTGTGCTACCGTTTTTCAATTTTTTTTTACTTCCATTTATTTTCTATCTTTACTATAGGCAAAAATTAAAAGCTATTGCATCATCAGCCAGTAATACTTGGGGATTATTTCTTTTGATATTGTTATTGGGTATTGCTTTAGTTGACATACCTACAGAGTTATGGAGATCTAGTCAGATTGAATACAGATTAAGGAAAGTATATTTCAAGCTCTCAAAATTAAACACAGAAAAATTAGAATCTGAAGGAGCATTAGAAGATGTAATAGAGGTATTATATATGTTTACATTTTTTTAAATTAATAATATTTTTAATATAGTTTTAATTTTACTTAATTAACTAGCCACAAGTGATCAATTTTTATTATGTATTTTAATGTTTAAAAATATTATTTTAGTCAATAAAGAATGTAAGTCTTAATATAAATCCAAATGATCAGTTATATGATTGTTTTCAAATAATTTTAAAAAAAGTTCCTGAAGATTACTATGAATCAATATCAAATTTAAGATCAAATCCTAGAAGAACTCAAATGACTACTTCAATTGGTTTATTAACTAAACTTCATAAACAAGTAATTTGAGAAATAATGTGTTTTAATTTTAGGATTGTAATAAAATAAATTTGTCACATATATTTTAAGAATTTAAAAAGTTTAAATCTGGAAAAAAAACCTAAATAATTATGGTTTTTGCCAATTTATATTTATCTAGTAAATTAGTTTATGTTTTTTTAGTACAAATTGAAAAAAATCATAAATATTATAAGACCACTTTTGAAACCTTAAATGAACTTAAAGTTTNAAATCATAAATATTATAAGATCACTTTTGAAACCTTAAATGAACTTAAAGTTTGACTTAAAAAAAGTTAAAAATCAAAATTAACTAAAAAAATATATATCGGTAAATTTTGATTTTTAAACTTTATATAATCAATTTTTATTTTAAAAGTAATTTTTAATTAAACAGCAAATTATTAACCTTACAAAATTAAAAAAAAATTTGATGTAGGTCAACTAACTTATACATTTTTGAAAAACCAAAATCATTATAGTTCCTAGCGCTGATTTGAATAGTTATACTGATATTTTACAACAATTGATTAAATCATAAAAGTGTAACATTTTCAAAGCATTTTAATATAAGAAATACCTAACCCATAACCCTAACCCTTTTGTGACGTCATCTAAAGAAAGATACTATTATTTAGAGTTGATGATAAATTGGTTGTCCTAATACGTATCCGTATTATTTTTAAGACTGTTAGAGTTAAATCAAAGTTTTTAGATTTAATTAATATTTTAAGATATACTTTTAATTTTTAAATAATATTGGCCACAAGTTGGTTATTAATTAATATTGTGCTAAATAATTTTAAGGAATTTTTTTAACTCAATTCAAACTTTAATATAAATATGATAATTTTGCCAGACACCAATATTTTTACTTTAAGAGCAGTTGTCCCATTTATTACCTGTATAACGCTCTTGAATAATTTAATTTTTCATGTGAAATTTTGACTTAATTATAAAATTCAAGCTGTTTTATTGTATTAAATTGAAAATTAAAATCAATTTTAGCTTATTACTGCTGTTCATATGTATCAGAGGACTGAGACACAAGGAAATATAACATTAGAAAATGCAATATTTTTAGAAGATATAAATTCTAACATGTCATCCAGAGACTATCGATTTGTAAAAACTTCAAATAAACTATCAAAATGGAAAAATTATTTTAATACATCAAAAATTGGTATGATTTTGATATACTTACAATGTAATTTAAATTAAATTTACTTGTTGTTACAAGTAAATCCTTGAGGGTATATAATAAGTGTTTATATAATAATGTTTAATTTAAATTTTACAATGATTGCTTCTTGCATCAATTAAAAATGCATTAGTTTATATAACATTATCTTTAAAGTTTTTGATTAATTTTATAAAAAATAAATTGTTAAATTATTATTCATTATTGAAAGCAGCAGATTTAAAGTTTTGTCAATACAGTTTATTCTTAAAAAATATGAAATGTTAACACAATAGTTTTGTGATCCTTTTGAATTAAGTTATTTTATTAAAAGTATAATGGAATAATTTTTTTTAGAATGGTATTGGTGGTGTAGAATACACCCTACACTACTGCGAACATTAGCTGTTTTTACAGGCGTGTTATCAGCTATTATTGTTTGGTCAGAAATAACATTTTTTAGTAAAAAACCTGTGCTTTCTATTTTTGCTTTAATGGTTGAAGCTGCTCAACTATCAAATGATTATGTAATGATACAGGTAAAAATAAAATAAATTTATGAATCTTATACATTTTTTTAGAATTATTTGTGTTATTGGTGTTACTATTTGCTGAGTTCCAAATTTGTTTTAAAATAGGTCCTTTCCACTATTTCTATTGCATATTTGGCATACTGTACGTATTCAACAATATTCAAAATAAAATTGTTGAACATTTATTATTTGGCACCAAACCATCAAACTACTGAAAGTAGTTTAATATTTTTTGGATTGTAAGTACTTAATGAATTTATTTTTAAAATGATACCTTATAGGTTTATTTTAATGTATTTTAAATGTGTGTAAAGGTTATTGAGTAGACTTACTGCACCATTATGTTTAAATTTTTTGGGTGTAATTCATATGGATAGTCATGTTATAAGAAGTCGTATTTTAGAAACTGACTACACTCAAGTATGCTTGTTTTAAAATTGCAACAGTTTTATTGAATGTTAAATTTATTTCTTGTTACTAGATAATGGGTCATATGGATGTAATTACCATTATAAGTGATGGTTTCAATATATACTTTCCAATACTAATCCTTGTTATATGCATGGCAACATATTTCAAAATTGGTTCTCGAATATTATCAATGTTAGGATTTCCTCAATTTTTAGAGGATGATGAATTACTCGCTGATTATATTCAAGAAGGTCGTTTATTAGTTATAAGAGGTCAGTATAATAACTTCATTGAATTTATTGTATATAATATGAAGTTTATTCTAGAAAAAGAAAGACGTGATCGTAAATTAAGAGGCAATTTAATGCGTCAAAAATATAGAGATCAAACACATTTAACTAGAAATAATGGTGATGTGGAAAATAGTAAGTAGTTTTAATTATATTACATAAGTTTGTGATCGAAAAATTAAAAATATTAATTTTTAGGAGTTCCACCATCACGACAAGAAAATATGAAATCATATTTGTTAGATAATGCTGAACCCATTGACAGATCATATCAAAGTTATTCATCCCACAGTATTAATGAAACAGAAAAGCAATTGCCTAATGTGAGCACAAGACCAAGTAATAATTGGGAACCGCCAAGAAATATATTTGATGATATGTAGGACATAAAATTATTAATTATTAATTTATATAAATAAATAATTTATATATTGTACAAATTATTTAAATTATATATATCTTTATTAAAATACCCCTAGTAATTCTTTTTGTTATATGCCATGTACAATAAACTAGTATATAGTACTTTTCTTTTTTATATAAAATATGTTTGTAATTAGATTGCTTACCCAAATATTACTAGAATTCATTGTAGTCAATTTGTGTTAATTATATTTTAATTATGTCATGTGTCACACTTATTATAAAGTATTAACTTTTTTTTAGTTCTTTTAATTATGTATCTATTCTACCATGACAATTGCATTTTTGTACTATGTTATTTTTTAAATATTTTGTAGCAATATCTAAGAAAAAATTAAAAATTATTGTCTTAACATTTAAATTTGTTAATATTTTGTATTTTCTATATTATACTATTGATATCTTATAATAATTAATTTCAAACTTTCATTTGATTTAAAAATATGTGTATATTTTATTCAATAATATAAAATTTTCTATACGATACTGATATATTGGTATTACCGAGTTATAACAGGGCAAATTATTAAAAATCTGTTGTTTTCTGTTACAACAAAATTTAATGACGTTAAAATAAAATATATTCATAATTCAACAGAATTATAATAATACATTAAAAAAAAATCACTTATTAAGTCATAATAAAAAATAAATTTAAGTTGTCCCATAGTTTTTGTTCGCGGGACTGGATTAAGCACCAATTTGTAAGTCTTTAGCACTAATGGAAAAAAAAATTGTATGAGCTAACTCTTTTTCAAGCTCACTTTAATTTAATCTACTATATATTTATGCAACGAAAATGGTACTTTTGCACGAGTGATAAACAAAAAATAGCCTAAAACAATTTTGTGAGCGCTTGTTATAGAATCTAATAATTAATATGGCGCAACAACAGAAATCATGTAGTCAAAGAATGGATATTACAATATATATATGTTTTTGTAGGTTTTACATTTTTTCATTATCTATTCTAATATTGAAGGTTATTCATCTGGCATTGGTGACTAATAATTGTATATTATGACGTGTTTATTTTTTATGTAATTTAAAACACGATTGAAAATTGAATATTCTTTATTATAAAAAATTATCACACATTTAATGTTTTTAAATAAATGTTTAAATGAATACATAACAAAAAGTAATAATTGTTTTTTTTGATATAATGTATACTCGAGATATGGATAAAAAAATACATAATTTTGTCAAATGTTATGTTAATGCGTTTCAAAAACTTTATTTATAGATTTGGTCCTTTTATGCCATCTATCAAAAGAACTGATTTATTTTATAGTACTATTTAAGTAATGTTTATCCTTATCTCTCATATATTGAAAATAGAAATAGTTATAAACAAATTATGGAATTGAAAAAATGTTACTATATTTGAATTTGTAACAGAGTAATACATTGAATATATCAAATTTTTATTATTATAATTATTAATTATTTTTAATTTATTGTTAATGACTTGAATAAAATACTTAACAGTTTTGATTTAAGTAAGAATAATAAAAATTAGTTATTTTTAATATTTTGCTAATGACTGAAAAAATACATATACTTTAAATTTAAGAAGTTAAATACCTATATTATATAATTTTACTTTTTTGTTAATAAATTAATAGTTTTCATATATATCACACTATTCATACATAACATTTAAGTATGTTAAACGATTATACAAATTAATTCTAATATATTACAAGTACCTTAAAACTAACGGTGGTTAAATCTTCCGAAGGCTTAAATATGTACTCGGGTTTACATATTTATTTTATGTGGGAATTTGTGTTATGAAAATAAGTGAAAAGCGTTCGGAAAAATTAACCATAAAACAATTTAAACGTAAATATGAATCATAAATTACATTATTTAAGTTTTAATTGTGTAATTTTGACTAAGGAAAATTGTGTTTAGCATTGAAAGGCCTTTAATCGGGGAACTCTCATATCGTTAATTTTTTTAATATATTACAATGCGAGCACGAGCAATTACAGCTAATTAAAGGCCTTTACTTATCACAAAAAATGGCAAATTATTAACAGTCGTATTATATTACATTAGTTATTCCCATATGCATTTAATATTATGTCAAATAATCTGGAGACGGTTCAGATGTTTGATCGTGGTTCATAAACATTGGATTGGGCACTTGGTTTGGATGAGGTAAAGGTCCGTTTTCGTTCGGAGTTCTCCTGTAAGCCATAAGCCAGCAAGAAACCGCAACTGCTACGGCCACCAAGGCCAATAAAGCTGTGATGACCAACGCAACAATTAGACCAATTATCGAAACGCATATGTCGTCGTTTGGTTGAATTATCGGTGCTGCAAAAAATGATTTATTTGTTTTGAAATTATTAAAAATAATAAACTATATTTATAAAATAATAGTTAGTAAAAATATAAATAATTTTGACGAAATTACTTAATTATTTTAGTCATATAATTTCCTTTGCTTCTACCTAACTATTTAGGTTATTTATATAATTCGACCAAATATTCGAACTATTCATTAATCTTAATTTGTTTAATGGGTCTATAAAAAACGTACCTTCGGCTGGGCCCATGAGTCTTTCTTCGCGTCTCTCAATTGTCAATACAGCGTTAGATTCAATTGTTATTTCTTCTCTCAATTGACCGGGTTGATTTGGATCGAGAACTTCATCGTTTGTTTTGCTAATGCCTATTTCACGTCGTTTACGTCTACCGAATGCGTTGTAGCCGTTACAATTCACCTGCAACGATTGAAAGAAAAAGTTATATTATAAAACCCAACCTCGGTGTTACGAAACGTTGTGTAGTACTGTTGTTTCACATGACACACGGGAGGTTAGCGGCGGTGGGGGATTGGATACGGTAAAAGACGGACTTGTTTGTGACTTCCACTCTTTCTCCGGCGACTCGGCGTATTGTGTACCGTATAATAGACAACGTCGTAATATCGTAATACGACAATAACAATGCGTTATAAGTCATACGCTTCTATAGATACTTAAACTTACCGGCTGGCACTTGCCGAAGCAAACGCGTATGTTACATTGGAACCGTATGTTATCAGAACTGGGGAACTTGAACGCGTTGAAGCTAGCCAACAGTGATTGCGTCTCAGCATTGTATTCCCATTCTCCAAATATCATCGGGTCCTTAGCGCATCCGTTTTCGTCGGTCACTACATGTTCGATTACTTCGTTGTTATCGACTGCTTTAGCTATGCAATTTCTGGCGAACCCTCCATAAATACCTGTATACAAATACAATATAATTAATTCAAGATAAATAATTTTTTAAGACCATGACCATGGTCATTGTATTAGTAATTTTTTTTTTATAAACTAGTACTCAACGTACTTGATGGTTGAACTTCTACTTGTAAAATGAGATTATCACCAATCTCCACCGAGTCAATTGTCTGACCGGTATGAGTGACGATTTTCATCAAACACGTCGGGGGTGGTCCAGTATTGGCTATTGTTCCGGCAGTTGTCAACATAGATACGTTAAATCCTAATGAAACGTTTTGCTCCCCGGTGTTATACACACACCTTATATGATACGCTTGAGCTTTGTAAGTTACCAATTTAGGATGTTTCTGAATTACCAGCACGAAACTAGCTTGTCCCTGTTAACAAACATTTTATGTATAATTAATTAATTAATTTTTAGACAAATAAATCAATTGAATATCAATCAAAATAAAATTGAATAATTAATCAATATATTTGATTAAGTAAACAAATTGTGTATTCAACTGTGTATTACTTACGTTCACATGAATAAGACCGCAATTGCCAAAGTTGACTTTAAAAATTTCGGTTCTAGGTTCCGAGTCTTGTGACATTGTCACAATTCGTCGACACTGTTCGTCTTTGCTGTGACCCTTGACGTACATTACTCCATTGAATCCTTTTTCTGTAATATGAATTTCTACTTGAACTCCATCCGATAGACATGTTACTACCATTTCGGGTCTTGGGAAATCTGTTCTGAAAGGTGGCGTTCCATTTTCTGAAAAATATTTTTGTTAGTACAACGCATAGCATACGATTTCCATGTCCAAGAAAATACTACTAAATATTAATATTAAAATTACAAACTATTTATAGTATACGTACTCGGTACACACTGGCCATATATATCTAATACATATCCATGCTCAATTGGACATACGCAGCGTCCTCTTTCGTCGATAATCAGTCCTCTATCTAATGCACAAACGCAACGCCCGTTTTCGTCAACTTTAAATCCTAATTCAGCAATGCATCTATGACACTCGTCTTCTTGATTTAATGCAGTACCAGGTGGACACACACATTCTCCATTTTCATTCCTGATGTATCCTTTATCAATAGGACATTTAGTAACTGAAAAATAATACATTAATATTAGTGTCTTCAAAAATTATATAAAATGATTTTTTATTTATTAAAAATTTTCATTAAAATATTATAATAATATTAATGTTTAATAATCAAAATTAATTTATTAGCATTTAAAAGATCGATTACACAATATTAATGCCAACTAATTTTAGCGACAATAGATAAACTCACTAATTCAAAATTGTCTATAAAAAGACATTTTTAGCTTCGATGCGAAGCTGAAAAGGTATTGGTTTTACTATGATGTTTTTTTTTGTGTCTGTTACCAATTTTTCTCAGCTCCCACTGTACCGATTTCTTTCAATAATACGTCAAAAGATCACAAATCGTATCTAATCGAATATATTGCCCTCAAAAATTTAAAAAAATTCCCTCGTTCCTCGTACATAGGGGAAACCTCCAAAAAAATTACAAATTTAAAAATCGCTTATTTTCGAAATTTATTTTACTTAAAACTGCTATAACTTTCTTAAAAATGAACAAATAAATATAATTTTTTTTTATATAGATGCATGATATCATTACCTTTCATTTGGTATATTTTTTTATAAATCTGACCTTTTACCTGCCTACAGGAGGGATTTAAAATGACAACTTTTTCACAAAAAATTTACTTTTTTAACTTAACTTTTGAAAGTGTTCCGGAAAGTCTGACACTTTTATATATATCTTAAATTAAAGCTAATGTAATGTAGTTTATTGTGGAAAAAAAAATTTCGGACTTTATTTTGTCTTCACGTTGAAAATGGCTACCAAATGCTATTTTTGTGTGAAAATTCTCGATTTTATTTTTTACATTTTTAACTTTATAATGCTATAACTTATTGAAAAGTGTATGGATCAACACAATTTTTTTATGAAAAATAATATTTTTTAATAATCCCTTTTTCATTTGACATACTTTATCTTAATCAGGATATTAATAAGGAACTAGCAGATCATGTAGCTTTTGGAATAATCCACCAATTTTTTAAAATTAAACACTATCTAAAGATTTGCATCGAAGCGTTTTTTTTTTTATAGTGATTTTAATCACTGTCAGATATTATTATACTTGNTGCATCGAAGCGTTTTTTTTTTTATAGTGATTTTAATCACTGTCAGATATTATACTTGATCTAACTATGCCACGTCACCACTGTGCCGCGACCCCCCTATGCTGGGTTTTTTTTGTACTTAAAAGTGCCATAACTTTTTCAAATATTAACAAATCAAAATAATATATTTTTTTAAAATTAACAATGAAATAAAAAGGTACTTAGATAATTACTTGGTTCACATTCTAATGCAGCATTTCCTTGTGTTCCTGGAAGACATTTACATATCATTGTTCTTATTGGAACAGTATCGAGAACTTCGCATTTAGCATTATTTCCACAAGGTGATGAAACTTCACATGGATTAACACACTTTTTGTTGATACATCCCGTTTGTGATGGACAGTCTGAATCGCTTTCACACACGTGTTCGACTATATTAAATAGTTTATTAACATTAAATATCGAATACTTCACAATTAAAAATAAAATAAACTTATTTTACTAACTTTTCACACATTTGGATCCTTCTTCGTTGATGTAACCAGGTGGACATGAACAATCTGGTCTATGATTATATACCACACATTCAGCAGGTGTTATACAAGGATTGTTTTGGGAGCATGGACTGATGCATTTAGCATTTATACAAGCTTTGTTAGATGGACATTCTGAATCTGCTCGACAGCCGACCACTACACAGGCTATTTGTGGATTACCAACAAATCCTGGTGGACATTCACAAACAGCTTGGTGGTTGATTCCGTAACATTCTGCTGCTGTACCACAAGTTGATCCATCTGCGGAACATGCCGGAACGCAAATTCTATTGACACACGTATCTTGACTAGAACAATCAGATTCACTTCGACATCCAACTGAAAAATTAATTAATTATAAATTGTACTTTTAATTAAAATTAGTTGTGAATTAAAGAAATACCTATGGTACAATCTATTTCAGGATTTCCATCGTATCCTGCTAAGCATGAGCAAACAGGTTTATGATCCCAAACTCTACATTCTGAATTCGGTCCGCAGTTACATGGATCAATACACCTTCCATTTACACAACTTTTGTCTGAATGACATTGAGTATCCGCAGTGCAAGCGACCGCTGTTATTGGTGGCATGATCTTGCAAATTCCACTTCCACTACTCACATAACCACTTGGGCACTCACATACCATGGTTCTTATTGGTAGTGAATTAATCACAATACAATGTGCCGGATGTTTACAAGGTTCTAAAGTTGTACATGGATTTTGACATACATTATCCAAACATGCTAATAATGATGGACAGTCTGAATCTTCTTTACATTCTGGTTGTATTTCTTGCCTACAAGCCACATACGGATTTCCCAACATCCCTGGTAGACAGCGGCAAAGTGCAAAATGGTTTTGAACTTTGCATTCAGCTTGAGGTGAACAAGGGTGTTCGTAGACACAAGGATTTATACATTGTCCATTGATACATGCACGATCATTTGGACAATCGTTATTGCTACGACAACCTATAACTAAACATCTATCGTAAGGATTTCCTCTAAAACCACTCTTGCAACGACATTCTGGGCGGCTAGCAATTGTAAAACATTCTGCATTTGGTCCGCAAGGATCTTCAACTATGCACGGGTTCAAACAATGACTGTTGATACAAGCTTTTCCAGAGTCACAGTCAGAATTTCGTTTACATCCAACAGTTCGGCAAGCGACATTTGGATTTCCATCATAACCCTCTAGACATGAACATACTGGGCGATGATTTTGAACAAAGCATTGAGCATTTGTACCGCAGTTGCATGGATTGCGACACTGTCTATTTAAACAAGCTTCGTTTGATGAACAGTCGTCATTTTTTGAACAACCAGGTGGTGAAGTTACGACAACTAAAAAATATAATCATATTATTTAGTATACATTTATATATTATAAAATTTAATTTAAAATATTAATAATTTTACCTCGTTTGCATTCTTCGTTTTCATCTAATACCCAACCTTCTTGGCATGTACAAGTCATTGTTCTGACTGGTACACTATCAAGTACTGTACACATAGCACTATTTGAACATGGTTTTATTTCTTGACATGGATTAACACATCTATCATTTATACATGCGAAACGACTAGCACAGTCGACATCAATTTTACATTCGGGCTCACCATAAATTGGTGAAGGTAAACGTTCACAGTAAGAAGTTGGATCTCCAAGCGGAAGATTTTCAGGACATCTACAAGTTGCCGCGTGATTTTTAGGTATACATATAGCATTGGAGGCACATGGTTGACCATGTTGTTCTGTACATGGGTTAATACAGTGTTGGTCGAAACACATTCGGTCATTTGGACAATCGATATCAAATGTACATTCTGTACGCTCACACTTTTCGAATGGATTACCAAAGTAACCAGGGGGGCACCTACATGCTACACGATGGTTATCACCGTAACATTCTGCCGTTGATGCACACTGATCACTCAACAAGCACGGTGGAACACATTCTCCATTATAGCATTGTTTATCATAAGAACATTGATCGTCAGATGTGCAACCCACTAAAAATAATATTATGCTTAAGTATAAAATTAAATATTAAATATTGATCTCTTGATAATTAATTAAAATTATTATAACTTAAAAACTTTGAAGCCATAAATAATGGTTAATATTTCCCTACAATAATTTAATGTATTATAACTTGAATGTTAGAGTTTACTCTAAATATGATAGTTATGTTATTCTATTACATTTTGTTATTTTTGTATTAACATATCAGATACAATAGGGACGTATCTCAAAAAGTATAATTTTTGACTTTTTGTTATGATTGAATGCAATTATTATTCATTGTATAATGATGCATGCTCTATCTATAAAAAGTGACAGAAATATGATTTTAAATACAAAAATGAATAACTCATCATATAATTAATTATATGTTCAAAACTTATATTTCAAAGTTGTTTAAATCATCTATCATTTTTCGAGATATGTTATTTTAAAGTTACATTTACTTTTTTTTGTTTCAAATGATTTATTTATATTATGAATTTACTTTTTATACATCCTTGCTGTGGATTTCCATAGAAGCCTGGTTTGCACGCACAGCTAGGATAGTGGTTTAGGACTTTACAGTCTGAATTAGGCCCACAATTACATGGACTAACACATTGCCTATTTATACATGACTCTTCTGGAATACATTCTGTATTTGATACACATGCTATCGTAGATACCGATGCTACAAAATAATTTTGTAATGTATTAATATTCAATAAAATATGTTTATCTTTCTTTTAAATAACTTATATACTTACGCGGAATGCAAGTTATACGTGGATCTCCAGTGTACCCAGTAGGGCATCTACAAATTGGTTGATGGTTTTGTACATGACAGAATGATCCTTGTCCACAACTATTTGGTAAAGTACAAGGACTGATACATCTTTGGTTGATGCATGTTTGTTCTGAGAAACAATCATCATTTCTTGTACATTCTGGCGATGAGGGTAATATAGGAATAGCTTGTCCTTTAAAAAAGTTTGAAATAATTAAAATATGAAAATTTTACTTTGCAATAAAGAGTTAATTCTTAGTAATAAATTTTATAAAAACATAGACCTACTTAATGTACATTCAATATGTGGATTTCCTACATAGCCGGGCGGACATGAACATGCTGATTGATGATTTTGTGATATGCATTGGGCGTTTATTCCACATGGATCAATGCGACAAGCTTCAACACAGGCTTGATTAACACATCTTTCTACAGGCTGACATTCTTGATCACTTCTACATTGAGGTGTGATAGGAACTAAATAAAATTGTATTAAATAAAAATAAAAATGTATAATTTTAGAAGTTATGCAATAAAACTAAAAACTAAATAGAATTTGAAAATTAAAAATAGTTCTTTTTATAAAAAATTACCTATTGGCTTGCAATGGCCATCTGCAGTTGCAATTGTATCGGATCTACATTGACACATAATTGTTTTGTATGGAACAGTATCTTTTACGTTACATTCTTGATCTGGCGAACATAACACAGATAATGTACACGGGTTTTGACATCTTTGGTTTATACAAGCGTATTTTGATGGGCAATCAGAATCAACGGTACACTCAGGTGTTATTGTTGGAACCCTCGATTCTACAACAGAATAAAGGTAATTATTTCATATACATATACAAGTGCTCAAAAAGTAAGGGAACAGGTAAATTTTTAAGAACAATGAGAACAATAGGCACTTTTTTCCTTACTGAACATTCTGTATATTAATAAATAAATATGTACCTATGCATTCAATGTAAGGATTTCCTTGGAAACCTGGTAGGCATGTACATGTAGGCTGATGAGCTTGTGCTAAACATGTTGCATGTTCTGCACAAGTGTCTTGTTCACATACAGATCTACATCTTCTATTAAGTCTATCACATGCTTCATGACCAGCACAATCTTCATTGTACTGACAAACAACGGACACACACGATACCAATGGTGATCCTTGGGTACCCATTGGGCAAACGCAATGAGCTTTGTGTCCTTGTATTATACATTCAGCACCGTGACCACAGCTGTGCATTCTACATGGATTTATGCAATTGTTACTTATGCATGCCTTATCGTACATGCAGTCATTATCAGTTTTACAACCGGCTAAACATTTTTATACTGTGTAAATATAATTAATTATTTATAATTAAAGATAAATATTAACTAACGTTTATAACATCGAACTTGAGGATCTCCAGCCCATCCACTAGGACAATTACATGTAGGATGGTGATTTATAGTTGTACATTCAGCTGTAGAATCACATGGTTTTGATATTAAACATGGATCTTGGCAATATTGATTCCTACATATTTTTGTACTGGTACATTCGGAATCAGATGTACATTCTGGCAGAGCTTGAGGAACTGAAAATCAATAATATGACATTACAATTTAAAATATTAAACTTTTAACGCAATCTATCATCTAATAGAAAAATACTATTCTTGTTAATTTGTTCATGAAATTAATATTTACTATGAAATATATCAAATCTTTACCTTGGTAACAACTAATGAATGGGTCTCCAATAAGACCATCTGGACATTTACATACTGCTTTATGATTGTTAATTGAACACTGTGCAGTTGGAGCGCATGGGTTTGATACAATGCATGGGTTAATACATTGTCGATTCAGACAAGAATCTGTTGTTGAGCATTCATCGTTAGAAGAACAACCAACCAATGTTGGAGTAGCTAATTTATAAAAAAAAAAGTATAAGTTAAAGATATGTAAAAAATGTAAAATAAATAATAACAGTATATCATTAAATTATGTTTATATTATTAATTTTAATTATATTTTTTGTAATCAAAATTTATAGTCAATCATATAAAATTTATATACAAAAGAAAGACAGTATATGGAAGTGAAGAAATTGACTAAATGTTAAACTAATATTAAATTTAGGTGGTTTAAATTAGATGTGTCACTATGATTATATTACTAATAGGATATAAAATGTTAAAGGAATTATATTTACTGCAATGACCTGAAATCATATAATTTGTTGAAGTGATTAGTAGTAAATAATATATTTTATAGATTACAAAATATGAGTGTACTATTCATATTTTTTTATAAAGTGAACTGCTTTATAAAAAAATTTTAATTACTGGTAAAATTTAAAGATTGATTGTATTACCTGGTTTACACTGAGTGTTAGCATCTCCAACATAGCCTGGAATACATTGGCATGACATTGTTCTATAAGGTAAAGTATCAACTACAGTACATTCAGCATATAAGCCGCATGGTTTTATTTCAATACAAGGGTTACGACATACTCCATTAAAGCATGCTAATTTACTTGGACAATCAGAATCCATAGTACATTGTGGTTGAATTGCAACTGGTTCTAAAACAAAAATTATGTTTATAATCATTCTGTAATAATAATATTAATCATTATGTGTATGCATATTGATAATAAATCAAATAATGTGATATTAATAATTTTTAAACTTTAAATATATAAATACCTAAATTGCAAGATACATGAGGGTTTCCAATGTAACCTGGAGGACATTTACAAGATGCAATGTGATTCGCAACATTACATAATGCAGTCAGTGCACAATCACATGGACTTTGACAGTGTTGATTTCTACAAGCTAATGTCGAAGGGCAGTCGAAATCATCTGTGCATTCAGGTCTTAAACATTCATTAAATGGATCACCTTCATATGATGGAGGACAATAACATTTAGCTCTATGATATGAATCTGGAAGACATAATGCATTTATACCACAATGTGTGTATGCACATGGATTAACGCAGTCACCGTTGACACATGATTTATCTGGTGGGCAATCCGTATCGGCACGACAGCCAACTGAATATACAAAAATATGTTAATAAAAATTATACTATGAAAAAAAAATTAATGATTCATACTTTCAACGCATTGGGTTTGAGCGTTTCCAGTCATTCCATCTTTACAAGTGCATACAGGCCTATGTTTTTGAACAAAACACAAAGCGTTTCTGGCACAAATATCTGATTCTTGACATGGATTTTTACACTTATAATTTATACAAATTTTATCATTTGAACATTCATTATCACTTGTACATTCTGGTTTAGGTTCTATAAATGTATAAAAGTAAATTAAATTTTGTTAAAAAGTATATCAAATGAAAATTCATGCATTTTTCTAGTAATTAATACCTGGAGGTGTGTGTTGTACTATACATTGCAGCTTTGGTTCTCCGTAGTATCCTGGTGGACATGAACAAACTGCATTATGATTTACGACCTGGCATATTGCATTTAATCCACAGACATCTCTACAAGGATCTTGGCATTTTTGATTAAAACAAGCTTTGTCTCTAGGACAATCTTGGTTTATTATGCATTCTGGATAAATGCATGATGCTACTTCTCCTATAACTCTACATTGACCATTAATACTACATGGTGATGGGTTACATGGATCTCGTGGTATCACTATAATATAAATGAATATTAATTGTAATAAAATAGAACTTCTAAAATCATTAGTTTTATAAATTTTACTTGGTTGTTCTTTGCATTCAACAAATGGATCTCCAACTGTTGGAAGTGGACATGAACAGACAGGACTATGATTTAAAGTTTGACATATTGCTTGATATCCACACACACCAGGACATGGATCAACACATTTTGTATTTATGCAAGCTCTATTACGAGGACAATCAGAACTAATGACACATTCAGGTCTGCAACCGCTGGTTGAAGGAGAACCTTCGTAACCAGTTAAACATTCACAAACAGCAGCGTCATTCATAACACGGCAAAGAGTATTTGGTCCACATGGTGACGGCACACATGGATTAGATGGAACTGGGTCTACAAATTTTCATTAGTTATAAATATATTGTTATCAATTTTTAAGCAAAACAGTTCTAAATATTTTAAATAATTTATAGCAGGGGTTTTATTAAATTCATATTATTTACCAAATGTTTTAATTGGTTGACAATATTGGAAAGGATCGCCAGTCAAACCTTCTGGACAAGAGCATATTGCTAAGTGATTCGAGACATAACATATAGCTGCTACACCACAAGTACCAGGACAAGGATCTTGACATTTATTTCGAATACAAGCCTTATTCATTGTGCAGTCGGAACTGACAAGACATTCTGGACGACACGATTCATATGGATTTCCTTGATATTCAGGTAAACATTCGCAAATGGGATAATTCTGTTCAACACGGCACCTTGCATTAGGCCCACAAGGTGATGGGTAACACGGATCAGCGGGTGATGTTGGTGTTGGTTCCACAGCTATTAAAGTTTAAAAATTATAACGTTAGGTTATAACTCAATAAAATTCAGTGTTATTTGTTTATACATGAGTATAAAACAAATAAAAGCTGAAGCATGCAAAGACATTATCGTGTCTTAATGTAATCGTGCATTAAACATAAAAACATGCAATATTTAAAAAAAGCATGCTGTCGCTAAATGTGTTACAATTATGAATTATATTTAATGCCTATTTTTATAAATATGTTTGAACCATTGAAGTTTCATTATATAGCTTAAATTTAAATTTTACTTATATCTAAAACTATGCTAACTTAAAACTAATTAATAATATAATATTATATTGGGTAATGTAAAGCTGAAAATAGTTGTAATTAAAAAATTAATTTCAATAATATAATTATTATTCAACATCAGTCGTAGCTTACACATTGTTGGCTGAATATAACATGATACAAAAGGATTTCCAACAAATCCTCGAGGACATATACATTGAGGGATATGATTGAGTACATAACATTCAGAATTCAATCCACATGAGCCTATACATGGATCCCTACACTTCATGTTATAACAGGCTAAGTTAGATCTACAATCACTATTCGATATACATTCTGGTCGACATTGCGGGGGAGATCCTAGATAATTGGGAAGGCATGTACAAGTATAGGAATTGGAAGTTACACGACATTCGGAATACGGACCACAAGGACTAGGAATACAGAGATTAATTGGCTTTTGCAGAGGTTTGACAACTGAAAATTGTAAAAATAAAATAATTAATTCATTATATTTATTGAAAATCAGTACTTGATCTATAGATCAATTAGTAAATATTAAATCATTTTAGTACAAATACCTGGATAACTACATTTAGAGAACGGATCTCCTATCATGTAAATAGGACAACTACAAATAGCATTATGATTTAAAACATGGCATTCTGCATTAATTCCACATGTTCCTGGACAAGGATCTCTACATTTTTGATTCAAGCAAGCAGTATTCATTGAACAATCAGAATTAACTAAACATTCAGGGCGACAATTGGGTGGGCTACCATAGAATGATTGTAAGCAAGTGCACACTGCTTGGTTATTTATTTCTCGACATACACTATTTGGTCCACACGGAGAAGGAGAACAAGGATTTTTGATGATTTGTTCTTGTAATATTTGATGACACATTATGAATGCATTTCCTGTCATTCCAATTGGACAATGGCACATTGGTATATGATTGTAAACCTCACAAGTTGCAGCAATTCCACATGCATCTTGACATGGATTAACACATTTGTTTTTAACGCAAGCCTTATCTTTAATACAATCATCATTGATCACACACTCTGGTCGACAGCCTCTATTAGGATCTCCTTGATAGCCAGCTATACATTGACAATTTCCTTTTCTGCAAGTAGCACCTGGCCCGCAAGGTGAAGGATCACATGGGTCAGTATACTGAGGTTTTGGAGCTAAAAAAAATAATTAAATTTTAATTAATATCAATCTAATAAATTCGTTTTTCATAAATAAAAATTTAATTTTCTTACGAGATGATGGTTTGATATAACAGCTAACAAATGGATCTCCTACATAACTAACTGGACATGAACACAACAGAATATGATTAATAACACTACATTCTGCGTTATAACCACAAGAACCTGGACATGGATCTTTACATTTGTTATTGATACAAACCATATTGCTATGACATTCTGCATTAATAACACATTCTGGTCTGCAATTTGGCGGTCTACCAATATAAGTTGGCATACAGGAACAAGATGGCGTATTTCCGTGTGCTACACATTGAGAATGTGGACCACATGGTGAGGGAATGCAAGGGTTTACAATTACATCTTGAAGTGGTTGATCTAAAATAATTCCATTATAATCCAAAATTATACATTGTAATGTTTATTATAAGAATTTATAATTCAAATATACATACTCTGTATTAGTGTACAGAGAATCAATGGATCTCCCGTATAACCTTGAATACATTTACAAATTGGATGGTGATTGAACGTTTGACAATGTGCGTATTGTCCACATCTACCTGGGCATGGATCAACACACTTTTGATTTATACAAGCAAGGTTGTTTGCACATTCAGAACTTGTGGTACATTCGGGTCTGCATCCTGGCGGTGTTCCAATGTATGAAGGTAAACAAGAACAAATAGCTTGGCCATTATTTTCTCTGCATACACTATTTGGACCACATGGCGTTGGAATACACGGATAATGAAATTCTGCTTCAATTTCTATGATAAGAATTAAATTACCTTACTATAATGTAAATAACATGTTTAGTTATATTTATATTTGTTGTATTATTTTAATTCATTTTAAAGTATTAAAGTATTAAGAATCGAAATAATTTCGACTTTAGGCAATTTTTCTTATATCTAGAAAATTTGTTCATCTATATCAAATTTTTTTATTAGTACATGTTAAAAAAATAATGACAGAAAGCAAAAATATTATGAGATCGCTTTTGAAATCTTAATTGAACTTAACATTTAACTTTAAAAAAGTTAAAAAGCCGAATAAGAATGGGCTTTTTAATTTTATAAGGTCAAATTTTAAGTTTTGGTTAAAGTTTTAAAAGTAATTTCATAATACTTTCGATTTCTAACATTTTTTTTTTGAAAAAAAATCGATAGAGGTCAACTAACTTACTAGATATAGTAACGATTTAGAAAAACCGGAATAATTTCGATTCCTAGCCCTTATTTATCTAGTAGTTGTAATGAAGCATAATTACGTTGGGGTAATATAAGTTTACAATAACTATATGGATCTCCAGTATAGCCATTTAAGCAAGTGCACATTGGAATGTGATGTATAGTTTGACATTTAGCATTACTTCCACATGTTCCTGGACAAGGATCTCTACATTTATTAGCCATACATGCTTTGCTGGGTGCACAATCTGTATTAACTGTACATTCTGGATGACAGCCTTCATAAGGATCTCCGTAATATTCAGGTAAACAGACGCATGACCCAACATTATTTTGTTCCTTACATAACGCGTTAGGACCACACGGTGATGGTATACATGGGTTAATTATTTCTTCAGGAATTGGTTCAGCTGTAAATAATACATATTTCAGATAAACTACAATAAAAATATAAAAATAAAAGAAAATTGTTAGATCTAATAGTAATTTTATTTATTGATTTACCTTGAAGTACACATTGTGTAAATGGATCCCCGTTAAATCCTTGGGGACAAGTGCATCTTGGCGTATGACTAATTACATTACATATTGCGTTAGGTGCACACACACCTGGACATGGATTTTTACATTTTAAGTTTATACAAGCCAAATGGTTAGGACATTCACTATTGCTAATACATTGTGGTCTACAGTTTGGTGATGTGCCTACGTAATCTGGTAAACATGTACATGAAGGAGAATTTCCACGATTTTGACATTGAGAATATGGCCCACATGGAGAAGGTACACAAGGGTTTTGCATAGGCTCTGGCGGTACTATATAAAAACAATAAATAAATTATAATAGACATTAATTATAGTTATTTATGTTTGTAAAATTTATAATTTTACATTGCAATATGTAGCATTTAGAAGTTGGATTTCCCGTTAAGCCTGAGGGACATGTACAATGAGGTCGATGACTTATAGTATGACATTGTGCATTTTCTCCACAAGTACCTGGACATGGGTCTCGACATTTTTGATTTGAACATTCTCTATCAAGCCTACAATCTGAGTCAATAGTACATTCAGGATGACAAGAAGGCGGAGAACCAAAGAATTCACTCAAACATGAGCACATTGCATAACCATTTACATCTTTGCACTCGCTGTAAGGGCCACATGGAGAGGGTTGACAAGGATTTTGTTCAACAGGAGCTATCACAATTAAATTGACATTTTAATTAGTAATCTTTCTTAAATGCATCAATAATATATAAACTACCTTGGAATGGTAAACATTGGGAGAATGCATTTCCAGTCATCCCTTGAGGACAAGTACACATAGGAATATGACTATAAACGTTGCATAAAGCATTTTGCCCACAAGTTCCAGGGCATGGGTCTGCACATTTTTGTTTAATACAAGCTTTGTTTAGAGGACATTCATTGTTATGAACACATTCAGGTCTACAAATACTGTATGGGTCCCCAAGATACTCTGGAAAACATGTACATATTCCATTTTTACACGATGCATTCGGACCACAAGGTGATGGATTACATGGATCTGATTGTTGCTGGTTAGGAGCTAAAAATTGAACCAGATATTGTTAGTGAAATTCCAAAAATCAAACATGTAAATATATATACGTAGATTCTTTTAATACTAGCCACTCGTCTTCTCTTAAAAGAGTAACTTATGTAAAAAAAAATTATTTTTGTTTTGTATATTTCTCGATTTATTAACTATTAATTATTTTATTTAATTATTCCTTAAACCTTATAATGGTGTCAAATTGATCTTTTTAAATGGCAACTTTCATATTTAAATAACCCATTATATAAAAAATGATTTAATTAAGAAAATAACTGATCAATAACAACTTTTGAACCAATATTTTGGAAGTTATGAAGATTTTAAATGTACATTGGAGAATAGACTAAGATGTGAGTACTTTTATAACTAGATATTTCTCAGCCGGAACCCTCTTCCTCTTCCTTGTATAAAAATGTTAATTACTTTCGAAATATTAGTCTAAAAGGTGTTATTAACCAGTAATTTTCTTAATTAGATCATTTATTTAATAAGCTAGTTAAAAATATGTGTTACCATTTCAAAAAATAATGTTATAAGGAATGAATTAAAAATGTAATTAATAACTGATAAATTAAGAAATATAATTAACTGAAAAATAATTTTATTTTATATTTTAAGAGAAATCGAATAGATAGCTTAAAAGAATCACGAATCACTCTGTGTATATATATTTTTTTAAACTTAATGATAGATACATACGTTGTGGTTTCACATAGCAGCTTAAAAAGGGATCTCCAGTATAACTGTCAGGACAAATACAAATTGGAATGTGGTTGACTACATGGCATAAAGCATATAATCCACATACACCGGGACAAGGATCTAAACATTTTTCTTTAATACATGCTTTATTGCTAGGACATTCAGCATTAATTGTACACTCAGGTTTGCAATTTGGCGGTGAACCAAAGTATGTTGGTAGGCATGAACAAGATGGAGCACCCCCATTGTCTTGACACTGAGAATAAGGGCCACAAGGTGAAGGAATACATGGATTTTTTAGTGGTTGTGTTGGAACTGGATCGCCTAAAACATTAACAGATATTAAATTGGTTATTTTGAGTTTTGCACATTTGAAAAAAGTATTATTAAATTCTCACTTTGTATTTTATAGCAATATGTAAAAGCATTTCCAGTAAATCCAGAGTTACAAGAACATAATGGACTATGATTTAATACTTTGCAATATGCGTTTTTACCACACACTCCAGGACAAGGATCAATACATTTATGATTTACACATGCTAAATTCGATGAACATTCGGAACTTATTGTGCACTCCGGTCGGCAACTAGGTGGATTTCCAATGAATGTTGGCAAACATGAGCAAACAGGCTGGTTATTTAATACTTTACACTGGCTATTCGGACCACATGGTGATGGCATGCAAGGGTAAACTGGTTCTGCTTGAAGAACTTTTATAGATAAAATAATTTTTGGAAATATTATATTTTAATTTTAAATTAACTATTTTCGTTTAATTTTATATGAAATTTATTACTTACTTTGAGTTGGAATAAAGTTACACGACTGATATGGATTTCCTGTGTAACCAGGATTACACGTACAAGTAGCTGCATGGTACACAACATTACATTCTGCATTAAGACCACAAGTTCCAGGACAAGGATTTGCGCATTTATTTTGAATACAAGCTTTTGTTGTATCACAATCTGTATTGATTATACATTCAGGTCTACATCCATCATAAGGATTGCCAAAATATCCTGGATAACAGCTGCAGGAGCCGGCATTATTTTGTTCATGACATATTGCGTTTGCACCACAAGGTGATGGTATACATGGATGAATATTTTCTTCCCTAACTGGTATATCTATTATTAAACATAAATTTTAATTATCTAATATCATTTTATAAAGTCTTTTTTTTTTCAAAAATACCTTGTTGGACATAGCATTGTGCCATAGGATTCCCTGTGTAACCATGAATGCAATAGCACATCGGCGAATGACTTATAACACGACATATAGCATTTTGTCCACATATTCCAGGACAAGGATCTTTACATTTCATATTAATACAAGCCAAATTATAAGGACATTCACTATTGCTTATGCATTCTGGTCTACAATTAGGCGGAGAACCGGTATATTCAGGTAAACATGAACACGATGGAGATGATCCTTGAACTTTGCATTGGGAATATGGACCACAAGGTGATGGTATACAAGAGTTGATGGATTCATGTTCAATTATTGCTAAACAATTATGTTCAAATCATTTAATATAATACTGGATAATGAATAATCAGTAATGGTTAAGTATAATTATTTAACTTACGTATTTCAGAGCATCGAGTAAAAGCGTTTCCAGTTAAACCTGGAAGACAACTGCAATGTGGATTGTGATTAACAACATGACACCTTGCACCAATTCCACATACACCAGGACATGGATCACGACACTTCTGATTACTGCAAGATTTGCTTGGAATACAATCAGAATTAACAATACATTCTGGATGGCATAACGGTGGACTACCGATAAAACCAGGAATGCAACTGCAAATTGCTTGTTGATTTGTTTCATAACAATTGCTATTTAGGCCACAAGGTGATGGTGTGCAAGGATGATATTCAATTACCGCTGCTAATTTTAATTAAAAAGAAATTATGTTTAATATTAATTATATATTAAACTTTCATTAAAAATTACTTTCATAAGGACGACATTCTACTAATGCATTTCCATTCATACCCTCTGGGCACCTACACATTGGTACGTGATTATATACTTCACAAATTGCATATTCTCCGCACATGGGGCATGGATCACTGCATTTATATTTAATACAAGATTTATTTCTTGGGCATTCATCATTGATTACACATTCTGGTCTACAACCAGTATTTGGATCTCCTACGTATTCGGGACGACATGTACACAATCCATTATTACACAATGCATTGGGACCACATGGTGATGGATTGCATGGATCTCGAATCGGTTCAATAGTTTCTAAGAATATTGTATAAATTATTAATTACTAGAATAAATTATTCAACTAAACATAAATTATTTATTACTAACCATCTTGTGGTTTAGGCGAACAATAACTGAATGGATCACCTACAAAACCATCAGGGCAATAGCAGTTTGGAGTATGATTTAATACCGAACATAATGCTTCGGAACCACAAGATCCAGGACAAGGATCTCTGCATTTTTCATTTATACAAGCTTTATTACTAGGACATTCCGCTGACAGCAAACATTCTGGTCTGCAATTTGGAGGATTTCCTGTGTACTGTGGTAAACATGTACATGAAGGATAACCGTTGTTATCTCGGCAAACAGAATAAGGCCCACAAGGATTTGGCTGGCATGGATTAGTAAATACAATTTCATTTTGTTGAAGCGGTGGTTCTATACAAAAATAAATTAAAATAATTTATTTTACCTAAATTATATTGTATTCCAATGTGTTTGTATTAATAAGTTATTTAGAATCATTATATTATTCTATTGAAAATATATTGAATTATATATATTAAAAAGGGAGTTAGCCTGGTCTAGTGAGCAGAAACGTATATTTCGGTGCACGGGTTATATACCAATAGTGCTATTCAATTATTTTTTTAATTTTCTCATTGGTGGTGTATGGTCTCTAGTGCAAGCCGACCATAATACTCATTCCATTCATCATTGACCTAACTAAGTACCATTTTTGATTCCTTAACATGTGAATGAAGGACACTGTTCTCTGTAGCATTTCAAGTTCGGGAAATAGAAAGATGTAAAAATGATCATTTTTTTTTATACATTATTCTATTGAATATACGAAAGTAAAATGATTTAAATAAAAAAGGAAAAGTATTAATACAATTTTAAAAGGTACACAAAGTTATTTACTTGATATTTGATAACATTGCGTGAATGGATTTCCAGTATAATCTATGTTACACATACAAATAGGTCTATGATTAATAACTTGACATTTAGCATTACTACCACACATTCCAGGACATGGGTCCACACAATGTTGTTTAATACATGCTTTATCATGTGAACATTCTGTACTTATGACACACTCTGGTCGACAGTTGGGTGGATTGCCAACATAATCCGGAATACAGGAACATACAGCTTGTTCGTTAATTTCTCTACATTGACTATTAGGTCCACACGGCGAAGGATTGCATGGGTTAGTTGGTATTGGTGGAGTATCTAATATAAAATATGAATCATTAACTCAATTAAATATTATATTTCTATTTTAAAAGTACTAAGTTACATAAAATAAATTTACTAAGGTAAAAATAATTATTTACCTTGAGGTATAATAGAGCAATATTTAAATGGATCCCCGGTATAACCAATGTAACAAGAACACATTGGAACATGATTAATTGTATGACATTCAGCATTATAACCACATGTTCCTGGACATGGATTTTCACATTTATTACTTCTGCATACCTCATTTTGTGGACAATCAGAGTTGACCACGCATTCTGGTGAACATCCAACATATGGATCACCAAAATATTCCGGTAAACATTGACATGCGCCAGCATTGTTTTGTTCTTTACATAGAGCATTTGATCCACATGGTGAAGGTAAACAAGGCGAAAGTGGCGTTTCGGGTGGCGTTTGTTGTATTTCTTGAACATAACATTGTATAATAGGATTTCCTGTAAAACCTGGTAAACAGGAACATCTTGGAGCGTGACTTATTACTCTACACTCTGCATTTAATCCACAAGATCCAGGACATGGGTCTTGACATTTCAGATTCATACAAGCCAAATTGTAAGAACAATCACTATTTGTCGAACACTCAGGTCTACAATTCGGAGGTAAGCCTATATATTGTGACAAACAGGAGCATGATGGTTGTCCTCCAATATCTTGACACTGAGCATTATAGCCACATGGTGAAGGGTTACATGGATTTTCTGTGATTTCTTCTACAGGAGCAGCCACTAAGGTGTAATATAAATTTATAATAAATTTAAAACATATCTTAATTTTGTGTTTCTTACATATGGGATAGCAATGACTTAATGCATCACCAGTTAGTCCAGGTTGACAGTTACACATAGGACTGTGATTAATAACATGGCATGTAGCTCCAACTCCACACATACCAGGGCACGGATCTATACATTTCTGATTATTACAAGCTTCATTTTGAGCGCAATCTGAATTTGTCATACATTCAGGTCTACAAGCAGGCGGAGTTCCCATATAAGGAGGCACACATGAACATATAGCATGACCATTTATTTCCTTGCATTGGCTATAAGGTCCACATGGAGATGGAACACATACGTTGGTATATAGTGATTGGTCTACAAATCCATATTTGAATTTAAATACTAGTATTTTAAAAAAGTAGGTGATAAAATAATTTACCTTCGACTGGTTTGCATACTACAAATGCATTTCCAGACATATTTTCAGGACATTTGCATATAGGAATATGATTGTAAACATTACATACAGAATTTTGACCACATACTCCTGGACATGGATCCTTACATTTTCGCTGTATACAAGCTTTATCAAATGAACAATCGTTGTTTAATACACATTCTGGTCTGCATCCGACATAAGGGTCTCCTTGGAATTCCTTTAAACAATTACAAATACCATTGTTACATTCTGCATTAGGACCACAAGGTGATGGATTACAAGGATCATCATTTTCTACAGGTATTTCTAAACAAAAATACAATAATTAAAATACTATTATTAGGATGTTTTAGGATAATTTTTTAACATACGTTCTTGAGGTTTTGGATAACAACTTGTAAATGGATCACCAGTCATTTCAAATGGACATGTACACATTGGTGTGTGCATAATTACATTACATTGAGCATTAAAGCCGCAAGATCCTGGGCAAGGATCTCTACAGTGCTCAGATATACAAGCTTCATTTAATGAACACTCAGAGTTAACGACACATTCAGGTCTACAATTTGGAGGATTACCAATATATTGAGTAAGACAACTGCATGATGGTATTCCTCCATTGTTGATGCATTGTGAAAAAGGTCCACAAGGGGAAGGTATGCATGGATTAGTAACTTCCTCAGAAATAGCTTGAGGAACTTGAAATAAAAAAAAAAGTAATTAACATAAAGTATTAAATTAAAGTAAATTAATACAAACATACTTGGTATTAGGTAACAATATGAAAATGGGTCACCAGTATATTTATTATGACACGTACAAATTGGACTATGATTGATAACTTTGCAATTAGCATGTTCACCACATACGCCAGGGCATGGATCAGAACATTTTTGGTTTATACAAGCTAGATGGTATTGACACTCAGAGTTTGTTAAACATTCTGGTCTACAACCCGGTGGAGTACCCACATAATTTGGTAAACATGAACATACAGCTTGCTGATTTATTTCACGGCATTGACTATTTGGTCCACATGGTGTCGGAGTACATGGATACATAGGCTGTATTTCAGTTTCTAAACAATTAAATGATAATATTTAATAAAAGACTTTAGATGGAATATTCAATAATAATTACGCTGAGGTGGAATAATATGACAATGTCGGAACGGATCTCCCGTATATCCGTTGAAACAAGTACACATAGGTATGTGATTAACTACTTGACAATCAGAGTTTTGGCCACAGGTTCCAGGACATGGATCCTTACATTTGTTCATCATACAAGCTTTGCTAGATATACAATCAGAGTTGATTGTGCACTCTGGTCTGCAACTTTCATATGGGTTTCCGAAGTATTCTGGTAAACACGAACAAGACCCTGCACCATTATTTTCTTTACAAACTGCATTAATGCCACATGGTGATGGTACACATGGGTTAATATATTCTTGAAGCACATGTGTTTCTAAAGTAAATATATTTTTTTTAATTATTATTTTTATTTTAAAATGTTTATATGGTGTGTTACCTTGTTTTAAAATACATTGTACAAATGGATTTCCAGTATAGCCTTCTTGACAACGGCATATAGGAGAATGACTTATTGTTTGGCAAATAGCATTAAATCCACATGTTCCCAAACATGGGTCACGACATTTCATATTTATACAAGCTAATGTATACGTACAGTCACTATTTGTAACACATTCAGGTCTACAATTAGGAGGACTTCCAATATATTCTGGAAGGCATGAACATGATGGTGAATTGTTATTCACTTGACATTGTGAGTATTGGCCACATGGCGATGGTATGCAAGGATTACTAAGTGGTATTTGAACGTCAGCAGCTATTTAACAAAAAAATAAGTGTTACATTTAACAGAAACTAAACTAATATTTAAAGTTATAAAATGTTGAAGTTTTTAAGAGTTCAATTAACTTACGAATTTGGTAACAATTTATAAATGCATTTCCAGTATATCCAGGTAAACAGCTACACATAGGGTTGTGATTTATAGTTTTACAATTGGCATTAATACCACAAGTTCCAGGACATGGATCTACACATTTTTGGTTGGAACATGCTTGATGCAGTCTACAATCAGAATTTGTAATACACTCAGGTCTACACATAGGAGGAATGCCTGTATAGCCTGATACGCAGGAACAAATTGCTTGTCCTTTAGCACTATTACACTGACTATATGGACCACATGGCGACGGATTACAAGGTTCATAAGTTTCTGGTTCTATGTTTATAATCATAACTTTAAATTTTATAGACAAAAATATAATTTACTTTAGTTGTTACCATTTTGTTGTACTGTACACATTATAAATGCATTTCCCACCATTCCTTTCGGACAACTACACATTGGTATATGGTTATAAACATTGCATACAGCACTTATACCACATGTTCCAGGACAAGGATCTTTGCATTTATTATTCATACATGCTTTATCTCTCTGACAATCGTTATTTAAAATACATTCAGGTCTACACTCGGTATAGGGATCACCAATGAACTCATTTATACAAGAACATTGACCATTATTACAGATTGAATTTGGTCCACATGGATTGGGGTTGCATAGATCAGTATATACTGGAACGTCTATTGAACATTTATTAGTTAAATTATTAATAATAATAAGTAATAAATTAAATTAATGAAATCTTACCTTGTTGAGATGGTTTCATATCACACTTAATAAATGGATTTCCATCATACCCAACAGGACAGACACACATAGGAATATGGTTAATAACATTACAATGAGCTCCCCATCCACATGAGCCTGGACAAGGATCAACACATTTTTCTCGAATGCAAGCTTCGTTGCTAGGGCATTCCGTATTAATTACGCATTCAGGTCTACAATTAGGTGGACTACCGATATACGTTGATAAACATGAACACGAAGGAGAACCACCACGATCTTTGCATTCAGAATATGGACCACAAGGAGATGGAATACATGGATTGGTGTAAACAGGATCATATTGTGGTTGGACTGGTGCTGGTGTTTGATAACATATTGAAAATGGATCTCCAACAAAACCAGATCCACATGTACATATTGGATTATGATTAATCACTTTGCAATTTGCGTTTTGACCACATCTATCGATGCATGGATTTACACACTGATGATTTATACAAGCGAGTTCAAAAGTACACTCAGAATTTGTTAAACATTCTGGTCTACAACCGGGTGGAGTGCCCACATAATTTGGTAAACATGAACATACAGCTTGCTGATTTATTTCACGGCATTGACTATTTGGCCCACATGGTGTCGGAGTACATGGATACATAGGCTGTATTTCAGTTTCTAAACAATTAAATGATAATATTTAATAAAAGTCTTTAGATGGAATATTCAATAATAATTACGCTGAGGTGGAATAATATGACAATGTCGGAACGGATCTCCCGTATATCCGTTGAAACAAGTACACATAGGTATGTGATTAACTACTTGACAATCAGAGTTTTGGCCACAGGTTCCAGGACATGGATCCTTACATTTGTTCATCATACAAGCTTTGCTAGATATACAATCAGAGTTGATTGTGCACTCTGGTCTGCAACTTTCATATGGGTTTCCGAAGTATTCTGGTAAACACGAACAAGACCCTGCACCATTATTTTCTTTACAAACTGCATTAATGCCACATGGTGATGGTACACATGGGTTAATATATTCTTCGAATACAGGGTTATCTAAAATATTTTAATAATTTAATTAATATTAATATAATTATAATAGTAATAAATATTTTTAATCTTATTTTTACCTTGTTGTGGTGAGCATATTGAGAATGGATCACCAACATATCCATTCGGACATATGCAATGGGCGGTGTGACTCACTATTCGGCACTCGGCATTCTGAGCACATGCTCCAATACATGGATTTTTGCATTTCATACTAATACATGACAAATTTATCGGACATTCACTATTAGTTAAACATTCAGGTTTACAATTAGGCGGTGTTCCAATATATTCTTGCAGGCATGTGCAAGTTGGAGAATTATTATTATGTTTGCATTGTGAGTATGGACCGCATGGTGAAGGTATACACAAATTACTTTCTAATTGCGGTATAGAAACCGCTAAAAATAAAAATTAGACAAAATTTATTAAACAAAGTTTAGAATAATACATTTAAAATATTAATTTGAAAATTTCTTACGTATGGGATAACATCTCACAAAAGGATTTCCTGTTAAGCCTGGTATACAACTACATATTGGACTATGATTAATTACTTGGCATTTAGCTCCTACACCACATACTCCGGTACACGGGTCAAAGCATTTTTGATTGGAACATGCCTTATTTAAATGGCAATCAGAATTTATGATACATTCAGGATGACAAGATGGCGGTACACCTTGGTAACCATTTATACAAGTACAAACTGCCTGTCCATTAATCTCTCGGCAAAGACTATTAGGACCACATGGAGATGGATTGCATGGATAAATTTCTTCAGTGACTATTTAAGACATTTAATTAATAAAAATATGAAGGAGAACTTTATTTAATTTACCATCTTGTATTTGAGAACAAATTGTAAATGCATTTCCTTCCATATTTTCAAGACAACGACACATCGGTATATGATTGTAAACTTCACAAATGGCATTTATACCACAAGTTCCTGGACATGGATCCTTGCATTTATTTTTTATGCAAGCTTTAGTTTTGTCACAGTCATTGTTAATTACACATTCTGGTTTGCAGCCAGAATATGGATCTCCATAGTATTCTTTAATACAAGTACATATTCCATTGTTACAAACTGCATTTGGACCACATGGTGATGACTGACAAGGATCAACAGATTCTGGAACTATATTGAAAATTATGTGTTACACAATTATTTTACTAATATTTACTATATATTTATCTTACCATTTTGAATGGGTCTAATTGTGCATATTGTAAACGGATTTCCCATATATCCTTCAGGGCATATACAATTTGGCGTATGGTTGATAACGTTGCAATAAGCATTTATTCCACAAGATCCAGGACATGGATCTTGACATTTTTCACGTATGCATGCTAAATTATTTTGGCAATCGTTATTTATTATACACTCTGGTCTACAATTTGGAGGGTTTCCAAAGTATTGTGGTAAACATGAACATGATGGAACACCACCATTATCTCTACATTCTGAATATTGCCCACAAGGTGAAGGGATACATGGATTTACATACATAACATCTTGCTGTGGTGGTAAAGGCGGTGGAGGTTTAGGATAACAACGAGAAAATGGATCTCCTTCATATCCTGGTTTACAAGTACAAATAGCACTATGTTTTACGGGTTTGCAATTGGTATTCAAACCACAAGGACCTGGACATGGATTAGTGCATTTTTGATTAACACATATAAAACTTTCATTACATTCAGAACTTATGACACATTCTGGTCTACAACCAGGAGGACTTCCTTGATATGAGGGAAGACACGAACATACTGCTTGGCCATTAACTTGTTTACATTGGCTGTTTGGACCACATGGTGATGGGTTACAAGGATTAACAGGTTCTGATTGTACTATTTATTCAAAATTAAATATATTTAAATAAGTCAAAGTATAATATATATGTATACAAAATTATATTACATACTTTGAGGTGGTATTATTGAACAATATTTAAAAGGATCTCCTGTGTAGCCATTATAACAAGTACACATTGGAAGATGATTAACAACCAAGCAGTCTGCATTTTGTCCACATGATCCTGGGCATGGGTTTTGACATTTATTTCTAATACAAGCTTTGTTTGATATACAATCTGTATTAAGAGTACACTCATATCGACATCCATCATATGGATTTCCTAAATAGCCTGGCAAACAGCTGCAAGATCCTGCGCCATTTTGCTCTTGACATATAGCATTTAAACCACATGGAGATGGATCACACGGTGAAACATGTATGACTGCTATAGGTTCATCTGTATGAAAAAAAATTTGTTTCAACTAATTTTCTCCTAACGATTCTAAAAAATATAGAACAAACCTTGTTGGACGCTGCAAAGAATAAATGGATCACCGATGTATCCAGGTAAACACAAACATCTCAATGTATGACTGACAACTTGACAAACTGCATTTTGGCCACATGATCCAGGACATGGATCTTTACATTTCATATTGACACAAGCTTTGTTGTATGGGCATTCACTATTGGATATACATTCCGGTTTACAATTTGGAGGCGAGCCAATAAATTCTGACAAACATGTACATGATGGAGTATTTTGAGTTACTTTACATTGTGAATTAGGCCCACATGGTGATGGAACGCACGGATTACCAATTGGTTCAGGTAATGAAACTGTAAATATTTAAATATTATAACTGATATTGTATTATTATTAATAAAGTGTATAGAGTATGAAGTATCAATTTTCTTATAAGGAATAATTTTTATTATTTACAATTTCTATTTAGTAAAGACTTACAAATAATTTGGCATCGACTAAATGGATCTCCTGTCATTGATGGTGGACAACTACATATTGGTCTATGATTTATTACTTGACATTTAGCGCCAATGCCACATGTTCCTATGCATGGATTAATACATTTTTGATTTGAACAAGATTCAATTAAGTAACAATCAGAATTTATGACACACTCTGGTCGACACGATGGTGGATTACCAACATATCCATCTATGCATGAACACACTGCATGATTATTCACATCCCTACATTGACTATTTGGACCACAAGGAGATGGCACGCAAGGCTGTGTTTCTATTTGTTCTAAATAATTATTGTTTATTGAATTAATTAATTAAACTATCATAAAATACAAAATTTACCTTGAAATACAAGTTGACATTGAGTAAATGCATCACCTGCCATTCCTTGAGGGCATCGACACATAGGTATGTGATTGTACACTTCACAAATAGCATTAATGCCACAAGTTCCTGGACAAGGGTCCAAACATTTGTTTTTAATACAAGCTTTATTTCGAGAGCAATCATCATTTAAAACACATTCTGGCCTACATCCACTATACGGATCACCGTGATATCCAAACGAACAAGAACAAATACCATTATCACATACTGCATTTAATCCACATGGTGAAGGATTGCAAAGATCTGATTGTAAATCAGGAATAACTGGTAGTTGAGGTTTTAAGTAACAACTTGTAAATGGATCACCAGTATATCCTTCGGGACATTGACAGATTGGTACATGATCAAAAACATGACAATTTGCACCCATAGCACATAAACCTGGACATGGATCTCGACATTTTTGTTTTATACAAGCAAAATTGCTAATACATTCTGAATCAATTGTGCATTCTGGTCTACAATATGGCGGATTTCCAGAATATTGTGGTAAACAGCTACATGAAGGATAATCACCATTATTTCTACATTCTGCATATGGTCCACAAGGAGAGGGAACACAGGGGTTCATAGGTACTATATCATTTTCGGGCTTTGGTATTAATTGAGGAATTAAAGAGCATCGAGAGAATGGGTCTCCAGTATATCCCTGACGACATGTACATATTGGACGGTGCATAATTGATTTGCAATTGGCATTTTGTCCACATTGTCCTGGGCATGGATCGACGCAGTGTTGATTTTTACAAGCCAGATTGTATGAACAATCTTGACTTATAAGACATTCAGGACGACAGTTGGGTGGACTTCCATTATAATTCGGAAGACAGAAACATATAGGTTTATTATTTAATTCTCGACAGTCACTATAAGGGCCACAAGGAGATGGTGTACAAGGATTAATTGTATCGGCTTCTACAACTAACAAAAATAAAAATTTTCAGGTATAAAAATGTAAATTAGTAATGAAATAGAAACAAAAATTAGATGTTTTATGAAGAATGATAGAAAAGGTTACATAAATTATTATTTTCAATTATAATATAATACACATAAACTTACCTGGTTTTGTAATTATATTGCAATAATTAAATGGATTTCCAGTATATCCATAATTACATGTACAAGTAGGTGAATGATTAATTACATGACAAATAGCATTTGGAGCACATGTTCCTGGACAAGGATCCAAACATTTATTATTAATGCAAGCTTTACTAGGTGAACAGTCCGTGTTTGTTGTGCATTCTGGTCTGCACAATTCATAGGGATTCCCAATATATTCAGCTAAACATGTACATGATCCAGCTCCATTTTGTTCTTTACATATAGCATTAGTACCACAAGGTGATGGATTACAAGGGTCTAAAATTTCTTCTATTTGTTGCACTGTAATTAAATACAAAATTTTAATATTAATTTCTCAATATTTATTAATAAAATAAAATATACCATGCTGCATAGTGCATTGCGTGTAAGGGTCTCCGACGTAACCCGAATAGCATATGCAACGAGGACTATGGCTAATAACATTGCATCGCGCATTTAGGCCACATATACCAGGGCATGGATCAACACATTTCATATTTTTACATGCTAAATTTTGTTGACATTCTCCATTTATAATACATTCAGGCCTACATTGAGGGGGTGATCCAACAAAGTTTGGCAAACATGAACAAGATGGTATTTGCCCTTTAACTTGACAAATAGAGTTAGGACCACAAGGTGATGGTACACATGGATTTTCCAGTGGTAGTGGTTCGCCCAAAGCTATAATAAGTAATTAATTATTACAAATATGTATTTCATATTAAGGTATGACTTATTATTCTTGTTGTGTTTAGACGACGGGTAATAACATTACTTTTAAATTTCAAATATACTTACGAATTGGTCGACATGCGACAAATGGATTTCCCGTCATACTATTAGAGCAACTACAAATTGGCTTATGATTATAAACACGACACATAGCATTAATCCCACAGACACCTTTACAAGGATCTTGACATTTTTGATTACTACAAGCTTCATTTAAGTTACAATCTGTATTAACTGTACATTCTGGATGACAAGATGGTGGAACACCTAGGTATCCAGTTACACATGAGCATACTGCATGTCCATTTATATTTTTACATACACTATTAGGACCACATGGCGTTGGATAGCATGGATTAGTTGTTTCAATTGTATCTATAAAAACATCGTAAAATACGTATTAGAAATTTTTTTACATGCTCTATTTTTTCATGGAAAAATTATATCTTACCTTGCTGAACTACACAGTTAATGTGCGCATTACCACTTACGCCATTAGGACATCTACACATTGGTATGTGATTGTAAACTTCGCAAATTGCATTTGTAGCACAAGCTCCTGGACATGGATTTTTACATTTATTTTGCATGCATGCTTTATCTCTATCACAATCGTTGTTTAATACACATTCAGGTCTGCATCCTGTATATGGATCACCATAAAATTCATATTTACATGTACAAATGCCGTTATAACATTCAGCATTTGATCCACAAGGTGATGGATTACAAGGATCCGAATATTCAGACTGTGTTACTATATAAACACATAATGTAAAAATAAGCATGACTTCTCATTTATTATAAATAGAGTTCGTATTAAATGCATTTATAAATTTTTTTAGCATAGAAATATTTTTCGTTTTAGGGGGAATAAACCTCCTTAATCTTCTCAACACTATAACCCCAGTTAGAACACATTAATACATTAATGCAAATTTTTAAAGATTAGTGATGTGTTTAGAATAACTAAACAAAATTTTAAAATGCGAACTCTAATTTTAAAACACTAATAAAAACATTCTTAATATTGTTTATATATTTTACCTTGTGTTGACTTTATAGAACAACCATCGAAAGGATTCCCTTCATAATTATCAAAACATACACATATTGGAGTATGGTTAATAACATTGCATATTGCATTTATTCCACATGATCCCAGACAAGGGTCTTGGCATTTTTGTCTTATGCATGCTTCATTTTGTGGACATTCAGCATTTATTGTACATTCAGGACGACAGTTTGGTGGGCTTCCAATGTATTCAGATAAACAAGAACATGACGGTAATCCATTTTGTTGTCTACATTGAGAATAAGGGCCGCAAGGAGACGGGATACAAGGATTGATCTCGGTTGGTTCATTATGTGGTGGTAATGGCAAAGGCATTGCATAGCATCGAACAAATGGATCTCCAATAAAACCATTTATACAAGAGCAGATTGGGTTATGATTTACAACTTTGCAATTCGTATTTTGACCACAAGGTTCAGGACATGGATTTTCGCACTTTTGTTTAATACATGCTAAATTTGTTGAGCATTCTGAGTTTGTAACGCATTCTGGTCGACATCCTGGAGGACTTCCAACAAATGAAGGAAGACAAGAACAAACTGCTTGTTGATTAACTTCACGACATTGAGTATTTGGTCCACATGGTGATGGCTCACATGGATTTAAATACACAGCATCGATATCTAAAAATAAATTAAACAATTGTAAATATCTGATTCATTTCTTTAGTTCAACTTTATAATATCTCACCCTGAGGAGGGATTAGATGGCAATAGTTGAATGGGTCTCCAGTATATCCATTTGCACAAGAACACATGGGTAAATGACTTATTACTTGACATAGTGTATTTTGTCCACATGTTCCTGGACACGGATCTCTACATTTATTATTTATACACGCAAGACTAGATTGACAATCAGTATTTAAAATACATTCAGGTCTGCATCCTTCATATGGATTTCCAAAGTAATCAGGTAGACATGTACATGCACCAGCACCACTTTGTTCTTTACATATGGCATTTGTTCCACAAGGTGACGGTTGACAAGGATGCAAATCTTCTTGAGGAATTTCATTAGCTTAACATAGCAATTATTGTAAATTATACAGTTAAAATGAAAAATCATTACATATTAATTTAATATTGAAAATAATTTACCTTCTTGAAAAACACATTGTGAAAATGGATCGCCTGTATATCCATTTGGACATTTACATATTGGCGAATGGCTTACGACATGGCAATATGCATTTAGAGCACATGATCCCGGACATGGATCTTTACATTTATTATTCATACAAGCTAAGTTGTATGAGCATTCGCTGTTACTTATACACTCATGTTTACAATTAGGCGGTGATCCCATAAAATTTGGTAAACAAGAACATGAGGGTGATTCATCTTGAACGTTACATTGAGAGTTTGGCCCACAAGGTGATGGAATACAAGGATTTCCAACAATTTGAGGTGTGTCAAGTGCTAATTTTTTATGAAAAAATAAATTAACTAAATTCTTTTATAAATGAATAAATACTTACGTTTATTATAACATCTAGTGAAGGGTTCACCTATTTGACCAGGTGGACAACTGCATATTGGTTTGTGGTTTACAACTTGACAGTTTGCCCCAATACCACAAATACTGGGACATGGATTTCTACATTTTTGGTTAGAACATGCTTCATTGAGATTGCAATCTGAATTTATTATACATTCTGGCCTGCATAATGGGGGAGATCCTATATATCCAGATATACAAGAACATACAGCAACTCCATTAATTTGTCTACATTGGCTATTTGGGCCACATGGTGTTTGGTTACAAAGATTTGTAATTTCAATAGGAGCTAAATTGCAATATTTTTGTATATTTAACTACTTTTATTTGTTTAAAAATTTTCATTAAAATTAATTTATTTTACCATGTATTATAGGTTGACAATGAATAAATGCATTGCCATCCATTCCTTGAGGACAAGTACACATAGGGATATGATTATATACATTACAAACTGCATTTAATCCACATGTACCTTGACATGGGTCTTTACATTTATTCTTAATGCAAGTCAATTGTATTGGGCAGTCAATATTTAATATACATTCTGGACGGCAGCCATAGTATGGATCACCTTGATAATCAGGTAAACATGTACATATACCACTATTGCAAATAGCATTTGATCCACATGGTGACGGATTACACAGATCTGTTATAGGAGATCCTGTAACTATATACAACGTTTTAGCAATTTTTTCATCAACATATTAATTATTCAAAATTTACCATCTTGTTGTATCGGTATACAAAAACTAAATGGATCCCCCGTAAATCCACTTGGACAATAGCAGTTAGGAGTATGATTAATTACATTACAAAATGCTCCAACTCCGCAAGATCCAGGACATGGATCTTGACACTTTTGTCTCATACAAGACTTATCTTTAGAACATTCTTCGTTAACTGTACATTCTGGTTTACAATTGGGTGGACTACCTATAAAGTTTTCTTGACATGAACAGGAAGGATAACCATTTGTATCTTTACATTGAGAGTAAAGACCGCAAGGAGAATGTGCACATGGATTAATTGGTTCATTTTCAACTGGTAGTGTGGGTACATCTGAAAATTCGTTTTATATCCAATGATAATTAAATATGTTTTTTGTTGGTTTCAGAAACTTACATTGTATTTCATAACAACTCAAAAATGGATCCCCTGTAAATCCTGGTTTACATGAACAAATAGGACTATGATTAATTACTTTGCAATTTGCATTGGCTCCACAAGTATTAGTACAAGGATCAATACATTTCAAATTTTTACATGACTGTTCTTTTCTGCACTCAGAATTTACCACACATTCAGGTCGACAATTAGGTGGATTTCCTATATATGATGGTTTGCATGAACAAATGGCTTGATTATTCAATTGTTTACATTGACTATTAGATCCACAAGGAGATGGTTCACATGGGTTAACATCATCTACTAAAATTATATTATTAAGTTTTAAAAATTAAAAAATTGCAATTTGCTTATAAAAATTCTTTTATATTTATACATTACTTACGGTATGATGGAGGCATTGAAACACAATACTTGTATGGATCTCCAGTATATCCAGTTATACATACACATGACGGTAAATGATTTAACACATAGCAATCAGCATTTTGCCCGCAAGTTCCAGCACATGGATTTTTACATTTATTTTTTACACATGCTTTTTGTGGTGTGCAATCAGAGCTAATCACACATTCCGGTTTACATCCAATATATGGATCACCAAAATAATCTGGTAAACAGTTACATGAACCAGCACCATTATATTCTTGACAAATAGCGTTTATACCACACGGAGAAGGTACACATGGATTTATTGGTTCTTGGTAAATGGGGTTTACTAAGAAAAAAATTATATTAAATATCAACTCTGATTCTATAATAAAGGAATATACTCACCAAACAATAATAATATTTTGTTACAATTATTTAGTAAGCTTACTTTTCTTTAACATCTGTTACATGATTAGTGATAGCTATTCAAAAATTGAGCAGATATGATCAATATTATTTTGAAAAAAAACCATTATGTCTCAATAATTTTTACGAAACTATTACACTTTCCTACTTAAATTAAATAATAGCTAGTCTTACCTTAATAACTTAAGAAGAAAATCATAATTTTCAATCAATATTCGTTTTCCCTTTTTAAGTGTACCTAATTAATTATCTTATAATGTTTAAATTTAAATTGACTAAAATATAGGCATACATCTATCTAATGATAAAAGAAATACCATAAAATCTAAAAGGCATCCAATAAACACTGAACATATAATTAACGTATATTATTTACAATATACATTCAGGATCTGCTGGGAATTACTAAAATATTAACTTAAATATTGCTACATAAATTAATTAATAAATTAAATTAATTAAATTAATACTAATAGCTACGATAAATAAGTAAATATTTCCTTCTCAAAATTAAAATTTACCTTTTTTTTTAATATACATACATTCATATATATGTATATATATAGATCATAAATTAATTAAAATTAGATTAAAAATTAAAATTTAACATATGCATTGAACGTTTTAATTATAATAATATTTAAGAATCACAAAGTATAAATTTATAGCTATATAAATTAATACTTCAATGTCAAACCAATAAATTATATAAACAAAAAATATTTACAAAGTGCTTACGTATTATTATAAAGTTCTATTTAGTAAAAATGAACCAAATACATGCTTACAAGATGCAACATAGCAATAATTATCATAATTCTTGAATCTTAATTATTTTTGTGACATAAACGCATGCAATAAGTAAATATTTTGAATAAATTTGGTTCAATTAAAATAAATGACAGCATGCCAAATATTAAAAACAATCTTTATGCTTATATATGATTTATTTTCATTGCATTTTACTTTATAATTTTATTTTATGATGTATAGTTTCCTGGTGATCTATTTCAGTTAATTTATTTTATTATATATTACTGATAAATGAATGAATGAATTTATTAAGACTAATCTGCTCAACCGTTGATCATGGTAAATTTAATTAATACATTTTAGGTAGTATTCAATAAAATATTGTTTTACATTAGATAAAATTATTAATTATTAATAAAAATGTGGTGCGTTATAAAAATGCGTGTCAAATATGACATTAGATATTACGAAGAAAAATGTATTTATTTTAATAATATTAATATTAATATAAAGATTTTTGTAAGTTTTTGTTTTCATGTTACTTTGATTCATTTGTTATAAATTTTCGTCTTTTTAGACCATCTCCAAGAAATACATCAATAAAATGTTTTTTTTTTAAATAAAAAAATTATACACAAAATGATTCTATTAATGCTAGCCATTCAATATCTCTTAAAATAATAATTATCTCAAGAAAATTATTTTTGGTATTTTTTAGTTTCATATATTTCTTAATTTATCAGTTATTAATTACATTTTTAATTTATTCCTTATAGCATTATTTTTTTATATGGTAACATATATTTTTAACTAACTTATTAAATAATGATCTAGTTAAGAAAATGTTTGGTTAATAACAACTTTTAGACTAATACTTCGAAAATTATTAATATTTTATACCTAGATGGTAGGAGGATCATGCTTAAGAAATGACTAATGATAAATATTGTCATACGCATGCTCACTTTCAATCTATATTTTAAAATAGTAATAACTTTTGAAATAATATTGTTATCGACCAATCATTTTTATTAATCTTCTTCTTAATCCCAACTACTTGGGATCGGACACCCTTATTGGTAAAAATTATCAAAAATAATTTTCTTAACATAACTATTATTTTAAGAGAAATTTAGTGCTTAGGGTTATAAGAATCAGTCTGTATATCTTTATTAAAAAGCGTTTTAAAATAAAGATTTAATATTATAGAAAATCAAAACTAAACTACATCATGCAAAACACAATATCATGCATAAAAGATAAAATCTTACCTGGAACAGGTTGACATAATGAAAATGGATCTCCTGAGTATCCATTATTACAAGAACATACAGGAGTATGGTTAATAACAGAACATACGGCATTTACGCCACATGATCCAGGACAAGGATCGGTACATTTTTGATTTATACAAGCATGGTGACTAGGACACTCTGGATTAATGGTACATTCTGGTCTACATGTAGGAGGTGTACCAATGTAATTTGCTAAACAAGAGCATGATGGGAGTCCGCCTCGATTCTTACAATCTGAATTTGGCCCACAAGGTGAGGGTGCACAAACATTAACTGGACGAATTGGGAATATTTCTTCTATTTCTATATTAGATTTAATTTAAAATATTTAATAGTATTTTTAAAAAAAATACTTACTAAATAATTGATATATTGTTTATTTTTACCTTGTATTGGATAACAACCCCTAAATGGATCTCCATTATGTTTTGGTGGACACGTACAAATTGGACTATGGTTCACCACTCTGCAATTAGCTAGGTGCCCACAAGTTCCAGGACAAGGATCTCGACATTTATTCATTAAACACGCTTGTGTCAAAGGGCATTCAGCACTATTTACACATTCAGGTCTGCACAAAGGTGGACTTCCTATCATTGAAGTTTGGCATGAACATACAGCGTGATCTTGAACAACATGACATACGCTATTAGGCCCACAAGGTGATGGATTACAAGGATCTCTTAAAGGTATATCTGCTTTGAAAAAATTAAAAATGAGTAAAATTTTGTTAAATAGCTATGAATTTTAATATAATTTAAATAAGTTAATAACTCTAACCATCTTCTTTAATAGGTCTACAGATAGTAAATGCATCTCCCATTGTTCCAGGTGGACAACTACATGTAGGTATGTGATTTATTACATCACATTGTGCATTTTGACCACATGTTCCTGGACATGGATCTTGACATCTCTGATTCAAACATGCATTATTTCTAGGACAATCTGAATTCATTGTACATTCTGGCCGACAGCCAATATATGGACTACCAAAGTAATTAGGTAAACATGTACAAACTCCATTATTACATAAGGCGTTAGATCCACAAGGTGATGGATTACATGGATCTACAGCTGCAGTTGGATATGGTTTTTCTATAAATTAAAATCAATATATTAAATTATGATATTATTTTTAACTGCATACATATAAGAATATATATATGCAGTATCCTTTTAATATCCATATAAATATTCTTTCAAATCGTTGAAAAAATTTAAACCGAATTTAATAAACTTACCAACTATTAATATACATTGACTGAATGGATCACCAGTATATCCTGATTTACATGTACAAGTTGGGATGTGATTCTGTACTCTACAATCTGTATTCAAACCACAAGATCCAATACATGGATCTCTACATTTATCAGATATACAAGATAAAGTGGAAGGACAATCGGTATTAACGGCGCATTCCGGACGACAATTAGGTGGAGTTCCAATGAAATTCACTCGACATGAACAAGATGGTTGTTCTCCAACTGGTCTACATTCAGAATTGGGTCCACAAGGAGATGGCACACAAGGGTTTATTGGTTTTGGTGCATCTAGTGGTTTTACTGCAAATAAAATATTTTTTTGTTTTTAACACGTGTTTTATTGATGATTTTAGTTTAAAAAATAATCTAACCAGATTGTATATAACATCTTGTAAATGGATCACCAATGAATCCAGAGGCACAAGTACAAATAGGATTATGATTTATTACTTCACAACGTGAATTTATTCCACAAGTACCCGGACATGGATCAGTGCATTTGTACTTGTAGCAAGCTCTATTTGATGGACATTCATTGTTAACAACACACTCAGGCCTACAATTAGGTGGCGTTCCTTGGTACTCTTTTTGACAAGAACAAACAGCTTGTTGATTTATTGCTTTACACTGACTATTAGGACCACAAGGACTGGGATTGCATGGATCATACACAGTTGCTTGTGTTGCTAAATTTTATATTAAATTAATTGTATTATTATCGAAAATAATAATATTTTAGGTCAATTACTTGGTGGCTGTGGTTGACAATAAGTAAATGGATCTCCAACATATCCAGAAATACAGTTGCAAGTTGGTATGTGACTGATTACTGTGCAAACCGCATCTATTCCACAAATTCCAGGACATGGATCAATACATTTATTTCTAATACATGCTTTATCTGTGGGACAATCTGAACTATGAACACACTCAGGGCGACAGCCTTCATATGGATTTCCAAAATAATCTTTTATACAAGAACATGAACCAGCTCCATTTTGTTCCTTGCATTCAGCATTTGGACCACAAGGTGATGGTTGACAAGGATTTAAGTCTTCTATAATAACATTTATTTTTTAATATTAAATTTCTTTAATTAATTTATTAATACTGTAATATTTTTTTTATACCTTGTTGTATAATACATTGTGTAAATGGATTTCCAGTATATCCAGGTGGACACAAACACGAAACTGCATGATTGACAACTTGACAAATGGCATCACTTCCACAAGATCCTGGACAAGGGTCTCTACATTTATTATTAATGCAGGCGAGATTTGACGTGCAATCTGGGTTTATTACACATTCTGGTCGACAGTTAGGTGGAGATCCTACATAATTTGGCAAACACGAACAAGATGGATTATTACCAGATTTTATACACTTTGAATTTGGACCACATGGTGTTGGTACACATGGATCTCTCGGAGGATCAAAAACTGGTTGAATTGGTGGTTCTATATTTATAAGAATTTGTATATAAGTTAATATTTTAAATAAACTGCAGTAATAAAAAGAAATTACTTGGTATAGCATAGCAACTTCGGAAAGGATCACCTGTTTGTCCTTCTCTGCAACTACAAATAGGACTATGATTTATTACTTCACATCTAGCACCGTTTCCACAAGCACCAATACATGGATTAATACACTTGGTATTAACACAGGATTTCCCTGTTGGACATTCAGAGTTAACTACACATTCTGGGCGGCATGAAGGAGGTGCACCCATGTAATTTGGAAGGCATGAACAAACTGCGTGATTATTTGTATTTCGGCAAATACTATTAGGTCCACAAGGTGAAGGATTGCATGGATCAGAAACTACTGGAGTATCTAAAAAAAAAAAATAAAAAATAAAAACAATTCAATCATAAACAAATAAATATAAATATATGTATATATATAATATATTTATTATATTGTATTTATATTTATACCTTCTATTATAGGTCTACAGATACTGAATGGATCTCCAGTATATTTTATAGGACATGAACACACTGGTATATGGTTAACTACATCACACGTTGCTCCTTGACCACATGTACCTATACACGGATCTCTACATTTGTTTCTAATACATGCTTTATCTCTTGTACACTCTGTATTAATTACACATTCTGGTCGACAGTTTTCATATGGATTGCCGTTGTATTCTGATAAACATTGGCATACACCATCTCTACAATTAGCATTTGGTCCGCATGGTGATGGATTACATGGATCTTCAGCTAATGGACGTATTGTAGCTAAAAATAGTTGTTAAAAATTTTAAAAATAACCAGCGCAGAGGAATTACTGCACAGATGAGACAATATAGATAATATCTGATAGAGATTCAAATAACTATTACAAAAGAGCTTAGACGACAATTTATTCCAAGAGTAACATTAACTTCTATTTCCTTAACTACATCCTGATTATAAGTTTTAATATAAAAATTTTAAATTATATTATAATATTTTAATAATAATAATATTTATATTATAATAGAAAAATAAATTATTTATTATAGTAATTAAATTTAATATGAAATTCATATTCAATAATTTGGTATTATGCTTTTTATGGAGAAATTATAAAAAGTTTCAAAATAGTTGAATATTTCATTATCTTTATTGTAAACGTGTATTAAAATTGTAATTATGAATTTATATATAAAAAAAAAAGGCAGTGTGGAGTTGCGGCTCAATATATATGTGGCATAGTTGGGACAAGTATATATGGTATATGAAAGTGATTAAAATCACTATCATAAAAAAGACTTTGATGCTAATCTGTATATAATGTTTAATTCTAAGCAATTGGTGGATTATACTAAAAGCAAAATTAATTCAAAATTCTTTTATTATTCCTGATTAGTAGCTCTTTGATTTATAAGTATAAAATATGAAAAAATATTTATTATAACAATTAAATATATCATGAAATTGATATTTAATAATTTAGTATTGTAATTTTTTCTGAAAAATTAAAAAAATTATAAAGTAGTAGTTATTACTTTTATGGCAAATGTGTATAAAAATTGAAGGGCTTGATATAAATTTTTTTAGAAAATAACTTGTTAATGGATTAAAGGTTTCACAAGGAATTTTCATCAGACTCAAAAATATACTTTTATTAATTAATTTTTCGTACTAATTTCAAATTTGTAAATACATTTTTTTTACCACCACTAACTTTTGATATTATTACTAATTAGTAGAAAAATATAGGTTATAACTATACGGAATATAGATCTGAATAAATCAATTATTATATAAATACTAAGAGATACACAGAAATGATTTATTACGATATAAATACAAAAAATATAATTAGTAATTATAAGGAAATTCTAGACTATTCTCATAATTTTACTGTTAATAATAATTCTATAAGTTCCTGATCATATATCAATCTTAACAAAATCATTTTTTAAATCTTTCCTAAAATTTTCTATTTAATAATATCAATTTCAAACTTGTAAGTTAAACTAATAAGAAGGTTAAAAGTTCAACATTTTTAAATTATAAAGTTTCATAAAAATCAATTTTAACGGACCAAAAAATAGGTTAAACATGACATTTTTAATTAAAATTTTGCACGCATTATTTTTAACATATTAAAAATCAATTTTTTAAATGTAAATAATCGTTTTATTCTTGGCTGACCCCAACTAGTTGGGATTAAGACGAGGAAGAAGAACAACAATCGTTTTTATAAATTAGTAATCTCAAAAAAAGTAGCGATAGAAATTAATCTAATTGCAGATTTGAAATCAGAGTAAAAACGTGGTTAAGCAAAGTATATTTTGGTTTAAGCTGTTTAAAAAATGTTTCATTTTAGTGATATAATTTTACTGTGTAATTTAGTATAAAAACAAATTTTATACTATCAAATTTTTTACAGTAGATATTTGTCTAAATTTCTATAATTAAGAGATTTTTCCAATATATTATGACTATTAGTTTAACTAGATTAAAATCGGTTCTTTTGACGTGTTATCATCAAAATTTGTCCAGTGAGAATTGAGAATTTTTATGGATAGACATAAAAACCCAGCATAGGTGGGTCGCGGCACAGTGGTGACGTGGCATAGTTAGATCAAGTATAATATCTGACAGTGATTAAAATCACTATAAAAAAAAAAACGCTTCGATGCAAATCTTTAGATAGTGTTTAATTTTAAAAAATTGGTGGATTATTCTAAAAGCTACATGATCTGCTAGTTCCTTATTAATATCCTGATTAAGATAAAGTATGTCGAATGAAAAAGGGATTATTAAAAAATATTATTTCTCATAAAAAAATTGTGTTGATCCATACACTTTTCAATAAGTTATAGCTATATAAAGTTAAAAATGTAAAAAATTAAATCGAGAATTTTCACACAAAAATAGCTTTTGGTAACTATTTTTATCGTGAAGACAAAATAAAGTCCGAAATTTTTTTTTTCATAATAAAGTACATTACATTAGCTTTAATTTAAGATATATATAAAAGTGTCAGACTTTCCGGAACACTTTCAAAAGTTAAGTTGAAAAAGTTAATTTTTTGTGAAAAAGGGATTTTAAATCCCTCCTGTGGGCAGGTAAAGGGTTAAATTTATAAAAAAAGACATCAAGCGTATATAAAAAAAAAATTATATTGATTTGTTTATTTTTGAAGAAGTAATGGCAGTTTAAAAAAAAAAAATTGAAAATTTTAATTAAACTTTTTAAATTTTAGTTAAACTTTTTAATTTAGTTCTGTGTAAAACGTTTCTTTAAAATAATGAACTTTAAACAGTAGACTCTAAACAAAATATCAACTTAAATAAATAATATGAATCTTCTTCTTATTTTTCCTCGCCTTAATCCCAACTACTTGGGGTCGCCCACCCTTATCCTAAACTTGACACGATTTAAATAAATAATATGAATAATAGAATGAATAAATTACTACCCAAAAAGTTAATAAATATTTTATTTAATTTCTTACTAATTGGAATTGACGAACAAAAACTGAAAGGATCGCCTGTGAACCCTTCGTTGCATGTACAAATAGGAATATGATTTAGTACATGGCAGTTTGAATTTATTCCACATGAATTTATACAAGGATCTCTGCATTTTTGATTAATACAACTTAATTGACTAGGACATTCTGAGGGTATAACGCATTCGGGATTGCAATGTGGTGGAGATCCAATAAAATCTGGTAAACATGAACAAACAGGAACTTCATTTTGTATTTGACATTGGGAATGAGGCCCACATGGTGAAGGGTAACATGAAGCTGGGCGTTCTGTGACCGGAGGTTCTGGTGTAGTAGCTAAAGTTAATAATTTAAATTTTATTAATAAAAAAATGAATAATTTAATTAATAAATTTTTTTCTTACGTATTAAGTAACATTGAGAAAATGGATCCCCGGAGTATCCAGCAGGACATGCACATATTGGATTATGATTCCTTACATTACACAATGCTTGAATTCCGCATGTATTAGGACATGGATCTAAACACTTTTGATTAATACACGCTTTATCCAATGGACATTCAGAGCTAACAACACATTCTGGTCGACAATTAGGTGGACTTTCCATATAATTTGGTAGGCATGAACATACAGCTTGTCCATTAATATTACGACATTGGCTGTTTGGTCCACAAGGTGTTGGATGACAAGGATCCATAGGTTCTCGTTGTGTAGCTACAATAATAATTATATATTTAATTTATATAATTATTAGATTATGAATGTTCAGACTACTCACGAACGATAGGTATTGGTCGGCATGAATAAAATGGATCGCCTGTATACGAAGGAGGACAAGAGCAAACAGGTATATGTTTAACTACTGTACATATAGCTTCTGAACCACATGTTCCAGGACAGGGATCTAAACACTTATAACCTATACAAGCTAAAGTCAAACTACAATCATCGTTATTTTCGCACTCTCTACGACATCCAGTATAAGGATCTCCTTGATAGCCATTAGAACATGAACACGCAGCAACTCTATTTCGATTAATACAGTCTGCGTTTACGCCACAAGGTGATGGATAACAAGGATCTGACTCCGGTGATCTTTCAGTTGCTAAATGAAGCAATAAAAAATAATGTATAATTTATAACAACACGATGAATGTATTATTTTTAGTAGTTTTGTTAAAATACAATTATTATACTTAAATATTATGACTCATTTCTCTAAAATCAATAAATTTGTAGGATTACATAAAACTAATTTTATTGATACATCATTTTGAGTGATTAGCTAAAATATTTCACTAGAGAAATCACTTATGCAAGTAATAACAAAAATATTATTGGTAACGATAAATTGAGTTTTAAACTTATATGATTTTAGGATTACTTTACATCCAGGATTTTAAAACTAAAAAAAAACCTATTAAACCTATATGTATGTCATTTATTACTTTATATATTTAATATGTTAGTTCGTATTATATATAAACTATGTTCTTACAGGTAGGTAAGAGATGACAATATGTAATGGCATCTCCAGTATAGCCTGGTAAGCATGTACAAACAGTATTGTGATTAACCACTCTACAATGAGCATATTGCCCACAAGATCCTGGACATGGATCTGAACACTTTTCATTGATACATGCCAAATTACTGGAGCATTCCGCGCTTATAACACACTCAGGTCTACAATTTGGCGGCCGACCAATATAGTTTTGCAAACAAGAACATGCAGCTGTATTGCTTACAACCCTGCATTGAGAGTGAGGTCCACAAGGTGATGGAGAGCAAGGGTCTCTAGGCGAAGGAGTAGTTGTGGCTAAAGTAAGAAAATAGAAATCCATGCAATAGATTTAAATGATTTTTGCGAAAATGCAAAACATATTTTGACATGCAATAGAATAAAGAAATGCAATAGTTATTCAAGTATAAGAACCAATAATGCACTATACAATTCTTACGTTGTATTTTATGACAAGAAGCGAAAGGATCGCCTGTAAATCCAGGCGAGCAGCTACAAATGGGGTTATGGTTTACAACATGACACCGTGTATTTAAACCACATGTACCAATACAGGGGTCAGCACATTTTTGATTAAAACATGCTTTGTTTTGGCTGCAATCAGAACTAACAATACATTCTGGACGACAAGATGGAGGAGTACCAATGTAACCGCTTTGACATGAACAAATAGCATTGTCATTTAATTCTTTACATACGCTGTAGGGGCCACATGGGGACGGGACACATGGATCTATCGGTGTTGCTTCAGCTAAATTTTTAAATAAAAATATTTGTTAATATAAATACTATTACATTTAAACTTAAATATAATAGTAATTAAAATTACTTATGGCTATAATTTGACATTCAGTTAATGGATTTCCAGTATATCCTATTAAACAAGTACAAGATGGTGCATGATTGAGAACTGTACATACAGCATTTAAACCACAAGATCCTGGACAAGGATCTTTGCACTTATTATTTGAGCAAGCTTTTGTGCGATCACAATCAGAATTCGTAACACATTCTGGCCTACAGCCTGTGTATGGATCACCAAAATATTCAGGCGCACAAACACAAGATCCTGCACCATTTTTAGTTTTGCAAATAGCATTTGCTCCACATGGAGATGGAACACATGGATCTTTTGGACCCTCCGTTGGGAAAACTAGGGAGAAAAATTATTTTAATTAGAATACCTCTCATATAACATTTTTTGAATTGTTACCTTGGGAAACAATTGAACATCCAGCAAATGGATCTCCACTATAACCAGTTTCACAAGTACATTGAGGTCTATGGTTGCGCGTTTCACAAATAGCATGTACGCCACATGATCCAGGACAAGGATCTTTACAACGTTCTTTTAAACAGGCAAGGTTTCCAGGACATTCTTCATTTATTGAACATTCGGGACGGCAATTGGGAGGTCGACCAATATAATTAGGTAGACAACTGCAAGCGGGAGTTGAACCAATTGCTCGACAAACTGAATTTGGTCCACACGGTGATGGAATACATGGGTCTTCATCATAAGCTGGAGGTAATGTGGGACGTGCTAAAATAAAAAAATGTTTTTTAATTATTGATGAGTGATAAACTATAAATTTAAAAACGTATAAAGTCTATAATTCAACATTAAATATTATAATTTTTGGGTAATTTTATTCAATTATATCAACATCCTTTAATTTTTATATTAGTAATTTAAAGAATAACATTTTAATGTTTATGTAAAACAATTTATTAAATTTTAAAATGAAAAGAAAGATATTAAAATCCTAAAATAATATATAAAAAAAAAAAAATTACGTTCATGTCTGCAATGACTAAACGGATCTCCAGTAAATCCACTTGGGCAACTGCATATTGGGTTATGATTTATGACTTGACACCTTGCTCCATTACCACATATACCAACACAAGGATCAGAACATTTTTGATTAATACAAGCTTTATTTTGAGGACATTCAGAACTAACTACGCATTCTGGACGACATCCTGGAGGTGTACCAATATAATTTGTTTGGCAAGAGCATACTGCATGATTATTAACGGTTCTACAAATACTGTAAGGTCCGCAAGGTGAGGGTTCACATGGATTTTGTGGTTCAAGTTCAACTAAAATTATTAATATAGACGTTTAATATTAAAGTTTAATTTGTATTTAATGTATATGGTTGTCTTACTAGCTGGAGGAATATGACACGCTGTAATAGGATTACCAGTATGACCAGGTAAACATATACATGATGGAGCATGATTGATTACGCTGCATTCTGCATTTATACCACATGTACCAGGACAAGGATCTTTACACTTGTTATTTACACAAGCTTTAGTTCTATCACAATCGGAATTAGTTACACATTCTGGTCTACAGCCAGTATAAGGATCACCAAAATATTCTGGTAAACATGAACATGATCCTGCTTCATTGCGTTCTTTACATATTGCATTAGCGCCACATGGTGATGGATTGCAAGGCATTTTTGGTCCTTCAGTAGGAACTAAAACACATAAAATTAATAAATTAGATATCCTGAAATAGACAGAATTTAAGTAATTACCTTGTTGTACTATAGTGCAACCAGCAAATGGATCTCCAGTATATCCAGGTTCACAACTACATTGTGGACTATGAAATAGCGTAACACAAGTCGTATAGATTCCACAAGACCCAGGGCAAGGATCCCGACAACGTTCATTCATGCAGGCAAGATTACCAGGACATTCTGAATTTATTGTACATTCAGGCCTACAATTCGGTGGTCTACCAATATAATTTTGTCGACAAGAACATATAGGTGTTTGACCATTTTCCCGACAAATAGAATTTGGACCACAAGGAGATGGTACACATGGATTTTTGGTTTCATCCAGAAGTGGTGATTCTAAAAATGAATTATATAAGAATTAATTTGTTTTAGGTCAAATTTCTAATTATTTATTTTTACCTTCTTTTTGACATCCAAAGAATGGATCGCCATTGAATCCTGGAGGACAACTGCATATCGGATTATGATTAACAACTTGACATCTAGCATTGTTACCACATGTACCAGGACACGGATTGACACACTTTTGTTTAACACAAGCTTTATCTTGTGAACATTCTGAACTGACCATACATTCGGGACGACATGAAGGAGGTGTTCCTATATAATTTGATTGACATGAACAAACAGCATGATTATTAATAGGTTTACATTGGCTATAAGGTCCACATGGTGACGGTATACATGGGTTTGATGGAGGTTCTGGGTCATCTGATTATAAATTTTTAATATAAATAAATAAATTAACAAATAATAATATATTTGTCTACATACATTCAGGTTGTATGTAACAAGATAAAGTTGGATCTCCTGTATAACCAACTAGACAAGAGCATGATGGTGAATGATTTATAACCCTACATTCAGCATTTAAACCACAAACACCTACACATGGGTCACGACATTTGTTATTGAAACACGCTTTATTTCTATCACAATCAGAATTTGTAACACATTCTGGCCTACAACCAGTATAAGGATCACCAAAATATTCTGGTATACAAGAACATGATCCTGCTCCATTCCGTTCTTTACAAATTGCATTAGGTCCACACGGTGATGGATTACATGGCATTTTTGGTTCTTCAGCCGGTAAAACTAAAAAAAGGTAAAAATAAAAAATTTTACTTTTAGATATAATTAAAAATGTTAAATAGAATATTCTTACGTTGAATAAGTAAAGAACATCCAGCAAAAGGATCACCAGTATATCCTGGCTGGCAATTACAATTAGGTACATGTTTTATAGTATTACATGTTGCATAAATTCCACAAGACCCAGGGCAAGGATCTCGACAACGCTCGTTTATGCACGCAAGATTACCAGGACATTCTGAATTTATTGTACATTCAGGCCTACAATTCGGTGGTCTACCAATGTAATTCTGGCGACAAGAGCATACTGGAGTTTGATCATTTTCCCGACAAATAGAATTTGGACCACAAGGAGATGGCACACATGGATTTATTTGAATTGGAGGTTCATATTGAACTTCTAAATTCAATAATAATATTCATTTTTGTGTTTTTAAAAACAAAAGGAATGAAAAAATGTATGTACTTACTTTCTTCTAAACATCTCACAAATGGGTCACCAGTAAATTTTGGAGGACAGCTACATATTGGGTTATGATTAACAACTTGACATCTAGCGTTATATCCACAAGTACCTGAACAAGGGTCAACACATTTTTGATTTACACATGCTTTGTCTTGAACACATTCAGAGCTGACCATACACTCAGGTCGACAAGCCGGAGGAGTACCAATATAATTATTTTGGCAAGAGCAAACGCCATTATTATTTATTACCCTGCATTGACTATATGGGCCACAGGGTGAAGGTATACAAGGGTTTTTAGGTGGTTCTGGTCCTAGAAGTAAGTGTAAAGAAAAGAAAAACATGCAACTTATAATAGAGACAGATAAGAATGAAGACATAGTATACAATGCCATGTCCAAAAGTTTTTAAGCATACACAAAATTAAATGTATGTATATATATATAGTTAAGGAAGAAACCTTACTAGCAACTGGAAGTTGACAAGCAGACAATGGGTTACCAGTATATGCTGGAAGACAAGAACAAGTAGGAGCATGATTGATTACTCTGCACTCTGCATTTAAGCCACACATTCCTGGGCATGGGTCACGACATTTATTGTTTACACAAGCTTTGTCTCTAGGACATTCACTATTAAGTACACATTCGGGTCGACAACCCGTGTAAGGATCACCCGTATATTCAGGAATACACGAGCAAGAACCGGCATTTTGCCTCACATTACATACAGCATTTGCCCCACAAGGTGATGGGTTACACGGATCTCGTTGCTCATCTTGCGGAGCTAAAACGAGAAAACTAAGTTTCAATCCGAATTTTTTTTAGTAAACACTGTGATAGTTATCAAACCTTTATTTACACATTTTTGTTTAAATATGAAAAAAATATCTTACGTGTAATTGGTTTAGGCGTGCATGAATTAAACGGATCACCGATATACCCATCAATACATTTACATACGGGTCTATGAGATATGACTTTACAATATGCGTTGATACCACAAGAACCAGGGCAAGGATCAATACAGCGTTCATTTACACAAGCTAAGTTACCGTAACATTCAGAATTTATTGTGCATTCTGGTCTACAGCAAGGAGGACGACCAATATAGTTTGGCAAACATGAACAAATAGGAGTTGAATCTTTAGGATGACATGCAGAATTTGGACCACATGGTGATGGGACACATGGATTTTGTGGATTTCTCTCTTGTTCGGAGCCTAAAACATATTCCCCGAGCATGAACAATATTTATACAACAGTCAAAGCGATACCAAGCAACTTGTGTATTCTTACTTTCAATTATAGCACAGCGTACGAATGGATCACCATGGTGACCGGGATAGCAACTACATATTGGGCTATGGTTAACAACTCGACATTGAGCATTATAACCACATGTACCAGGACATGGATCAGAACAAATTTGATTAATACATGACTTATCTTGTGGGCAATCAGAACTTGTTATACATTCTGGATGACAATTTGGAGGACTTCCAAAGTATCCAGATAAACAGGAGCATACAGCATGACCATTTATTGCTTTACATTGACTAAACTGGCCACAAGGTAATCTCATGCAAGGGTCCGTTGTAATAATCAAATCTACTTGGCATGCTAATAGTACAAAGATAATAAAAAAAAAAAGATTGAAGCACAATTTACTGAAAGCAAATGCATTTAATATATCTTACTTGGATCTAGCTTAATTTGATGACAAGAAAATAAAGCATTTCCAGTGTACCCAAGCAGACAATAGCATGTAGGTGCATGATTGCTAACTTTACACTCTGCATTTAGACCACAAGCACCAATACAAGGATCAACACATTTATTGTTGGTACATGCTTTATTCCATGCACAATCGAGGTTGTTTACACATTCTGGTCGACATCCTAAATAAGGATCGCCAAGGTACTCTGATATACAAGAACAAGAACCTGCACCGTTTGATTCTTTGCAAATTGCATTTGCTCCACACGGAGAAGGATAACAAGGATTTGTAGGTTTATATTCAATTGCTGAAATAATATGTATGAAAAAACTACAATTTTTTTTTTAAGCAGCTTACAAAGTAAAATATTTACAGTCTTTTTCCAATACATCAATAATTATTAGCTTAAGCTGTTTGTGATATTAAAACATCGTTAATCGCTAAAATAAGAACATATAATTTTTTCAATCATTTTCTTATTTAAATAATATTAGCACAAGCATATACAAAAAAAAAATGTTAACAAATTAAAAGATATATGATATATAAATTTACCCATAACATTTAAATTTCATTGCTTCGTAGTATGGTTAAATTATATCATTAATATTGTAATTATTAAATTATACTTTGTACACATGAAATTAAGCTTTAATTTTGCAATTAGCGATTATGCAATCATTTAAAATAATGAATTTTTTTAGTGTAAGAGGAAACATTGCATACGGTTTACAGTTAATTATATACTTAATCACATTTAAATATTTTATTTATTATTTTATTAGCTTATAGTACTCAAAGCACATCTTAAAAGAATTCCCAGTAAGTCCTGCTAGACATACACAAAATAGTGTATGATTAACTGTCACACAAACTGTTTTAGGTGCATAATTACCAGGATACAGATTAATACAGCGGTTATTAATACATGCTATTGAACCTCTACAATCAGCATTCAAAATCATTCTGGTTCATAATTAGGATATATTTTAGTAAAATCAACTCGGCATGACACATACTGGTTTTCGGTCATAATAACAACATATCGAGTACAGTCCGCATAAATTTGAATCATATAGGTGTTTAGGATCATCCAATACCTTGTTTTATTAGGGTTTAATAACGTTATTATTAATTAAAAACTCTCATATATCCTAGTTTACATTCACATATTGTCTTATAGTTAATTACCTTACAATTTGCATTAGGTACACAGATATTAAGGCAAGAATCTACGCATTTTTGATTAATGCAAATTTTACTGGGTATACTTATTATACAATGAAGCCTACAATTAGAAAGTTTTCGAAAAAAATCATTTTACACAAGCATACGAAACGATTTTCAAGAATTAAGCAATTACTGAATAAGCAACAAATATTTGATACACAAGTTTAGAAGTAGATTTAAAAACTATAATAATTAGTGTAATATTATTTGCATTAGTAATAATAAAAAAAGGACTTATGTATTTGTGTTTTTAATCAATAAAATAATTATTAATATAGTTTTATTATATTGTATGGTACTGTTTATTCATACTATGTAACAAATAATAACACTAATAAACTTCACAAGAACGCGCAAGTCTCATATATTAAAACAAAGATCAATATGTTCTGAGTTGAAACACGTTAATATTTTTAAAAAATTCATTGTAAGAGTCAAAACGATTAATGTTTGTTAACTTATGTTAATATTTCAGTCATGTAATCGTAATTATACAATTACCATAAAGCTTATACAATTTTTCAATTAGTTTCATGTATTCAGTATCTAACATCAACAAACTACCAAATTGAGTATATTAAAATTAATATTATACAAACCTGGCAATGCATTACATCCATTGAATGGGTCGCCTTGGTAACCGAATTCACAAGAACAAATTGGTTGATGATTTACAACAGTGCATTTTGCGTTAAAACCGCAAGATCCTGTACATGGATCTCGGCATTTATTTTGTAAGCATGCCAATCTAGTTGGACAATCTGCATGAATTAAACACTCAGGTCTACAATTTGGAGGAGCCCCAAACATCCCCGGCAAACAAAAGCAAACCGGTCTACTATCGTAAACTTTACAGTCAGCATTGGCTCCACATGGCGAAGGAAAACAGGGGTTATGATAATCATATGAAGGTGATTTTGGTTCTAAAATTAATTAAAATAAGGCGTTAACAGTGTAAATTTTTTTTAAAACTATTCATAAATATTATAATAATATTTACCTTCTTGAATACATCGTACAAAAGGATCACCAACATAATTTGGTGGACAAGTACAAATTGGATTATGATTAACAACATTGCATTGCGCATGGAGCCCGCACATTCCTGGACAAGGATCATCACATTTTTGAGAAATGCAAGCTTTATCGCGAGGACATTGAGCGCTACTAAGACATTCAGGACGACAGGAAGGAGGAGTTCCAGTATAACCTTGGAGACATGAACAAACAGGTGCATTATTATACCCTTGTATTTGACATTGACTATATGGTCCACATGGTGAAGGTTCACAAGGGTTCACTGGAGTTGGTGCTAGTACATAAAAACATATAAATAAACTTTTGGTTTTCAAATAACAAGCAGTCAAAAAATGATCGCTTTTTTATAAACTTACGTATGAGTGGTTCAATTCTACAAGAAATGAACGGATTACCAACGTATCCTGGAAGACACGAGCATGTAGGTACATGAGATACTACAGTACATTGAGCATTAAGTCCACAAACTCCAGGACATGGATCTCTACAATGACTAGCCATACATGCAAAGTTTGATAAACAATCACTGTTCATAACACATTCTGGTCTACAACCTCCAGAGTAGGGATTTCCAACATATGGTGGAATGCAAACACACTTAACTCCATTATTTCCTTCATTATAACATTGAGTATTTTCACCACAAGGAGAAGGATAACATGGATCTTTTGGAACTTCTGGTAATACAGCTAAAATATTAAAAAAAACAATGAAGTTTATAATTTAAACATTTTATATAAAAGAAAAAATTAATAAAGTTTAAGAATCTAAAATTGACTCACTAGGTGGTATTTTAGTACAACCAATAAATGCATCACCTATATAACCAGATTCACACGTACAAAATGGTGTATGATTTACAACATCACATTTAGCATTCGGGCCACATAATTTTGTACACGGATTTTGACACTTTTCTCGAATGCAGGCCTTGTTATACGGACATTCATGATGCATAATACATTCAGGACGACAATATGGAGGACTACTTATATAGTTTGGTGCGCATGAGCAAACAGGATGTCCTTTTTTAACTTCGCACAATGAATTTGGACCACATGGAGTTGGTTCACAAGGATTAATAGGATTTTTAGGTATTTCTTCTCCTATAAACATTTAATAACACATACGTATTAAAATATCGCATATATTATAAATTCAACCATTTTAATTCCCTTAGATGCATTTTGTGTATCTATCATATTTTATTTTTTATAATCATAATTTTCAAGTTAAAACAATGCATCTAACTCTAAAGGTTACTAATTGATATAAGCATCAAAACTAAAGTAAAATTTGTTTTCATAATTTATAAATAGATTTATCTAAAAACTTTTTTTAGCTTATCCTAAAGTCAATCCTAAAAAAAATTTATTTTGAGTAATTTTAACTAAAAATGAAATTCGGATATGAAAAGGATTAAGTAAAAATAATTTTTAATAATAATAATTTTATACCTAATGGCAAATAGCACCCTACAAACGGATCACCAACATGACCTGTTGGACAACTACATATTGGATTATGACACATAGTATAACAATTTGCTCCAACACCACATGTTCCTGGACATGGATCAACACATTTTTGATTTAAGCAAGCTTGAGTTTGTGGACATTCAGCACTGACAACACATTCAGGTTTACAAACAGGAGGTGTACCACGATAACCCGGTAAGCATGAGCAAGTAGCATATCCTTGCTTAGAAATATGACAACGGCTGTTTAGACCGCAAGGTGAAGGGTCACAAGGGTTATCAGTAGGACCCATTAATATTGGATAAACTAAAAAATACAATGTACATAAGTTTTTATATTTTTGGTTTGAATTAATTATTTATTTAAAAATATTTAATTTCACTAAAATGAAAGAATTGGAACTTTTATTTACTTGGTCTAGATTGATAGCAGCTGACAAATGGATCTCCAGAGTAATCTTGTTGGCAATAACATACTGGGAAATGGTTTACCACTTGACATAAAGCATTTACACCACAAACGCCAAGACAAGGATTTACACATTTGTTGTTCACACATGCAAGTGTTTGTGCACAATCTGTATTTAAAACACACTCTGGGTGGCAAGCTAAATATGGGTTTCCAAAATATTGTGGGCGGCAAACACAAACAGTAATTCCGTTTGATTTTTTACACATGGCATTTGCACCACATTGAACCCGATCACATGTTAGCGGTTTTGCTACTTCATCTAAAGAATTATATTAAATGGTTTATATAAATGATTTAAAATGTTTACATAATAGTTCAGAATAAAATTTAAGATTTAATTTACTTTGTTTTGGTCTAGTACAGTGTTCGTATGGATTTCCTACAAGATCAGATGAACAAGTACATATTGGTTGATGGTGTACAACAGTACATTCAGCTTGAATTCCACAAGAACCAGGGCAAGGATCAATACATTTTTGCCCAATACACGCCATATTAAATGGACAATCCGAGTTGTATAAACATTGTGGGTGACATTGTGGATTCCATTGGTGTTCAGGTGATGAGCATGGATCACACATCGCTACTTGACCTCCATAAACATTACATGAAGCATAGGGATCACATGGTGAAGGTGCGCACGGAAGTGTCATGTTTTTATAAGGTATATCTGCGGCTGAAATAATTGTATTTTTTATAGAATTTAAATGCAACAAATAAATAAACTGCGTTAGTCTTATAAATAAAAGATGTTATACTTACGTTTAGGAACACATTGCAAGAATGGGTCTCCAACAAAACCATCACGACACAAACATAATGGGGTATGGTCTTTACATTGGCATACAGCACCAACACCACATAAATTACCAAAAGCACAAGGATCTCGACATCGATAGTCAATACAAGCTTGATGACTTTTACAATCAGTGTTTAATATACACTCTGGTTTACAAGCAGTTTTGGGATCACCTATGTAATTCGATAAACATGAGCATACTGCTTTTCGATTTTGTATTTTACAATCAGTATTTAAACCGCATGGGTTTGGAAGACATGGGTTTCCTGATGGCATAGGATCATTACCTGAAAAAAAAATTAATTTAATATCAAATACAGAATTAAAACACATTTCAACATACTTATAGGGTAACATCTCATTAATGGATTTCCTGTTAAACCATGTTTACATGTACAAACAGGATGATGTTGTTCAACACGACAAGTTGCTCCAACTCCACAAGATCCTGGGCATGGATCATTACATTTATATCCCAAACAAGATTTGTCCAATGAACAATCTTTATCAGTTAAACATTCAGGTCCATTACAACCTGTTATTGGATCTCCACCCATTCCATCGGGACAATAGCATGTAGGTTGACCTACATAAAATATATAATCTATTAGGTTAATGATCCAATGAATTTATTTTATTAAATAAAAATACCTTCATTCGATACTAAACAATAAGCGTATTTTCCGCAAGGATTTGGTTCACATGGACTACTAGGAATTAGACTACATTTTTCATAAGGATTTCCAGAATATCCATTTTTGCAATAACATTGCTCATTGCTACCAGTTACGTAACAATCAGCGTTGATACCACATGGTCCCGGTTGACATAAAGTTTTTGCCGACTCTAAATTATTTAAAAAATTATTATTTTTTAATTATTTTCTTAAAGTAAAATTCACTGTTCACAACTATTTACACTTTACCTCCACAACTTTTGTATGGATTTCCTATAAGTGGTTCTGGGCAGAAGCATGATGGTTGTCTATTAGGATCGCAGATTGCACCTTGGCCACAAGGATTAGGTTCACATGTATTTTTCTTTTCAACACAACCTCTAATTGTATTAGGACTTTCAATGTACCCCGGTAGGCATGTACATTTTGCAAAGCCATTATTTAATAATGAACATTGTGTGTTTGGTCCACAAGGAGACGGTTTACATGGATTAGTAGGTAAATGACATGGAGTTAATGGTGGGTCTCCTTCGTACTCAGAAAGACAAAAACAGAAAGCAGAACCGTCAACTACTCTGCATCCAGAATAAGGACCACATGGGTTCGGTGAACATTCCTCGCCTTCAGGTACTGAAGTGATTTAAAAACACATTTTAATTACTCTAATAAGGTTCTATTATATACAATCATGTGTTACTATTTTAAGATTAACTTACAGCAACTTTTAAACGGATTACCCGTCATGCCCTTGGGACAATAACAAATTGGATTTCCATTATCATTTTCACAAAGAGCTTTTATTCCGCATGGATTTGGATTACATGGATTTTGAGGACCTAAATTAATCAGTCAAGCTCATATAATTTTTAGATTTGATAAATGATAAAATAAATTTCAATGATAAATTTTTATAAATATGCAATTAAAATATGATAATTTTATTTTATACCATATTGTTAATTACCTTCACATCCTGTTAAAGGATTTCCATCATAACCGGGTAGACATTTACATGTTGCTTTATGATTTAAAACATCACAGACAGCATTTGGACCACATCGGCATGGATTTGAACACTTTCCGTTAATACATACTTCATTTGTTGCGCATTCATTATCCGATCGACATCCAGTAACTAATTTAATTTAAAAAAAATTGCTCAATGAATATTTTTTTGAAAATAATATAATAAAAAACAGTGGAATTTAATATACCTGATGCACAACTAATATAAGGATTTCCTTGGTGACCAGGCAAACATCTGCACTCTGTTCCATGGTTTACTGGATAACATTCAGCATTTTCACCACACGCATCTTCGTCACACGGATTTATACATATTCTATTCAGTCTATCACATAATTTATCTGGCGGACAATCTTCATTATACTGGCACACTGGCTTTAAAACTGATCGTACTAACATACCAAAGACATTTTCATTATTGATTGATGATACCTTAATTATTGCAAATATTCTTTAATATTTAAATTGTTTGTTGTACTAACCTGGTAGGCAGCTTACAAAACCGTTTCCTTGAAAACCTTCAATGCAGCTACAATGTACTCCTTGAGCAGTATTAACGCATGCAGCATTTTGAGCACATGGATTATGAACAGAGCAATGATTTTGGCAAATTTGCTGGATGCAAACTTCACCATGCGTACAGTCGATATTTGAAGTACATGTAACTAGTTAGAAAAAAGATAAAAGAAGAATATTTAACCTTTGATTAAAAAGTAGATATAGTCCCAAAGATTCTAAAATCCAATAAATGGATTCTGCTTCAATTATATATACATTATTTACTGTACTAATTAATATTTTTTTTTATTTATATTTACATGTCAAATTAGAGTTATATACAAGAACGTAATAATTTAAAAAAAAATATAATTAAAAAATAGAAAAGTAATTTGTAAGATAATTATTTACGGATACAGTAGATTAATACGTATTAATTTTTTTATATATTATTGTATTAATATAATTAACTGTTATTGAGTTAATAGTTATGTTGATTAAATGTTAATAAAATTTTTAGTATGTTAAGGCTTACACAATTTTGGCTGATAACATTTAGTTGCTGGGTTTCCTTCATACCCAGGTGGACACAAGCAAACGGGTCTATGTTTTATTACATGGCATTTGGCATTTGACGCACATACCGTTGTAAAACTACACAAATCCTCACACTGACCCATATAACAAGCTTCCGAATCCAGACATTCCGTATCTGATTCGCATACTTGAGTTTTCTTTGAATTGACCGGTGCTGTATATTATTTTTGTATAGTTATTTACAATTAAATTGGCATTAATAAAAACAATAATTTGTTATTTACAAAAATATAAGTTAACTTTTTAAGCACATCACATTTTATAGCAAGACAACTGAAACAGAGGCGTATTTAGACTATAAATTGAAATCTAAAGCAGCTTCATTAAGGGGAATTTTTCTTTAAAAGGTGGCTTTTTTTGGAATACATTTTTAATGGATAAATTTATTTTGAGCGTTTATAATTAGTATAATTATTTTCTATATTTCACTGAATACCAAAAAAATATTTCATAAATTATAAAATTTTTTTTCGAAAACTAACGAGAGATATATAGTTAAACAATCATAAGGGCGGATAAGTACCAGAACAATTTAGCCCAAAGTCATAAAAAATTTAAATACGCCATTGAACCAGTCATTATTATTAGATGTTAAGTAGTTTATAATTAATTTCAATTTTAAATATGTTTGATGAGAGTTTTAAACTAATATATTAGTTAAAATTAGGAATTAACGTAATTTAGTTTGAGTTGTATTCAACTTATGGTAAATTGTACATCTTATTATTGTAAATAATTAGTCATGCTTCGATTAAAAATTACTTCTGTGAAAGTAAATTAAAACTAGAATTACATTATTTAAGAAATAAAAATCAGTTTCACTAACAGTGAATAATTAAATATTCTAACACATCAAACCTTATGTATACGCTAAAGCACCGACTGTTCTTTTCTTAAAAAACATATTATTTTTTCTTTTTAATGATAAAAATAAAACATTAAATTGTTATCCTTTTATATGCACAATAAATTTATACCTTTGAGACATTGCAATGTGATGATTCCTAATGGGCAATTATCTATGCGGTTTTCACCTATCGATATACACTTAGCTGACAAAAACTTTTGGTTGACATCACAGTCGAAATCTTTTGTACACCATTTCCTGTTTGTCATATTTGTTGGGTTAAGTTAGTATTTTTTAAAATAATAAGATTGTTATTTGTTGGGCTTATAGTTGTGCCTTTAAAATCAATACTTTTTGAAGTTATTGTATATTCTGTAGTGGTCAGCATAACATTTAAATCAATATTATTGGATTGTGATTTATAAGTGATCAAGTCATTTTTTGAAACAAATACATTAAATATATTCGGTAAGTTATTAACTGTTTTGTTTGTGTATTATCTAATGGTATCAAAGTAATAAAATCACTATTTAGATCAACAATAATTTTATCCATTGTTACATCTTCGTCTTGATTTGACATAATTTTGGTAATGTTGTAAATACTATCAGTCGAGTTCACATAATCTCTCATACTAGTAACAAGTAACTGAATTGAAGTTGTGAAAAAATTTATTAAAGTGGTCGCATCATTAACTGGTGTAATTGAAGTAGTTTCTTTGTCACTGAATTCTTTTTTATTGATAATTTTTGGTTGATATGGTTCTTCTGCTGGAATAACTTTTTTATTTTAAATCAAAATTGAATCTGTTCCACTATTTAATTGATCAATTTGAATATTCTTTTGAGTAAATGTATTCTGTGGTTTTTCTGCAGAATTCAGTCTTTTCTTTTTAATCCAATTGACGACCGTAACAGGATAAGGTGTTGTATTTTCATTCATATTATAATTCAGATCTAAAGATTTATCAGATGATACTAATAAGTTTTCTATATTTTTCGTTATTTGATTACTAATTGGAGTAATATTTAAACTTGATGTCAAAATTTTATTTTCATTTATAATTACAAAACTAGATTCTGTGATTACCTCATTAGCAATTGTTCTCGTGTTGTCCACAAAGATTGTATCATTTTTATCCACGCTGAGAGCTGTTGTTATAATGCTTTCATTTTTCCCACGTATACGCGTGGCCGTTGTTAAATCACACCATTCCAGTTTATTAAACTTCACATTAATAATCTCATCTACTGTTACGTTATTTTTACTATATATATTTTTTGGGAAATTTGTATTATTTGCACTTTGAGTATTTATTTTATTATCTTCTTCCGCGCTAGTCATTTTTACTGGCGCTATAAATTCTACATTTTCTGTTGAATAATTTTTTGTAACAAATATGTTATCATCTTTTCTAGGTTCAAATAAATCATTCCATTTACATTTAATTTTGTCAGCCAGATAACTTTCATTTAAATTGGTGCTGTTAAAAATAATGATAGATTCACTTTTATTTTCATTAATGATGTTTAAATATTTTGACATTACATTTTTAAATTTAAATGTATCAAATAAAGGGTATATAACGGTATTAGCCTCGTATGATTTTGTTACATTAGTTTGGTCTGATTGAGTAATTGATCGTTTGATATTATTATTTTTATCTGACTCATTTGTGGTTAAATCAATTATTACGAATTTTTCTTCATTGTTTGTTGTAGTATTAGGTATTAAGTTTACCTAACTAGTTGTTGTCTCAAATCTAGTATTCGTAAGACTAGAGGTAAATGTAGGTTTTGTTGTGACCAGTGAATCATTAATGTTATTTGACAACTTTATATTAGTCGTAGTAAAAAAACTGATTAGGCTTCTCAGATTTCATTGTATTTGTATTTATAAATGCATAAGTGCTATTTTGAAGTGTTTCATTATTAAATGGAAAATTATACAAATTTAAATCTCCTACTCTGACTTCTTTTTCTACACCTGCTAATGTAGTTGTTTCAAGTGTAATGTAACTCTACGTATAAGTTTTTGTTAAATTATCACCTGTGTAGTGTGAAACTGATAATGTAGTAATTTTCAATATTTAGAGTGTCTTCATTCTGATTAAACGGTGTTATAAATGCTTCATTTACCTTTATGTGTTTGATCGGATTAATAGAAGATTTATTTTGAGGAACTCCTATGTATTTTACTGAAGTGATTACTTGTTTCTAAAGGTTCTATAGATACTGCATTGGTATTATTTACTGTTGATTCTGTTGTCAAATTTAACGAATTAGTTTCATTATAATTATTATTTAACAGAGTAGTATTTTCAGAATCACATTTAATTAAGGCGATGTAATCTTTATTTCTGTAGCGACATTTAAAATGAGACTTGGATTGTTTAATAAATGTATTGTATGTAGAAAAACAAAATTGGCTAACGAAGTAGTTATTTCTTTTTGTTCAATTATTGATGTAGTAATTTCTAATTCATAAACATTGTCAATTAATGTATTAGCATTATCTTTTTTATATTCATCAGAATGAGTCGTCAGCGATTGTTTATTTTTAAATATTTCTTCTGTTAACGTTGAGCTCTCAAATATCTTAGTAGAATTTTGAGAAAAATAATTTTGTCTATTTGGTAAATTGGTAACTGTATTTGGTTGATAATAAATCAGTGAAGTTTCATAACTCGTTGCAGTTGGTGTGTTTTCTTCAATAAGATTTTCAGTGGTCTTATAATGAATTCGTATACATATTTGTCGGTGTTTCAGTCGAAAGATCGATATTACAGTCAGTAATATAGTAATAATTAGATGATAAATTTTCATTTTCAATTTCAAGTAAATTTTATGATGCCGAAGAATTACTTGAATTTATATTGTATTTATTATTAAGTAACAGTGATTTATCAGTAATATTAAATTAGAAATTAGGTTATTTTTTTCTTCATTTTTGTTAGTATATTTTGTATTTATAGACAGTGTTAGTGTATTATGGTAATGTGTTGCAGTGTTGTATAGTGGTGATAAGTCTACAAGTTTTTGTTCAAAAACGGGAACATAAATTAAACAAAAAAGTTAATATATGTTAAAAGATAACAAAAAATTATATCACAGAGAAAGCTTTTTTTATACAAAATTTGTTGCCTTAAAAAAATGAATGAATGTCAATTGTATTAATATAAATGAAACAATTGATAAAGCTAACAATATTCAATTATGTGCCTTCATAAGCGTCTGTTTACTTCATTATAGTTATTAATTTATTCGTGTAGTTTCTACATATTATTAAAAAAATGCTTCAGACTTGTGTATGTTTCATCAGTATTAATAAATCTCCTAAATACCATATAATGCAAAAATTATTATTATTTTTTTTGTGACTCAGATACCATATTTTTCTTTTGTTAAAAGTGTGTTGTCATAAATGTTTGCCAGTGTAATGTAACTAACAAAAAATTTTCCAATAAAATATGAGGTATATCTAATCAAATCGATAAAACAATAAAATTTAAGATTGGGTTAAAATAATAATTATAAGTTTCAAAGTTATAATGGTACATTAGAATGGCATAAGTATTTTAACTATAAATAAACTCAGAATGAAATCCTCTCTTTATATTGGAGAATAGATAGATTTAAACAAAATTATAATTACTTAAAGAAAATAATTTGTTTGTTTTTGTGTGCTTAATCACAAATAAAGTTTTTCAAAAGCTTTAAAAAGTCAAAGAAGGAAAATTGTAAACCATACATTCTTAAATTACTCTTATTTAAAATTCTACTTAATATTTAATTATTTTAAGTGTACAATTATTTTATAATAAGCAATTTCAACATAACTTGATATTTCAGGTATGTTAAATTTACCTGTTTTACACTAATATGAATATTAAATACACATGCGGTATAGTCTTTTGTATATTTTTATATTTAATTCATTATATATTATATTATCCCCATGCTGCAGTCTGTGCTTTTGCGTAACATATTTTCCAATTTTCTGAAGTCTAACAATGATTTTAGCTTTTCATTAAAGTATTTAGTATTTATTGATGTTTTGGTTTTTTTTTTATGGTATATAGTACTAACAAAGACTTACTTAAAAAATTATGATCTATTTTAAAAAAAGTTATTTGAGATGTGCTGCTATCTTACACGCATTATAACATAAATATATACAAAATTATAGAGTTTATTTACATAAATTAATAAAGTAAATACGAAAAATTTGTACAAAGATTTAAAACAAAAATAGTGAAAGTAAAGAAGCAAGTATTGTAAATGAAGTTTCGATGCTTGGTTTTTCGTCGGATTTCTTCTTGTATCAACTTATAGGACGGATTGAGAAGGAAAAGGTTTAAAAACAGCAACACATCTATTGTATAATAAAATACCTGAAATAGTAAAATAAAAACACATACCTTTAGCGCAAGCTCCAGTTACTGGGTCACATGGTACTCCGGTAGGACAATGTTCACATCCTGGAATAGGTAATGGATTTTGACCTAGTAATTATAAATATAATTTCAGTATGAAAATAAAAATAATTTTAAATAATTAAATTATTGATTCACTCACTTGGTTCTATACAATTACAGCCATCGCATACGAAACCATTTTGACAGTGTGTATTTTTTTTACATTGGCACACTGAAAAATTAGGAGGAATTGATATTGAAATAAAAAAATTAACCACAGAAAAATTTTTAACTAAAATATATATGGAAATAAAATGGGAGAAATCTGCTAGTAGGCAGATATTAAAATAATAAGACGTGCGCGGAAGAGTGTGGTTTTTTTTTAATAATTTGATTATCATACAATTTCTATGAATGATTTGAAAAACGTGTGGATAGAATGAAAACTCGAATAGAGCAATACCTGACAGGTGTTAAAAAATAATACTATTATAATCTAGATATATCGTGTTTATAAAGCGTTACACCCCGAGACAATTGTGAAATTTAAGAGAATTCATGTTCACTAACCGAATAATTTTGAAATGTAATTAGTAATAAATGAACATTAACGCGATTACGTAGTGTTTGTCTTTTTAAATTTGATCAAAAATAGCCTGAAGTAGTGCATTAAACTAATAATTTGTTTACCATTGTTTTATAATAAACTAGACTACATAAACTATATGATTGTAAATTGTTAATTTTTATGGAATTTAAGACTTACATTTTAGACAAACTGGTAAATGGTCTTTTACTTGACAATCTTGTTGTGAATTACACGGGTTATTGTATTGACATGGGTTTTGACACTGATTTGCTAAACATGCTTGTTGAGATGGACATTCATAATCCGCTGAGCACCCGACCACTGAAATCGGCAAATTTTGATGATTTAATAAATTGTAAAAAAAAATCACACATTATAACGATATTTTGATCATGAAATGTTTTGAAAAAAAAAATAAAGCGTTTGTGCATTAGCACGGTGTTACGACCATGAGTCTAAAAATAGATTTTAAATTCATGTTCGCAAACCGATTGCACTTGATTATTTTTTGTTTTTAACCGACACCAAACAAGAATAATAAAAGTAGGTAATATTATTGAAAAAATAATAATTATAACACCAATCACCATTTCGTCGAGTCGATACTCTTGAGCATAAAAACAGTATCGCACAGTAAAAATAAAAAAAATGTCTAAGTAATACCATGACATAATAATTTTAAACACATTTTTATCACATCCAACACTGGTAATTGATTATCGTGTTCGCGATGATATAAGCTAGAAATAAGTAAAAAAACATAATAAAAGTAAAGCAACAGTAGAGTATAACGCTAGAAGAATATTCGCCTCTGCCGATGGTTCCCGGCACAACACTGAGCTCAGTTGACATGCACAATAATATTCCTCCGGAGCGCTGAAAGAAAACACATAAAAAAAATTACACTGACCAATTGAATGTTAACGATAATGATGACAGCGGTAAATGCACTAAAAGTAAACAGTGGAAAGAGTGCAAGTGTATTACCTGTAAGACAAAAAGATAACGGTAGGAGGAGACATCAATTAAAACTGTGTCCGATGGTGGGAAGGAGATCGCCGGGAGAATCATATACAAATGTAAATAGTCCCGGCGAGGTTTGGATAAAACTGCGGGTGGAACGCCGCCGACTTTACTTTCACAGCTAAACCAACCGTGGCACGCTCGTTCGTGTAATTATTCTATGCCACTCTTATTTTTCTGAATACGTTTATACGCATTTTACTTCATGTATATACTCCGTTGGCAGTGAAAGTTGTACTCCACAAACTGTATTAAGTACATCTGTTTACTGTATTACAGTTTAATTTTTTTACATTCACAGGGAAGGACGTTTGAAACGTGCGGATAAAACGTTACGCAATAATGAAACATTATTATTCACGAGACGCTCATCATCATTAAAATGGATTTTTTTGGATTTTATGGAATCGTTTATGGAATGACGTTCTTGGTATGTGTTTCTAGGTCATGACATTACATGTCCGTGCAAATCAAACCCATTGCCGTATAACGGAGTTAAAATAGTTAAAATATAACACATTTCTGCATACATTATTTTTTTAACGTCTACAGAGTCATCAAAGCGTAACATGCACGTCTATCGCTAACATGTCTAGTCGACGTTTTACATTAAATAATTATTGAAGTGCTTCTTAAATCAAACAAACGACAATTATCAAAACTGTCATGCTCTCGATTGCCAAAAGCCGTTTGACCTGATTGCGTGATCGTCTGTGTTCTACGGTCAAAATAGCGAGCAACACAGTCATACGACGCAATCAATCAGTTCTCAAGTGAAATGAAGCGACGACCAAAGACATGAAGTTTGCAAAGCCAGACAGCAACCTACACCCTATCCGTTCCTAAGGTAGACGAGGATAGTAAATAAAGAGATGTTGGGTTTAAACATAAGGGCCGCCCTGAAGTAATACCTCACGGTAGTTCCAGGGCGGTCCACAATAATGCCGGTCGCGATAAAAAAAAAAAAAAGGGTTTAACACATAAGTTGTATTTGTCAACGGACATGTTAAAACACAACACCTCTGGCCCAGCACATCAGCTTGTGAAAAAAAAATTAGAATTTTTTTTTACAATTACCTTTCGGACAGCCCGACTTTGAACCGGCGTTGTCACCGGCTGTACAGTTTTTGCAAACAGCCCTATGCGATTGCACTATGCACAGTGCGTTTGCCGGACACGAGGTTTTCATGCATGGGTCGACACATTCAAAATTAATGCACCGTAAATGTAACGGGCACCCGGAGTTTCGTAGACACATAAACGCGGTAGGAGTGCAGTTATCAGCGCACACGCATACAGGCTGACGATCGAGTACCAAACACTTTTTTTCCGATCCACATGGTCCGTTGTTTTCACACGGATTAAGGCATTGGCCACCAGTAGTGCATCTCATGTGTATGGTGCAGTCATCGTTGACGCGACACTCGCGTTCGCCTTGGGCACAAGATAATTCACCCAGCTCGTTAACAATGAATCCATAAGTACAAATGCACTTGGCCTTATGATTACGAACCACGCATTTTTTCACTGGTCCATCACAGGCTACTCGCTCACAAGGGTCTAAGCATAAATCAGACTGACACGCTTGTGTGTCAGAGCAATCCGAATCTATTGTACACAATATTGGCGTCGTGACCTTAGAAGATGTGGTGGTCGCGGTAATCGCGTTGTCTCCGTCGCGCTTACAAGCTTTCATGTCCGGCAAACACCCTAACTTTGGATCGCCGTCGTAACATTCCGTGCATATGCATTGGGCTTTATGAAGTACAGGCCGACACAACGCGTTCAAGCCGCATGCGCCTATGACGCTACACACGTCGACGCAACGTCCGCCGATGCACGTCTTTTCATTTGTACACTGATCATCGTTGGCGCATTCGACAGCTGGCGAAACGCGTCATAGAAAAAAAGAACAGTAATGTCAGAAAACAATGTATGTACATGTACACACGTATGGGTATACTGTTCATTGTGACTGTGTTGGTTGGAGATAAAATGTATTATAAAATTAAATAAGAATAGGATTCCATGAAGTTTAAAATAAATATTTTTATTTGATTACAATAATAACATTGTCGGTATGTTGGTAAAAAATAATTACTATCTGAATAAATTTACAAAAACGATTAAAATTTAAAATAAATATTAGTTTTCGACATTTTATTTTAAGTTAAGTTCTTATTTGATAATTATGAGTGTGACAGAGTTCCCACAAGTTAAAATATTGTTCAATAAAGTATCATAGAAAAAATAGTTGTATTCAATAATAAAGTTTCCAACCAACATTTATTCAGTCCAGTATACGATATTTTAAGGGAAAGAACTGTGAAAGAATGTATTCTCACAACATGCCATTGAAGTATGCTTAAGCAGTAAACAGTTTCGACAAATCAAATGTGATTTTCAATTACAATGAAATACGTTTTAAGCAAATCACGTTCCGTGCACAAAAAAATACGACAATATTGTTTAGGTTAAACGTGTGAGTATAACGCTTTCACAGTTCCCTCCAATCTGAGCACCAACTGTACACATGTCAAGTTCAAATAGTTAAAATATAAATGCTGAAAGTCATTTAAATATTTTAAGAGAGTCTGTTTGAATATAATTTTTAATGAATATTTAAGTAAAATATTTTTAAAAAAATTATAAAATTAAATAAATAAAAATTCCAGATTGGGAGAAACTGTTCATACTTCCACGGTTAACACAAAGTATAGGTACAGCATAATAGAAAATTAAGAGTTTCAAATCAACTACAACTAAATAATTACATTTTTATCGATATTTATAACAATATACAGGTATATACAAAGCCGTATTTAATAATATCATGCATTTTGATCTATCTACAAATAAAATTAAATTTTTTGGAGAATGTACACTAAAAATGTAATTATGAAAATTTACATAAAAATGGACTTTTGTTTTATTTACTCGAGTCATTAAAATTTTATATACAACCTAATAAAGTTTTAGAAAACTTTAAACATTTTTCGAAGCACTTACCTTGTACGCACTCTATTTGAGGGGATCCAGATGTGCCTGATGGACATTGACAAATATAATTTTTTTCTTTCAGCAAACAACTGGCGCCTTTGCCACATCCGTTAGTACGGCAGTCAGATGGTAATTTCTTTACATCGCCTATAAAATTACCAAAAATTATTAAATATTCTTTGATTTACGAGGAGTTAATACTCTTACATTCAATATAAGGGTTTCCAACTGGAAATTCTGGAGGACAATGGCACTTTGCTTCCTGGTCGTTGACCGGCTGACAAAGTGCATTTTTTCCGCATAAAATGTCCTTACATACGTCGGATCGTTGTTGAGCCGCATCGCATACACACCTTTTACTAGGATCACCGGTACATCCAGGAGGACAAATGCATTCAAAGCCTCCAGGAATTTTTTTGCAAAGACTATTTTGTCCGCATGGATTTGATGTACATTTATCTGATATTCCTAGAACATATAAATTTTTAATTTAATATTATATTGTTATAATACACATTATAAGTCAAAGTAAAATTAAAAAGTATTTAATTTTTAATTTATTTTAGGGTGATGTAAGTATCATTATTTATCATTAATTAAGAAAATTATTATGAAACATGTATATAAAATATATGTCACATCAAATAAAAACAATGGTCTTAATTTAAAATAATTTTTAGAATTTTTGTTTTGTACACAATAAATTTAAAACTTAAAAGAAAAACTTTCGTTTTTAAAATTAGGCGTTGCCGTTCAATTATTATGTATATATTATGTGAAATTTGCGACTTTTAAAATAAACAAATTAAATAGCATGGAATACTTATGAATAACTTTCTCATAACTTATTTCCTATTACCTGGTTTGCATTCTAATTGGGCATTTCCATAGTAACCAAGCGGACAAGTACAATACGCCTGTTTGTTTACTACTCTACACTGTGCATTTGAACCACACGCTCCTTGCTCTAAACAAGGGTTTCTGCACACTTTATCAGCACCGCATTTTTTATTTGTTTCACAATCGTCATCTTTTACACATGAATATCGTTTACATTCAGTTCTTGGTTCACCTTGGTATCCATCAGGACAAATACAAACGGCTTTGTGTTCAATAACACTACAATCGGCGTTTTCTCCACACAATACATTAGGAGTATCACAAGGATTTTTGCATTTGTTATTTTGGCATGATCGATCTACTCCACAGTCAGTATCCGAACGACATCCAACAATGCATAAACCATTCGAACATATGTGACCCTACAAAGCAATTAAAAATTACTTTATATATTTTTAAATATATATTTACTTTAATATTACAGGTTGACAGTTGACGCTGGTACTACACTTAGCAGTACATTTATTTTTATGACAAGTTTCTCCACACGAACATTCCTTGTTAGCAGAACATGGTTTAAAACAGTACCCGGATTCTTGATCACAAGGGCATAGTCCATCACACTTCATTGCTAGTTTAGAACATCTTACCAGAGGATTTCCGTAGAATCCAACTGAACAGCTACATTGGACTCCGTGATTAATCACTTTACACTCAGCACACGAACCACATGTAGTTGAGTTATTACAAGGCGCTAAAAATGTATTAGTATTATTATTATTTTTTATGGTAATGATCCTATCTAAGAATTAAAATATTATATACCTTGGCATTGTTTATCAATACATGCTTCATTGTCCAAACAAGAAGTATCGCTGCGACAACCGCGAATACATATACGATTTTCACATATTTGATTTGAGCTACATTTGTTATCGGAATTGCATATAGCTTTACATACTCCATTATGACATCGTTCATCAGATAAACACTCCAAATCACTAAAAATTAACATTATTTAAAAAATAGCTAATATACAGGTTCATACTATAGATATTTTGTAATTAATATTGACTAATAACATACGTATGGCACACTGCTTGACAAGTTGACGAATAACAAGTTTGTCCAGAATTACAGTCACTATTTTCTTTACAACTTATCAATGGATATCTGCAACCAACGAGTGGGTCACCTTCGAGTAATAATGGACAATTACAATGCTTCTGGTGATTTGAAACAGAGCATAAAGCGTTTACTCCACATGATGTTGGAGATTCGCATAAATCTAAAGTAGAAATAATAATTTTATTTGACTTATTTAATTTATTATTTAAAGAAGAAAATATACCTTTGCATTCATTATTAAGACAAGATTTATCGTTTGGACAATCGGTATCACTTCTACAACCAGAATTGCACATCAATCCTGTACAAATTTCTCCACTTCGACAATCATCATCTTTGCGACAAAGAGGTTTACATATTGATACTGACATATCACATTTTTCATTTCCATGGCAATTAGCATCTGATGTACATACAGGTTGACAAGAATTATCTTTACACAAGTATCCCGTTGGACATTCACGATTTTGACTACATGGTTCTGCTGGTGTCCTAACACATGCTATTTTTGCTGTTGGATTAGGTAAAAAGCCAACTTGACATGAACACATAGCTCTTTGATTAGTTACTGTACAAATCGCATTGGGTCCGCAAGGCATTGTCAAACAAGGGTTGATACAAACATTATCTCGACAAGATTCAACCGAAGCACAATCATCGTTAGATTTACATCCAAATAAACACATGTTGTTTAGACAAATATGGCCCAAGAAACAATCATTATCAACACGACATGTCACTAAACAATTTTTAAGGAAAAAATAATTAGCATATTGACTTAAGCAGAAAAATTAAGATTATATTAAATGTATAAAAACACAAACTTACGTGCACAATGATTTTTATAACATTTTTCATTTAATGCACAGTGATTATCTGCCAGGCAATCAGGTTGACAGATAGACTGATGACATGTACTATTTGGATAACAATTTTCATTATTTTCACAAGCTACAGGAACTAAAAAATAGTTTTAATATGTTTAAAAATTAGTATATTGTAATGATTAAATATTAAAACCAATATTAAATATAATTACATACTTCGAACGCATTCTATTTCACTGTTTCCAGTAAATCCAGCAGGACACGAACAAAGTTTAACATGGTTTTGAACGTTACAGAATGAGTTGAGACCACAAGCTCCTTCTCGTTCGCATGGGTTATTACATTGACCTTGTAAACATTGCTCTGATAAGCCGCATTCGGAATCAGATTGACAAGATGCTATAATATAAATATTATTATTACTTTATGACTCACAATTGCAATTTTTTTTAGAGATACAAAAACTAATAAAATTACAATTTTACAACTTACATTTACATGCTCCATTATAACAATATGTATTACTCGGGCATTGTTGATTTGATGTACATGCTACAGCTCTAGGTCTACATCCCACAATCATGTCATTAGGATCCCCTTGATATCCAGGGTGACAAACACAGGACCCATAGTGAGTTGATGTTCCACATTCTGCATTGGGTCCACATTTGACATTTTCACAGTTATCTTGACATATTGGAATTCCGTTATTTTGAACACAATGAGCGGCCGATGGACAATCTTCATCAATTTGGCATTCTACTGGTGAATGACAACCATCTTTATACGGATCACCAATTGTACCGAGAGGACATAAACATTTAAAAGTCCCTTTGGTATTGTCACATCTTGCTCCGGGACCACATGGGGATATTTCACAGAGATCTAACATGCTGCAGCCAAAATAAGGATCGCCAGTAAATCCAGGTTGACAATAACATACCTAAATGTTTTTTATAAACGAAATTGGTTTAAATTAAAAATTAAAAAAAAAAAATGATTTTTAACATACTTGTTGATGGTTTTCAGCAGAACACAATGCATTTTGTCCACACGGGTTGTTGGCCAAACAAGATATTTTACAAATATAGTCTTCACATATTTTATCCATACTACAATTCGTATTCTCGTAACATTCAATTTTATGACATCCGACAATTGGATTTCCATGATAACCTGCCTCGCAATTACAGACAGGTTGATGGTTAACTGAAGTACACTCTGCGTGTCTTCCACAAATTACTTGATCACATATGTTAATACAACTAGTCTATAAAATACAATAAAAATTTATTTACAAATTTAATGATATTCTGTTTAGTTGAACCTTACTTGACCAATAGCATTAGTTTTACAAATATCCGTATTTCCACAATCATCGTTTGTCAAACAACGTAGTTCTTGAACACATATATTGTTCAAACAATATTGAAAATCTGGACAAGTACTGTTTCCTTGACAAGTTGGTTGGCATATTCCTCCAATACAGAGTTCATTACCAACGCAATCTCGTGCTAAGTTACATTCCACTATAAATAATAAATATTGTAGCCTTAAATTACTTTTTTATTCGTATCAAATAAGTTTATTAAATTTTAAACTCCTTACATGAACAAATTCCATTGTTACATTTAGTTGAGGATGGACATTGGTCATTCGTTGCACAGTATAATATTGGTGTGCAGCCTAAATGTGGGTCGCCGGTAAAACCTTTTTTACAATTACACATTGCAGCATCGTTATGTAGGCTACATTCAGCATTATCACCACAGACTTTTGAAACTGAACAAAGGTTCACACACTCAGAGTTAACACATGCTTTTCCTATTGCACAATCATTATTATTTATGCACTCAATAAGTTTACATTCAACCTAAATAAATTGCATAAATAAATTTATTAATTTAAAAACTTATACTTTAATATTAATAAAATAATATAAAAATATAATATGTACATAGTGATTGGTTTATCATATACCACTCGATTATTCTCAAAATAAATAAACTTGTAACGTCACAAATTCGAAGGCGGACCGTTTATGATTTTTTGTTATGTCTACTTATTTATTTTATCGCGCGAAAGAACCTTTTTTTGACACAGCGATGTCAACCACTCATTATTTTGCCGCTGACCGCTAGATAAGGCGATAAAAGAGAAATATAATTAAAATCGAATTGTTTATAAGTATTGATCCCTTCCAAAAAGACTGGCGGTTATCGATTTGAAATTGCCGTTAGATCGGTGTTGACTCTTCTCTATTCTTTCTTCTGTCATTGATCGTGCTAGGGTGCACACGTTTATTTTTTTATTGACACTTTTTTTACAATTATGGAGTAGAGCCGCCAACGGCGAACGGCCAGGTCATTTCGACGAAGCATCCAGACCATCGGATGGGTCTCTTCGGAGACCGGGTATCGTTTTCTTTTGTATATTATATTTGTGTAATGAGCTATATTTTATCAATTATTTTATTTCATTTTATTTTATCGTAAATTAACTTAATTTTGTTTATGTGTGGAGAGCACGTGTTTCTCTTTTCTTCTAGCCAACGCTAAGGAGCGAGTGTGTTCTTCATTAATTTCCGATTAACATTAACGGATGTGTTCCAATACCGTCCGTGATGTTTGTAATATTCTTTGTTATTTTGTTTAAATATTTTATTTTATTTGTATTGCCTTTATTTGTAGACATGGTTTTTGATGCATTCGCATTTTTGTCCATGTTTAACTTAATTTTCTTTTTATAAAAATTAAATTTAATTTCCTTATTAATTTCAACCGTAATATTTATTTTATTGCGCGAGTAACTTAATTACTCGCGTGTATTTATCCCTATTCCTTAATCTAGACACAGGCTACGATATGTTTTACATATCAACCACAAACAACTTTAATTGTCATAGTTGTGTTTAATAAACCATGAGGTATTATAGTAATTTATACATATAATGACATATTAACTTAGATTATGCTTTTAATTAACTTAAAATTAAATTCTACCTATGGTCCGGCAATCATATCTGATAGATGTAACACCTTGCCTAGGTGGTGGCGACCTTCGCTACTATAGCTAGTCGTTATGCAAGTGGCAAACCACGTTGTTGTTACAGGCCAATATATAAAAAGCCCACTTGCAAACTTTTGTTTTTTACAATTAAATATATTTATTGATTTATTATCTATTAATTACTTTTCAGGACCATTCCTCATAAAGAATATAGGTTTGAACTTAAATTTTTTTAATAGTTACATATATATTTAATTAGCTTATAAAACAGAAAATTATCAATTAATAAAAATACTGGTTGATAACAACTTTTGTACTAGTACTTTGTTTATTATTTTCATTTTTATACCTATTTGGGACGAAGAATACTCTCGAGAAATGACTAGTGATAAAAATAGCATCAACCACTTATCACCTCCAGTCATTAAATTATTCTCCAGTCTAAAAATTCTTATCGGTCGGTCATTTTTTTAATTAGATAATTTCCTATTTTATAAGCTAATTAAATATGTATGTTGCCATTAAAGAAAAATAAAGTTGATACCATTTTAAGTTATAAGGGATGGTTCTAAAGAGTAATTATTGCTGGTAAATCAAGAATTATATGTAACTAAAAAAAAATCAAAAATTGTTTTTACAATATTATATTAATATTGTGAAAAAACGAGTGGTATATGATAAACTGATTACTCTGTATATATATTATGTATTATAATATGTACTTTTGGGTCTCCATGACTTTTCGAAGGACATTGACATTGAATTTCATGATTTTGAACAGAACAAATTGCATTATGACCACATATTTTATTTTTTTCACAAGGGTTTTTACATTGATTATGATAGCAAACAGCACTACTTGGACAATCTTGGTTTTCAGTGCAGTTATTTGGACTATGACAACCATCAGCATTTGCATTACCTAAAAGTCCGTCAGGACATATACATGTGAATGAACCTGGTGTATTTCTGCATAATGCAGTTTTATGACATGGACTTTGTTTGCATTCATCTATATCTTGACATTTTCCATCTTTAAATGAATATCCGTTGTAACAATTACAAATGGCTTTATGTTGATGGGATTTGCAACTTCCATAACCACAGTTAGTAGTATCACATGGATCTATGGTAAAAAGTAATAATTAATATATTTTTTAATAACTATTAAGAATAATAAAACTATTTTTAAAAAAAAATGTATTTACTCGTGCATTTGTAATTATTAGTTTGGCATAGTTTGTCACTAGGGCAATCTTCATTTGAGAGACATTCTACTTTAAAGCATCCAACATTTTTGTCAAATGCATCGCCTAAATAACTGGATGGACAAGTACATACTGGTGCATGATCAGTCATTTGACAAATTGCGTTATTTCCACAAGCATTTTTACATAAATTGGTACATTTATTCTTTACACATGCAAGGCTTATTATGCAATCACTATTTTTATTACACTCATTTGGCCTAGTACAGCCTGGTTCAGTGTAGGGATCTCCTACTTTACCATCAGAACATGTACATTGATAAGAACCAGGAGTATTCATACATTTCGCACTAGGATGGCATGGGTTTTGATTACATTCATTAACATCTTTACACCCAATTGGAGAACTTTCAAAACCATTTCCGCATCTAATAATAAAATTATTTTTTTAAAAATCACAAGAAATAATTATTTTGACAATAAATTAGAATATAAAAAAATTAGTAATGACTAATTACCGGCACTTATTTCCAATACATATTTGGCTTGACTCACAATCTGAATCTGTAATACATCCTAGGTGACATAAGCCTTCTACACAAACTTCTCCGCTTAGACAGTTGCTTGCTGTATAACAAACTTTTTCACATTTATTGTTTGAACATCTCTCTCCTTCTGCACAATCTAGACCACTCATGCATACAACTTTACATATATTTCCATCACATTCTTGACCCAATCCACATTGAGCATTAGTATGACAAATTGTAGTTGATCTAATGCACGATTCTTCAGCCACAGGGTTGGGTTGGAAACCTTCACTACAGACACAAGCCACGTTATGTTCAATAGTCTTACAAATCGAATTTACACCACATATACCATTGCGTTGACAAGGATCTATAATAATATAATTAAATTATGATTGAATAATAATACAGTAATAATAATATATTATTATTACTTTGACATTTTGCATTAATACAAGATTTGTCATTTGAACAATCTTTATTACTACGGCATCCAACTGTACAAACTCCCATAACACAAGCTTGTGATGACATGCACTGAGAATGTCCTGCACAGGGAACTTCACATTTATTTTGAACACATCTTTCCCCAGCAGAACAATCATCAACATTTCGACATACAACTGTAAATATAATTTTAATTACCGTAGGTTTTAGTGTTATATAATTAACGAAAAGAAAAATATATACCTTTGCATTCACCATTGGAACATATGCCACCTTCACACTCTAAATCATTAATACATTCAATTACTGATCTAACGCATCCAATTTTAGGATCTCCATGGATAGGTTCAAAATTTGCTGGACATGAACAAACAGGTTTTCTATCAATTATGTTACATATTGTATTCACGCCACATGACTTTTCACACGGATTTACACATCGGCCAGATTGACAAACACTTAGTAATGGACAATCTATATTTCCATTTAGACAAAGACCTTCTTTACGACATCCTTCAGTGTAAGGATCTCCAATATAACCAGGTGGACATTTACATAAATATCCTGATGAAGAGTTCGTTTCACATACTGAAGTTGGGTGGCAAGTTGAATCATCGCATACTTCAATAGCTTTACAAGATATGTCAGGTAGTGGATTTGGCTTAAAGCCTGGAGGACATTGACATAAAGCTTTGTGGCCATCAGCAAGGCATACAGAATTCAAGCCACATGTATCTATATTGCATACGTTCTTACATTTATTTGATTGTCTATCACAGAGTTGAGTATGAAGACAGTCATCATTATAAACACATGACACTTCTTTACATCCTTCATTGGCATAAGGATTACCAGTGAATGTACCAGGAGGACACTGGCATTGTGCTAGGTGATTATTAGCTACACATATAGCATTCAAGCCGCAAACAGTATGATCACAAATTGGTTTACAGGATTTTAATTTACTTATTGGGTCTTCTAAACAAGATTCAAAGGGCAAACATTCAAAGTCTTGTTGACAACTTCCTCGTTTAATAGAATGACAACCATTTCTATCATTTGGATTACCAATAAAACCAGGTAAACATTGACAACTGCCTTGGTGATCGATAGCCACACATATTGAATTAAATGGACAAGTCAATTCGGAGCATACTGAAACACATTTGAGTACACCTAGTGCATCAGGTTTACACGACTCGTTATCTTTACAGTCGACATCTGTAGAACAGTCTGGCAGTGAAGGTTTCTCACACTTTGATGATATAGGATTCCATATATATTCTTTACGACATATGCATACTGGTACATTGTTATTTTCTAATTGACAAATTTCTTCTGGACCACATGCTACTAGATAACAGGCATTTACACAAGAAGAAATTCCTTCAAGTGTAGTCGAACATACATATCCTGGTTTACCACAATCTTCATTTATTCTACATTCTTCTTTTCCAGCAGTTCTTTCCAATTTACAACCCAAATACAAGTCACCGGGATATCCTGAGTATCCGTCACTACATATACATGATGAACGATGGTCCTTTGTAACACAAATAGCGTTTGGTCCACATTGAAATTTGCTGCATCCATCGACACATTTTCTTGATTCTTTTGTCATTTGAAAACATATTTCTGTATCTTGACATTCAGCGTCATTTAAACACTGACCTTGCACCACACAACCATTTTCTATGTCATATGGATTTCCACTAAATCCTGGAGGACACGCACATTTACCATTAACGCACCCCGCTCTTACACCACATTTGATATTCTCACACTGGTTTTTACACTTTCCGTTTTTACAAGTAAACCTAAAAATTAAAAAATAAACTGTAAGTATAAAAAATATCATATGAAGAATAAAATTAGAAATATGTAATAAATATTTTATTAACAAACTTACCCGGAAGGACATGGAATATTTTTTGAACATTGACAAGTTGCAGGATCTTGACATACTTGTAAAGTTTTAACAGAGCATTCTAAAAATGGATTTCCTATATATCCTTCAATACATCGACAGTCGTAGCTTCCTATAGTATTTATGCAGATAGCATTTTTCCCACAAGCAGATATCAAACATTCATCAATATCTAAAATTTAAGTTATTTTATTTATCGATTGATAATTTATAATAAATCATATTCAAGTATTTTTCTTATATATTATTTGTTTTTGCTTACCTAAACATTGGACATAAGGATTTCCTTTAAATCCAGGCGGGCAAATGCAATCTGGAGAACTTTTGTCTTTGCATAATGCTCCAGTACCACAAGCAATATTAGTACACGACTTTCGAGACTGGGAATCACATTCTTTATATGGATTTCCTACACTTCCAGCATTGCAGACACATCTGTTTTCTCCGAATATGCCATACTCACAATGGGCGTTAATTCCGCAACCCGGCGAACATGAAGGAATACTAATAGCTAAAAATTATTTTTTCAATTCAATAGCAAGAACTTTTATTTGATAAATAATATATAGTTATTAGACACAACTTATTAATAATATACATTGACTGAATTATGTTACTTACGAGGCATGCAAAGGTAGTTTGGATCACCAATAAATAGTGGATTACAAACACACTCATTGGTTTTTGGATTACAACTAGCTCCAATACCACAAAAATGATTTTGGCATTTTTCTTTGCATCGTCCTCCAACGCAAACATTGGATGGAGCACAAGGGTTAGAATTTGAGCAAACATCAGGTTTACAAGATCCTCCAGCAAATGGATTTCCAATTAAACCTTCTATACACTTACAAGTTGGACCTTGTGGTGTGAGAATACATTGTGCGCCTTCACCACATATGTATCCATCACAAGCTGCTTATATAGAAAAAATAAATTGTTTTAATTTTAGTATTATTTACTGAATACTGTGAGGGGGGTCATAAAATATAATAATTTAAAATAAGTATATAATTTATAACGCTTACGTGATATACAATCTCCAGTGATAGTTTCAACAAAACCAGCATTGCATCGGCACCAAGCAGTATAGTTTTTAGCTTCACAATATGTGTTTTTCCCACATACTAAATTATTGCAAGGATTAATACAAGTCCCTTTGACACACGTTAACCGAGAATCACAATTATTATTGGTGATGCATTCTAATTCTGAAGCTTCTTTTCCTAAACCTTTTATATACATATATTTTATAAAATATTATATTATTCTTATAATATATTATATTTTACAATCTAGTCTGAATAGAGGTAATTTTATAAATAAATATTTCAAACTTAAAACTTACAACCACTACTATATGGGTCCCCACTAGTTCCATAAGGGCAAATACACCTATAATGACCTTTTTCGTTAATACACATTGATCCCAGAGCGCACGGATTATCTTTACATTCGTCTAGGTCTTCGCAGCCAATTAATGGATCACCCATGAAACCAGGTTCACACAAGCATTTTGGAGGATTGCTTGGTGTACATTGAGCATTAATACCACAAGGAAATCGTTCACATGGATCTGTAAATTTATTTTAATAAAAACCTGCCTATAGAAATATATTTATAATACAACTATTACTTTTGCATAAGTTATTATCAAGCACGTCAGTATAAAATGGTACTGGACAAACACATATGCCTGGTTGAATACAATTTTCATTTACAGAACAGTCTGAATCTTTAATACATTTCTTTTGACTACGTGAACAACCATTGTATGCGTTTCCTGTATATCCATCGGGACAGGCACACTCATACGATCCTCGTGTATTAATACATTCAGATCCGTATCCACAATTATGTATACTTTCTTCACATTCATCGATGTCTAAAAATTAAAATTTATATATAATATATTGAAAATGATGTGGAATTTTAAACTTAGTTCTCACCATAACATGATCCATCTTCTCTTGGTCTATATCCTTTAGGACATGCACAATAACTAACGCCTCCAGATATTGAAACACATTCTGCTCCAAAAGGGCATTTACCTTTTACGCAGCCCGCCAACGTGCATTCTCCATTTACAATTTGATATGGAGGTCTACATTGACATTCTAAAGTGGTGCATTCTAAAAAAATCGTAACATTTAAATACATAATCAATTTGAATTTATGAAAAAATTATATATATATACCTTCACAATTTGAAAAAGGATTGCCATTAAAACCTGGAGGACACTGACATTCATAACTGCCTGGCAAATTTTTACAAACTGCATTTATACCACAAGCTGGTTTGTCTCTTAATTCCGTACATTCATTTATATCTCTACATTTTTCTGTTTTTTGATCTCTAATGTATCCTTTAGGACAAATACAAACACTTTCTCCCATTAATTCATCCTTTACGCAAAGTTCAGCTTTAGGACAAGGCAACTTGGAACTGCATTGAGAAGATTTTTTTGTTTGGTTACAACCATTCCTGTATGGATCTCCGTTGGTCCCACCAGGGCATTGACAAGAAAATGATCCTGGTTCATTATTACATACTGCTCCAACGCCACAAGGATTATCTTTACACTCATCTATATCAAAACATCCGGTAATGGAATTTCCAGTGTAACCTGCTGAACAAATGCATTCAGCGTTTACTTTTAATAACATGCACTCTGCATTAGGGCCACATGATATATCTTCACAAGGATCTATAAGAGAAAAAATGTAATTAGTTACATAATTATTTTTATGTTTATAAATATTTCTCAAGATAAAGTTTTTACGTCTACAATCATCTCCAGCGTTTGGCGCAGGACAGTAACAACGCTTCCTACCATCACAAATAGAATTACCAGGACAATCGTTGTCAATAGTACAGTTTATTACTTTTATGCAATTATTATAGAAATCTGGATCTGGTATATAACCAGTCGCACAATGACAACTAAATGATCCTGGTGTATTATGACACAAAGTATTTGTTCCGCAAGTGTTCTTGTCAGCACATTCATTTATATCTAAAATTTATTGAATAGTTTTATTATTAAAATTTGACGGATGAAATATTTTATAATTTTATTGAGTTGTTCAATTATTAAAATAAAAATTTACCTGTGCATGTTTTAAACGGATTGCCGGTGAAACCGGGTCTGCATTGACAACTAAAGCTACCAGGTGAATTAGTACATACAGTATTTACACCGCATCGTCCGAATGGTTCAGTACTATTATCACACTCATCGATGTCTATAAAAAACCATAATGAGTTCTGGAATAGTTAAACTTTTGTTAATTTAAAACTCACCAACACATCCCATTGATAAATCGTTTGGGTTATAAGTCCATCCATCTTCACATATACAATATGCTTCTTGTCCTGTCGGTTTACAAAATGCATGTTCACCACATGTAACATCTTCGCAGGGAGCTAACATATTAAAAACAATTTTTTAATATTATTATTTTTAATAAATTTATTTATTGAAATACCTTTACACATAATTCTTGGAGGAGCGCCTAAATATCCTGTTTGACATTGACAATGAAATCCTCCAAGTGTATTAGTACATATGGAATGAAAGCCGCATGGCTGTGATAGACATTCATCAACATCAACACAAACTGCTCCTCTCGCTTCAAAACCATTTTTGCAATAGCATTGACCTTCAATACACTCAGAATTTGTTGTACAGTCAAAATTCGTTTTACATAATGTTGTTACATCAATCTATTTTAATAAATTATATTTTTATTAATTAAAATAATTTAATTTTTAAAAATTTGTGGCTTTTTACTTGTTCGCAGGCAATTTTTGGGTCTGGTTTACTAGAAAATCCTTGTGGACAAAGACAGTTGTATCCTGGCTCAGTATTTTCACAAATTGCGTGAATGCCACATGGTTTATTTAAAATTTCGCACTCATTTATATCTGTTAAATATTGAAATTTTAATAATTCAGTATAAAAATAAACTGAATTTTTAATTTTACCATGACATCCTTTAATAGGATCACCAGTATAATCTTCTTTACATAAACAAACAAAGCTTCCGATTGTATCAGTACAAATACTGTTATTTCCACAAGGATTATAATCACATTCATTTAGATCTATCGTGAATAATTCAATTAATATTTCATTGATTATTAAAAAGAAAAAAATATGCAATAGATGTTTAATTACAAAGTAATAGTCAAGAAAACGACCAAAACTATAGAAATCGATACATACCAAAAGTGTTTTTAATTCATATCTTAAAATAGTAACAGGAAGAATTTGTTTACCTCTAGAAAATACTTATGTTCTTATGCATACTACAATTGCATATGAAATACATTTATTATCATATTCAAGAAAAATGTTCTGTAAAATTGTATATTGTTTGTAAAGTAAATATAAACAAAACGATTATAAAAGACAAGAGTATTGACCCAACATAGTTTGTAAATATTAGCAATGCGGAAATATAATAAGCTTCAGCAGCTGAGTGTTATGCAATACACACTAGATTAAGCGTATACACTAACTTTGACAATATTCATTTGCAGAACCAGTAAACCCTTGAGGGCACATACAAGTGTATGACCCAAAGGTGTTAATGCATTTGGCATTGATACCACATGAATTGGCGAAGGCACATTCGTTGATATCTGAGCAAATTTCTTCGTCATTTCTTGTATATCCTGTGGTACACTTGCAAGTGTAATTACCCATGTCATTAACACATTCTGCGTTTTGACCACACGGTGAAGATTCACATTCATCCACGTCTATTTTTAACGGTTAGTTAAACGATATCAAATTGTTAAAGAAGCATAATTTAAGTTAATAACACAATTATAAGAATATTTACAAATATAAGGATTTTAACGGAACTTATTAACAATGATGGATAAATAATAATGTTTTTCACTATGTTGTCATATTAGATATTTTTAATTTTTTAAAAGTTATTTATACGTTTGCTGATAATAAAATATTTAGATTTAAAAAATATTATTGAAAAACGCAGTTTTCACATCAATATACATATATAAAAATTACAATATTCATTATTTATAAAAAATAATTTAAGATATAAATTAAAAATTTTAAGTTGTATACTTCTGTTGAAAACTCAAATTCTATTAATTTAATAAGAATGTGCCTTGTTTATGACACAATTTTAGCTTAGTAATCAGCAAAAGTAAGTTATTTTTAATAACTGTTTAGTGGATTGCATTTAATATTTTAAAGGGTTATTATTTTACAAGAATTGGCCTAAAACTTATGAGATCGCCTCGTACCTTTGCATGAGCGTAACGGGTCTCCGACAAACCCTGGTGGGCACAAACACCGAAAACTACCATCCATATTGTGACACTGAGCATCTTTTCCACAAGGGGAACGGGCACATTCGTCTACATCGTAACAACCTGCCCCATAGGCATCACCAGTATATCCTTCTGGGCATTCACAGTGATGTCCGCCTGGGAAGTTTGTGCACAATGAACCAGAACCACAAGCATTTGGTAAACTACATTCATTCACATCAACACACTATAAAATAGAAAATTATTTTTAAAATAAACATTGGAAATACATTTTTTAAATAATTATTGAAGTTCCGAAAATCGTTGTTTTTCACTATTTTTAGTTTAAATAATTATGTGTAATATATTACAAGAAACGTGATATTAATGTCTAAATGGCGTTAAAAAATGTCCATTAACAACATAGCCTACATTGAATAATAGTAGCTAATATGTCGAGTACTACCTGGCGTGCTTTATAATAACATACAATTAGCCTCAGTAGTTGGTCTTTAGTAATATTTGCCTCGTAATTCAAAACTACAAGATGTTTACACTAAATCTTGTTTTATTGTGTGAATTATTGTAGGACTAGTATAAAATTTAATAAAATACCGTTAAAATGTGATAGAAATTAATTATAACTTTTAGCTTGAAATTAAATCATTTTTGGAATTTTTTATTAAAAGAGTTCATTAAACTTAAGAAAAAATGATTATCAATTAGTCAGTTTACAAGAGTACAGCACATTATTAATGAGATTCATTTTTAGTAACTTTTTTATAAGGTATTCAATGTGATTAAAAACGATTTATGAGACTTTTACTGATATTTTGTATTTATATCCTGCGGTAGAAACAATAAAAATAGTTATCACTACAAACCATAACAATGTTTCCTAATGATAACAAATAAATTAATTAATGAATATTTTTTTAATTAATTTATGTTTAAAATGTATAGTTTAATACTTGTCACCTAAACAAATGTAAAACCTTTGTGTTATTATTTTACACTTTGCTTAATGTCTCGCAGTATTTAAAACATAATTAACTCAATGAAGTGTTAAAAGAATTTAGATAAAAACAATAATTAAAACAAATTTTTCAAGAGTGTAATTACCCCGTCATAAGGATTTCCAACGAAACCTTGCTGACAATCACATGTATAATTTCCGGGAGTGTTTCTACATATAGCGTTATTACCACAAGCACCAGGTCTTGAACATTCGTCAATATCTAAGGATAAAAAAAAAAATGGTTACAACAAAATAATTATCTTACAAGTTTAGCCACAAGGTTTCTAGTTTGATTGGCCACGGGGGTTAAGTATGGCTAAGAAAACAGCACACCATTTGCACGTCAACAAAAAGTCGCATATATATAACCGATTTTAAAATTCAAGTAAACAAGCTAAAGATACGTAGGAATTACGTATATAATTATATAGATCGATAATTATAGACAATGGTATCGACGTGTGCCTGTAAGATTAGTCAAAGTTTTAGCTCATCTATAACTGACTTCACCTCTTTATTAAACGTCTCCATTTGCAACGCTCAACCATGTGGAATTTATATTTTAATGTAAAACTAATGATTGAAGATTTTTATTACAATATAATTGCAAATATATAATATATTACAAATTATCCGGTTACAAATTTGACGTTTGTACAATTGTTACATGCGATAAACCACAGCGTGAGGAAAAAGATAGGTAACGAAATTTTGACTGGGAGAAAAGTAAAAAAGATCGTAGTTTTCGAGAAATCGTGAAAAACATGCAAAAATTGATCATGTGAAGTCAAACTATTAAGTTGTTGAATTTTCTAGGCGGTCGTAGATTTTATATCAACGTTTTGACGAAAAATAACGACAAGATCGACGACTGTTTCATAATTTTTTGGTTGTCAGCCTCAGACAAAAGCGTAAATGTCACGTTACTGGATGCAGTCGGATATCGATTGATTGTTTACATTAGATGAAAAAAACTTACCTCTACATTCGACTTCGCCATCACCCACATATCCGGGTTTGCATTTGCACAAGAAATGCGATGGCAAATTACAACATTCTGCGTTTTGAACGCATCTGGCTGCAATAGCTGGATCTTCGCATTCGTTGATATCTGTGAATACAAAAATTATATGACATGATGTTATAAAAGAATATTGATCTTGTCATCAAATTCTAAACAATCTGTTCCTTAAAGATTTGGGCCAAGGGCAGTAAGAATGATATCAAAGTGGCAGAGCCCTACATCACGTAACACATCTTTCCTATCGTTTACCACACATAATTAATCTAGATGGCTATTATGGTTTAGTAACTAACCAACCCTATTGTTATAATGGTGTAAAAATATTGCATCGGTTGACAAACGTTGTCATGAACACAAATGATATTTATTTCAATTGAGCAGTACTATTAATAGTAGTCGATTTAAAAAAAAATTAACCTTTGGAAAGCATAATCCTCATGGATTATAAATTTAACGATATACAAGCATGCTACTAATGATTGTTAGTCATAAATAGTATAAGAACAGAACATTGAAAATACCTATATTAATAAAATCGCTATAAAAATTATGCTCAAGGCTAGATCACGATAAGCGAATGTTCTTTCGTACTTGACGTATGGTACATCAAAATGAAAATATGAAGACTCTTGAAAAGGACCCTCCGGATGAACGTAATAAATTACGCTTTAATGAGCCGGTTTCGCTATAGCCGAAGTATAACGGTAAGTTGAACAAAAATACATTGGGCGAAGACGGTGCGGATTGGACAAATAACCTAAGCAAGGTCGATGCCATCATAACGCGTTCCGCAACAACCTCTGGTCAAATAGCCGACACCACTGTTATGTGTGTGTGTGTGTATAATAATAATATAATTATTGTTGCACTCTTCGGAATCATGTCCGTTGTATGAATACGAGTAACATGAAAATATAATGTTTACAAGAGTGCGGGCATGCAACACGTGAGTGCTATGGTGATTTGTGATACTCACCTTGACAGTGAAATCCGTCGCCGACATATCCTGGGAAACATGTGCACGTAAAGCTGCCCAGGCTGTTGGTACAATGCGCGAACACATCGCATGGTCTATATTTGCATTCGTTTTCATCTAAAAAATAAAAAATAAACAAAATATTACAATACAATGTAGTCGAGTGCCATTGTAATTCACTGTCTACTGTTTGCATTTTCGTAGCACAAATTCAATGACCACAGCTGACAATAATAACTTACCTGGCACTTGACACGAACAGCCACCGTAACCATCGTTACAATGGCAAAGGGAATCGAGACAGGCACCGTTTTGACAAGGCGTTCCTTCCTTCACCTCACAGTCATCTGAAACAATAGTATACATTTTAACTTATTATCTGAAGGTCATCACCACAAAAAACAATCGCAGTTAACGATCAATGGCAACTAAATAGTGTCAAAGGCTATTAAAGTGGATTATGCTAAAAGCTTAATGATTTCATGTTGCTCGACGTTTAAATTACCGGTCCTTGGATATATATATCGAATTTCAGAGCATATTTTCACCTATTATTTTAAGTAAAGAAATTATGCAGTCTTAAATTTCACTGTCTCGAGCATTAAATTATTAGTACAAAATGTATTATTATACCTAATCCTGTTTTACTGTTTTTTTTTTTGACGTATCAAAACGTAACCATCGTATAATATTGCAAATAAATAATGTAAACTGCATTTCGCTGTTGCTACTGAGTCTTAAGGAAAGTTATCTTATGCGACCATTGTAAGTGACAGTTGGTAAAAACTATAAGAATATATTGTTTTCGTTATTACTTAAATTAATTTTTTTTTATGTCACTAAGCAGTACAATGGCGTACGAAACGTGTGCAAAATAACTTCTTCATTCGTGCACTCCATATTTTCGATTTAAATACATAATAAAATGTACTGTGTTGAAAATTCCAATTACCGACAGGTTAAATAATAATTTTGTAATAACAACCAATGTTACTGTTAAGTACGCGAGAAATATGGAAGGAAATTATTTTAGACATAAAAACAAGATAATTATCACGGTTCGGAAAAATGGTTTTGACTGTCATTTTTTACAATTATTCCAGCAGCCTATACAGGAACAAAAAAGACAACCACTAAAACAAACTGATTTTAAAAATATGATACGATTACGCGTGACGCTTATGGGAGTAATTGGTGATTTATGGCAAAACAACTGTTTTTTTTCATTTAGGTCGTTCACCCAATACGGGCGGTGGCCTGTACTCTGCACATATGTAATCGTATAGACCTGCATGCATTCTTTGGAATGCACGATTTTCTTTCTAGTTTCTTATCTCGATCCCGGTGGAAATAATACTTCAACACCCATCCCAAGGGGTAATTAAATGACTTCGGCATACCGTATGTGCTTTAGAAAAACGTGACACGGGTATACAACAAAACAATTCGTCAGATTGCGGTTTCCCCCATCTCCGGTCGCGGTGGCATCGAGCCGGTAGCTGCGCGCCATTTTTCACCTACGTAATTTGCCCGTTATTTTTTGTATATATGCTGATGATGTAAAATACTACTGTTAACATAGTAATTATTACAGCGCTATGAATTATGTACTCAAATGACGTACGCACTTAAAAGTTCCATTGACCTCTGCGGCGGTCGTCCGCAATCATTAAAACCAACGGTAGCTTAAGAAAAACAAAAAGAACCGTATACACGCGGTCTGCCGAAGTTCCGCATTTAATTATAAAGCATATTAATCAATTTATTCGCCATTATGAACTTCCGTTTGACTTGTGTAACTTCTACATGTACACTATTTATTGTAGTTCGCTATCCGTTGGATAGACGTGTACGTTAAGCGGTCCGTGCGTTATTATACGGTTCCGGTGCAGAGGGCGGTCTTCAATATCAATGAAGACCTTGGCCTTAGACTGACGCATTTCATTGCGGGGCGTGCGAAGAGAACAACAATTGCATTGAACAAAATTCTCAAAATTATATCCTAACGGCTTTTCTATGAATAAACGGTTATACAATAAGTAATAGTGCAGTATCGCGTGACTTAAACTTGGTCAGTATACTATTAAATAATACAAATCTAAAAAAGTAGACTCAGAAGTCTAGAAACTATTTCGTATGTACCGTAATTAGCAACCGATGAATTACTGTTTTATTAAGTATATATTTCTCAGTTATTTTATTTAAAAAGTAGTCTTACTAGTTAATTAATACTCTACGATATACTTTTTTTGGTGACTTTTATGTTTAAGAAATTTATTTGTATTTATTGTAGCAGCCTTGAAAGAATTTAAAAAAATAAATGTTTAGTTATTAATTTTCCATACAATATGAAATATTTTCGATTGTGCAGTATAATTTAGCTTAGGTTGAATTAAAGATAGGCATAAGATAAATTCGGTTGGCTCACTTAGATAGTCTGTCAACAATGGATCGTGGTATTTAAATTACATACCACAAGTAACATCGTCTACACAACCTGTGACAAAATATTATCTATGGCTCATTTAATAACTCAATACGAGAGGAAAAATAATAATAAAAATGATAAAACGAAACTATTATTAAACAATAGCATACGTGTTCTTAGAACGTTTTAACTATTATATCTGTTATTATACGAAATCACACCTAACATAAACGACCGATCGNTTACGAGAGGAAAAATAATAATAAAAATGATAAAACGAAACTATTATTATACAATAGCATACGTGTTCTTAGAACGTTTTAACTATTATATCTGTTATTATACGAAATCACACCTAACATAAACGACCGATCGAAAAATATGCTCGTGATGATAATTAAATAGAAGTCGAGAAAATAACACTACACTACCGGGGATATATTTCCGTGAACAACGAAGAACAACTTGAATTGAAGCACTCTGACATTCATAGTATTTTTGGGGGCGGTTACCCCTGACTTGTAATTACAGTCGGCGTTTTCGATCCGTAAATTTAACTTAACACAATAATAACAGCAAATGAAGGAGATTACGAGTATTGTGGATGGCATAGAATAGAATGACTAAACGTTGACATCCCTTTAACACCCATAGATCATCTACCCAGCCGATGTAAAAAGTAGTTGGCAACACGTACACGGGTATACATGGACCACCCGAGATAATAATACGCGAAGGAAATGTTTACGGCATTTTATTTCAGTACTAGAATTAGCAAACCTTTTTTTGTAATTGTCGAAAATAAACAAATTAAGGTTGCTTGAAATATACAGATATTCTCCGTTTTTTAAATTATTATAATTTAAACGTCAGAAGAATTATTTAACAAGAGATTCGTGTAAGATGATTTGTGTCCCTCACATCTATCGTGTTTTTCCAATTAAAAAACAATTTCTAAGTCTGTCAAAATAATCATTTTGTTCATCGTTAATGTAATGAATATAAGCGTTTGAATAAAACTTGATCAGATTGAGTAATAACGAGACTGATACGAACATTGAAAAAATGGCAGATTTAATCATAGAGTATACATAAAACATGTTATATAAATAATCACTGTACAACATAATTGATAATAATCAAACAAGGTATAATTTTAAGAAAAAAAACACTTAACATCACGTGACGAAGGCAAATGCTAAAAGGACACTTATTGAGTTAAGGTTTACATTCTAGTTTTTTCTTATGTAAATAGTAGTTTTAAAAATAATATAGACATTTCTCTGGGGACACCAGAAAATTTTTAACTAAAAATGTATGGTTATTTTAATATTGTTTTTGAACCTGTTGCTTAATAGCCATTGACCAGTAATAATGTGTTGACTATTCGTTTCGTCACATAATGCATTGTTCTTAACCAGTTAATTACTTAGAAATTTGTCAAATAATGAATTTCAATTCACCGGAAAACAATAATAATTAATAAACGTTTTATGTTACATGAATAAACCGAATAATTAATTAAAATGTATCAAGCGACTTTAAAGAAATTTCTAGTTAAATCAAAATGAATTAACCATTGACATGTAGGTGTATATGTAATAGAGTAGTTTTTGAAAAGCAGGAAATGTCATAATGAAGCATAATAATTTTTGTTTCTAAATAAAAGTGATTTAATACGATACAAAGAAATTATGAGTTTAATATCAACACTGTAGTCTTTTTTACTGTGATTTTATTTGGACGGTCCGTCTCCTCGTTTAGCTCCGATCCCCGACGTTTAATTATTCAAACAACGTACCGGTTGATTGTTAAAAGACCCGCGTGTACGTCTGCGGTCATTTGGGGGTACGTCAACTAGCTTATTATATTGGTATTGTATACGCGTGTACCACATTAGTACCGACCACATGCTGATTCACCCTGGTACCTCTTACTCTCTACTTAAAAGACGTTGTACACGTACTTTGTTCGCATCTATAACCCATCGCACTTGAGTAACGGACAGGAAAATTGGTCAGAGAATAAAATGAAATTGAAAATTTAATTTAATATTGTACTACTGAGAATAATAATTCAATTTTGCGTTTCCGGTTCAGTCAGTTCGCGACACTGCTAGTTACTGGCAAGTTTTTATCTTTACTAAGGTTCAAAATAAGCCTGAAGTTGCCAAATTTCTCTCATAGATATTTTTACTCTCAAAGCTTTTGGACATATGCTATGAGGTGAAGCCGATTGGTCATAATTTTAATAATGATATTAACTGCCGGTACAAGTAATTTGCTTTGTACTATTTGCCCGCCATGTATTGTTAAATTGATATTGCGGTAGCGACACTCGTTTTCAGTTTATATATAAAGAATAAAACAATTTTTACTTACCAGTGCACTTAAGTTCCCTTCTCAGTTCGTCAGATCCTTTGTAACAGTCTTGTTTTCCATCGCATAGTCTGGAAAGTTCGTACAACTGTAGAACTGCTGTAGATTCGTTTACTTGGCAACCGAAATAGCCATCTTCCAAATTTAAAAAGAATATCTCTCTTTTGATTCCGAATCCGATTCCACCTTGAGCACTAACCTATAAAAAGAATATCAAAAAAGCGATTCATAAATTGTTCATAGTTTGATAATAGAACTATGGTAGAAAAATTATCATTAGCTTTATTAATTATATTTAACTTCCATTGAACGCATTGAACAATCTCTTATGGATCAATTATTATTAATATCGAAGTTCATTGAATACAAACATAATGAACTGATAAAATAATAAATGTTAGCTTCGCAATATTTGTCTGTATAGCTTCTAGTAATTAACTGTTATTTTTTTTATTAGTGCAACTGGTGATTAGTTGTCAGATGATAATATAAATATAGCCTTAAACTATTTTATGTCCCATATACTTAAAAACAAAAGACACCACGCGGCGCTATTTACCATGAGATATCATGGTATACATATACATCATTCAATAATCAAGAGTAAAAAAATAATCTGAAATCTATATAATTCAGGACTGTTGCAGTAATCAAAAAGTAATGTGATTGAATGAAAGTGGCTGTGAAGGTTAAGTGTATATCATGAGGTTTCATATTACGCACTTTTCGGATTGAACATATGCAATTGGATAAATAGTAAATAGATTCATATTCATTCATTACGAATCTCGTACTTAAATAGACAATTAAATACACACTTAAGTGTCTTTTATGAAAGTGTACATAATGAAATATTATGTAATTAAATATGGCAAAATAATTCATTAATGACTATAAGCAACGCTCATAATATGCTTAGAACCGTATAACTTTTATCTTTAACGAATAAATAATTAATTTTTTATATTTTTAAAAAATTATAATCATACATATTCTCTTGGTAATCGGAGTGTCAATTTTCTAGTCATCTAACTACCATTAGAATACAAGTGTGTAACGCTCTATTGACCTCTGCATGGTTTGGTGACTTCGTTTAGGTTCACGCAATGGCCATTATTTCGCGTGATGTACCGTCTTCTCTAACAACTACAAGGTTACGACTTCCGCGAAACCATCCAAAACTATGGTGTCCTTAACCTTATATATTTCGGTTCCGCTGTTTACCTGTAGCTTTTGTTTCTAATATATGTTCGTGGTTCACATTAAAACTCGAGCAAAAATACTTTACGATGATACACTGTGTTGTGAAACTGTTGCCAACATCGGTATTGTAACTTAATATTAATACCAGACACCGCCTACACAACATCTACTGAATTTTATCCGCCTGCCATAGTTAAATTTTTTATCACATTATATAACATGAGCTGTAATATTTTCATTTTAATGTCAATTTTATTTTATGATTTAACACACTTTTTGTTTCAATCCGCCTAAACATCCGCTTAAATAATTTATACCTAGAAAAACACCATTCATACAAATATAATTATCGTTTTATTTATGATTGTACTGAATGGATGAGCGCAACACATTTGGCTAAATAATAGCGAGTATAAAATATGCAATCAACAATATGTACGTTGCAAACCGGTAAGTAGTAAAATAAAGAAAATATATTCTTGTGTTTTGCATCAGTTAAAGAATAAAAAAAAAAAAAATGCTATTGAATTCGACCAGTGAACGGAACCAAAGAAAAATCTCTCCGAAAAATATTTTTAACCATAACATATTGACTTTTTTCATTTCTTTTGGTGTTCATCGCAGTCACACGAACACAAAAAAAAACGTAAACGCGTCAGGCACAAACAACAACAATGACCAGCCGGTGGCAAACAGTGTTAGCCAGCGGAAGCGTAAATTATTGATGAAAACATAATTAACCGCTGACTGTAAGATTCCACAGTGTCCGTTATTGGTCAATGCACTACACTTCGGTAGCATTTCTGAATTTCTTTGGTACTGCGTTTAGTTGCCTAAAGATTATTTCTTAGGACGGATACTATGTTCAACGGTAGAAATAATAATTCATGATTACTAACATAAAAATACTAGTATATTATTGGAAGACACAATAATTTGTCGGAGACTTTAATGCTCAGTCATTATATATTACAAACGATCATTCCATTTTTGGCGCTACATCCATATGTTCCATTAGAAATTTTTCTGTCTTTGTGTAAGTGTGTGCGTTTCAAGTAATCGCCTAATCAGCTTTCGTTGAAATTCTTATTAGGCGGATCCAAAGATTCTCTTGCAATTTATTACGAAATATAAACAGGAGGTCATCCGCTTAGGAATAGCGGCGTGGGTTCCCGGTGAAACCGCTAGTTTACCCTTATATGGGAACTTGGGTCGACCAAGGACGTAATAACATTATCATTTTGTGTGAGTGTGTGTTTCGCATGTGCTCGCGCGACGCATATACTGTTAGACGGCGATTATAAAATACTCAGAGAACACATAACATCACGGCGTGGGCACCCAAGAAGACGCCATCGTCTTCTGCTGCTTGTTGCATCACAGTGTGAAATTTCTGGGTTAATGTCAACTGGAGAAAATGCGTTCGTCGGTCGATGAGACGACGTTTGTTACTTTTTCGGGGCAACCGCGACCGCGTAGGAGATGAAGGGGAGTGGATAAGTACGTATTGTGTCTTAGGTATTCTTTTGCTCTAGATTTATATACACAGTGTACCTACGTAGGATTAATAATGATAATAATAAAAACACGCTCGACTATGAGTACTATTCAAGGCCAAAATTCGAAAACCCACCAACAGTTGTGTAATATGCAGAGGACGGCGTATCGTTGACAAAAGAAAAAAGAAATTGAGACCAAAAGCCACAGTTCAATGGTAGCACCACTTGTACAGGGACATTTGAACGCATAGAAAGTCTTATCGATTATGTGGAATACCACGGTCGAAAATAAGAAAAAATGTGTCCTTAAAATTTTATTACATCAATTATTATTGTCTACTTGAATTTTTAAAATTTAAAGTAACTTTAGGTTATGCTGATAATAACTTTTTAAATCTCATTTAATAACATTAGAAAATAAATCTTTGAAAAAGTTATTACCTAAATATAGAATACTCCCAAAATTAATATGGACATCGGTTGTATAAAAAAGCAAAATTTCGTTTGGAGTTAAAGAAATGCAAAGCAAAAAATAAAAATGAAAGATCCATTAGGTTTTTTGCCGACTAAGTGTTTATTGCTTTTGAAAACGAAACCGAACAAAGTGCCGCATCATACAGTAATTCCCATATGGGATGATCCGTGTAATAGCTGTTGTTGCCGGTGTTTGTTTGTGTAGAAATTTGACCTGTTTTGCCAAATAAGGGAGAGCGAAAGTGAGACATCCCGATTTGGACAGTACGGAAGACCGTCACATTAATTACATCCACTGTGAATAAACGTCTGCCCATTTATTTTATTTTAGCGTTGTTTTTTGCCAACGAGGTATTTGGTACTCATTATACTGCTTCTTTATAACCGCAATATTATCGTTATCAATATGTAGAAGGACGAACGAACTCAACGACGGTACGGCAGTAAGCAATCACGTGCCCTTGATATTGTTCCAGTGCGATCGATACATTTCACAACATCACTATAGTAAGTGGAACTAACGTCATTGTAGCAGTACTTTAATTTTTTTTTTTGTTATTCTATTGCTGTGATGTTTACGACACTTCTATACAACACGCGGTAGATGCAAGTTAAAATATTCGTCGGTTTAGTCATAAACGATATTGTTATTTCGTGGATGTTGTTGGTATATTTAAGAGCAAAGCGCGTAGGATCGTTAATCGGTAGGATTGCTTATCACGAGTGTCATTGATCTTTTAAAAACAGGTGCGAACCAAGCAATAAAAAAATGCTATAAGCACATCAAAAAAATTTAAACTGAAACTAGTAGATAAATTAAATATTTTGTTCTTATGTGACCGCAAGCTATTTGAATTATGAAATTAGAAAAAAATAATGACGTCCATCAGTTGACATTATATTTTAACAACCATAAAATTCAGGTTTAAAATATTTAAAAAATTAAAACCAACAACTGAGAATCAAGTTGATGATATTTACAAATGCGTATAACATTTTTTTAGATTTTTATCTATATTTTAGATTTAGGAGTGATATTTTTTTCTTGTACAAGTAGCAAATATTAATTTAATGAAAAATTAACAATGCGACATGAAGATGTTTACAGAGATAATTGTAATTTATGGTTTCGTTAACATTATCTGTCAATCTCTACACTGTTGCGTGTTAAAACCGTAATTGTTCAATGTCTCTAATTACACATTTTTAGTGTATAAATAGTACGACCAACATTTCAACTACATGGTTGTTTTTGAGTTTGAAATATCATTGACAGTCGAATTACTTGAATCCAGCGTCGATCGACGTTTGTGTTTTTAACTAAATACTTTCGCCGCCGATAATTCATTAATCGAACGGATAAGACACGAAAGGAGAAAAAAAATCCTAACGCTTATTCATATGATGACTTTAGGCTAAGTCCGGCAAACTATCATTAAATTATTATTATTATTATTGTTATTACATTTTTCGAATCAACAATGCGCACGGCAGTTTTGAAATTCTTCACACACTCAAGTGTGTCCTATCGTGTTAACTGCGATTGTTACTCTCATGGGATGCGAACACCGGTGACCGCACCCCTCTCGTCCGGTGCCAAGTGTAATAATAAAGATGCTTGTGACCAGGACAGATTTGCCGCAAATCTATGTTACGCCCACGAGCAAACTATTCCCTCGATTACTAATGAAACCAGGGGAACATTAATTCTGCCAAATTCATATGTTATAACACCCACGTCAATAAATTACGTTGTACGTGTATATATTGCCGTTCGGTATCATTTTGTGGGCGGTAAAAAAATTAAAAAGTTGACCGCGCGTTTAATCGAACGACCGTCCGATCATCGGCTAGCGCAGAAACCGGTCTTGTTTTATTTAATGTTTTAGCGAACTTTAATGGTATACCCTGTGCTCGCATAACAATGACCAAAACACCGACAGTGCCACCAATACGACCGACAAAATTAATGCTTTTTGCATAAAAACTATTCGGCAGATGGTATTGGACTTTGACCATTGCA